CTTTTTTGTTTTTCCCAGCAGCAGAAATCTCGAGCTGGTACTCTTACGGCGCTAGGATACGGCGTTAACAGGATCTTCTTTAGTCTGATGGGCTGGATCTTAAATCTATTGAGGATAAACCTTTTGATTCTCTTTTGTCATTTGCGTAGAGCCTAGGGTTGCATTAAATGAGCTAGCCCCCTAGCGACATAAATCCGAGTCTTCCCCTCCTTTTTTGATGCAAGCCATATTCGTCCTTGATGCATTGTACTTTGCTTTATTGAAGACTAAGTCCCCCAAATTACTAAACCATATGCAGCACAATAAATTTGGGTTGAAAATGTTAGATCACACCACTAAAATAAAGTCGGGGCACCCGGAGAAATATCCATGCGGCCACGCTAATGCATACTACCTGGCGATCCCCCAATATCGAATTATCGAGGATCATATTTCATACTGATTCCTAGGATGCTTGAAAGCTGTATTCCTTGCTCCTCGGAACGGGTGCAATGGGGACAACTTGAAGCTTGTCCAGGCATGGCCGTATATTGACGCCTACTGTAAAGAAACCATGGCGTAATCGCTTTATGGGATCCCCTGCCAAGCCCTCAGATTATAATTGCAAAGCCCGAGTCCACATCCACCGGGTTCCGGCATCCAATCCAAAATTCAGACCAAGCTAGCCCCATCGAAGCTGTCAAGTGCAATTTCCAGTTCTCCACTCTCCTCTTCAAACAAGTCCCTCATTGGCCCCATTGGTGAGAATCCCGTGACCACGCGCCCATTTGGCGACGATGGACGCGTTTCAAACCGGTCATGACGCGTCGAGGGGTCCAGTCCTGCCTATTCAGGTTATATCGATTGGTCGATCGTCGGTATACCTGTGTCTGATACCAGGAACAGTTTGTATCATACTCCATAGCAGTAATATACCTATCCCGACCAACTGCTCCATCTTCCAATCTTATAAATAGTCGCATTACCCCTGAGTCCCACGACTCAGGGTTTCTTCCACTTCCACTTCCAATTCCATCAGGCAATCAATCCTTTCTCTTTCATCGTTTCCCTCTTCTGCTCTGCTTTCCCCGTACAATTCTGATCAACCAGGACTCTACCACATAGCAATCCATCATGCTTTCTAAAAGAACCCCCCAAACCCCTGATAACTTCTCCAGATATCGCGCAGCGAAAGCCTCGACGGCACGGTCCCGTCGAGCGCGAGAAAGCTCCTCTGCCAGCAGCTCTCGCTCTCGTCATGCGCCCGTCCCTGAACGGAGACAAAGATTGGTCACCCCTCCAGATTCAACGTACGTCCTACCCTACCCATCAACAACCCAACCTAGACTTGTATCGCAAAGGAGAGCGCTGTGAACGAAAGAAAAGTAAACCGACAGACCTAGCTAACAACTCCCAGCACACCCACAAAAAAACCAACATCACCCGTAATAATGCTCCGCGTAGGCCCCGAGCAGCGCCTCTTCGCCGCCCACGAATCCATCCTCATCGCATCACCATTCTTCGCCGAATACTGCGAACCCCAAACTCCCAGCCCACTATTCCGCACCGCACCGCACATTCACCACCCAGGAAAACGCATCGAACTCCCCGACGAATCGCCAGAAGTCCTCTCCGCTATCCTGGAATTCCTTTATAAAGGCGACTACTACCCACGTCTGCGACATAATGCGCGGCGTCGGGCTTGGGAGCTGGAAGATGCGCGTGCGGATGGGAGTGGGAATCCTGGTGCGACGATTTATCATCATCGCGGTGGGGTGATTTTGCGGGATACTGCTATCTAGTAAGTTTGCCTTGACACTGTGACCCCGTCCATTCTATGCCATGCCATGCCATGCCAAGCCATACGCCCAGCCTGGGCTGTTGATCGAAGAATATAAAGCAATATTTCATACTGTCATCCAATGCTTCAATTGCTAATGCAAATCTCCACCACCCACAGCTGCGCCGCAGAAAAATACAACCTTCCCACACTGCAACGCCTCGCACTACGCAAACAGGGTCTACAAACCGGCATTGACTGCAGTACTATCCTTGCCAGTGCGCGATATGCGTATGCGAATACGCCGGAGACCGAGTCAAAGCTCCGAGCGCATTATCTTGCGCTGATTATTCGGTCTCGGGGTACGTTTAAGCGGAGTGGGACTATGCAGGTTGAGATGGAGCGTGGTGGGCGCTTGTTTTTTGATCTTTTTGTTGCTATGTGTAACCATATGGTGAGTTTCGGGAAAGGGCTTGGATGGATGGGGCTCTGGTTCTTTCGTGATTGGTCGTCATGGTGCTGACTTTTACTTTTAGGATGATGATTTGGCTGAGGAGTTGTCGGTTTGTACGACTGGTTCTTTGCGGCGTAGGGACTGGTAAGATATTGAAGTTCGAGTTCAAGTTGTTGGGTGGGGGGGTTTTGGCGGGTTGGGGCTTCTTTTCTCGTTGCGCTGTTTATACCCTTGTACTAGTACTAGTATTATTTCAATTGTTGTATGTCCTATCTCTCTTATCGAGGGGTGGGGATCGTGTTTTTGAATGTCTTGATTGTTATAGTTGTAGTTAGTTATTTTATTTCATGATTTCTCATTTCTAGTAATGCTTCTTGTAATTGATGTTATGGTTGGGTGGTTTGACTCGGTGGGCTATAATAACGCATGTTCCCCCCGGGACAGTGAAGCCATCAGATGATTTTCAAGAGATCCGCTCCGCCCTGGTATTCAGTGGGAACTTATGCGTCGTTCACTTTTTCCCTTCGCTCTCTGCTGTAAGGGAGTGGGGGTATCGATTGTGGCGAAGGAAAGATAGATCCCATTAGGCAAGAGAGGTTGGTCCTGCGTGTGTATCTCCCGTCGAAGAAATGTCAAAGTGACTTCAAAGGGTATCAAGGACTCGTGAACTCATTTTGCAATAATTTCATTTATCGTCAAGAAAGGTAGCATAGTGCTCAAAGGCGTCAGTATATCTTGTGATGCATGACGCCCTTTATACGCCCGTCCCTGGGAACGCAGAATTATTCTTGCTCAGGACGACAATTCCCCGCTCTCGGGCAATGTATCCTTTCATGAGGCCCTAGATATAGTTAGTTGACGGCAATCGCTGGACCCGGTCGTGATACAAACCTTGTATATGAGATTGGCCAATAAACACTCCACCTCGTCCATATCAACGCGGGTTCGGCCCGTCGCATGGGTACCAATTCGTAGAGCAGCCGCAAACTCGGCGACGGGAACACGGGTTCGCCGGATTGGGGGCTGCCCATCCTTGGCTTCTTCAAATCCCCCGGCGATGAAAACTTTGCGGAAGAGGTTACGCAGCGCGATATCGCGGCCTCGCTCGAGGGGCAGATAAATTCGTCTCTTCACAAACTCCTCCTCGCCGGCAGACATGGCTTTATCGAATCCAACCAAATCACCCGTCCGAATGCAGTTTGATAGAGGTCGGAAGAGTTTCTCCAGTCGAGGGAACGGAGCTAGGAGTTGGTTACTGGGAAGGGTATGTGTTGTGACCAGATGGCAGGGAATGAGATAAGTGAGGATCAATCTAGATATCAGTGAGCTGGAGTTTGATCAAGAACAAAGCTAGGCGAACTGACTCTCGATTCTTGTTGGCGTGCCGGTAGCATAGCCTCCAGGCATTAGTGAGATGTTCTTCGGCCTACAAGCGTTTAGTGATTAGCCACGAATGTCAAACGCAAACAAGATGATTTCGCATACCTCGGCATAATTCTCATCCAAGAAATGTATGACGCCAAGATAGTACTCGAATGTTACTATGTGCGACTTGGGAAATGCGTCCAGCGGGGGGAGATCATCTGATTGAGCCTTGATGGCCCGAATGAGGTTCTTGGTGAGACCAACGGAATTGATCTGGATGTTGTCAGCGATGTTTCCGGCGGTTTGTGGAGGTGGCATGATCCTACCTTGAAGTACGTCTTGAAAAGTAAGTTGGTGGTGTTGTAGATCCCCCACTTCCGAGACTCTTCAATCGGAGCCCTAAACAAGTGTCAGCGATGGCTTTACCCCTCCAAGACATTTGAAAACGCGTACCGGTCACTCAAACACAGAGTGAACATTCGATTAATGACCCGAGCGGCATCCTCCAAGGTCGCATTTTTCTCGAAATCGGCCGCTACCTCCTCCTGGAAGTCTAAGCCGGACGAGCCCTGGGAGGCGACTTGAAGATCGGCCTTGATCGCAAAGGTGCGCAGGAACTTGCCCACGGTGTACAAGCAAGGCAAAGACCAGGCAGGAAGGCCAGATTGAACGGAGTACCCCCGAATGACTGCATTCGCCACTTTCTTCCATGCATTGAAGATAGCGACAGCACTAGCCCCGGGGTGTCCAGCTTCCCATTTCAATATCTCCCCCACGGCCTCCCAATACGCAGCGAAGATATCGACCCAGGCATGTTGTTCGGCTTTGGGGACTCGGGGGTTTTTTCCATGGAAGAAGGATGAGTTGAGATCTTTGGTCAAGTATGCGGGATTGGAGAAGTTGTAGAATGACAATAACCGATCGGGGTCATCCCGGGTCGCAATTGGAGTCAGCACTGCTGCGAGACCCGGGCCGGATCCGTTATTGTAGGCAATACGGAACTCAGTCGCGAGAGTTCCCATGATGATCCCACTCTAGAAAGTAATTCAGGTTCAAGCAAGAGGTCGATTGCTGGAAATCGGGTGGTTATCCGAGCCAGAAGCGCGGTCAAAGGGCACCCCGGTTGGCGAGAACCCGCCCTTCTGGCGGTTGGAGATGTGGCGCAGGCGGGGAGACTGTGGCGGTGCTGTTTGTAGTGGCTGGTGTTGGCCCTACTCCCGATTGGGGCTAGCGTCCAGCTGATTCGCCCCACTCGGTTAAGCGAGCCCTTCGGGGCTGGTAGCCCTAAGCAACTTCACACTCCCAGCCAGATTTCTCTCCACCGACGGCACACTAACGACTCATCAACCACAGCGACAATCACAGTAGGTTACTCCTCTATACTGTCGTTTCACAGACCGTTGCTAACATACTTGTTTCCAGATGGGTAAGTGACCTTTTTTGAATTTTCCGATCCTCTCCGCTCGACTCGAAGACGATATATGGTGTGTGCGAAACCGACGAGATACTATGCGAAGCGAACAGTCATCGACAATTGCATCAAGATCAGGAAGAGATGGAAGGATTGAGACGGCCTGAATCGAATCGAATTGAATGTTGAAGGATGAATTTGCACCACGCTGCCGGTCACGATCATGTCAGATCTTCATGTCGGATCTCGAATTTTTTTTCCTTGATCGCCAACCACAAACACGAACACACACAAACACTGGACTCCTTCGCCCGCTGAGCATCTCGTTAAATCGGAATCGCACACCTGATCATCATCGTCAAGAGCGCAGGCGCAAGAGGAATCTACCGGCAAGATCGGACCTCCTTGCTCGCAGGCCGGTCCCCAATCACCTGCATAATAACTAATGAATATCCCACACAGGGCGTCTTAACGAGTACCAGGTCATTGGAAGGCTGCTTCCTTCGGAACAGCAACCTACCCCTAAGCTTTACAGAAGTAAGCGTTTCTTCTGTATTCTCGTGTTCCGGACCTTTACTAACATGGTTATTTTCAGTGCGGATTTTCGCCCCTAACACTGTGGTCGCCAAGTCCCGCTTCTGGTACTTCATGTCTCAGCTCCGCAAGATCAAGAAGTCCAACGGCGAGATCGTTTCCCTGAACGTGGTATGTGAAGAGATAGAGAGTTCATGGCCATCCACCATTCCCTCCCCGCCTCTTCGTTGCATCCTAGGCTTTGAAAATGGTACTAATTTCGCTTCGACAGATCACCGAGAAGCGCCCTCTCAAGGTCAAGAACTTCGGTATCTGGATCCGCTACGACTCTCGTTCCGGTACCCACAACATGTACAAGGAGTACCGTGAGATGTCCCGCACTGATGCCGTCGAGGCTCTCTACCTCGATATGGCAGCTCGCCACAGAACTCGCTTTGGTAGCCTGCACGTAAGTTATTTCGTATTTCAATTTTCTCCCAGTGGCGCCAATCTAACCTTTTTGCTCTACAGATCCTGAAGGTTGTTGAGATCACCGACAACGAGAGCCTCCGTCGCCCCTACATCAAGCAGCTCATCCAGAAGGACCTCAAGTTCCCTCTGCCCCACCGCTCCGCCAACCCTGGCAAGAAGATCTTCGCCTACTCTCGCCCCTCCACCTTCGCTTAAATGTGCGGTGTTTTCGAGATTTCGGAGATGGAGTATGTGTGGATGAATAACTGCGTTATGGCCATGGAATGCATGAAAGACTGGCCGCGCGGCATGGCCTATGTGTCCCAGTCTATGGGAGGCAGTTTAGATATCTCTAATCCCGTGTAGTGATGTCTGGGGTTTAAATTTCAAAAATATCGGGTTCATTGTTCTGCCTTATCCTTGTGTATAATTCCTCGTATGATTTCTCTCCTGTCCTCAATTTGTAGGAATTTACGGTGGCGTTTTTACGAGGCTCTGGCTGTGGTTGCATTAAAAACACTACATAGCATGGACGTCCATTAAGCCGCCGCTTTTTTAATACGGTGGGTCCGAGTATCTATTCAAGTTACACATGCAGTCTAGAATCAACATGGACATAGTGTTGGTCTTCAATTGGCCATTTAATTCTAGAACCCTACTGGTCACTGGTTCTAAGTAAAGAAATATTAGCGACCCCTGTCTATAGAGTACCTTGCGAGGTTGGACTGCTTATGCATCTGTATACATTGAAATCTTTGGGGGGGGGGCCTTGACAGTTCTACATAATCATTCATCTTTCAAGTAACAGCTTTTTTTCTATTAATCTAGTACATTGAGGCTTTAAATGCATTATTCTGCAGGAAAGACCTACAATGAACATACGAGTACTTTATAGATCCACCCGCAATGGCCCGAGAAATGATGTGCTGCAGCCAGGCACCGCTTATTGCGTCATGGGGGAAATGGGGTCGGCAACCGACCGTGTCCGCTTCCATAATCCGATTTCTTCCCCGTTTAACTCAACCTCTTTCCCTCCATCTCTCCTCCCCATTGTTACACTTAAGTCATCGCAACAATGTTCGCTCGTCAGACCTTCCGTTGTGCCCAGCCTCTGAAGCAGGTCCGTCAAGAACCTCACTCCCCAATCCCTCCCTGCAAAAGAGCATTACTGACCTCTCCCTCCAGAGCTTCCGCAAGTACTCTGCGGAGGCCCCCAAGGCTGCTGAGTCTGCCCCCAAGCCTCCCCCCAGCCCTCCCAAGAAGGCCAACCTCACCCCCGTCTATGTTGCTGTCGGCCTCGCTGGTGCGGGTGCTGGTTTCTACCGTTACAGCACTGGCGCTGCCGCCGAGCCCATCAACCGCCCTAAGGTTTTCAACGGCGAGGACTGGATTGACCTGAAGGTCGCTGGTATCGAGACTCTGAGCCACAACACCAAGAAGCTTCGTTTTGAGTTTGATGACAAGGAGGCCGTCGGTGGCCTTCCCGTTGCCTGTCAGTCACCCACCCCACGCCCCAATTCAGCTTATAACTAACATAATCAACAGCCGCCCTGTTGACCCGATTCAAGCCCGAGGGCAAGGAGAAGAACGTCGTCCGTCCCTACACACCCACCAGTGATGAGAGTAAGCACAACTCCCCACCTCGCATGATATGACATCCCCACTAACAAACCTCCAGGCCAACCCGGCTTCCTCGAGCTCGTTGTCAAGTCCTACCCCGGCGGTCCCATGTCCGAGCACATCCACTCTCTGAACGTCGACCAGACCCTCGCCTTCAAGGGCCCCATTGTCAAGTACCCCTGGGAGGCCAACAAGCACGACCACATCTGCCTGATTGCCGGCGGCACTGGTATCACCCCCATGTACCAGCTGGCCCGCCAGATCTTCAAGAATCCCGAGGACAAGACCAAGGTCACCCTCGTGTTCGGCAACGTCACTGAGGAGGACATTCTGCTGAAGAAGGAGCTCAACGAGCTGGAGAACACCTACCCCCAGCGCTTCCGCGCCTTCTACGTCCTTGACAACCCTCCCAAGGAGTGGGCTGGCGGCAAGGGCTTCATCACCAAGGAGCTTCTGAAGACTGTCCTGCCTGAGCCTAAGGAGGAGAACATCAAGGTCTTCGTCTGCGGTCCTCCTGGTCTGTACAAGGCCATCAGTGGTGGTAAGGTCAGCCCCCAGGACCAGGGTGAGCTGTCCGGTGTCCTGAAGGACCTGGGCTACAACAAGGACCAGGTTTTCAAGTTCTAGATGATTGTAAATTATAGAGCTGGCAGGGGAGATGTGTGCGATGGCGATGTATAGAGCATTTGCTGTTGCGTATGTTCTCCGAGGATATCCAAGATAGCGTTGCTCCATAGGACATTTATCAAATCCAACGTGTTACATTAGCAATATTTATTTCAATCACTACTACTTCTGTAACTTAAGGGCGCTACAGCTCTATGCATACTACTGGTAGGTAGATATCTGGTAGTTTTTAGAAATAAAAGAGGAACCTTGGTAGTTCCTGGTTCCAAATTGGGTGCGGTGTTCCAGGCTTAACTTAATTTCGTTAAGGTTGTGCCGCCGGGAAGCTTCAGCTGACACCGGAAATATATAGCTGTGGGCATCCATGAACCGAGTTCAAGTTCTCCAGGGCTTGGGAGAGATATCGGTCACAAGCATTTTAAATATATTTTTAATTTCTATATGTGGTTACTGAGAATATCTCCAAGTAATTTAGAAAATTTTATTGAAGTAGAGCATAGTGTTCAAGGTAACCAGCCATCTCCTCATCCTTTCCCCCGCGAGTGGTTATGTCACAGAGTTGGACGGATGGAGGGGCGGAGAGATGGAGGAGAACGGGGCACCCGGGCAGGGTAAAGCCTGGGTGCCCCGGGTACGACGGACGGCACGGATTCACAGCCCTTCAAGCGACCCCGTTAAATTGTTAAGCCCTGGAGGGCAGACCTAAGCCTAAAGCAGCGCTGGGCCGCATGCCGTGCCCCCCCCAGTTGTGGCCTGCTCTGCCCGAGCTTTATTTAGCCCTCGCTGCACCCCCCGCTCCTGCCTCCCCTTTACCCCCTCCCGCCGCTTTCCCCCCTAACAAACTCTTCCCCCCCTCACTGCCTTAACCATCAACCTCCCCCCCCCCATCACCACTGTACACCATCCATCATGCCTTCTGATGCGACTGTTGCCGTCAACGTCAACGAGCTCCGCAACACTAAGGATGCGGTAAGTTAATCCCGGTTCCCCTTCTGCCTCATTTCGCCTTTTTTCACTCCCTGGTCTTCTCAACTTTTTGTTTGGCTGTTGTCCTGCCTGTCTCTTCCCGCGCGCTTGACGCGTCGCATCTCAACAGAGCTGTCGCACGCCTATATGAATGTGTCGCCTTGTCCCTTACTGCTTCAAGAGTGTTCTTTCATGTCTTCCAAATGCCATGAAAAGCTTCGTTCAAGCTCTTTTGCCTTGACTTGGTGGGCGCGTGCCACAACACCGGCGCGACACCCCACGCGTGCTTTTTTTTGCCCTTCCATAGCGCCTCCACATCTTTCGAGGACCTTTTTTTTTTTTAGCGCCTTGTTTCTTAAAATGATTCGTCCTTTTCTCTGAACTTTCATGCCATTCCAAAAATCACCGGAACTATATGCGAATGCCTGCATATCTCATTGACTTGACGGGCGCAATTGAAACTAACCTCGTTACAGGTCCTCCTCCGGTTGATGGGACTTCAAACCTACATCGCCGACCTCAGCAAAGCATACATTGAGCATGCTAACAGCGTTATCAACGGCGAATCTGCCGCCATCAACTTACCCGCTGTCCCGACTCACTTGACTGGTCAACTTGAGGGTGGCCTTCACGCCCAGAGCCCTGGCGTCAAGTCCGAGGCACCCAAGAAGCGCAAGCGCGCACCCGTTGACCCCAATGCACCCAAACGTGCCCTGACCCCGTACTTCCTGTACATGCAGCACAACCGCAGCAAGATCGCCAATGACCTTGGAGACAATGCCCGTCCCAAGGAGGTTGCGGATGAAGGCACCCACCGCTGGCAGAACATGCCCGATGAGGAGAAGGAGGTATGTTAACCACTCTGCATTGTTCCCTATACTCTCTGATAGTCTCGATGCTCACAAATAACCACAGGTCTACAAGCAAATGTATGCTGAGAACTATGAGACCTACAAGAAGGATATGGCCTCCTACAAGGCCACCAAGGCTGCTGACAACGACCCTGCTGCCAACCAGCTCCAGCAAGACTTTGCTGGCGCTGAAAACTCCCGCGAGACTGATGATTCCTCTTCGTCTGAATCCGAGGAGGAATCATCGCCCTCTCCCCCTCAACCTCCCAAAGCCAAGACCCCTCCCAAGACCAGCAAGCGTCGCAAGAGTGAGAGCAAGAAGGAAGTTGTCGAGTCTCCTGCTGTAAAGCAAACCTCGCCAGTCAAGAAGCGAGGAAAGGCTGCTGCTGCCGCCGAGCCAGCATCGGTCAAGGCCACCCCTGCCACCAACAGCCGCAAGGGCAAGAAGCGCAAGAGTGAAGCTTAAGCGATAGTTGGTTTTGGTTGTTCTTTTTTCCTTTTCTTTCATCTATTTCTTTTTTCTTCCTCTCTACACTTTCCTAGGGATCTCGAAGGTGAACTTTTGGCCAAGGCGTTCATCACAGTGTTGTGTTCTATTTGATTTTCAAAAGTGTGTACGTCGGGAGTTGTATAACTATCTATCATGAATGATTGAACTTGGCTTAGTTCGGGTGTCTTCCAATAGGGCCGGTGGAGCTCTCCACTTATTTCCACCCAAATCTACCCGAGTAAAATTACCAGAAGAAAAAAAAGCGAAAAGCACCACCAAGAGCATCAGGCTAAGCACTCCTAGTCAAATAACCAGTGGAGACCATTGGCCCCAGCCTTGAGAAAGTAATTAGAAAAACCGTGACTAACACGGCCGAACACGAGGCCCAATCGGCCAGCACGGCAGCTTATCTCTTGGGACTTCTCCCACTATCTCCGCCTGTCACGGCATTGCGATGGGATTAAAATATACCGACCTTCCCCCCCCCACATTCTTATTCTCCCTTCCCAAACCTTCGTCCTTCAACTTTCGATCCTCCTCCTTCGGTGGACTTGAGATTTCATTCTTTATAATATTTCCCCCAGCTCCATCGACATCTCTTTTCTAGTCCCTGTGTGCCAAGCTTTCAAAGTAGCCAGGTTCGGGTTCCACCCGCGTCATGCAGCTCGTTCCTAAGGAGGTAGGTCTTGTTACAGCCAAGCCTGGGGTTTCCCAATGACAGTCGTTGACTCCTCCACAGCTTGACAAGCTCACCATCGCCCACCTTGGGTTCCTGGCACAGCGTCGCCTGGCCCGGGGTGTGCGACTCAATCACGCCGAGTCCGTGGTATGTTCCTCAGCTTCCCCTTCCCCGCCTCTGCCGCGGGTAAAAAAAGCGAACAAGTATCGAGGCAGCTAACTAATGCGTTTGTTCAAAAGGCCTTGATCTCTAGCGTTCTGCACGAAGTACGATCCACTTTTCTTCCCATATACCTAATTGATCCGCGACTCTGACATCTACTTTTTCCTTCGAAATAGCTCATTCGCGATGGCCACTACTCCGTCGCCGATCTCATGTCCATCGGTAAGACCATGCTAGGTCGTCGCCATGTCCTTCCCTCCGTTGTCGCGACTCTTGTCGAATTGCAGGTCGAGGGTACCTTCCCCTCCGGTACATACCTCGTCACCGTCCACCACCCCATCAGTAGTGATGAAGGAGACCTGGAGCGCGCGCTGTATGGCAGTTTCTTGCCCGTGCCTCACCGCGACGCTTTCCCGGAACCTGATCCCGACGATTTCTTGCCTGAGAAAATGCCCGGAGCGGTCATTCCGGCCAAGCATGCCCGTGTCGAATTGAATGACGGAAGAAAGCGCATTCGCCTCAAGGTCATGAGCAAGGGTGACCGGCCCATTCAGGTACGTGTGGAAGAGCAACCACCAATATCACCGCAATCGGACGGAAACATAGAGGCAAAAGCTAACGCCGAAATGACACCAGGTCGGATCGCACTACCATTTTATCGAGACCAACCCACAATTGCACTTCGATCGCATTCAATCCTACGGGTTCCGCCTGGATATTCCCGCCGGCACTTCTATTCGTTTCGAGCCCGGCGACACGAAGACCGTGAATCTGGTGGAAATTGGCGGTAACAAGGTCATTCGTGGAGGAAACTGGCTGGCAAATGGGCCATTGGATTTGAGCCGGGCCGATGAAATCGTTACAAAATTACAAATTGCTGGATTTGCGCACGTTCCGGAGCCGACGGTGGATGCCGCTCTGATCACCGGGTTCTCCATGGAGCGCGAGGCCTACTCTCGCATGTTTGGACCGACGACCGGTGACCTGGTGCGTTTGGGCTTGACTAACTTGTGGGTCGAGGTGGAGAAGGATATGACGAACTACGGCGACGAATGTACCTTCGGCGGAGGCAAGACCATTCGTGATGGTATGGGCCAGGCCTCTGGGAGATCCTCGGCTGAGTGCGCTGACACTGTTGTTACGAATGCGTTGATTATCGACTATACTGGTATCTACAAGGCCGACATTGGTATCAAGGATGGATTTATTTGTGGCATCGGCAAAGCCGGTAACCCCGATGTGATGGGAGGTGTTCATCCCGATCTGGTGGTGGGTGCTACGACGGATATTATTGCTGGTGAGAATAAGATCGTCACCGCGGGTGGATTCGATACGCACATTCACTTGATTTGCCCGCAGCAGGTGGACGAGGCCCTGGCATCGGGTATCACTACCTTCCTTGGTGGTGGCACTGGCCCGAGTACTGGATCGAATGCCACTACTTGCACCCCTGGACCGAACCATTTGCGTCAAATGATGCAGGCCTGCGACAGCTTGCCAATTAATCTTGGAATTACTGGCAAGGGCAACGACTGTGGTAGAATTAGCATTGAGGAGCAGATCAAGGCTGGCGCTGCTGGTCTGAAGCTGCACGAGGATTGGGGTTCCACGCCCGCGGCTATTGATAACTGCCTGACTGTCTGCGAAGAATACGATGTGCAAGCCATGATTCACACAGATACCCTGAACGAGTCTGGATTCGTCGAGCAGACAATCGAGGCTTTCAAGGGCCGTACTATCCACACATACCATACCGAAGGTGCCGGCGGTGGCCACGCGCCAGATATCATCTCGGTGGTGGAGCACCCCAATGTCCTGCCCAGCAGTACAAACCCGACTCGCCCCTTCACTCTCAACACTCTCGACGAGCATTTGGACATGCTAATGGTCTGCCACCATTTGTCCAAGAACATTCCCGAAGACGTCGCCTTTGCCGAGAGCCGTATCCGCGCCGAGACTATCGCCGCTGAGGACGTGCTGCACGATCTGGGTGCCATAAGTATGATGTCTTCGGACTCACAAGCTATGGGCCGTTGCGGAGAGGTCATTCTACGCACCTGGCACACTGCCCACAAGAACAAGGCCCAGCGTGGCCCTCTCCCCGAAGATGAGGGCAAGAACAACGACAACTTCCGCGTCAAGCGTTATATCAGCAAGTATACCATCAACCCATCCCTGGCCCAGGGCATGGCCCACATGATTGGAAGTGTGGAAGTGGGCAAGATTGCAGACCTGGTCCTTTGGAACCCTGCCACTTTCGGCACGAAGCCAGTGCAAGTTTTAAAGAGCGGCATGATTGCCGTTGCAGAGATGGTGCGTGTTTCCCCCTCCCCTCCCCTCCTTTGCCTACGAATCTATATTAATTTCCCATTATAGGGTGATCCTAACGGATCAATCCCCACCATCGAGCCCATGGTCGTTCGTTCGATGTTCGGCGCTCGCGTCCCAAGTACATCCATCATGTTCGTTTCCCAAGCGTCCATTGACGAGGGCATCGTGCAAACGTACGGCCTTCGCAAACGCATCGAAGCAGTGAAGAACTGCCGTACCGTCGGAAAGAAGGATATGAAATTCAACGACACAATGCCCAAGATGAAAGTTGATCCGGAGAGTTATGTAAGTGACCTTTCCCCTCCCCCCAACCCTGCTCCTGAATCGTGCTGACCTTGCCCGTCTAGACCGTCGAAGCAGACGACATGCTGTGCGACGCCGAGCCTGCATCTGAACTACCCTTGACGCAGGCGTACTATATTTTCTAAACATCGGAGCTGTGCATCTGCGAAACGTGGCACTAGTGTTGCTGTATTACTGTTTCACTTTACCTCTTGGGGTTATTGAAGGGACGAATCGTTTTCTCGTCAATGCCTGACTGATACATTGCCCTTGCCCTTGCCCTGCCCTTGCCATCTTCCCTCTCTCCCACGCCTTGACGCATTTTCTTGTCCGTATTACCCTTTCTTCGGTTTCGGTTTCATGTTTTCCCCATTTTTGCATTGCCCGGTTTCTATATACCTCATCTCGAATTGCGATTTCCGGGCGTTTTCGTGTCATAGCGAGAGAGCGCTTCAAGTTGTTTTTGCGTTTCATTTCATTTTCGTTTCTGTAGACAGCAACGAAAGTGACGATTTCTTTCAAAGAATCTTTCGACTATCTATTCAATATGATCACTATTCACTCCATTACATTTCATTCCATCATATTCAAGTTTGGATTTTTCAAATCCCGCCTAACCCCCATGGCATGGCCGAGGAGAAGAGAGGAGACGTTACTTTCGGCCAACATGACCCACAACACACGCCTCGGACCTCGCCGCATCGACGGCCCCTAACTAATTCTTTCAGGAGTTGGCCGAGCCATGACCCCGCGCTAGCTAGTACCTGGGCGGAAGGCGCCTTCATTCGGGTATTAATAGTAGAATTATCGGGTCGGACCGTGGGTCAAGCCACGATTACTTACATCAAGGCTTTGGAGGGAGGGGGTAGAGTTAAGACGCTAAATCTCTAGCGGGGAAATCTGGCTGGTTGCCAGTGGCTAGCTTGAAGTTGGGTTATGATTCTGGTGCCGGCGGTGGGTTGGTTGTCTAGCCTTGAAGGTCCGGGGCTGCCGCCGCAGTCCAGTGCCTTTAGATCGATGGAATGGATTAGGGTAGCCAGTACCTAAGGCAGCCATAGATGACTACCTAGGTATTTATAGATTGAGTAAATGTTTAGAATATATGGATACTATTACAGTAGCCTCTAAGGCATTGGCGAGATCGTTTTGTTTTGACCGGACTATATTTACATGGATGGAACTTGACGGTTGGTGATTATGCAGTGTAATTATGATAGATAATTCTTTTATTCAATATTCAAAATTCCAAAGGAGCAAGATAGAATTCAAGCAATAGTCCAACTGGAAAAAGAGAAAAAAGACCAAGTGAATCAAACTCTAAGTTGTGGTCTAGTCACCGAAATAGTGTTTTTGTTTTAGTTCAAGTTGTGATCATGTTTAACCAAATGTGTTACGACACAACAAGCCATATGGTATCCATTCTCGGGATAAAGAAAAGAGATAGCGCATCCCACTCAGTGGTACGGTCACAGCTCCATCTCCTCTTCAGTATGATTATCACCAGCCGAGACGATCGCCATATCTGCCCATGATTCGTAGGTATCTCGCATTGCAGCAAGGAATGCGTTAACACGGACACGAGTGCGAGCTTTCATTCGATCACGAACGACTTGTGCTCTTTGTTCCCTTGCCTCATTTGGATCTTCGGAGCTAGGTTCTTCGTTCTCTGTGGCGGAAGGGGCAAGTAATGATTCGGATATTGAGATTGATAGAGTGTCGGTGTACTGGCTATCTGGGTTTGGCGTTGGATGGATGTCGTGTTGCCGTGGAGATTCCGCTCCGTCCTCGTCAAGCTTTGATGGGGGTTGAAGAGATTCCGCGTTTGTATTGGATGGAGCAGGAGGTGTGGGCTGAGGAGACTTTTGGGTATTTCCTTCATTGTTGGCGATGTCTTCCTCCTCTGACCAAGAGAATGGAACATGCCCAAGTTGGAGTTTTTCGAGATCACAGTGCTCCTGTAGATAACGATGTGCTTTCCTTACTTCGTCACGCTTTGCCTTGACCTGATCAGTGGTGTCGAGCTGATCCCTTGTGGGTGTGCTCTGCTCTTGAGGAGGAGATGCGGGCTGAGGAGGCGACAATTGTGAGCGGATGTCTTCTTGCTGTTTTTGCGAAGAGGGTGCTGGGTCACCCTGGTCGTGTGTAGTCTGTGCAGTACTTTGCACTTTCAAATATTCATCTGGTTTAGTATCTGCCGTATTGGATTGTATTTCGTCGTCCACGCTGCTGGATCGGGTGGATTGAGTGGCGTTGTCATCTTCATACCGAGGGCGCTTACTCGGGCGAGAATCATTATTATCCGCGTCCTCAAGAATTCTACGCATACGTTTGTCGTGGGAAAAGTCGTTTCCCGAGCAAAGGTGGCCGAAGAGTCGTTCTATAGACACATTATCGCTCCATGAAGATTGTTCAACTGTGCATGGATGGATATCCTTTGGTCTAAACGCAGCGACGAGCTCGCATAGTTCCGAGTATGATGAATGACGCGAGTAGGGAAAGCGCTAGACGATGTTAGATAAGTCGTGTACCATAGTAGACAATGGAGACTCACAATTGAACTCGGTAGATTGGTCTTAGTACTTTGTGACCCTAGAGGTTCCTCGCCGGACAGATTTTGGCCGAGTTTCGTCACCAGTCGCTCAAGAGAAATTTCATCCTCCTCCTTGACGCCATATAGATCTAGCGACAGCGTTTTCTTTCTCGAGTTAAACGCTTTCGATATTGCTTCCTGCATCTGCGACAGGACGTCCTTATCTTGGATGTGTTGAAGGCATAGTTGCTCCAACTCCGCAAGAGCAGCCTTGTCCGGTAACTCAAGCTCATGAACCTGGTATAGATCACCAAGGCCCCCGCCAGCACCGACCTCGGGAATTTCACCTCCGTCGCTGGTACGATTCACGATAGGGGTGATGTAAACGGTATTTGACCCACGAGCTACGGGGCATGATACCCCGGGCTCGCAGCTATGTACTCGACCGGATTGATCCCCGCTCAAGCAGCCTGCAATAAACTTATTGCCAAGATCGTATCCACAGAGTGCTGGAGCTTCAGGGGTGGCTTTACTACCAGATAGACGAGAGAGAGATTGATAGAGACCCATCTGATAGCGATCCACGTGTACCTTGGCTGAGACTCAGAGGGGTTTCCTTAAGATCCAATTGTAGTTGAGAGACGGCATACCTGTGTATTGAGAGCTGCTGAAAGAGCGATCCATACTTCCTCATAACCAAAAGTCCATGATCTGAAGTAGAACACTGTGTCATCAGAATATGCATCCACTTTCTGCAAAAGCTCAGCGAGCCCCTGGGCCTTGGATGGAAATGTTCGAAAAGGATTTGATTTGCCAGCAAAGGTAGTATCAAGATACAGCTTGTCTAGTCGCTTCTTTCCTAAAGTGTATGGTATCAGAATGGGATGTCGCACTAGGCTGTCGATCCACCATCGCTCCGCTGCCTGATGTTAGTCCAAAAATGTATTCGATGGATGAGAGGATTTGGGGCTGACCTCGGATGTCGCCAGTATAGAGTATCGCTTTGCCGTCCCCCTCAATCAGAAACATCACAGCCCCGGGGCAGTGGTTGGCATCGAATAAAGTAACCCGGATTCGCCGCCGGGGCGTGAGTTCGATATCAGTCGGGGTGTGCAACGGAATGGGGCGCTATCAGTTTGTCAGTCGTGAACGTTGAAGCCGAGGTGTTGTTTACTCGGAAAGATTGTATGAGGGCAAAGAAGATATTCATTCGAGTAGCCTGAGTCATGGAAGACCGTTGATACTGATTTTCGGATTCCATATGGTAGGAAATGCCGGCGAATACTTTGAATTGCGTACACATCATAAGGTTCCCAACTGACCAATAGTTTACTGAGATGTTTGTAGTGTAACCGACGCGATTCTAAAATTCCCTTCTGAAAGTTCATTCGATGGGGAAATTTCTCAAGGCGTAACAGTAGCTGTGCAATGCCGGGTTAGTCGGAGATGTTTCATGTTTAGCAGCCAACTAGGCAAGGGTCTTGGAAGGATGGATCCACATCCCTGTCGGCTCCTGATTGCTATTTTGAGACCCCACGCGGCACATCGCTGGGTTTGCGATGATGGAGTGTCTGCAGGTCGACATAATTGGAGAGAGGGGTAGTGGGTACACATCTATCCTTCTAGACCCTTTGGAAGATTGGAAGATCCGAAGATCCAAGTCAACTCACCTCGCGGGTGGCGGAGGAGCAATAAATGAATGGAGCCCGAAAGGACTCTAGGCCCTGCAGATGGTCACTATGCACATGGCTCAGAAAGCAGGCCAGCGGTGCCGGTCGCGCAGGGCTTTTTCGAAAGTAATCGACTGCAGATAATCATGATCAGCTGGCAAATCGTAAATCGTCAAGATGACCCGTTGAAAGTGGTGGTGGCAAGGCTGACTTGTAATATCAGGGAATTCTGTAAACAATGAGAAAACCGTATTCATTCAAGAGAAGAAAGAGCAGGGGTAAAATAGCCAACCTGGGAGGACCCCATCAAAGGTCGACATGGGTGATGTGGATGTGGATGTGGATGTGATGTACTTTAGTAGATTGGGGGTGAGTTGGAAAGGTGAAGGAGAACCCACTCAGTCGGGTCCAACTCAGTCCAGCTGGCCGTGCAGTGCCAGCGCACGGGGAAGGCAGGAATGCGGTGGCACCTTCGCACCATTCGCACCTTCCCTCCTTTGTTGGACTCGTCACTTTTTCTTTTCTCACCTGACTTCTTCTTACACTTTGATATCTTCTTTCTTATTCCCATTCACACTCCCACTCCCCCTCCAATTCCACCCCCATGGCAAATGTTTGGTGGATTTCATTCCCCTAGACTCTAGACCATCAGCCCCACAGCTAAACGCCCTTCCAGATCGTATCCGACCTCTTCACCCCCCTCCCCTAAAACAAGAGGCGGGTGGACGGCGGCTCGCCTCGTTTCAGACAAGCGGCTGAGACTCGCTGTGAGGACACGCCAGCGCCATCTCTTCCCTCATTTCCAATTCACCTCTCTTCTTCAATTCCTCTTCTCTTTAGCTCTCCGCTCTTCCTTCTCACCCGTCATGCGGAAACCATCACTCGCCCAGGCCGTGTATAATGCGACCTTCCCGCGCCCACGCGCCAGCGACCCCGGCTCCTTTGCGGCGCATATCACTCGCAATCTCGTCCCAGAAGTGCGCATTGAAACAAATACCTTCTACGGTCCCTTGGATTGCATTGAGGCACAATATCCCGGTTTGGATTACTCCTATGGCCCGCATCGCATGAGACTGGGTCGGTTTACTTGGCATCGCAGACTCTTTCACGTCTTTGATAAGCTCCGACTAACAGAGGCCGAGATCTCGGAGCTCTGTTGCTGGGAAGGGACCAAATCTGCTCGGCGGCGATATGAGGCCGAGGAAGGAATTACTGTCCGAGACACTACAGCTAGTGGGGTACGACCTGCGACACCGGCCCGAGAACCTTCAGTTGAGATTCACCACTACGATTGTTGCGGGCCAGAAGAAGAGTTCGAGCTGGATCTCGATCTCGACCTCGACCTCGACCTCGACCAGATCATAGAGACTCGTAGCGACGACACCGTGCGCGCGAGCGAGTCTCGTAGCAGTTCGAGTGTGGCCTCGGAGTATCGACACGATTTTGAGGAAGACTACAGTGATGATGAGATGGAGAGTTGCGGCGTAGCCCTGAACCAACGCTTGCTGGACGCCATGGCCGCGCGCGATCGAGGAGCTGATGTGCCCCTTGACGAGGATTGGGAGCAATGGCTGAAGGAGGCTGGTGAGCGTGGAGGGTACGGCGACATGGTGCATGCGATCCGCACCAATCAACCCCTGGGCTTCCTTCCCGAAGCACCGACATCAATACGACACAGCGATTCTCGTATTACTACACCGCGGGCGGCCACATTATCTGCAGAGCAGTATCTCTTTCCAAATCCGGCTGATTACATCGTCTTCCCCCAGACTTCAAATCGCCGCACACACGGCACGGCGCGTTGAAGCAGTTTCTTTGCTGCAAAACGCACACCTTGCCCCAACCCCCTCCCCAAAACATCGCCACCAACGTATTTTTTACGAGACATCATGGCTGCATTCTCCGGCGCATTCTCGCATTTTCCTTCGCATCCTTATTTCCCGGCGGACTAGCCCTTTGCAGCCCATTTCCAGGTTTTCTTTTATAGCTATTCATGTGTTCCGCTTTGGTCTCAAAGCTGCACATAGATATTCTCAAGTTGCAGTTGTCGCAAAGCGATAGCATACTCTGTGCTCTAATACCCTCGGTCTTTGCACCATTTATTTTCGTTTATTCAACCCAGTAGGTTCCAAGGTTACTTACTACCATCGCTATTGAATCCAACGTAACTATCAGATGATGTATGTCAGCAGTAGATTTCTACTATATCTTCAGACTTAGCTTGAAGCAAATCAAACCAACCCCGATATTCTAAGATATATTCAGATACAAAATATAATACTAGTTTGGATGTAGATGTCCGTCCTCTGTCCAACTTGAACTACGAGTATTCCTAAGGTTCCTATATGCCGCACTGGCAGCTATCGTGGGTCCACCGATAAGCCTCTCCCTTCTCCACCTCCACCTCCGAGTCCCCTCATCGCCAACTTTCCCCGACTCCCAGGCGCAATGCTGTGGACTACTGTCTGGCCGAGTTGAATTACAAGTCGGATTGAAAATTGAGTAATCTCTCACTTTCACACTACCCTGCTCCATGCTGCAGACCCCATCCCTAGCTCCGATCGTCGCACCGGCTTCACGATGATCAAGGCAATCTTCTACAGCAAATTCGACACACAAGAGGGTAAGGCTAAACCAACTCAACCCCCTTGTCGCATTTTCCGAGCACTAACACAAATCTCATCTAGGTCCGAAAGTCGTCCACCAAGTTCCCGACGGAGCGATTGTTCCATCCTCGACCGCACCCGCACAACCCCTCTTCCTGCCCTTCTCCGACGTCTCATTCTTCGTGATTCCTCGCCAGGAGCTCTGCGGCAATCTGCTGCAGGTCTGCACCAATGGCTATCGCATCTTGGGTTATCCGATCTGCATGAAGTCCGCCCGTTATGACCGCAATGAGTTCATCTTCAACTTTTGCATAGTGCTCGCCGAGGAGGACGATTTCAGCACATATCGGAGCGTGGTGCAGAAGCTTGCTGATCTGATGCATGCTCTGGAAGAGCAGAATGGCTTCTTATCTCGAGACTTTTCAAAAAGTGGGGAGGGCAAGGTGCACAGTTTGTGTGAGATGTTGATGGAAGACCTCAATAACTACTGCGAATGCATGATCCCTATCGGTAGGTCGGCCGCTTTTTTTTCATTCTCACCGGCTTGGACTAATCGCCAGCAGACGATCTTAATACGCTGAACATTAAATTGTTCCCCATATACCCATCTCCTCCGAGTGTCAAGGCGTGGCATGTTCCTCTGTTTACAGTTCGATACCAGGCCTTTATGGATGAGAATTGGGACTTGACTCTGCAACGGGTATGTAAAAGCTACTGTGGGAGAGGAGATACCCTCAACTAACCCCTTGTACAGATTGTACCACATATAAATGGCGTCAACAGTGTCCGCATCATCTCCATTCTCGCTGATACAGACTTCTCTCTCACATGTCGTGCTATCCGACATCTTCTATACTATGGATGTTTATTCATCCTCGACATCTTCTCATTCTCAGCTATCTATGCCCCAACAGCGCAATTCAGCTCAGCCATATCCTCAGACGAATCGATGCAACTAGAATGTGCACGCTATGTAAACACACGCTTTGCACCACATCCTCCCATCGGGCCCCGAACACCACTCCCACCAGCACCAGCAGCCACAAGCGGCGGGAGTGGCGGCGGAGTCAGCGCATTAGCAAGCTCGCTCACCGACCCAGCAGCCAGCATATCCCGCGACGAGTCAGGCTTCGACGCAGAAGAGATCTGGCCACTACTAGGCGAGACGGAGGACGGAGGAACCAACGGCACCGGCAAATCAATTCCGAGCTCAAATTCACCCGAAGACGAGGTAGTAGTCCCAGCTACACCAGGGCAAGGGCACCGAGTCGTTGATGGCGTTGGAATCGTCGAGCTATACGCAAGCTTAAAGCAAGGCCAAAGCGTCAAACAGTGGTATTCAACCCACAGCCGCGAACTAGCCAACATCGATATTCGTCGCTTCATCACATTCGGCGTCATAAAGGGCTTCCTGTACCGTGTTCATAAATATGCTTGTGCAACTGGTCAACCCGCGCCGTCGACTCGTTCTTCTAATATTTTACCACCGGCGCATATTTCGACCGGTCCGTCTTCACGAGCTGCCACGGGTACTAATACACCCTATGCTGCATCTAGTGCTGGTGACGAGACGCCTATTTCGGCGGCGGCCCGTCGAGACGCGAGTCGTGAGCGGTCGGGGTCTTTTCATAGTGGGAGTCGGAGTGGGCAGGGGGTTGGGGTGTTTGAGGAGGAAGATGATGATGAAATTGATGATCGGACGATATCGAAATATTTGGATGGTACGCACTCGTTTGATCAGATTTGTACGGAGTTGGAGATTAGTGAGCGGGATTTGACGGTTCGGTTGAAGAGGTATCCTGGGGAAGTTTTGATACTTCATCGGTGATGTGGCATTTTGCTTGGACGGTGCTTTCTAGATGTAGTGATCGTCTTAGTGGTTTTTATAAATGATTGATACCCTTGAGTTTATGAATATGAGCTTCTATCAACCACTGACAGCTTTGGCCGAGGCAACCAAGGATGGCAAGACGAAAGGGAATACTCAACCCTGTTCCGTGATTGGACAGGCTTGAATTTGACACGAGGGAATTTACATTTGATGTTGATTGTAGGATCTATTCTGAAGATAGACACATTATTGCCCAGAGTACCTCCCAGCCAGGCCGAATATGCAAAGACAATGAACTCAATTAACCCGCAGAATCAAAGCACAACAACAGAAAAGGTATTCGCAAACGCCGGGCCCAGCCCATCATTCCAGTCATATCGTAACATGTTTGCGACAATGGGGAGAAAATCGTCACAAAGGGGGGGGGGGGGGAGATCTAGAAGCCGAAAGCCTCTAAGATTGTAGGCTATTACCATGCGCAGCATCTACTCCTCATCCCACGCCTCCAGTTCCGCCTTCTCGTATTCAGCCATTGTCGCCTGATCAAAGATCGTCTCTCCTTCCGAGGGGATAGTAGTCTTGATATCTTCGAAGATAGGCAAGAAAGCATCATTCCATCGCTTACGGCGATCCATGACAATTTTAGCCGCATCGCCGACAGCAGGGCGTGAAACGCCCGCACCGGCAACATGACTACCGCCACCGGCACCGCCAGGACGATGTTTAGCCTGGGAGCCCTTCTTGCTCTTGCCCATGGTTCGGGTGCGCTTCAGATACGCCTGTTGAACCTGTGAGTCCAAGTCGTCTTGGATGGTGGTAAATTCCAGCAAGGCCATGTGTTCCTGAGCAATTTTCATCATGCGAGCTTTGCGCGCGTTGTTGACGACTATTTGCTTCTTCAGCTCGCTCTGAAGGAGACGGAGGCGTTCGGAAACCTCGTCGTCGAAGTGTGCGTCGTAATCGGGGTTATCGTCCGGTCCTAAGAAGCCGATGTAGCGGAGTTCTGCCTTGGCGCGTTCGTCAAGTTGGGCGTGGTCGAGTTTGGCGACGGAGGTCTTGAATCCCGTTGGAGAGGCATCGCGGAAGGCTGTTGCGGGAGGGAGAGGCTTTTCCCCTGGCTTTGAATCTAGCTCGCCGTTGGGCTGGTCCAGGTCCATTGAGTCTCCGCCCAATCCACTTGTTGTAGGTAGGTCTCCGTTGGTCGATCCAGCATTATCTTTGTCCTCGGGGAGCGTGCGGTGTTCATAGCGTAGCAAAGAACAGAGTCGACTGATGAGGGGTCCAATTGAAACTTCATTGGTCTCGGCCTTTTCGTCTGTCAGGGTGTCTATGCTGCCGCGCCCTTGGTTCAAGGGGAGTTGATCCTTGTCGTCCTGGTCCTGGTCGTAGGAAACGCCGTCCTCTTCCGACCATATTTGACGGTATGACTTCTTTGACCGGCGTGGGTTCATGAATGGTGTTACTCGATCGCCCTGTATTCGGTCAGCGATTGGGTCATTGGATTTAAGTCATTCGGTAAAGCTTACCCTTTCTCTCAGCCACGCAATATCTTCTTCCGTCAGAGGCCGGACATACGGCTCAATGTACGCCAGGAAGGTGTTGGCGCTAACTTGGTTGGAAGGCTTGGCGTTGCTGAAGTCTTTGTCCGGGGCAATACCTGCCATCATGTGGGCAAGATCGCTCTTGGGGAATACCGCAACACTGTAGATTTGCTTCTTCTCCTCGTCTGTTGTCTCGGGGAAAACATCGCGAATGTGGTAGACGGTCGGGTCGTCGAACTTGACTGGGTTTTCGCCGAATACTTGGATCTGGGGTATGGAGGGTTGTGGTTCGGGTTGGTGAGAGCTGTCGCTGGATTCTGAGCCGGGACTGCCAGGAGCTTCATCCCCGTCGGCGCCAGTCGTAGCACCGTTGGGGGACAGCATTGAGGGTGGAGAAAGGGAAGAGCTTCCTTCCGAGGCTGCGTGTTTGGAATTTTTCGATACTGGGGAAGCAGCTGGGTTTGGTCAGTCAATCGGACATGGTGGAAGAATGAATACTGGGCAGCAAGTGATGCGACAAATTTGCGGGGTGGAGAGGTGGTGGGCAAGAGTGGAGTGACCTCAATGACAATGAGTGCTGGTATGTTAGAACTCGCTTACCTCCTTCAACTTTGGTTTCTGCTCCGTCCTGACGCGCCACGTCATGGGCACCATGGTTTAAAGGTCGTTCTTCTTTGCTTGCCCGCTCTTTGCGCTTCTTGGTCTTTTTGTGCACGAGGTCATCTTCCTCTTCCGTCTCGCGCTTGAGCTTCGCCCGATCCCCAACCTCACGGGATAGCTCCTGGTCTTCTACCACATCTTTTCTCTTGTGTACCATTTCACGCATGCCTTGATTACAGGTCTCCCCGCGAGAATCCGCCAGGTCGCTGAGACTGTTAAGATGCTCCACCAAAGCTTCCAGGGTTTTGGAATCGGGAATATCGGGACCAGCAACCAAGTCAAGCATCTCAGCATATTGGCCATTGGCCGCATCGATGAGCTTTGTTACATCGCTTTCAAGGTAGCTCGGTAATTGAGCTGTCTTCCCAGGAGCGCCACCTGCCGTAGATGGAGTTGTATTGCGGCTGCGAGATTGGCGCGGATCGCGGCCTTTGCCTTTGCTTTTGTAGGCGGAAGGCATCGTGTAGTGTTATTCTATGAGTCACGCTTGGCTTCTTCAAGGGATATGACACGGGAGGACGAAAGAAGGCGTGAAACGATGAGTGGGAGGGTCGGAGGGTCGGAGGGTCGGAGGGTCGGAGGGTCTTAGAGGGTGTTGATGGTAGTCGAATAACGCATGCTGTTAGACACGGATAATCGCGATTCAATTTTCATGAACCAGAAGACTCTATCCAATCTTCACATGAGCCAAATGAAGCCAGACGCGAATGTAGCGATGATCCGATGACGGAGACTCAGCTCTGCTATGGTGTGTACTGGCGGCGCCTTGATCTGGGGGAGCTACACGTGATCGCGCATCGCGATACCTGGGCGGTGACGATCTGCAGAATTGGTAATATGCGATCATGATTCAGCGCCAAGACTAGTCATGCCTGAGGCCAAACGTACTCTTCTTCCGGTACTGTGAGAAGTATAACAGCAAAATGAGGGATAGTCAATATCAAAGAATTACAGATGCCGGGATTGTTCCAATTTTCCATCAGACAACTTGAAAAGAATATCTTAACTAAGTAAGAGCAAAAAATTACAGGTCTAAACCATGCCTTCTCAGGCCACTAGTCATATAGATATATTTTCGCATAGTTCAAGTCCAAGGTTGGGGCCAGAGTCATTCAGTAATTCACGACGCCAGCATAGTAATAATAGTAGCTAGTATGACCTCAGTATTTAAACAAAGCGAGAGATTCAAATATGATGATAAATTGAATACAATACCTGCTAGTAATCCTCTACTCCCGCAAGCAGCATCCGCAAACGGATTGCCCGATCCGGCCGTAGATCCCTACTATAACCTCAGCCCCCACAACCCTAAAGGGTGAACAATCTATGGCAACAGAGGCCAAGATCGGTCAACACGCAATCATTCCAGTTGATCGCAGCCTGTGTTTCCCTTTTTCCCACCATGGAAGCAAGCCTCCCCGGTGATTTTGCCTCGTGGTTTCTCAGCCTTGCCCGCATTCTTTAGACGGATACGATTTCCCCTTACATTCTTTGGGGCCGTCGTCGATGCGAAGATGGCCATAGTGTCCCTTTTGGGATTCGGAGTCGCCGCGACCGACATCCCATCGAACTAAGCAAGATTTCTCAAAATGAATACCCTTCGCAATCTTTCTTGTTCTCACTTCCATCATACTTCCACGACGAACCATGCTCCTACACTTGCATGTTGTCTCCATTGATTGACCCCATGCAATGTTTACCTCTGAACAACTTCACAACTACAGCATATTTTAAAGACCGATCACAACTATGTCTCGCACTGCCCCACCCGATTCGGAAGCCACTATCGCCACGTTATTTGCAGGCCCTGGCAGCGCCTCTAATTCCACCTCCTCGGTTAGTGTAAGTATAGCCTCAACCCTGGCGAGATATGAAGAATGTCTGGAGGCTTATACGAGAGAAAAATGTAGGAGAATGTGGGATTTCGATTCGTTCTCGACCGCACGGTCCAAACACTCTCCAGCAACGGCGTCCCCGACTCTGGCTCCGTCTCGGGTCTGTTATTCGTTCCTAGCCTCAGCCCGAAAGATCCGTGCAATAAAGAACTCGCTTCGTTTATCCCATCCAATGTGACGCGGCATGAAGACGTTTCAGAATTTGGATATCCGGTCATCGGACTCGCCCCATGGGTATCTGACGACTGCACTCAAAAGTTCTTAGCTGCCTCACGAGATGCTGGCACAACAGCTCTTGTTTTCTTCGAGCCAAACAATAATAAAACGGGACTCCCGCCCCCTGCCTCAGACGATAATTGGAAGTTAAAAGACGAACGTTGGAGAAGCGACAACGAATTCCCTGTCTACGCCATTCCAGGACCTGCAGGTACAACTCTGATGGGGGAATTGTCGTGGTTCTCAGACGGACAATCCAAGAACTCAACTAATAACCGAACTCGGACCACTCGGAGTCACGAGAGTGATCGATTGTTCACCATGATTGATACAAGTAAGTCTCCACTCTAGATGTGTTGGATTTACTGAGGCTAATATGTTCCAGACACAACACCAAACCAAGAGCCTAGCCTCTGGAGCTTCGTGCTCGCAATCCTTGGGACAATAGTTGGACTTACTCTCGTCCTTCTTATTCTCTATCGAATCATTCAACGCAAACGACGAGAGATGCTTCGTGAACGCATCAACTCCGGAGAAGTCGACATCGAGCAGCTGGCTTTGAATCAACTTAAGGTCCCGAAAGAAACCGTGGATAAGATGCCGATGTACACCTATCTGGGCTTCACGGCAGATCCAGAGGTAGATGCTCCCAAAACTCCCGTGGAGACGGAGACCACAGAGGTCGACTCGAGCAGCACCACCTCCACGCCAACTTTGACCGAAGGACGGAGAAGCACAGAAAGTGACGGTGGGATTAGAAAACCCGAACCAGCTGTGCTAAGGCCAGACGCCAATGACTCAGATGGCTCAAGTTCGTCGAGGAATCCCTTCCGGCTGAGCCATACCCAAACCACCTGCGCCATCTGCCTTGACGATTTTATTGCTGGGACATCAACAGTTCGGGAACTACCCTGCGGTCATATTTTTGACCCTGGATGCATTGATGAATATCTCACAGAGACGAGCAGTTTGTGTCCTCTCTGTAAAAAGAGTGTTTTACCATCAGGGTCATGTCCGATCCCAGTGACGAACGAGATGGTTCGACAGGAAGCGGCGACAAGGAGAGGGCGAACTTAGTTGCATATAAGGAGTGGAGGGGATGAGAGATTGGAAATAGTCAGCATCAGTGAATACTTAGCGAACTGTGTTTTTGTGTTCTTTTCCTCAGGCAAATATGGAGAGGAATTCTTTGCATTGCATGGAGCGTTGTGATTTGAAGGATATCTTGTGTGACTGGGTGTGCATGTTGAGACATTGTATCTAGAAATGATAGAAGGAAAGCCAAAAAAAAAGCCTCTCTAGCATGATAAAATCTTGTCAGAGTACTAGAATCAAGCCCATCTGCTGGGCTATAGATATTCCCGAGGAGATAACTAGAAACGTCGTGGGTGTAGTATAGTACGGAGAGCACCCGTACTGTAGAAATCGAAAAAATGACACCTGAGGCATCAACATAGAATGTGGGACCCACACCAGTCAGCTGATTGGCAGAAATCCAACACTCGGCTAATCGCTAGCGTCCCACACACAATCCTCGCACCTCGACTTTGGTAAAGACTCCTTCTCGAACTTTTCTCAGTTGCGACAACGACAACCGACGACCCTGCTCAGCCGACAAGGTACGATACCGCACACTCCTGTCTCTCTCAATTGCCATCGCCATCGATTTCGCCATTTGTTTCCAGTCACTGACTTCAATTCTGTCCAGATGGGTGCCCTCAAGTACGTCGAAGAGATCCAGAAGAAGAAGCAGTCCGATGTCATTCGGTTCTTGCTCCGCGTTCGCTGCTGGGAGGTGAGATAAAACCCCTGCGACCCCCTCGATTGCCTAACATCTCCGCCGAGAACACGTATACGTTAGCCATGATAATACCGCCAAAGTGGTAATTACTGGGCAACCCGAACGATACTCATTCGGCGGAAATGATTTTTTTGTGGCACGAAAAGACTCCCTTGAGGGCCTGTGTCTTGCTATACACTCGTTGAACTTTGCTGAGAGTGCATCAATATAGCTCCGCCAGCTGAACGCCATCCACCGTGCTTCGCGCCCCTCCCGCCCCGACAAGGCTCGCCGTCTCGGTTACAAGGCCAAGCAGGGCTACGTCGTCTACCGCATCCGTGTCCGCCGCGGTGGCCGTAAGCGCACTGCTCGCAAGGGTGCCACCTACGGCAAGCCCACCAACCAGGGTATCAACCAGCTCAAGTACCAGCGTGCTCTGGCCGCTACCGCTGAGGAGCGTGTTGGCCGCCGCTGCGCCAACTTGCGTGTCCTGAACTCCTACTGGATCAACCAGGACTCCACCTACAAGTACTTCGAGGTTATCTGTGTCGACCCCCAGCACAAGGCCATCCGCCGTGATGCCCGCATCAACTGGATCTGCAACTCCGTCCACAAGGTGAGTCCCCGGAATATACGCTTTTTCTTCCCAACGGGGGAGTGTTTATTTGGATTGTACTGATCAAGTTTTTTCTTCCCAACAGCACCGTGAGGCTCGTGGTCTTACCGCTACCGGCAAGAAGTCCCGTGGTATCAACAAGGGCCACCGCTACAACAACACCAAGGCCGGCCGCCGCCACACCTGGAAGCTCCAGAACACCCAGAGCTACTGGCGTTACCGTTAAGTGCGTTAGTGCACTGCGGTGGTTTGGGTTGGAAAATATTGGCTGCATGTGGTTATCTCTTCGAACACTTCTCGCCCGTACCGTGTCTATCACGCCGGGACCGAGTTTAATGCAGACCGGCAGGTTCTGTTTTTAGCCAAAAAGCCATTTTGTTTTATGTTGAATTCCCCCTTGTTTAACGAAGTATGACCGGTTCAACTCCTCCTGGCGCCATTGCTTGTAAGACTGGCCAATGCTAGTTTCTGTAGATGTAGATCGGCCTGGAGGTTTCTATGGCCAGTCTGCGTAAGCGGTAATGGTGTGCTTGACACTGGTGGTAACGTGATTTGCAGTTACGGAACCAATACGTAGCGTATTTACGGAAATTGAACCGCCCAGGCTATCCATTGTAGCAATCAGATGCAAGTGAACTGTACTATGTACTGAGTACAAATCCTTTCCATTGCAGATCCTGAATACTTCACCCAGCAGACCTGTGGTGTGGCTAAAGATAGAAGTCAGTGACTTTGTGGCCTGAGGCCTGAGGCCTGAGGCCACAACTCAGACTCGTACCTTCCCTGTTAGCAGTGCCGCACTCGTATTACAATACTGCGCGCACCCCACCTGGCGGTGAGGGTGCGCGTCACAATTAGAACAATTGTCAGAATTAGAACAAATTGAAACTATTTACAACGTTTTTCAACGCACTGGATTTGAATCGAACCAAAAAAGTAATCCACCCTCTCGGGCAGCTTTTTCCGCATCTAATGATGCCTGCTTTGCCTGTGAAACCTCTGTTGCTGTTGGTTGGTTGAGCTTGTGGCCTATTCGTTTTGCAGCTTGTTTTGCGACCTTTGTTGCTTCCTTCTCCTTTCTGGCTTTAATTGAGTAGTTGGCATCACGTACACTCAGTATATTAGAGCCAGAGAGTGGCTTTACCTGTCGCTTGTGAAACTGGCGTTGTAGAGGACGACGTGCAGCTGATATACGACGAACAATATCTTTGGTTAATGCTGCGTGTTCTATGATAACACCCTGATGTTTCAGAACTCGATTTAACCCTCGCTGAAGCTTTGGGGATATTCTCTCTTTTCTGAATAGCTTCTCCAGCTTCCGATGATTCCTTTTGGCAGCTTGTATTGATTTTGGAGGTGAATTCTCAATACTGGATGATCCAGGTTCAGGAGGAGGTGGTGTATGCTCTTCTCCGTGTAGTCGTAGCTGAGATGTATCGATATCAAGGTCCTCAGAACTTATTGGAAGCTTCATACGAAGCTTCTTAACAATATCTTTGCCATTGACTGGGAAAATACCACGTTCTTTAAACGAATCTCGGATAATTCGAGTGTTGAAAGTACGGGCGCGTACTCTGGTGATGACTCTTAAGAACTCTGATTTACCAGCCGGCATACCTGCAAAGTACGACATCTCATTATTAACCACCTTGAAATGCTGTTTATAAGCCAAAAAAGGCTTGCCATCAAGAGGCTGAGATATATGAGTTGTATGAGGCTCAAATGCGATTGGTAAAATCTCATATTCCTGACATTTTTCGAGGAATTCAACCGTAAGATGAGAGTTATGACCATCAAAGATCATAATACGCTTCTCATTAGGTTCTACTCGCTCTTTTGTTGCTTCCTGGAAGTGACCAAGCCACTCAAGAAGTAGTTCATCAGAAATCCAGCCATTTGGAGAGACTGCTGTAAGTGTACGTGGTGGAAGGCCCTCGCTGTTGTCATACCAAACTTCTTGGAAGGTGGTACCTTTAAAAACGAACAACGGGTCCATAAACCAACCATCTGCAGCAATACACTCTAGAGCAGTAATAGTCTCTGAATGCTCGTTTTCTCCAAGATCAGGCCCTCCTTCCTGCCCTAACACTTTTCGATTCTTGCCTTTTCCTGGTTGGAAACCACATTCGTCAAAGTTGTATACCAACCGTGCTGGGGTATTCTTTTTGATCACATTTTTCAGCTTCATATACCACACATCGAGCTTCCATGCGTCCTCTGCCTTAATACGCTTATACTCCTTCGTTCTCTGCTTCACTGGCGATAGTTTCACATCCTCTGGCAAACGCTTAATAAAGCGATAAGCCCAGCGATCGCCTAAGATATGATCTGAGCCTGCGCGAACTAACGAGAGCTGCGCCATCTCATGGAGCAACGCCGGGGTTACTGGCATATGATATTTGTTCAATTCCACAATCCACAGAATCAAGGCTTCCTCCTGAGTATTATCAAGAGCTCGATTTTCAGGTTTTGGTGCTGTACGAGGCTGTTTACCCTGGCGGATGCGTCCCCGCAATACCCCATATGAAACACCATATTGCCTCGCGATTTGCGACAAATTCGGGTTTTCAAGGAGACTGGCGGCTTCGCAAGCCTCAGCCACACGAGATTCGTCAATTTTGGGTCGATACGGCATAATGGTGGATGGTAATAGCTTCACGAAGGCTGGTTGTGTGAATTTGTTCTAATTCTGACAATTGTTCTAATTGTGACGCGCACCCTCACCGCCAGGTGGGGTGCGCGCAGTATTGTAATACGAGTGCGGCACTGCTACCGCTAGCCGCCTTCCCAATCCGTCCAGGGCGACTATGAGATGCTACAACAACCTCCTCTCACTGCTGACACTCTTCACTCTTTGTCTTTCGTCTTTGACATCTTTCAATCGCTCACCGCAATAAATACCTCCTCGTTCTCGCTCAAGCACAAAGAACACCTCCTCACCCTCACACTCGCCCTCGGCTCATTTCCTTATCGTCAACTTCCCCACGATCCATTTGCATGTCCCTCGTTCTCGAACCAAGCTCTATAAATTGGCCCCCTGTCCAATATAAATCGTCCTGGCTATTCCAATAGCTACAGGCGTTCAAATGTGCCCCGATGTCCTCTCGATCCGGACGTAATCCGCCGATTCCCTCCCACTCCAACCCCGACTTCGGTGGCCTCCTTCCTTCGATCCCTTCCTCGAGTTTGGCGACAGAGCGTTCTCTCCGCCGGCCGATCGAACCTCACGATGCTTCAGCCATGTCGAAACTAAATGGTGACCCGAATAACTCATACCGCCGCGGTCACCACCGCTCAATCAGTCATCCGTTCACCTCGGCGTTGTCGAGTATTGGCAAGAAGCGTGACAAGGCAGCACCCAAGCACGACAAGTACGACAAAGAAGTCAAGTGGGATTCAGATTCAGACTCCGATGAGATCACATACCCGGCTAAACCAATATCTTCGAGCCCCCGGAAAGATTCAACCAAAGCGGGCCCAAGTAATGGCACCGCCGAAACTAAATGCGGGACCTGCAACTCGACTGTTCGGTGGCCACAGCATTTGAACGTGTTTCGATGTAGTGACTGCCTTATGATCACCGATCTTGAACCGGATACAGTTAGGGAAGCTAAGAATGCAGGTGGTCCCGAGGTGGAAGATCGAGGGCATCGAATCCGTGGAGACCGTCCTCCGCACTCTCATTTAAATCCAAAGGAGGCTCATGTTCCATTTGCCCCTCCCGAATTTATGGCTGGTAAAATATCCCTCATTTCTCGAGCTTGCAAGAATTCGACTGACCCGGTCGATAGAATCACTTGTATCTGCAAATCGACTTGGTGGCATGATTGATGGATGTCTCTCGAAATATTTTGATAGCCTCCTCGATGGTACTCAGCATGGACCAGCACCCGATGAGAACCGCACCGGTAGACTGAATGTCCCGATAGTTCAGGATGGTACAAATCTACCAACCAATGACTCTCGTGGTGGCCGTCTACCGCCCCCCAGGAGGATCCGCGCAGTCGCAGCACATCGGCTTCCAGTGAACATGGAAGGATCTATGGCACTAAGGAAAAGCCCAAGTTCCTGATACCACATAAGGGTAATTTGGAGGAAAAGCCTTTGCCAGATTTGCCGATTAGGGCTCGTGCAAATTCGGACTTGCGCTCGCATCCAAGACCCGGCCGTCGCCCCTCTGATACGCCTGGACCTCCAGATTCGGGGAGTCCGGACAAAGACGACCAGCTTCGCATTTTCAAGCGTCTGGAGAACTACATCATTGCTGCATTTAAGGGTAGCAATGTTATGAACAACTCTTTCCCCACATATCAGCCATCAATTCGATCTGCTAGCAGTGGTAACCCACCGCGAATGAAGATGGACCCCATCAAAGAGGTGGATCCGATGTTTAATGTTCCTGTCTTTGAACCTGATGCCAAAACTCTCCTTTTGGGAGATGTGGCCGAGAACTCTACTTGGTGGATGACGGAATGGGCACAAGCCGAAGGACAAGTTCACAAGCCCTCCAAAGAACAAGGGTCTCACAGATCTCGCGCAGTGTCTTCCCGAAGCCCTCGTGTGAACTGGGCAGAAGTCAACCAGTGGTATCACTTAATTCTGACGGCCGGTAGCTCTTGGAATGAACAATGGACCAAAAAGAAACCTGACCCGAATCGCTCAGAGGCTGACCGTGTGCGAACCAAGAAATGGGAATCAGTTGATCTAGCATCTATCGAGAACGAGATCACGGATTCTCGTCTGCACCTCCAACGGACATTGATGAAGGCCACCGAAAATCTTTTGAAACGTCCACGTTCCATCTTGAAGAAGCCTGAGGATACTAGGTTCTTGTTCATACTGCTTGCGAACCCCTTATTGTCCTCACCAGGTGCATACTCGCATGTGCGAATGACACAGACTTCTAACCGTGACGATCGTCGTCCTTCAAACCCTAACAATGTCCGGTCAACCGCCAGAGACGGAAGATCGGCAGGAGAGAGCCTGCTGCTACTGCCTCAAGCCACAGCAGCTCCAACCACCATTACGGCGTCCTTAAACGAATCCTCGGATTACTGGCTAATCTCCCAAATGAAGCGCATCATACGTTCATTTCCTGGTTTTCTCGATTTTCGCCCAAACAATTCGAAAGGCATGTGGACCTGATAGGTGGCTTTGTTAACTATCGACTTACCCGCCAGCATGGTCGTAAGCGTACCCAAATCGCTGGGAACACTAAGGATGGCGATGAGCTTGTTCCAAGTTTTGCTAGCGCTGCTGGAAATACACCGGCCGAGCTGCATGCTGCCATTAATCGACGAAGCCCTCAAAAGAAACCGACCAAGAAGAAAGAGGCACCTATCATTTATGCAGAAGACTGGCAGATTCGTGCGGCGGCAAGAATAATGTCTCTGCTTTTTGCTGCAAACAGCAGTAACTATTCGCGCAGACCAGATGGCATGGAATCAAAGGCACGCCACCGGACCGAAGCTGGAGCAAACAGCCAAGCACGCCAGCAGGGATATATGGTCTCCATTGATTCATTTTACAACACACTCTTGGACTACTCTGACTTGATCGGGGACTTTGAAATTTGGGAGTCAAAAAGCTCGAAATTCTGCTTCTGCAGGTATCCTTTCTTCCTCAGCATCTGGGCAAAGATTCGGATCATGGAGCACGATGCTCGCCGCCAGATGGAAGTGAAGGCCCGAGAAGCGTTCTTCAGTAGCATTCTAAACCATCAGGCAGTCAGCCAGTATCTTGTCCTGAAGGTTCGACGGGAATGTCTTGTCGAGGATAGTCTTCGTGGAGTGAGCGAGGTGGTGGGAACAGGGCAAGAAGAAATCAAGAAGGGTCTACGGATCGAATTCCTAGGAGAGGAAGGTGTTGACGCTGGTGGCTTGCGGAAAGAATGGTTCCTCCTGCTGGTACGGGAGGTGTTTGACCCGGACCATGGTAAGTAACATCATTCTGAGCTTGGAAGAATATTTCTAACAATTTCCAGGTCTTTTCATCTACGACGAGGACTCGCAGTACTGCTACTTCAACCCTTACTGCTTTGAATCATCCGAGCAGTTCTTTTTGGTCGGAGTCCTGCTGGGGCTTGCAATTTACAATTCGACCATCCTTGATATCGACTTGCCGCCTTTCGCGTTCCGGAAACTACTGTCGACAGCTCCCCAGACGAATGCACCGCCAACAGCCAATTCCCGCCGGACGAGGTTCAAGTTTACGCTGGAGGACCTTGCAGAGTATCGACCAGCCCTTGCCCGAGGACTTCGTGGCTTGTTGGACTTTGAAGGTGATGTTGCAGAAACATTTTGCTACGATTTTGTTGCCCAAGTTGACCGGTATGGAGAAGTGGTGAACATTCCTCTGTGCACAGGGGGCGAGAAGCGAGCAGTGGACAACGATAACCGTGGCGAGTTCGTTGAACTATACGTCCACTATCTTCTTGAAACAGCGGTGGCTCGACAATTTGAACCGTTCAAGCGTGGCTTCTTCACTGTCTGTGGTGGTAACGCTTTGTCACTTTTCCGACCTGAAGAGATCGAGCTACTTATACGAGGCTCGGACGAACCACTTGATGTGCTGTCTCTACGCGCGGTAGCCACCTACGATAATTGGAAGTCTCATCGACCCGAATCCCTTCCCGTCGTGCAATGGTTTTGGGAATTCTTCGAGGGCGCTCCGCCTGAGGCACAGCGAAAACTCCTTTCATTTATTACTGGTAGTGACCGCATCCCCGCAATGGGGGCCACAAGCCTCACAATTAGACTCGCCTGCATGGGAGATGATTGTTCTCGCTATCCGATTGCGCGTACCTGCTTCAATACGCTCGGTTTATATCGGTATACAAACCGGGACAAGTTTAGACGACTGCTCTGGGACGCAGTCGTGAACAGCGAAGGATTCGGCCTGAAATGATCCTCTCCCCCGTCTGCTCCTGGTCGAGCGACCATGATTTTATGATTACTTGTGCATTGTTTAGATGCAATTGCTAGGCGTTATAGTCGCCTAGAATACACAGAGTTTGTTGTTTCTGATTGCGATGAATGTTAAGGTTTATATTCTATGGTTTTGGGTGTTTGTGAACATACATACAGTGACACATTGTTGGTTGGGTTGAGTTTGGAGACAGAATATTACCAACTTGAAATCTCGATTTTCCGTATCCTTGGAATAAAGTAGTCCTCTAGATACCGTGACGAGAATGGGCTGTTTTGCGAGGCCTCGATGTGCCTGTAGGTAGAATACGTTCCATGCCGTGAAATGTTGTTTCTTTTTTAGACTCACCTGAGCAGCTACTAGGGTTGTTTGACCAGAGAAAACATTGTCAACCTTCAAGTTGCAACGCGGTCATTTTATCCATGGATTTTATCTCGCTCCTTGAACTGAAGAGAGATGAATTGAAGAAATGGGGAGAAACCGAAACCAATGATACATCTCAGCACATTATACCAGCAGATTATTTCACTATCCCCCTTGAATACAACGAGAAGCTATCGATTTCAACTTAAATCCACAAACCAAGAAACGGAAGCCGGAAAATTACTCCTGCGCCTCAAGTCCATTACCAGGCGGCACGGGGAAAGGGCAATTGATCAGATAGTTTCTGCAGGGAATATCACTAGGATCATTGGTCTCCGGAACAATGCGGCCCTCATTCAAAGGCCATCCGGTGTTGATATCCTGGCAACCACCGCCAGAGTGGTCTTCGTGGTAGTTGCTGCAGTATCCGCAAGTGTGGTCGTTGAGAAGGTGGTTCTTAGCCACAAGGAGCGAGAAGTAGCCCTCGTACTTGAAAGACCGGGCTGCGTTGATCTCGTCGTTGGAGGGTGAGATGGGGTCGTGATCGACCTCGCCGGTCCAGAGCTCATTGCCTGTGCAGCCGGCTGTGTCGTAGAGGACGACCTTGCCGGGTTGGGCTGCGGCTAGGGCAGAGAGGAGGGTTATGATGGTGAGAGAGGAGAAGTGCATTTTGGTGAGGTTGTCCAGACTTGAAATTTCTGAGATTGATAGAAAGGAACTTGAAGATGAGGATGGAGTGATAATTGCGAGAATAAAGATTCCTTTATATAGTAGTCCAGCAGAAAGCCTGCGTGATTTTGTGGTTACATGCCAAGCTCAAGAGGATAAAACGATCATCCAAGGCATACTACAAGCAAGTTCCAATGCAGTATAGATTGACTTTGTTTGTCTAATTAGGTATCACACGGGTAAAGCACCCCATAGCAAGTTTCAGAATTGTGGCAGAAAGTTGCGACCATATCGTCATGATGTGGATCTACCCTGATATAAGCTGATGCTTGGGGGCCGATATGTGGATTTTTCGGGCGTATATGTGGAGGCTAAAATTGCATCTGCCGATAAAACACCGTGGAGAAGGAGCGTGGGGTTAATATACAAACAGGAAAATAGCGCTTCAATTTGAGCTTGACAATGTGTGCCAAAGGAATACACCGGTACGGTAAAGGAGAGTCGACTGCATTGCATACATTGATAGGGTAAAATAGACTTCGATATGAAGAAATTTAAGATTCACGGGAGACACAGTCTACTACTAACAGCCTAGAAACTCCGTAGACAAAGTGGTATGAGGAGCAGCGAGGGGCCTGAAATACCCCTTATGCTAACTGATCAACATAATCAGGGTCCAAAATTCTAGCTTCGGCAGATCTGCAAAAGTGGCTGTTTCTTGTTATCCAGGCGTCATTAGCATCCATGGCCCCCAACGCCAACCAAGCTCGCCGCTTACGCCAAGAATAAGTGCGGTGCCATGTTGTCCCTTGGCCTGAGACGCATCGAATATAGTAGATTATGCAAGGCTAGTTGCTATAGTTTTATCGCTTGAAACATAATACTCGTACAAAATGACGAGGCGGACCAGCATACCTTATGTGGTGAAATGGTTTATCAAGCAGAAGAGATATTCAGTACGCTGAACAACCTTAATTCAGGAGCGATGGTTCCACTCTTGCTTACAGTGGGGACATTTGGCATGCCATGTATAACAAAGGTTAGTTCGCAAAGGGGGTTCCGCAGTGGGTTTACGAGATAGATCGGCAGCATTGTGTAAAACCGTCTACGGAGTACTAGTCCGTAGTACCTTGGTATTTACAAATCGGGAATTGGTTTGAAGTAGATTTTGACATTTCACTCTTAGAGAGGAAAACCCAAAAATTGGGAGAGACTCCGGGATATTTTACCGCGAATGCCAAGAAGAGTTTGACTGGTAGCCAAAGCCTGTAGAAGAGCTTTGCTTACAATTCCGGGAATCGGGCTACCGATAGATCAAGGATAAGGAAATTCTGAGAATAAGAAAGGTTAAAATTCAAGGACCTGGCCAGGTATTATTATCTCCGTGATATTCGTCGAGATCTGGTCCTAGACAGTCAGACCGGGAGGAAATCGAAAGATACCGACACATTGATCATTGAATCGCCACATCCGCAGACAGAACTGCTGGATACAGAGAAACTGGATGGATGATGAATGATGGATGTGTACTATAGAGGAAACTAGATGGCTATCTACTACATGTATGGTGACGGGGATAACTCAGCACCAAATATGGAGAGGGCTATGTCTGCGTATATTGCCGACGAAACCTGCATTCGCACCATGAGATAGTAGCATCTTTACGATTTCAGTATGACCTTGACGTGCAGCAAAAAACATATCGGAGTTATGCGGTCATTGTTGTATGCATTCACTTTGATTCTTGGGTGTTCAAGGAGTGTCTTGACTACGGCTGTATGCCCTCGTCCACTGGCCACATACAGAGACGTGCGCTTTGACTTGTCCTTGCCATTTGGACTGACTCCATAGTCTAACAGCATCTGCACTGCGGCTAGATTGCCTCTGTAAGCTACGGCGAATAAAGGCGTAGATTTTGTAGAGTCAGGCGATTTTGGTAGGTTTGCGGAACCATTGATATCTTTCCAAGTCTGAAGGGCCCTTCTCAGGGTTGAACAGTTGTCTGACGCGGCGGCGTGTCGAATAGCTGATCCGTCCGAATCTTTTGTATTGCGTCGGTAGAGTTGTGAAATTAGTGTTTGGTACATAGCACGGTTGACTTGGACGAAAGAAGCAAGATCTTTTTCACTGTCAATGCTTAAGGCAATTTCCAGGAGCATTTCGGGTGGGAGCTGCGTGAGTGGCATGACTGAGACATGACAACAAAGAAAGATGAATCTGGACAAATAATTTGATCTAGATCACGCATGATTACTAATAATTAGGTCTCGCAGGCCTCGCCAAGCCCGCACAAGAAAAAAAAAACAGCGCGGAAGAGGAGAGTGGGGGTTAATATACGAGTACACTCAGAGGAATAGCGCCGAAATTTGAGCTTCACAATGGGTGCCAAAGGAAGACACTGGTACGGTAACGCCGTTCACCCGGGCTTGTAGTGTTGAGCGAGGAATGTTGAAACGCGTTGTCATCTTGCGAATTGGATCTGTAGACCTATTTTGAATAACTTGGATAGCAAGTCAGACCCTGGCCCTCTGCCCGACAGAGTTTCGAGAGGGTTGAGTGCATTTTTTTTTGTAGCATGGTGGGTGTTTGAAGATGGTGAGTACGCCTCGGGACGCGATCTGAGGCGTTGTGGCCGAACTTGTGCTCTATCCACTAGACTGAGTATCCAGCCGAATTGACTTGCCTCGGCTCACCGGCAGCATCAAAGGTTCCATTGGGCAGGACTCTAATCATTTGAGCATTACTCTGTCCAGGTGCAACCCAAGTAACTTCGTGGCCAAGACCTTTCAAGGAAGCAACCGTATCATTGTTATAATCCCACTCAAAGGTGACTTGGTTCGGTACCAGTTGATCATGCAAACGTGGTCTAGCTAGTGCATCCGCAGCCGAGAGTTCTTCATCAATCGAATGGATGACATTTTGAACAGTCGCAGTAATGATCCGACTGCCACCTGCGGATCCTGTGATTAAGTGCAGTGTACCATCAGCTCGTTCTATTATTACTGGTGTGATAGAAGAAAGTGGGCGTTTTCCAGGAGAGACGTAATTTGTTTCGGAGGGAATATATCCAAATAGATCCGACGATCCAGGGATAGAAAAGTCTGTGGAAAATACAATGTCAGAAGAAGTGTATTTCCTTTGAAAACAGGAGCATTGAATGTGACCCCTCTTGCGGTGAATGTTGTATGATTGAGGGTGATTGATAGAAATTACCGTTCATTTCATTATTCATGATGATGCCAGTCTCTGGAACCATAACGTAACTACCAAAGACCTCGTTGATAGTAGAAATTGAAGAAATTGCAAGGCCACTCTTGTCAACTGCTACAATATGTGAGGTTCCAGGACTGGTAAGGAGATCAAGTTTAGTCGAACGGTGCTGGATACCAGAAGCAATATAAGGATGTCGAACTTACGTCTCTAAGCTTTCTAATCCGGCAGGATTATAAGCTGATATATTCTGGGTGCGGTGATCTGAGATCTTAGATCGAGTGGCATCGACTGTAGCTTGGTCCAGTGTCTGCTCTTCGTATATTGCCATATCATCAATAAATGAAGGATCACCCAGATAGGCTCTCTGGCAATTTATCAGCAAGTTTTCACACTGAAATAATTTAACATCAAGGGCCTTACTCTGCCGTATCCAAATCGAATAGCCTCATTCATGCGATGCGTACTGAGCTTCACCGATTGCTCTCTCGAGAACAGATCCTTGTATTGCTCCAAGATTTTGAGAATAAACAAGGCGATAGACCCGCTAGAAGGAGCCGATGTACTTGTGACCTTATACCCACGATAGTCAATCCGTGAGATATTCCGAATAGCCACGGTGTAGCTTTCTAGATCTTCAAGCGTCATTGTACCATTCTCATTTCGTAGAGCGCTAATCATTGCCTCTGCGATAGGCCCCGAGTAGAAAGCTCTGCTTCCATGCTTTGCAATAGCTTCCAGAGTATCCGCATATCGGCGCCGAGTCATTGTGTCACCTAGCTGCAGCCGGGTTCCGTTTGGAGCAAAGTCAATGGCCCATGTAGGGTTTTTAACAAACAACGACTCGGAGTCAGTGACATGGTTCATATATCTGATAAGATCCGCTCCGACAGGAAACCCTTCACGGGCTGTTTGAACAGCTGGTCGTACGACAGTCGACCAAGGGAGAACACCATACTTGCTGTGAAAGTATTCAAGACCTCGAATCTCACCAGGCACTCCGCTAGAACAGCTTTTAATTCTGCTGATCACATATTACGGGAACTCTTCGGAATATCTTACCTTGCCAGTCCACCACGCAAAGAGGCTTTTTTATTATGTTCATACATATCTTTGAACGCTGCAGCCGGAGCGGTCTCTCTGAAATCAATAACCTCGTAGCTATTGTTTGGCATCCTGACGAGCATGATTCCACCTCCGCCAATTCCACTGTGGTACATGGCTGCTCTTTGTTGGCCATCGCTGATATATACAGATGTTGAGGGGATGTGTTCTTACCAATTACACCAACGCAGAGCTCGGTCGCAACCAACTACTCATTTTCATCAGCACCGATAGTCGCCACTAGGAATCTCCAAGCCTTGGAGAAGGGTAAGGCGTGTATACTCACGGCGTCTGCGGCATTGCCGCCCTTCTTCAATATATCCACTCCATGTTGAGAGCAGATGTGGTTTTCACTAGCAACAGCCCCCAGCTTCCCAGGGGCAGATTTGCTATGCGACGCACAGCATGTATTAGGATTTCGCTCAAAAAGATTGAAGGGCCATGTATAAGTGTTGAGCGGATGACTGAAGATCAAGAGCAGCGACAGAACAGCGAGAAAGAAAAGCTTTATTGATCTTGCTTTGATGGTATTTGGCCGATATTCCTGGGAGGTGTGCTGTTGTGTGATGCCCGTCTTCGATCCAGGAGATAGCAGGTTTGATGGAAACTACCGCAAAATTATATGAGAATCAGTATCTCGGTATCGATGAGAATGTGGTGGGGGAATGCATTTGATACTTGGTTCTCCACATCTGGATCGCTGATTAGACGGGGCTGTGGCATGATACAGGGTGAACTGGCTATTCAAGGAGGAAAATCGCAGGGGAGGTGCCGTGCTACTGTAGTCCTTGGAATTCGGACTTGGTAGAGCGAACATGTGTAATCATTTTTAGTCGCCGACTTTCCCACCGCTTTTTGTCATGTATGTATTGTTTGACCTTGATCACGATCCCTTGCGCCCATTCGCTGTTTGCAAAAAATGTGGGTTGGGAGCATGGCGTTGCGGAATAACAACTCGACCAGCTAATCAAACGGTAACGTTACAAGCTTATGGATCAAATCTATATAGATCAAGTCCCGCATAGTCGAAAATTACACGAAGCATACCACGTATTGTAAGTAAATGTTCTCACTCGAAGATCTATTCTATTCTAGGGTCTCACAGGGGGCTGTCTGTGTCACTGGCAGTCGGGCTCGGATGACTTCTATCGTATCTTCCATCCGCTCGGCTGCATCTGTGCGGGCCCCTCATGTGACGGCGTAATGCGTTTCCTGCACGTGGGTATATCTGACTGGATAGATTGCCAGGCGACCAGTGCACTTGTATGCAGGCGAGTGAGGTCCAAGCAAGTGGGGCATTGCAAGGGCCCCTGGGAGTATGTAAGCGCCAGGGATCGGGCAAACCAGGCAGTGTTACGGATTGCATCATGCCTCACCGTAATCTTGGGCATTGATGTACATATGTGCTAGGCTGGGTCCAGTTAAAGATCACCGTTAGCTATGCAGAACCATCGGAGGGATGGGACGGGGGCGGGCCGTTAAGAACGTTTGAACCTTGGGATCTTGAAACACTGGAATCAGCCCCACTCACATGGGCAATGGAATAACAGTTAATCACCTGGCTCGATTTTGTTAATAACCGCCTGGTGCGACCATAATCATGAGCTTCTGGTTCTCATATCAACTCCGCATTCGCGGTCCTACCTGATTATATTCTTACCATCACCAACGTCCCCCTCCCCAACCTCCTCAGATGCCAACGATGTATACGGAATCGCAAGGATCGCGGGGTAGTGCATCGTGGATTCCTTCACAGTCGCTATGGGACAAAGTAACGTATCGGAGCTACGACACACGGGTTGAGGATGGGAGGAATCAAGACCCGGAAAGAATCCCAATTTTGCGACAGTCCGGTTCGTCACCGTCAAGTGATGCCGACGAGAGTTCTCAGCACAGTCCAGTTCCTAGCGCATTTGCAGTTACTACAACCGTCTGCGTGGTAATGCTAATACTAGATATCGCCTCTTCCGTTCCAATAGCACCCCGCATGGTCATTTTTGAGGATATAATTTGTCGTGACCACTATGAGGCGTGGCGTGATATTTCAAAAATGGGAGACTGCAAAATAAATGCAGTTCAGGGCGAGTTGGCTTTGATAAATGGATGGAAGGATACATTTGAAAAGATTCCTGGTAGATCCTGCCCCTCAAAGGCTGCAAAATTTAGCTTACATTCTCTAACCACGCGGAATATCAGCCTTATTGGTGGCAATTCCTTATGGAATCTTGGCTGATCGTGTTGGACGTAAGACGGTTTTGATCCTTGCCCTGATCGGATGTCTGTTTTGTGATACTTGGGTGGCAATAGTCTGTGTGTTCTGAATTAAGACACTTCTCCTCGACTCCTCAAAGATGCCATCTAATAATTTCAAGGTCTTTTCCCACGGGTCTTCCCGCTCCGCGCGGTATGGGGGTCTGGTATAGGACAGCTGATCGGAGGAGGTGGCGCATCGGTCATCGCTATGTGTTATACTCTGATCGCTGATGTTTGTGCTCCTGAGCAGCGGTACGCACCATAAATACCACCCTTCCAAGGTTCCTTTTCCGGATGACTAACAAAGCTGGACCGTAGCACCGCTGCTTTCTCTCAATTATACGCTGCTGTTCTCATCTCGGAGTTGGTATCTATTCCACTTGGATCTTCTCTCATTTCACTGGAGCCGTGGATACCAGTGCTGGGATCTTTGGGGTTCTTGACCCTGGCAATACTCTTCGTGCTGTTATTCGCGCCCGAATTTGCCAACTCCGCTCACAAACGCCAATTTCCGCAAGATGATAGTCCATCCCAAAGTCTGAAATACGTGCCTTCGAGAGGGATCGGGGATCGGTTATATCACACTGTGGCCAAAGTGGGCGAAAGTTTTCAATTGATTACTATGAGCGTCTGCCTGATGCTCGGCGCCTTGTTCCTCTGCCAGCTGAGCCGGCAGGTTTCTGGCATTCTTCTTCAGTACAGCTCCTTTAAGTTCAATTGGGGATATGCAAAGGTGATGGCCGTTTTTGACATAATTATCTCAGCGCTGCACACAAGTTAACAATAAAATATAGGCCTCCTACCTCATTTCCCTTCGTTCTGGGGTAAACCTCCTCGTCCTGGCTACACTAATCCCAGCACTTAAACGGCTTTTTACCAAAGTATGGCTGTGTCGTCAGGCACAGTCCGATAAATACATTACCCTAATCAGTGGCGGGTGTTTGGCTCTTGGGTCATTTATTATCTTTCTCGCTCCTTCTCCCAGCTTTCTCATCATAGGGCAGATCCTCTCTGCTGTCGGATTTGCTTTTATTGTTACTGCCCACAGTTTCTTGACTGCCATGGTTGACCCACAGTATTTGGGTCTTGCAAACACCGCGGTTTCAGCTACAAACTCCGTTGGACATATGGCCGGAGCGCCCCTTCTGGCTGGTATATTTCAGTGGGGATTGAGTCTTGGGGGATTCTGGGTTGGAATACCTTTTCTTTTCATCGCGGTATTGCTATCGATTGCCACACTAGCCGTGTCGATTGCAAACGCTTAATGCCCCGGTGATTTTGGACTTCAAAGTGATGGGAAATCTTTTGGAAGCTGCGGCCAGCCAGGAACAGGACACATAATTGAATTTATACCCATGGATAGATTCATCAAATACCATTTTCAGTTTGGACGGGCATTCCATCATATTATCAGATCAAAACTGATGACTCGTGCAGTATTCGCGAGGATCTGATGAAACTGTAGATAATCGTGTGTATTGGAAGTGTGTGTACGGAGCAAACTATCTAGGTGCTACGGGACAAAGAATTGAGGGGCGGCACCCTGGATGCCTGAGGCCCCTGGGCCTCAACAAAAACAGTCTCCATACCTAAGTTTGTACGAAGTAGGAGGTGAAAATTATCAAAGATAGCAGAAGATTAATGTTTTCAACGGAAAAAGAGTACTAGAGGATGAAGATGCCGTTGAAAATTCCACTGATTGTCTGCTCTCGTTGACACCTTCCATCGCGAGATTGAAAAGCCATCCAATCGCCAATCCAAAGTATCTTTTGATTTTTGTGGGCCACTTCACCCGCCACTTGGCAACAATGCATGCGCTGGCAAGAAAAGAATTAAGGTTGCATTCTTACAAGTAATTGCTAGGGTATAAAAACCCCGCTTCCTCTCCGTGACAAGCAGAAATCTGGACAATAAAAACAACAATTTGAGCAACAACGAAAGGCCACTATCACACCGAAATCGACTTCGAAAAATGGGGGAAATAACTCTTTACTACTCCCCGGGAGCCTGTTCCTTAGCGCCTCACATCCTACTCCAGGAAAGCGGGCTTGAATTCTCCATCCACAAGGAGAAAACTGGCCAATTCACACCAGCATTGTACGCTTTGAACCCGAAAGGAAAGATTCCTGTCCTTGCCCTCGACAACAATACCATAATCACGGAAAACCCAGCCATCATGAACGCGATCTCAAATCTAGTGCCCGAGAAAGGCTTTTTCGGAAAGACGCCTTTTGAAACCGTCCGTGTCTATGAATGGTTGACTTGGCTATCCGGTACACTACACGGCCAGGGCTTTGGATTACTGTTTCGATTCCGCCGGTACACTGATGATGAGACACAGTTTGAGGGACTTAAGAAGAGGGGCATGGCAATCGTGACGGATTCTTTTCAGATCATTGAGCGGAGGCTGGGTGATGAGGGTGATGCGAATTTTGCTGTCGGTGGCGTATTTACGGCTGTTGATGCTTACTTATTTGTGTTTCATCGATGGGCATTGGGATGTGAAATTGATATGCCTGGTTTGTATCCGAGATATACGGCGTTGTATGAAGCAGTTGGTGGGATGGAATCGACTAAAAAGGCTTTTGCTTCCGAGGGGCTTTGAGTCACGATTTCCGGAGAAATTGGTACAGAGTCACAGGGCACGTTATTGAATTGCCACGTCTATGGACGGAAATTAAACATGTACAACTATCAATAAAGATGAGATATATCATTCCATTTTGATAGTTTTCAAATCAACTTTCCAAAGTTCTAGATCTTTGGTATGGATAAACGCTGCAAGAGAGAGTCCCTCGCTTTGGGACCTGCCGCGACCTCAACCATCTTATTTAAAACCAAGTAAAACCAGGAGGATTGAAAACATAAAATATCGGATCGGTATTACTCGCCATATGTAATCAACATCTAAAATGGCTCTTTGGAAAGCTAAGAATAGGAAAATGTCCAATGCTACGACCATGATCTTGGGGGTTACTGAGAAGTGACCATAAAGGCCAACTACAGATTCTACAGATATCAGGTCGAATTGATTCGATGCAACACCAATCCTTGAAGCCACATCAAATTTAATATACGTAATAATGAGGAACGTGAGGAACTAGCATAGTCTACCTGAGAGAACTTATAGTAAGAAGCTATGACAGTCCATGGGTGATAAAGGAACTATAGAGTGAGACTGGTGGTTCAGTGGATAGTTTGAATTATATCTGAATTACTAACACTAGGGCCTTTTTGGAGAGCATGATATACTTTCAGCTTTACGATAATCTCATACACCCGGGCGCTATGGGCTCCTCGGAGTATTCCAATAGAAAATGTTTATCACGGGATCACTACGGCCCATCAAGCCGAATCAAGAATACTATATAAAGAGTGAGAATTCCATGCAAGTCACCGCAAACAAGCTGGAACATTCCCTGATTACATCTCTCTTCCTACTCTTTGCAAGACTTCACACACCCATTATCCCAACGACCGCATAAATGGATATCCCGGAGAAATGTACGGTGTTGGTTGTAGGAGGTGGACCAGGGGGCTCGTATGCTGCGTCAGTACTCGCTAGAGAGGGCATTGATACAGTGATCCTAGAAAGCAGATGAGTTTCCGAGGTGAGTTTCCAGCGCAATACTATTCGATGAAAAATTGCGCATTTTCCAATGTCGTCAAGGATCCCTTTTCAACGGCGGCTGAATGTAATGCAAGGTACCACATTGGAGAGAGCCTATTGCGGACCACAGGATCGTTTCTTGAGTTTGTCGGTGCTTATGACAAGTTCGAAAATCATGGATTTAGACAAAAGGTTAGACCCTTTCAACTGCTTTGAGAAACAGTAAGCTAACCGGTGGTGAACAAAGAACGGTGCTGCATTCAAGTTCAACAGCAAGCCAGCCGCATGTAAGAAACGACCATTACGATTGAGTCTTCCCGGGCCTGACTGACTGAACAAAAAGACTCCAATTTCCTTCAACACGGTCAACACGCTTGGAATGTAGACCGATCTCAATGCGATGATCTCATGTTTAAACATGCCCGGGAATGTGGCGCGATGGCCTTTGACGGTGTCAAGGTCCAATCTATCGAGTTTTTGCAGTCGATCTGTCAGGATGGACACGAAAGCGGCGAGCAAGAAAATCTTGGAAACCCAGTTTCTGCTTCCTGGATCCGCAAAGACAAGACCAAAGGCAGCATTAAATTTCAGTACCTGGTGGATGCCTCCGGGCGAGCGGGCCTGATCAGTACCAAGTACATGAAAAATCGCATGTTCAATGAAGGGCTGAAAAATGTCGCTTCTTGGGGTTACTTTGAGGGGTTTGAAATGTACGGCATCGGCACACTTGCTGAAGGTTGCCCTTGCTTTACAAGCTTTCCAGGTGTGTCTCAATTTATCCTTGTCATATCAATCATTTGTGAGGAAGGGAGATTCGAAGAAGGGAAAGACTAATCATGATCACAGATGGATCGGGCTGGGTATGGTTCATTCCCCTGAAAGAGAATAAAGTTTCTGTTGGAGTCGTGATGGAACAGAAAAGTGCGACTGCGAAGAAGAAACTGATGGGGTCCCCTTCCTCTCGCGAATGGCTTTTGGCACAGGTCAAAGAAGCGCCTGAGATATGTGATCTTCTCGCAAAGGCCACTCTTATTTCTGACGTGAAAAGCGCCTCTGACTGGTCCTACACCGCACCCACTTATGCAAGTACAAATATCCGGATCATTGGAGATGCTGGGTGTTTTATTGACCCGCTTTTTTCATCGGGTATTCACCTTGCCCTCACTGGGGCTTTCTCGGCCGCAGCAACGATTTGCTCCTCGTTTAAGAACGACTGTTCTGAAAAGGTTGCGGCGGATTGGCATACGAAGAGAATCCAAGAAGCGTATGCAAGGTTTTTGCTCGTGGTCGCGAGCACATATGGGCAGATCACTGGCAAAGAAGCATCGATTCTCAATGATGAGGGCGAGAGCAACTTCGACAATGCTTTCGAATTAATTCGCCCTAGTAAGTCCTTTCGCCGTGGTACTTTCATTGATTAGGAAAGACGTAATATTGTCTAACTTGACATACGCACAGTTATCCAGGGGTCCGCAGAAGAATCCACAGGAAAGGCTGCACCAGAGGATGCTTCCGAGGCCGTCGCATTTTGTATGACAGTTATACAAAAAGCGCAAAATCGATCAGAAGACATCAGCATCGGGGATAGAATTATCAGGGCTGCAATGCAACCAGATACTGGATCCTTAGATGGTAGCGACATTGATGGGATGGTGATCAACGCTCAGCGCGGTTCTCTTGGTCTTGTGAAGGTTTAGGAGCAGACTCTATCTCTGTCAATCAGCGGATTCGAAGTTGAACATCGAAGATTGGAATATACGAGAATTGCGATTGATCCGAATTTCCGTAGTACTAAGTGATCAGCTTCCAAATAGATATTAATTGGGCTACGGAGTACGGAGTACTTGCGCGCAATCTCCGCTCATCTCCTGTTGAACCCACCTAAGCGTGAATCTGGTAGAAATTCAGGCCTATGTGGGGCTTTAGCCCACGGAAGCCTTACTCCTTTTTCATCTGAGGTCAAGGTAGATTGTTCGGTCGCAAATAGAAGAGAATTATTACCAAAGCTAATTCAACTGGCAATGTAGCAAGCCGATACTTGGTCTCGCAGCGTCAAAGGAAAATCAAAGGGAAGGAGAAAGGGGCGAAGAGATAGCTTCCAGTGTTCGCAAGTTAAATAAGCGTCTCCTCAAAGGTGTTAGCTTGAAGCTAAGAATAATTCACTTCTTGCAACTTGAATATAAGGATACAATTTCTGCTCTCTGATATTCTTAAACCTCCTGGCGACGAAATATCAAGTCAAACCTGAAGACTACTTGAAAATCAAACTTGGACTATGGCTTCGTCTGCTGTTCACCTTCCCCAGCCCCATAGTTCTTTGGAATCAGAGCAGTCCGAAATCCCCATTCCTGAGAACCCTCGAAATGTTCAAACCACGTTGACCTTCAGCAAACACAACGAAGACGGTTCCGCTCCGCCTCCAATGTACATTGGGAAACCAGAAAGCTACAATAGACCGACCACCACTCTTCCTGCTACTATCTATGATATCAGTGGCCATGAGCTCGACTACACATTAGACAGTCACGGATTTGAATTTTACTGCCACGAAAGCAAAATGAAGGAATTCACCGATCATGAGAAGATCAGAGCAGAGTACTACCCAGAGACGGAAAAATTGCTACATGATGCGTAAGTAAATCAAACATTTTGAAGCTGCAATGGACATGAAAATAAGACTAAGCCCTGTAGCACGGGTGCCACGCGTTTCTTCGTATTTGACCATACCGTTCGTCAAGCCGCAGAAGACTGGACTACTGAGAAAGATGCCCGTGGGCCTGTCCAACGAGTCCACATCGACTCATCTTACGCCGGAGCCGAGGCGAGAGTCCGCTACCATTTCCCCGATGAAGCATCAGAGCTCCTCAAGCACCGCTACCAGATGATCAGCGTCTGGCGTCCGATCAAGCCGATCCTTAAGGACCCACTGGCCGTCGCGGATGCACACTCCACGCCCGAAAGCGATCTTTTCCCTGTCAAAATCCATTTCCCCGATCGAGAGGTGGAGGGTTGGGCTGTCAAAGCCAATCCACAACTTAAGTGGTACTATCGCTACGGACAGCCTCCGAATTTGGTTACTCTGATCAAACTTTTCGATTCCAAAGTTGACGGCAGGGCGAGAAGGGTGCCGCATACTGCTTTCGTGAATCCTGCGACAGAACATGAAGCACCTAGAGCGAGTATCGAGTTGAGAGCTCTCATTTTCCATCCTGATGACCCTAATTGAGTTGCATTACGAGCTGGACCAGGCTTTCGCTCAGCGGGTATAGTTGCCAGCCATGATGATTTTTCGAAATTTATCTCTGGGAAATGGAAATATGATCTTGGCATCTTGGCTATCAAAATAGCCACCCTTTACATTCTACATGAGGCCGTTAAGATATTGTATCACGGCAGATCCTTCAGCAGACTATCTCGCTTGGAGAGTGGAAAGGAACACTGCATAGGGGGGATTTGTATATATTCCGTGCGTGCAAGTTATTAATGCCCAGGTGTTCATTTTTGGCATATTTATTTTCAGTCCTCTACAGGAAGAGAGCCCCCAGCCTGCATCTGCAGAGCAATCTGGTCAACATCCCTCCAAACCCGTAGTACATTACCCCCCGCTATCTTGGCAGCATCCTCATCGTCAAGACCACGACGCAAAAGTTCAGCAATAAGATCTGGGAACTTAGACACATCCTCCAAGCCCCGTGCCTCATTTGGCATTCCATCGAAGTCACTGCCCAGCCCGACGTGCTCGACTCCGGCAACACTCACGATATGCATGATATGGTCCACAACCCGCCCCAGAGTCGCATGTTTATAATCTGTTTTAGGTAGCCCATGTTTGGAACCAGATACTGTACAGGAGATAAAATCGGGGGCAAAATTAACCATAACCACAGAGTTTCTCTTCTTTACTAAAGTTAGAATATCATCAGGGACATTGCGAGGATGTGGGCATAGTGCCTGGGCCGAGCTGTGGCTAAATATAACCGGTGACTGACTACCAGGCCAGTCATCCTTACCTGCGCCAAGTACATCACGCATTGTATGCTCACTCGCATGGGAAAGATCAACAATCATGCCTATACGGTTCATTTCATAGACAAGGTCTTTCCCCGCCGGGCTCACGCCGTACCAGAGAGGACTTGACTTTCTAATCCTACCGTCTGGCAACTTGACGATTGCTGCATCTGCGTAGATGTTGTGGCAGTTGTGCGTTAGGGTTGCATATGAAACTCCCATTTCATAGAACATGCGTAAATGTGCAAAGGAGTTTCCAATAGAATGTAGACCTTCGATGCCAAGAGGCGAGATGATCTTCCCTTCTCGAAATGCTTTTATAGCGGTAGTGCCATTAGGGGGAGGAGAAAAGACGTCTGGGTAGGCTTGTTGAATACGAAACATGACATCAATTTGCTCGACAGTCATCCGAAGATCTATTATTTCTGGGGTTAACAAGAAAAACCTTTTATCGAGAGAAAATACGTGTAAATCGTACCAGCCGCGTAATTAATATTCGAAAAGTCGTCCCAATCCTTCGGGCAAGGCACAAAAACACTCCAGAATGTGCCCCCGACAAGGCCTTGCTTCAAATGGAGCAAGTCTGCGTGACCCTCCATGGTGCCATCAGCAAAAGGCAGGGTAAAATTAGATCCATAAATGTGATTCTTGTAGTGTTTTCGGATATTTATAGGCAGGTCATTGTGACCATCTGTCAGGTGCGTCAGCAACTATGGTTCAAGTCCCCATGTTAATGGGCTTCATACCGATCAGTGGAGTGTGTTTCAGGATATTCTCCACTCGTTCCTCAATACGGAGCAAGCGACCTTGGAAGCAGTGCGACCAAAAGAACCAGCCTCCCCCCAATAGAGAGCAGATGGCCAACGCCCAGGACCAGCGAGATGCTCGCGAGTCCCTTAAGCCGAGAAGAAAAGTTGGATCTGATCGGTATGAATGTGTGATTGTTGGTTTTTCATCCATCATGAGATATGTCAAAAGTGAAATTACCGAGATCGCTCCCAAGTGTTTCAGGCATTGATTTGTGTTATGACTCTCTCCAGTGTCCACTACACTTTGGTGGATCCCAGGCTGGTAGACGAGAAATAGTCCTTGAGTTGAGAAGTGCTCGGGTGACTTTATTTGGAGTTTTGATTTTGATTGCAATTATGGCCAGGGGTTGTGGAAGATTTCGTCGGTGGCTGGGGGGGAGGGGTGAACGGGGTCTGCAAGCAGGGTTGAGTCTCATGCCTCGGGGGAAACTCGTCAAACGAGGAGAAACAGGAACCCACGCAGCAAACTGCTCTGAGATCAAGGCTCTGCGATAGGGTTGCGTGAGGAGAGATATCTGAGGATGGGGAGCAGCCCTGGAGGGATATACGAAGGTTATATTTGAAAAGAAGCCATGGAAATCACGTTAGCCGTATATAGGTACGAGTAACTCGCAGTGGCGATATTTTTGGAAGTTAGGCGGTTAAATTCGAAGGCTGTCTATGCCCGTGTATACAACCACGTTCCGTAGAGAGGCGCCATGAGATTTATGGGTTGTAATGAGTTAAATTCCTTCAAGTTGTCCCAGTAGCCATCTTATATTTTCATACGTACTGCACCAGGGTAGTCTATATAAAGGTTGAATAGGGGGGGTCAGATAAGGGCCAATTCAGGATTTTCAACACAGCACAACGCGCTACCAGCACTATCATTAGCCCACTTCCTGATAACCCATGTTGGCCTCGGCCGGTTTGAATTCAAGCAATATGAAACCTTGGAAAACGGGTCATGAGGTACAGAACTTTATTCAATGCCTTGCTCTGACACAATCAGACATTACACAACAGCCCGTTGGCGCCAATTACCGACACATGGGCTCTTGAAATGTCCTTCAATGAAGCACAACTTGTTTGCAGTTAGCAATCAAGTAAGGTAACCTCGAAATAAGATGTGATACTCACCCCGCGTGTGCCATAGTGCTGCGAAGCTCCTCTTCAAGAATTCTGACCGCTACTTCAACTCCAGCTTGTCCGTCGTACTGTTGATACATATTGATTAGATCAAGCTGGGAAATAGGCTGATGTCCACTTACAGCCAGACCCCACAAGGGGATTCTTCCAAGGAAACAAATGTCGGCACCTAAAGCTAAAGCACGGAATACATCCGCTCCTCGGCGGATACCACTGTCAAAGCCAATTCTAATGCGACCCTTTGCCAATGGAGCACATTCAGCTAAGACGTCGATGGCTGCTGGAACACCGTCTACCTGCCTTCCTCCGTGGCTTGAGATAATCAGACCATCGAGGCCGTACTCAATTGCTTTCGAGACATCATACGGGCAAGAGACTGGTACAGTTCAGTGTCATTCCTTTTTCTTTGAAAGCATAATTATATCACTTACTTCCTTTTATCCATACTTCTAAGCTTGTATTGGCTCTGATCCACGGAATAACTTCGGCCCATATTTTAGTCGGATCTTGAACAGACTCACCATCTGATCTGCCTGAACTGAGATTGGGGTAGGAAAGATGAGAGGGGAGCTTTAAAGCGTTTCTTTTTTTTGTCATACGATTTGCAGTAGCTGGAGCATCGACGGTGATAAAAATAGCCTTGTAGCCACATTCTGTTTAGGGAAAGAGTATATTGATTAGAAAAGTGAGTTTTATCATATGGGAAGATGCTCTCACTTTCAGCTCGCTTCATCATATCCAGTGTTATACTTCGATTAGGGGGAAAAATTGGCTGAAAGCCGTATGGGTTCTGGCCTCCTTTGCTCGCAGAAATGACATCTTCCATTGAAACTGTCGAGAATGTTGACAGGATCATTGGGATGTTCAGTTGGCTTGCGGCTCGGGATGTTGCCGCTTCACCGTCAGGATGCGCAAGGCATTGAATGCATGTTGGTGCAAATCCTATCGGCAAAGATATCTGAATCTGTTAATTTCCTAAATAGATTTCAAAGAGTCTTGAAATTTAATTTACCTTTCCACCTAGAAATGTTGTCGAGGTATCAATTTTGGATACATCGCAAAGAATACGGGGTCGAATCTTGAAGCGATCAAAGGCTCTCTCATTGTCAATCAGGCTGGCATTGTGGGTTAGCTACCGGTGGAATAGTTCTCGGAGTGTCTACCAATGATTTGTACGTACGTTATGGTATCCCCGCCCCCTCATTGAAGTACTCTAATTATTCCGCCCACCATCAGCTGCAAGTACTTTGTGAGTTTAGGCTTTCTTACCTTCAACTTCATCTGGTAGCTTGGAGGATGCTACTGCACGTAGTTCGTTGATTGTGAGTACTTCTGTAAAATTTGAGACAGTCATCTTGGCCTCAGTAAAAACCAAAAATTGACATGGACAGTTGAAGAATTAAACAGTTCCCTAGCGAGTGTCTAGATATAAAGGAGCTTGTTTTCAGATCGCCCCCAATATAACCTTTGTTTGCTCGAGAAGGCTAATTCGTGCGACCTCTGCTCAACCAAGCTAGATCCTAAGATATGGATGAGCGGTGAGACCAAGTCCCACAAACATTTGAATTTCTCTCACCTTCACGCATAAGTGGGCTTATTTGGTGACGAATTGGTACCTACCACCTGCAAGCATCCGTGGATGGAGCAATTCTGGATGGTCTTGGCTGGCTGACCGCCGATTAAGCGTACCTTCAATTTCCTTTGTCAAACCCAGGTAGAGTAGAGATCGTCCACGGCTTGGAGTAAGGGGCTAGAGTGCGCAAGATCATTCACGGAACTTAAACATTGACGCTGAAACTGAACAAGAATGAGAATGTAGAGAGATCCAATATGTGGCAGAATAGAGTAAGCTTGAGTAGCTTCATAGATGATCGGTAGATCAAAAATTAAGCTTAGAATAGTCAAAGTAAAAAAATATTGTAGGCAAGACCGGTTGGCATTCGTGTCAATTCTGCTAGTTTGTGTTAGAAAACTCGACTTTCTATGTTGGGGTACACAGATTCGAATCCAATCCATTGAGACTTACCCATTTCTCAAATTAGCAGATTAGCGGTGTGAAAGAACTGGAAAGTTCATTGTGGTAACGCTGATTTCTCACTTCTATGTACTGCTAGAACATCAAACCTTCTTCCGCAAGCGCTTCACGACGGGTCTTGCTGCCTGGGTCAAAGTAGGGCCTCTCGCCGATGCTCACTGCCCGATGACCCGTACGAGCGCCCAATCCAGCAAAGTCAAAAATGGCAGAGTGGTAAACAGTGCGGTTGTCCCATATAGCTGTGGCCAAGATTATTATTGTCTGATACGTCTACTTACACATCAAACAATACGCAAGGGGTAGGAGGATGATGGATCACACTTACCGATGTCATACTGATTCTCCCACCGATGCCTCAGTTGAGTATCATGCTCCTCTACAATCATCTGCAGGAACCAGTCGTGTAGCCGCCTACTTTCGTCGGGTGTCAACTCGTTGATCCGTTCGACATGGTTACCCACGGCGAATAGACTCTTCCACCCGGTCACTGGGTTGGTGCGGACGACTGGGTGAACGGCGCGAAGGGAAGCGCCAACATTGTTTGGAGACCCACGAGGCTCTTCGTAAAGGTCGAATCCTTTAGCTGCAGCGGCAATCGGAAGTCTAGACTGACAAAAGGTCGCTGTGAGGCCTTCAAGGAATTCGCGATAGGCCGGAGAGATTTTGTCATAGATCTCACAGGATGAGGCCCAGATTGTATCTGATTTCCAACGGTTAGTACCACATGCAACAATTACTGCGATAAGTTTAAATACCTCCGCCAGTTTCAGGGAGCTTGACGAGTCTTAAGATTGAGTAATCGGCGGGGTTTGGCTCGTAGCCCGTGTCCGTATGCCATGCGTTCCTGATGTCGGTGGGTCTATTTTTCCATAAGTCTTCTGCAGGGTTTGCGGCTTTGTCGGTGGTGATAACGTTTAGTTCTGGGTCCTTGTCAAGGTTGTGCTTGGTTAAAGGGTGAATGTGAAGCCTCGAGTCGGCTGGTTTGCCTGAGAGGACACCCAGACGCTGCGCCAACTCCTTTTGAAGTTCATCGGTCAAATTAGTTTGGGCACGGAAGAAAACAACTCCCCGACGAGAGACTGATGTCCATTAGTTATACTATGCGGCTATAAAATGATGAGTTTGGGTGCGTACTCGTGATAGCCAAGTCGCGGAGAAGCTCATCGCTGTTCGTGGCTTTCATCCATTCTACGACGTCGGCGTCAGGGAATTCCTTCCCGATTGCAGGGGTGACGTTGAACGACTTGTATTGTTCCAGAAGACCCTTCAGCTTTAGTGGTTCCCTGATAAGTCTTTTCTGGCTGTCGCCGTTTCGAATCGCGAGAAGATCCTCAGAGTTGGTCATGATGGAATAAAGTAAATCTGGCGCATCGGAAAGAAGGAGAGAATGTGCTTTTGAAAGACCTTCGACTTAAGACCTTTGAATCGCAACGTTTGCCACATTCCGCTCTAGCCCTACTTATTTTCGGAACAGAATCAGAGCAGGGGGGTGGATGTTGTATGTGTCCTTGAGCTTTCTCTATGTCGAGTAAGTACTGGGGACATGGTGTGGGGAAGAGTAAAAGCCTGGACTGCCTTCCCAGTTATTTCATTGAAATTTGGCCATTTTTGTGGAGGACAATCTATACGAACTTTGTACGAAAATGTTCTTAAGCCATACTTAATCCTCTAATAACAACGGGCTGGCTGTGTATCTTAATGAATAGCCTATGCATGACTCCCATGCACAGTATCCATGTTGACTATAATAGAAGGATCGCGACTGCCTCTATTGCATCTACTGTCGATCGACTGCGAGAGCCTGCACACGAGTCCGAACAAAGTGTCCTGACAACTATGCGAAACAGTTCAAATAACGTATGAAAATTAGCTCAATAAATGATCCCTTTTCCATGAAGTCGACTTCTGAGCGCCGAGCTCTTTGATTTTCGGCTCAGAACCTACAGTTCTGCGCTAGAATCTCGTGCTTTTGAGTCCGATTGCTCGAGTACCTAGTAATGCGAGTTACTTGAGAAGTGAAGAGAGTACTGAAATGACACCAGTGGCTAGCCAAATCATCGATATGGGTTTCATTTACCCCTACAAAAAGCCGGCTTCCCGGATCTGTGACCACTGAAGGAGATTAGTGTCATAGTTTCGAAGGCCACTGAGAGATTGGAAAACCTGTGATGAAAGTCTGGTAAAAACTGGAGAGAATGGGTTTACAGTCGCTAGATTCGACTTGTAGTAACAATAGCTCAGTTAAGGGAGGGCTTAATTATTGACATTCATAAATCCGTGGACTTATGGCTTCATAGTATGTACCACCTCATCCAGCTTCTGTATAAATGCTTTCATCTCATCCACTGTGTTATAATGGACCAGGCTTGTTCGAATGACACCATACTCCGGCAGTCCTAAAACATCATAAACAGTCCGAGGAGACCAACAGTCACCTGTTATGAGCCTGAAATTTGACGTTTCGTGAATTGCTTCGGCGACCTTGTCGGAAGCGATACCGTTCACGGTAAAACTGATCAAGGAGACCCGAAAATTGGGGTCTGCAGAGTGAGAGCCGTACACGGTGTAGAGATCCGGATTTGCCGTCAAGTACCCAAGGATCTCAGCTGTGATAAGTTCTTCATGAGCGATGATAGAGTCCCAACCGATACCATTAGAGAGATAGTCGATAATTGGAGTGACGGCATGTTCGAGTTCAATGCAGCTGTTACCCAGTCCCAGGCGCACACGCAGAGCGACCGGGTCAAAAAAGTAGTGGTTGAGGCTTGTGAGATGACGTTTCTGAACTTCAAGGCGAGCATAAATCTGCGCAATATGAGGACCAAACGCCTTGTACCAGCTAAACACATAAAAATCAACACCGAGTCGTTTCACATCGATAGGGCGATGAGGAGCCCACGCCACCCCATCTACCAATATTAATGCGTCAGGGACTGTATGAACAAGATCTGCAATCTCTCTGACATTTTCAATGGTTCCGGTAATATTTGACACATGTCCACAGCATACTAGACGGGTTTTAGGGGACAGGAGAGGCCGAAGGGTTTCTAGGCTGAGCTTGGGATCTTTGTTGTTTCCCATGCCCCCAGCTGGAATCCACCACTTGATGGAGATTCCCAGGGTTTTAGCCAAGCCAATCCAGGCAGTTACGTCAGCCTCATGACAGAGCACGGACATGATAATCTCCGAATCTGCGTTGAGATTTGGGAGGAGTGATGCGGCTAGATTCCGCGAGAGACCCGTTGTGGAGGGTCCAAACGCTAGCAGGGTGGGGGTCAGACAGGAACACGAGAGAGAGAGAGCGAGAGTGTGGCCACTTATGAAGGACCGCTTACCTATCTCGTCAGGGTGTGCATTCATAAAAGAAGCAAGTTTTCTGTATTGGGCAGATCGTTCTGTAACATCAACCAAGCTTTTCGAGTCCAAACCACGGAGGTTCATATGAGGTGCAGACATCGTCCGAACGATACTACAGTTTTGTTGCTGTCAGTTTCATTGAATATACACTAAATGCCTACGCACAGGAGATGACTTACCTCTCGATGGCGCCCTTGTATACTAAAGCACCGGAGCCATTGTTCATGCAGACTTCGCCCGTCTCAAGACCCGGAAATTGTTTGCGAACAGCCTCAACGTCGAGGGCGTTTATGTCTTTGTTGCGAACCATTATTGAACATGTACGAACAATAGAATGGAAAAAAGATTCGTGGGATACTTTTTCATTCAACAAAAACCCCGGTAGGTTAGAGATTAGACATCCCCTGCTTAATTATAGGTAAGGCAAGGAACACTACCTAGAGAGACCCAGGAGATCTAATGCAGCGTTATGGAGCAAACAACAAAAGTCAATTCTACGAACCTCTTGAACAATTAATGATACTCCCGGTGGTTATGGGACAATGCTACTCCATACAGATTAACTAGATGCGGGGTGGGTTCAAGTGGGTTGAAACAGATTAAATTCTTCATTGGCCTGTAGCTCTCCACGATCGGTCGTTCTGGGCCCACATCATCGTGAAAATGTGGCAGAATCAGGCATAAGTGGAGACGCCGTGCTCTGAGTCGGCTTGCATATATGACTGGCCAATTGCAATTTCCCCGTCAACGAAGATTGCTCCTCTTGGAGCTGCATGTCTATACCATGAAGATTCACCACGTAGATGGTGGGGTTAAGAGGGGAAAACATGGCTAGCTGTGCGGTGCGGCCCGTCAAGATCGCTAAATCGTGGAGCTGGAGGGTCTGAGCGAATATCGCAATCGATTTAACAGATGGCGGTGCTGACCGTAATGCTGGGAACCCCTACGTTCACTCTTAGGACAATATCGAATCCAATGCTTCAAGAATTGCTCACCCAACTGGCCCGATTCTACAGGGCAAACGAAGCCAGCATCTCAGCTGAGGAAGTATCGAGATGCCAGGAATGTCTTCCTGCCAGCGAAATCTCGGCTCTTGACCGCTTGTTTAGCCTATTTCTGCACCATGCCCAACAGGTAAGCCTCCAGTTCCCGAGGTCTTCTGGCCCTTGCGCTAACTTTGTCTCGGAACGTTAGAACCCGACCGCGGTTACACCAGGCCATTCAGTATCCTCAAATCTAGAAAACAATGAGCCCATTGCCGCCGCCGCGGGCATGGCGACAAAGACGGTCGCTACCCTCAAATCTCAATCTTACGCGCGGAATCCGCCTTCTGCCCGCAACCACCGACAAGTGCCACATGAGTCCCGGCAGCATCTCACATCGGTCTCTGAGAGAGGCGAACTTCAGCAAAGTTTGTCTCCAAGAGAGACAAGTAATAATAGCCAGGGCACCTCAAGCTCGGATATCGATACAAACTCGACCAATCCATCACCGAACACAGAAGAAACTCCTTTACAGGATGGAACAATTTTTGACTCCACTATTAATAAGCCAGGCTTCTCTCCAACTATGAGACGACTTTTGGAAAGCTGTCGGACAGATCGCGGAAAGTTTTTACGAGAGATTGAGGAAGCCAGAGCAGTGCTCCCAACGGGGCAAGGCTGGGAGGCCGCAATAGCTACCAAGGTTGAAAATGCTGACCTGCGCGACCGGATGAAAATATACCATAGGTTTGAGTGCTATAACATCTACCAACATGTTGTAGAAGCTGGGTATCATACTGGCACGCACTGGATCCGGGAGATGCGCACTACACTGGCGCAGAAACTCTGTGAGGAGTTTCCGCGGCGGTTTAGGGACCAAAAAGCTGCAAACAAGTGCCTGAACTGGGTTGATCAAGGTTGCAAATATCATGAGTGGGCCGGTCATTTCAGAAGAGGGGTAAGAGATCTGGGCTACCTTATTGCACTTCCTTTGGACGTGCCTCATTCAGCATACACATCAAGATGCACAAAAGAGCGAATGCATGCGGTAACCAACGTGTTGAAAGTTCTAGGGATTAACGAGCTTGTAGCAGAACTTGAGCTTGCAAAATTGGGTGACCATATTGCAGTGACATTGAGGGATCTGACGGGTAGGGAGCGCAGAGAAGCACCTGGTAAGCTTTTTAACCACCAGAACGATATATTTTGACACTTATATGTCTGGTGCAGGAAAAGCACCACAGAGTCCATGCAACTCACCACGTTCAATGCCCAACGTCAGCGGAATATCGAGTCCTAGACCAACTATGCAGCCGGGCCAAAACCCCACCCCACCAGAATCTCTAATTACCAGTCTTGACAATAGGGGTTGTTCCTCACTGGATATGGAAATTGACATGGAATACGATTTTATTCGTGGGTCATTCGATCAAAATGAGAGTGCATATGCCTGCCGTTTCCTCGCGGAGGACTGGGCTGTCCCATTGAACCTCCCATTCGAGAATAGCACGTCTGATAATCCTGAGCCACCAATATCGCGCAACCCTCTTGAAGCGATGGATATGAGCAATCCTGACTATCTAAGACTATCTACTCCTCATGGATATAACGATACTCTGGAATCATTGAATGAGTGGGATGGCAATGCAAATTATGCGGAAGGTCTAACGCAATTCTGAACCGCTCATACCAATTTGTTGCTTAAGAATTAATTTTCATGACGAGCCATGATACTGCTTTCATTTGATTTGAGGATCTTACATGCATGCAAATATCTTCAGGCAGTCTAGTACTAGTAGCTACTTGCACAGATACTGAAGTCAGGAATGAAAGGTTAGGTTAGACACTGGCGGTCTGCCCAGACGCCCCAAGGAAGCCTTTGCGCCCAGTCAACATGGCGCCATGCTGCACCGGGTCCAAGCTCGCCTCACGGAACAGAGAATACTTCTGGTTATGCCACTCGACACTCGTGACCTGCCTTCCACCATTGTCCGTAAACTTGGCATCAAATTCCGGCCGCAGGAAATATATACAGGAGAACTTATCTTGCCCAGGCGAATGGGGCGGCGGTGGTGGAATGACACGATGCAGAGAAGAGGCTAGGGCCCCATTTGATAAGAAGCGCAAGGAGTCACCCACATTCACAATGGCGTGTCCGGGACGTGGAGGAATATACGACCATTCATCTCCTCCGGATGGACCAGGGAGTAACGCTTGTAATCCCTCGGATTGAGTGAAAACAACAGTCAAAGTCCCCATGTCGGTGTGCGCCATGTTTCCAATCCTCTCGGCGTCACTATTCCAAGGGAGATATTTGAGCAGGGCAATGTTGGCGGAAGATGGCTTGTCCTTGCGATGACAATCTTTCAGGTCATTAGGGAGGCCAAGTGCCTTGGACAGAATGGACAGAATGCATTCAGTGTATCCATGAACCTGGCTCATGAAAGTCGTCACCAGTGGGAGGCTTTCCTGGAAGGCCTGCGGGAGCTGCAGAGTATCCTGCCCAAATACGCCGTTGTTGTGAATCTACAATTTAGGTTAGACGACAACTTCAGGATGCGGAAATTGAAGCTACACACCGAGAAGCTCTCATATCCATCTTTCTTCTGGGCAAAGGGCCCAACGGAACAGCCAGCTCGTTTATAACTAGCACAATTTGTCATTATTCAAGGCCGTCGATAAGTTTCAAGCGTGAAATACCCCTGTAGTCTTGAAGGCAAGTGCTTCTCAGTGCTGTACTCCTCCTTCTCTTCGATTGGGAGCTTGAAAACCGAGTTTCCTACGCTCACGAGCTCGTTGACTTGCTCTAGAGTCTTGAGCGTGGAAGCATTCCGGAAATCAAGGTAAAAAAAATCCATTGGTCTTACAGGCAGACACGAGCTCGTTCACTGCATTCATGTCGCCCTTCAAGAGGCCGTCTAGTGAGATCGAGCTTAGCTCTGCTCGTCTTGTCGTGGAAGATGCCATTCTCAAAATACAAGAGCCAGTTGATTCTGTAGAAGTAGAGTAATAAATGAATTCTGAGTCTTGGGAAGAGAAACGGGCTTTAAAATATCTATTCTGTGGATTGATTTCTCCGATAGAGATCGGATTATTTCAATTGCTTTCGCTAACTGTACCCTCGATAGGTCTACAGGCATCTGTATGTATGATGCAGGTCAGTGGCAAGATTCCCCAGGTCACTCTACTTTGTGTATTACGCGGGCACTTGATTAGAGGTCTAAATAAATGAGGGGTATTGGGCATTTCGAACATAGAACCCTAAATAATGGATATCTCAAAGTTGTGGATAAATTATGGCCATCAACCCTGAAAAGGGGAAATCACGCATGCCTTTCTGGGACAGCCACATAGTATGATCCGTACATAAACAGTGATACTAAATTCAGTTCCACACGATGAAGAATCATTATTCTCACCAAGAAAATATACAACAGGAACCGAAAATGCTTGACACAAAGAAATATAATGCCTTAAGTCTGGCTCAGCCTACAGATTTCAAAGGAATGCTGAACTCTGGCGAGCTTCTCTGGGGTACTGGATGCCGAATCCCCCATCCAGAGGCTGCGAGAGTTGTCGCTGCAACGCCATATCACTTTTGCTTTTTGGATGCGGTAAGTAATGAGATATCTCCCACGAAATAATGTTTCGCTCATTTATCTAACTAGACAGGAACACGCACCTCTCAACGCAACACTCCTCGTCAGTCTGATCCGAACAATCCAATATCACTCCAATGGCTCCATGGTACCGTTCATCCGGATTCCAGGATGCTCACCTGAGCTTTACAACTATGCTCTGGGCGCAGGCGCTGGCGGGGTGGTCATGCCTCACGTTCAGAATGCAAAACAGGCAGAGGAGCTGGTCCGAATATGTCGGTTTCCACCAACTGGAGATCGCAGTTTCCCACCTGCAGCTCTGATTGGCGAGCAGCAGAATCGAACTCCTGAAGGAAAAACAACGTATGACGTGTGGAATGAACACGCCGCTGTGATCTGTCAGATTGAGGATTTAGAGGGGCTGGAAAATGTTGAAGAGATTTGCCAAGTTCCAGGTGGTACGTGTCTCTCTGCATCATCCAATGATATCTTAGAAGCGTCTCCAATTTATACGCTAACTTCAAATTCTGGTCCCTGCAGTGGATGGCCTCTTTATTGGTACAGGGGATCTGCGCATGTGTCTTAATCTAGCCCATGGGTCGCTCGACGGCGATGAACCAGTGTTTCTGTCCGCTCTTCAGAGAATTCGAGACGCCGCGAAAGCTCAGAATCTACCCATCATGGGCTTCGGCATCTCGCCTGCTGGAGTGGAGTTAAGAAAAGCGATGGGCTGGAATGCGTTCATTATCCATGGAGATATTGATGCCATCTGCACATCAGCCGTTCAGTGTCTGCAGACATACACTGATGCAGCTCAAGAGGGGATTGGGAGCAATGGACATCGACTTGGCGAGAATATTGATGACATGGTTGCTAGGTAGATAGTTGCAGAAAAAATCCGAGACTTTGGTAAGATCGGTATTCCTTTTGTCGATAGCAAGATATGTAGAACTTCTTTACTCTGTATAGCTTTACGCATAGACTATTTCTCGTATTACACGAAACAGCTTATTAGAACTCAGTCCTAAGGGTCACGGCATAATACTCAGGGGTTCTCGATTCAGTATGAGAACATAGCTTTTAAAAATCCTACTTCTAAGTTTTAACCATCTCCGTGCCTTTTCATATATCTTTCTCTCCGTGTCGATTTACCAAAATCAATTGCGCAATGTATATTCTATTGAGAGCCGCGGCGCACTGGTATACCTCGATTTCTCATACGCAGTACAGATACCACAGTATCCCCAATCAGAAAGTCGAACTATGTGTCTTACTGCCCTATTCATCGCGTATAACTCCAATGTATCTACTATGTCACAGGGCGGGATTTCGTCTAGAGCTTGAACAATGTGAAGTATTAGATGTATCTTCTGTGTCTGCAAGACGAAAAAGAGACGAATGTCAAATTAGTGCGCTTCATTCACCTGGGCACAGATAAGAGTAACGAGTAGATAATAGTACCTAGGTAGATGCTTATATAAATATTGTCACATTGCCATATTATCGCTATTATTTCAACTCCAATCTAGAGGATTCGTTCTGCACAGTTCCTCCAAAGTTCCTTTGCGCCGGCGATATCCCACAATTATCAACTTGGGTGGTAAATTTATTAATTACAAAGACGCCATTTCAACATAGCAAAATGCCGAAGCACGAGGACGACGTAAAGGCTATCATCGCGGAAGAGCTTGACTTGCCTATGGATGAGGTATGAATGTCTCTGCTATCACAAGTAGGATTTACAGGACAGTATTAAAAGCGATCGATATTCAGATGAAGCCTGATACCAATTTCAAGGATGGATTGGCTATTGACGACTTTAAAAAGTCACAAATGATAACGGCCCTTCGCGAGGTTCATATCCCAAGGTCATAAGATATCTTGAGAGTTCTATTGTTGACAGGTTGATCAGAGATTTGATATATACGTTACGGATGAGGATATGAATGATTTTACCACAAGTACGTGATTATTTCGTTCTGCAGTACAATCCCTTTTCCTTAAAAACCCTTGAAACTAACATCAGTCCTACCTGAAAGCTCAAGATGTCATTGACTATGTTGGAATTAAGCTGTGGTGGTACGCGATTTAGAATAGGTAGAACTAAATGGCAATGGGAGCCGAGTTCTACTCCTGTATTAACGACCTGGTACTGCCGAAATATTGATCCTAGCTACTACTATGAGTTCCGATTGTCTGTTATGAATGAGACATTAAATACGCAATATTTTCATGGATCTTTAGCCAAATAATACCTACTCCACTGCTAGTCCATATTATTCTAGATCGGAGCAAGCCTCCCCCGCCGTTCTCACCTGGGCATAGATTTAAATAAGTCTGTTTGCCCAGGTCTACCAGTATCCCCAAACCTCAATAGTTACATCTCACAACAATGACAGTCTCACGTCCCGCTACTCTACCCGACGACGTCCTCTTTTCTCGACTCTTGAAGTTGGCCAGGGAGAGAAGTTCCAAGATCATTGTGAATGACTGCAGTCGAGGCACACAGTCCGACTATGGCCAAATCCTCGATGGTACCGTGAACCTGAAACAAAAGCTCGAAGCACTCATCAACGAGTCTACGCGAAATACCCCTGGTAGCTTCTACGTTGCCCTCTTGGCACCAAATGGATATGAATTTATCATAGGGGTTCTTGCTATTCTGGCAATTGGTGGAGTAGTCGTGCCGATGCGTAAGATTCTCGTTATGAAACCACTTTGAATGAAAGAGCAAATAGTTAACAACTGATCCAAAAACAACAGCAACGGGTGCACTCCCGGCAGAAGCATCATACATTCTTCAACAATGTGGTGCAAATTATCTCCTCTCCACCTCCGAGCTGGCCAGCCTCGCTGCCCAGATCAAAGATGAAGTCAATATTCCAATTCTTATCATTGAAGAAGCCAGAGCCACTGCAGAAGCCAATATCCTCCCACTGCTAAGCTATCGTCTGGACTCATCCCTTGCGGTTTCTGAAGAAACACCGAGTATATTATTGTTTACATCAGGAACAAGCGGCCCCCCCAAAAGGGGTCCTCCACGCCCGCCGAACAATAAATAAATACGCCCGACAGGAAGAGGCAGTCGAGCCAAACGATGAGCTCTGCATTATCCCGCGCGGCGCATTCTGGTCAATATATTTCACCAAATTATTCCAGATGCTAATGACAGGTATTCGTGTCGAAGTCCATAATTTCGGGCGAAACTATAACCTAATCTGGGAGAAGCTGCGGGAGCAGACGGCTACCAAAATTGTACTTTCTCCGACATTTTGGTACGGGATGATGATCTATTTCCAGACGCATATTTCTGTCGAGTTTCCTCAAGATATTATTGATGAGTACGTGAAGGGAGCGCGATACCTGCGCGATACATGTGCAACAGGTGCCATGGCTTCGGGTCCTATCAAGGAGTTTTGGCGAGAGATGTGCGGAGGACTACCGCTTAAGCAACTGTATGGCTCTACGGAGACACAGGAAATATCTGTCTGCGATGGCAAGTCAGAAATGATAGTCGTCAGTTCTTACCTTCTCGCTAACCTTCAGTTGTCATAACTGTGGCTAACAATTTGACTAGGATGACTTGGGGGCTCCCCAACCGAACGTAATCATGAAGCTTTCTGAAGGTGACGAAGGGGAGATCCTTGTGAAAACTCCGTCTTTATTCCTTGGGTGTGTAGAGGCATTCTCCTCAAAGGAATAATACTCACACATCTTCTTCTGTAGTTACCTGAACTCTCCTGACGCAACTGCAAAGCGATTTGATTCCGCCGGATTTTTCAAGACTGGGGATCTGGCCATCCTCCAACAGGGACGGTACATCTTCAAAGGAAGAGCAAATATGGATCGTTAGTATTTCTAGCTCTCCTTATTCCCCTTTATCACTGCTGACACCGGTCCTTTTATGTGAAAGTTTTCAAATTTTATACTTATAAGGTTCCCCGAGGAGATGTCGAGGCTGCTCTAACCGCACTTCCGTATGTCGCAGAGGCATACATCATGCCCGTCGCAGATCCACAATGTGACACACGAACAGCCGCACTTGTGCGCTTTCGAGAAAATTTCGATTATCCTGATTGTAAGAAGTGGGATTTGCAGTCTATCCGGGATAATCTGGCAACCGATATGGGTCTCCCTGCGTACCAGTTGCCAACTGTGTTGAGGGTCTTAAGAGAGCACGAATCTGTTCCTCGGACATGGTCGGATAAGACTGCCATGATGAAAGCGGTTAATATGTTCTTTCCGCTTGATAGTGAGAATAGAATTTGCGGAGAGCAGACTGAGATTCTCGATGTGAGTGATTTCATGAGGATGCAGACCACAAAGTTATGGGAATTGTCGGGGATGCGGTAGAGAGCTCTGATGAGGGAATTCAGACCTTAGGCTGAGGCCCTTACTTACCAGAATAGTTTGCTATCTTTGATACTGATTCAACTGAACTTCGTCTTACCGAAAATCAACTCAAATGGTTGATAGTTTATCTGATACTAGGCATATGTACTATAATTACGGCAATTACTCTATTGCTGGAATAGAATTCGCAATTCTCATGTTCATATAAGATACCATCGCTCTAGGTGGATGCAGGGAGAGCGAGAAGTTCCTCGATAGCTTCCTGTATGATGTTGAGCGCCTCTGCGAGTTGGGAATCAGAAATGATCAAGGGAGGCGCAATGCGAATTACTCCAGTTTTGCTCGATTTTAGCTACAGAAATAAGATAGTTAGTCGGGGTTATTAGATTCACCAATGTGTTGAGAGCTGTGCTTACCAAGAGACCCTTCCGTTTCATCAGCTCACACAACTCGATGCCCGAGTGTCCATTTGTTTTTGACTGGTCAATAACCATCGCGTTGAGTAAGCCCCTGCCACGAATTGCTTCGATGACTGGGCCCGGAGTCCGTGACTGGACACTGAGCAGACCGCTTCGGAGGATATGGCCAAGATGATTGGCACGTTCAACAAGGTTGTCCTCCTCGACAACTTGGAGAGCGCGCATGGCAACTGCTGCACCAAGTGGATTACCGCCATATGTTGAGCCATGTGTTCCGGGCTCAACAGTAAGAATAACGTCATCATCTCCTAGAACACAAGAGACTGGATACATGCCACCTGTGAGAGTTTTCCCCAGAAGCACCATATCCGGCCTGATTCCGCTCCAGTAGTGGCCAAGCAGTTTCCCCGTTCGTGCGATGCCAGTTTGGATCTCATCGCAGATTAATAGAACATTATGCTTGTCACAGAGTGCCCTTATCTCTTGGAGATAGTCGTCATCTGCTACAATGACGCCTGCATCACCTTGAATTGGCTCGATAATGAAGGCGGCAAGGTTGAAGCCGGCGGTCTCAAATGCTTCCCGTAGACTCTCTTTATCATTCAAAGTGATCAACTTGTTAGTCCCTGGGATGGAGCAGCTGGTTTTGGGAACCAATGGGCCATAGTTATGACGTGACATCTCATCAGAGGCTAAAGAAATCGAGGCCAACTACAATAAACGATAGGGTGTCAGTCATATTCATCGATATCCCTTCCTTTTTGCCAAGACTTTGAGCGATCTTCTTACTCACTGTTCGTCCATGGTGATTACCTGCGGCACCAAGAACAATGGCCTCGTCCTGTGGTACACCTTTGATTTTATAAGCCCATTTCCGTGCAACCTTGATTGCGGTTTCAGAAGCCTCCGCTCCGGTGCTCGACGGCAAAACCCTATCGTAGCCAAAGAGCTTTGTAACAAATTCCGCGAATCGAGGATACACATCGTTGTGAAAGGCGCGAGATGTCAAAGTTAATCGCGATGCTTGATCGACAAGTGCTGCAACGAGCTTTGGGTGACAATGGCCATGATTCAGGGCGGTCGAAGCAGAGTGGAAGTCTAGAAAATGATTTCCCTCAGGATCCCAAACAGAAGCACCCTGTGCACGGGCAAAGACTATAGGGAGTGATTGGTAGTTTTTGGCTGAATAGTCCTGTTCGGCTGAAAGGGCTGCTTCGGTATTAGCAAATCGATTTATTATAACATCGCTGCTGGTGTTGGAATGCATGGTGGAAAGGCGATAGTACGTTCCGTTGAAGTTGGAAGAGCAAACTTGAAGAGATTGACAGCAGAGGAAAGTATATGATCTGGAAGGGTAGTTGCTGAAAGTCCTGCTAGCGGGGGGGATTAAAAGGGGCGGGGTCGTTGTATCTTGAGTATATCTCACTAGCCACTGTGGCACCTGATTCGTGTAGGTACTAACTACCTGACTTACTTGAGTTTACTAATATCTCTACGATGATGTGGGTCAACATGCCAATTTGTTCGTAGCTGTTCTGCCGAAGAGGCCTGAGACCATTCATAAAATGGCCAATATTAGCTTAGTTAGCATTGGATTACCACTCTGTCAAACTTTCAGAAGGTGGCGGGCTTTGATCGGCTTCGGTACACCACCACCCCATTCCTAACGCCTAGTTCCTAGCAAACCCTGAATCTTATGGAATATTCTAAATTTGCGATTCTCATGGGTGGTTGAGTCTCAGGTCTGAAAGATACTACATTTGGAACAGCCCGAGTGGATTATTTTTCATTGGCTTCACTTCAGTCATTTTTGCCTGAGCTTAAATTGAGAGATAATTTAATACACAGAACATGCAATATTCATTTTCCTACGGAACAAGAGACACTTCTACAAGTTACCACGCAATGCTTGCTCTTTCTCAAAGGCCTCAAACAAGCTCTTAAAATTTCCAGCTCCAAATCCATCAAAGTTTTCCCGCTGGATGATTTCCATAAACACGGTTGGACGATTGACAACGTGTTTTGTGAATATTTGCAGAAGATATCCACCCTCATCAAAGTCGATCAGAATGTTGTACATCTCTAAAATCTTTATGTCCTCTGCAATACTGACATTCTTGGATCCCAACCGTTCCTTAATAGTGGTATAATAGCTGTCAGGCACTGAGAGAAAGTTGACCCCACGCTTCATCAGGCTTTCGACCGTCTCGATGATATTGTTCGTTCGAAAGGCAATGTGCTGACAGCCTGCCCCATTGTAGTAGTCGACAAATTCCTCAATCTGGGACTTTTTTAGACCTACAGCGGGCTCATTCATAGGCATTTTGACGATTTCGTTTGGCGAAGCAACCACAACAGAGCGCATGGCAGAGTAATCCGAGCACATGTCTTTATCATCCACAGACCAATATCTATGGAAACTCAAGGCATCTTCGTAACTGCCGAAATGGTCAAGCTCAGCAATTGATTCGAGGACTTCTATACAGAAAAGAAAAAGAAATGGTAAGACTTACTATTTCACAGTCTCATCCAGCTCATTCCAAGGCTGATTTCCCACACAGTGGTCAATTTCAATCAGGTCCACTTTGGGTAATTGCTCATTCAACCTGTCCATATTCGTCACCGATTGGTACCCCGGGAGAAAGACCCCATGATACTCGGAGCGGTTGATCAATGAATGGACTGTATCACCGTAGGTCTTAATTGTTGCAAAGAGCACAGTTCCGTCCTTTTCATCCTGCAGCAAGGTCGGTTTCTGAATAGGCGTTGCCCCATTCTGGACAGCTTGTTCCCATGCGCCTGTTACATCATCAACCTTAAAGGCAATATCTTTAACCCCGTCACCGTGTTTTGTTAGATGATCATAGATATCATTCAAGAACCTGCGATCATCTTCGGAGGCGCGCTTCTCTGATGTGTTGTCGGGTGCGGCAATTGGGCTGGTCAAGACAAATCGTGCGTCGCCGTTGGAGACAACATAGGAACATGTCAGCCACGATTCCGTTTCCGGCCCGCGATACGCATCAATCTTGAATCCGAAGTGGGCGACGAAGTAGGTAGCTGCTTGACGTGCATTACCAACATACCAGCTTATATAGTCAAAGCCAGTGTAGTTGGGATCGATACTGCTAATAGTGGTCGCTTTGGGTGGCCCTCCGGGAGAGTCTGTCCTGCGTACGGTGAACGGCATATTGCCTTTTTAGATAAGGGGGCACGATTATTTCGAGAAACAAGAGTTTACAATTTGATCCAACCATGCATGGGTCTTTATACCTATGTCCTGGAAAAAGAGGCAAGTAAGCCCCCAAATTAGGGCACATGAAAGGTCCCTCAAACTATCGAGGAAGGGGTCGAGCTCAACTTACATATTCAGCTTGCAGGCATATTTTGTACGAGGCTACAAGGCCCCCCCCTGTCAAACTGGCATACTTGAGCACGAAGGCCTTTACTTCATCAAGAAAAGCTGGCAAATCTTTTTGATGAAGGTTTATTCAAGAGTTACGGAAGTAATCGTACTTATAGCATATCTATGACCTAGCGAGCGGTTGTACAGAGCGTGCAAATATGGACCTTTTCACACGTTTCCATACAAATATTCTGATTAGAGTCAAGGAGACATATTAAGACCCACTTTCTCGCCCCACTTCTTCCTGAATTTGTCCTAGATTCTCGCCTAAGTGGATTCCGAAGGTAAGGAGTAGAGCTGATGGCCTCCATTTGAGCAATTAGTGGCTGGCTGAGAGTATCTGCATATTTATCATGATGTAACCCAGATTTCGCGAGCGGATTTAAAGCCTAAGTCTCAAGGCACATGATGATTCTCCGAAATGAGAAACTTTGTTCCTCTAGAGTGTCAGTGCTTTGGCTATGGGCAAATTACACCTTCAAATTGGACAATTGAGGGGTAGCGAATACCAAAGTGTATACATGCTTCATGACAATGGAAGTCTCAAATCGTAGTGATATATGAGCGTAAAGACTCTTTGGCACTCTGGCTGATTAACTTAACCTTGGAAGTCACTCTGTAAACGGACGGTGGGATGCTGATGCGGATGGACGAAAATATCTAGAGGGCTGTCAGTTTGCATCCTCATTGCTGACTGAAGCGTCATGGCATCTGGGCAACAACAGTACCTTAAATATATGCAGCAGCAAAATAAATAACTACTATGAACGCTATGACTAATTCACCTCCTTCAAAAAAGAGCTAATACAATTTTGAATGGATTTGTGATTCAACAAGAGCCCATTGGGGCATATTTCTGGATGTGATTTATCTAGTGCACCAAGTGTGCCCTGGTGATGAGCTAAATCTCTTCTTCTTCGTCCATTTTGTCCTTCGCAGCACCTTCCCCCTCATAGATACACCATAGCATAAGCCACCCGATAATAGCTTCAGCTCCCAAGGCCCACCACATGGCACCCACCATGTTATTTTTAAGGCCAACTCCAATTCCCCAACCACCAATAATTGGACCCAGTGTCCGCGCAGCACTGGATATACTCTGCGCAATACCATGTATTGTCCCAAGACTCGATGGGTCACTGACAGAGTTGTTAATTAGAATGGTAGTTGCCGGAAGGATGAAGGTGCGGGAGACTGTCTTTAGAATTATGACAAATGTGAGAGCAGGCCAGAAAACCCCTGGTATGCGTGGGAGAAGCACCAAAAATGGCATCAAGATATATGAAACGGCTGAGAGTGGCAAAAATGTACGCAACGACAAGAGTGTCCCTAGCTTATGTTGGAGACGGGGGTAGACAAATATTTGGAGTGGAAGACCAGTAAAGCCAATTATAGCGGTGGCAATTCCAACCTGCGCTGATGGAAGGCCAAGTCCTCCACTAAAGTGGAACATGTCAGTGAAGGTATCTGTGGGGGCACGGGGGTTTGGCAAGAAGATGAATATCATGGCCTGAACAGCGTTTGTGTGGAAAGAAAGGAGGAAGTGGCAAAGAAGAGTAAGAACAACATTGCGTGTCAATATCTTCTTGAAGCCTGCATTTTCACGCAGTTTGGATTTGAACGATATTTGAGAAGATGCAGGGTTAGGTGGTGCAGATACCAGACTTGTATCTTGGTCGGCGCAGTTTTCATCACTTGCTCTAGTTGAAGGGTGGGAGTATTCAGGTCGTTGCTGAGAAATTCTTTGAGCGATTTTGCGCCCTAGATCTCTTCCCAAGTCGTAGCGGTGTCGTGTGATCTCGTGTGTCTTTGTCCAGGGTCAGCTTCTCGTAATTCATAGAGCTCGGAATCCTTACCTCGTCTAAACCAAAGAATACCGCAAGAAAAGACATAAAGATAAAGATAGAACTCAAGATATTCGGCAGTGCAAATGGCCAATTTTGCATCCACCAGACACCCTCTTCACCCCCAAGTATGGAGCCTTTCCCAAATATGTGGGGGAAGTTATGAACAGGATCGGCTAAGGATCCTCCCATGATAGGCCCAATAATCACGCCAACATTGAAGCACATAGGGAGCAACAAAAAGGCCCGTGATTGAAACCTGTCTTTGTCAGTCTGGGGTGTTATCGATCGCTGTTTAGAGAACATACTTCTTATCTACAATGATATCCGAGATGATAGTGCTCATAACACCAACATTACAGTTCAATAATCCACCGAATACCCGACATATTGCTGCAGTAGCCAAAGACCGGGAGAATCCGAATGCAAGATATGAGATCATACTGCCCATTAAGCCGATGAGCAGGACCCTTTTACGACCCATGTAGCCGGCATCGGCCAGTCGACCCCACCATGTTGATGTGAAAAATTGAGCGGCAGGAAATATTCCAAGCATAATTCCCACTTGTGCGGAGACACTCGAGGCCGGTAAGGACGGGTTAAAGGACGAGAGCTGGTGGAAAAGGTACGCTTGCAGGGAGCTTTGTGTGAGTCCCTCTGATAACCGTGCAAGTGTCAGAATTGCCAGCTGCCCTTTTTTGGGAAGCGAGCTCCAAGATGCTGGTTTTTCTGATTGCTCTACCTCGGGTTGCAGGGTATCACTGCCAGTGCTGCTGTTGCAGCTGTTCCTGTCTGCATATTGGGCGCGCTGGTGATTTTTAATCGAAGGGGCGGATGCCAACCCCTGAAGTCGTTCTGAGGTTGAGGTGCAAGAGGTGTTCTCGGACTTGTCCTCGCTGTCACTAAGCAAGTCGGTACGAGTACTTGTATGTGGTGAAAGAAGCGGTGTCCGCTCACCATTTGTTGCGAAGCGGGATCGACCCGTGCGGTCCAGTGAAAATAACCCCATCGACTAACACGGAAAGAGTGAAGCCAAGGGAGGTATATCCAATTCGATCCTCTCTGATGTGTTTGAGTCTGATGATGCAAACGATTCAAGAGGAGGAAAAATAATCAGAGTTTGATTCTCGACTGGCATCACTTTATTTATCATCCCGCCTTAAGTATTGGAAGATCGTCCCTTGCCGTGCCTTAGACATGCCCCTTGCATCTCGAGGGCCCGAGTTTCCCCCTTAGCCGATGCCCCGGGCGGGCGGGTCAGCCGAGAATATGAAATATCTACAAAATGCACCAGGAACAGCCTCTACCCACATATCATTACGAATATCAAATTCTCTGAGAGCCTATAGGAAAGCTGATTGAAGTACTACTACTCCGCTTGTAGAGCGATGAGTCCATTTGTACGCTGCAGAAAGCTCAGCCGGCTTTACTGCTCATTGAATTGGAGTATTCCTAATAAATTAGGAACTGTCCCAATATATATTTTTAGACTTTTCTAGCTGCAGTATATATGCACATTTTCAATAAAATGAACTCCGTAGACCAATCATTTTTCAAATAAGCAATATTATTTGTTGATAAATTCATCAAACCAATACATAGCTCGGTATATCTTCAACTAGTTCACTAGAAAAAAATAGATAAATAAATCGGGTGCGACAGAGGACAACTTCCGAGAGGTTCGTTTGTGTAGTCTGACCCTATGTACATAATCAAGTGATATAGTAACTGATGTATGTGTACGGGGTTCGATGAGCGCGATGTGGTCAGGGGTATTTAGGCGGACAGAAAAGACTACTGCGTGTTTTACTAGTGTCTCAATTTTCTAGTGTTTCCCTAACAAACTTGGACAAAACTACTATAGGCAGCCCCTTTTTTGGCGATCCTCCATTTGGCCTCTCCTCCTTCTTAGAGATTGATTACTTGCCTTTGCACTAATTGTAATGGCTCTTCATTCGCTGTAGCGAGGCTAGTATTTAAGAGCCGAGTACACATAGGACTGGTACTGCTGGATACAGAGGGACTGGATGGAATGATGAATGGATGTGTGATGTGTGCTATGGAGGAGGAACTAGATGGCTATCTACTACATGTAACTATGGGGACGGGATTAATATAAGCACCAGAGCCTGAGCCCTCAGGTCTCAACAAGTAACGTGGTTGGTAAGCGAGCTGCGCATGCAAGCGAGCTGCGCAGCCGCCCACTTTTTCGCGTCCTCCCGCGTTCATCTAATTTCTATCAAGCACTATGCCTCTAATTCGTCTCCATTCAAGCCAAGACTCCATCGAGAGAGAGGGCCGTATATTACTTGGAGCGGCGCACCCAAAACACATAGTAAATGCGATAAATTACAACTTCATCTCTCAACCACCATATATAATTCCTGTTTGATTTTTGGTTTATAGGTGCCGCTTAGTGGTATAATTAAAATATTTTAGTTTAAAGCTCATCTAATAACTAATACATCGGGTTACCAAAAAATACGTATTCAGTTCAACGAGGATATATATCTCCAAATTTCATAACGTCTATTTATTTATTAACCTTGTTAGCAATTTATTTTTCTGCCTTGGAGCATTTATCATTAACAAGACTCTAAAATATTTTGTTGTTGGTGAGATATGAAGTTGTAATTTATCGCATTTACTATGTGTATTGGGGTGCGCCGCCCGCCCGTGTGCGCCACTCGGTAGTGAAATACGTTAGTTAACTACAGTACACAGCGTGTGCTATTTAGTAATTATGAGGGCAAATTCCGTTATTACGTCCTCACAGTAATGCGCTATGATGGTAATGATCTGATCGTTATGTATTGCGTGCTGTTCGCGGTGAGTTTTCAAATATAGGTCAATGATACCGAGTTAGTGAGGGAAATGGTTTCTGTCTTTCAAGTTCGTGGTCTTGTGAATTTCTGATAGTCAATTACGACCGCAAAGAAAAGACTTCCTCGAGAGTTGCATGAAGCAATTTCCCAGTATATACCTAATATATTTACAGTACTTTCCAAATATTTGGGGGCTGATCAAATTAATTGTGAGAAGGCCATTGAATGCTGCTTCCGAAATCTAGTACCCGGGAATCAACTGGCTTGGTTTAAAAGGTTGTGATAATTATTCGAATTCATTTCATATTGCGTGATTATATTGTTTGGTTTTTTGATGTGCTAGAAGTTCAGCTTAAGGAATGGGGCTTTTCTATAGCTAGCTCCAATGCCTCTAAGCCACTTTGATATCACGATCGGCTTCACGATTCCAGCGATGCCTAAATTTCAGAATAATCCAAGCAAGCAACCCCCTACTATGGTGAGATATAAGGCTGTATTGGTTGCTGTGCAAAAGCTCAACAATTGTGAATTTATCTCCAGAACAGTTCCTTGAAAAACTAGACTGACTGTATTGAGCAATTTCGCCTATGTAATTAGGGGTTGAAAGAATGTCTTCCATATCTCTGGCATTTGAATTCCATAGTGGAACCCGCAGTAGGAAAGATGGTAACTGCTAGTTAACCGAACACAAAAAAGTTAGGTTCATAGAGGGCTGGAGATATTTAAGGCCCCTCAAAATCTCGGCAAAGACGAGCTAGAGAACTTGCTGCGGCATTGATGTGCGCGACATTTGCCGAAAGCTAAATAGACTTTTACTAGCATTGAGTTCTATGCCGTCGGCCACCAGATTAAAGACCGAAACAATTTTGCATATCCGATCTTAAGGCCGTTGGAATATCCGGAGTTAATACTCAATAAAGTAAAGCTATAAGCTGCTGACACCCCACTATGACATGTAGATAGACTCTTCACCGAAAACATGGAATCCGAAGGAACTTTGGCCGAAGGCGTCTAAAATGCCTACTCTGACCAAACAGTAAATATAGTCGAAGCCACTTTGATGCCATGATTGTCATCCCCGTTAGTGCTACCTAATAGTCGCGAGCCATGGAAGGTATTTATCGGGCTATACCCAGCCTTTCTAAATGAAAAATAAAATTAGTCCGACCCCTCAATACTTGGAAAATGAGCCATTTCGCATGAATATACCCCGCGCTCGCCAAAATAAGTTGTGTTGCGCAGTAAGCCCCACATTAACTATCCCCGTACTCTTCCCCACACGAACCTCCGCAGAATGATAAAATTTATGCAATAGTGAGTTCGGCATGTGGGGGTCCAAAGAAATACTTCTAGTGCTAGACTGGCTCTCTGAGCCGATAACTCTCCGCGTCTAGTATCGGTACAGTTGACCGATCACTCGGCTTCAGGTACTAGGATTCTGGATGCGTCAACTACCATCAGCTCAAAGACGACAATGATGGTGGCATATCCCATGAAATTTATGCCGATTGGCTAATTTTTTCAACGGAAGTCAATGGTCATGAAACGAGGAAGAGGAGAAACTTGGCGTAGCTGCAGCTATTAGTACTGTCTCTGTTCTGCCGAAGTTTACCCAGCTCTTAAAGTTAAAATGTGGACGGGATAGACTTCTTGCCCGTCACCCGATTACTTATGTCCTAATGTACACCACTTGTTCAGCGCAAAGCATAAAATCGGGACTAGTGTATGCTACTATAACTCTAAGTGTGGGGAAGAACCGGTATAGTCGGCCGCCCCGGACAAGTTAAACGGGGAATTAGCTTGCTGATCCTTTGGCTTGGAGCTCGGCCTGTCGGAGTATGGCAGCATTGTTAACTGAGGGGTATAATGGACAGATTTTGAAAGGGGGAAAAGGTATTTAGAGGGCCATATGCCTCGGTTTGGGTGGAGGTTCTCGTTCATTAGCTCAAAACATAGCGGTTGAAGTCATTGCGAAGCGCAGAACGGAACTATGTTGTCTCAAGGAAAGATTGGAGTTGCTTTGGCAATTCTGTCTATGTGTGGATTGGGTCATACGGAAGAGAATATCACTTCGGATACTCACTTTTATGGCCAGTCTGAGCCCGTCTATCCTTCTCGTACGTGAAACAAACACACATATAGGCTTACTAAACTAATATATTATAAAGCAAAGGGCAAGGGGACCGGGACTGGGCTGATGCATACGCAAAGGCGGCAGAGCTAGTAGCTCAACTAACACTGGAAGAGAAGGTTTGTTTGCTACCGGAGCCTCGTGTTAACGTTGTTAAAGCTAATAAAACGCGAAGAATAATCTTACCTATGGAATCGCAACAACCGAAAATGGTTGCTCTGGAAATATTCCAGCTATCCCCCGAGTGGGATTTACTGGAATGTGTCTTCAAGACGCTGGTCAGGGAGTTCGTTTTACCGATTTTGTTAACAGCTACCCCAGTGGTATCCATGTCGGAGCGAGGTAAGAGAAATCGATCCTAAAACCAATGGAGCAACGCTGAAAAGAGAACTCAACAGCTGGAATAAGACTCTCGCGCACGATCGTGCCTGGCATATGGGTGGAGAGTTTAGGAAGAAAGGTGTTCAGGTCGCTTTAGGACCTGTCGTAGGTCCCCTGGGGCGAGTGGTAACGGGTGGTCGAAACTGGGAAGGTTGGTACTATTGTGACTACGAGATAAAATCCACAAGACTAACAGTTGGAAAGGTCCTTCTAATGACCCTTACTTGGGGGGCGTGATGGGCGCAGAATCTGTCCGAGGTCTTCAAGACCAAGGAGTGATCTCAAGTGTGAAGGTAATTACAAACCCAGGCGAGATAATGAAGATCCCTGAGAAAGGCCTGACAAGTCAACTTCTTTAGCATTTCATTGCAAATGAGCAAGAGCTTTACCGAAACCCTACCCTTGACGCCGAGAACCGGACTGTACAATCGATTTCGAGCAACATTGATGACAAAACAATGCACGAGCTATACCTTTGGCCATTCCAAGACGCACTCAAAGCAGGAGCAGCAAATATTATGTGCTCATACAACCGCATCAACAACTCTTATGCCAGTCAGAACAGTAAGACATTGAATGGTATTCTCAAGACTGAGCTTGGGTTTGAAGGATTTGTTGTTACCGACTGGGATGCACAGCACGCTGGCGTTGCGGCAGCTAATGCTGGGCTTGATATGGCTATGCCGGATGGCCAAACATTTTGGGGCAACAACTTCACTGAAGCCTTTAAGAATGGAAGCGTTTCGGAAGCTCGTTTGAATGATATGGCAACCAGGTATGATCTTTCCTTTTTCCCTTGATGGAGATTAGTCATTGTACTAATGTCCACCAGAATCATCGCATCTTGGTACAAACTTGGCCAGGATGAGTCGAGCTACCCCAAGCCTGGAGTTGGAATGCCATACAACCTCAGCGAGCCTCATGATATCGTCAACGCATTGACTGCAGATGCCAGACCTGTTCTCTTTGAAGGTGCGGTGGAAGGTCATGTTCTTGTCAAGAATGTGAACAAGTCACTGCCTTTACGGTCACCAAAATTGTTATCTGTGTTCGGATACGATGCCAAAGCCCCTGATGCTTACATGCCAAACGGGCAGAGCATCCTCACCAACGCTTGGGCAATTGGCTTCGAACCAGCAATCTCCCATTTCTCGGAGCTTTCTTTTGCTGCGACGGTCATTAATGCCCCGTACTATAGCCAAGTTGCCTTCAATGGCACCTTGAGTGTTGGCGGCGGTTCAGGTGCAAGCGCTGGTCCTTATCTGAGCGCACCTCTTGATGCGCTGCAGCAACGAGCCTACGAAGATGGAACGGTGCTGATGTGGGATACTTCCGATGCCCCCGGACAACTGGATTGATGGAGGCGTCCGATGCGTGTCTTGTTTTCATCAATGCGTTCGCTACAGAGGGTTCCGACCGTGCTGGAGCATACGATGACTATTCAGATGGACTTATTAACCAAGTTGCAACCACATGTGCCAACACGATCGTTGTTATCCACAACGCTGGTACTCGTCTGGTGGATCAATTCGCGGATCATCCTAATGTCACTGCTATCATTTTCGCACACCTTCCCGGCCAAGATTCCGGCCGAGCTCTTGTTTCTCTGCTATATGGCGATGAGAATTTCAGTGGCAAGCTTCCTTACAGTGTGGCCAAGAATGAATCCGACTATGAGAATTTCTTCCATGTCGGGGCGACTACTCCATATGGTCTTTTCCCACAAGATGACTTTGAGGAAGGCGTTCTGACTGACTATCGTTACTTCGATGCGAAGAATATCACTCTTCGATATGAGTTTGGTTTCGGTCTCTCCTATACTTCCTTTGAGTTCTCGGGTCTTGAAATTTCCTCTGTCGAGGATGGCATTGCCGCGTATCCTAGTGGTGCCATTGAACAAGGTGGTGCGATTGATCTATGGGATATCGTCGCCACTGTCAAGGCTACTGTCCAGAACACTGGGGATCGAACAGGCGCAGAAGTTGCCCAGATTTATATTGGTATTCCGAATGGGCCCGTGAAACAGCTTCGTGGATTCGACAAAGTCAAGATTCCGGCGGGTAAATCTGTTCAAGTATCCTTCCCTCTCACTCGTCGTGATCTCAGCAGTTGGGATGTGGTTGCCCAGAAATGGCAGTTGCAGAGTGGAAGCTATGATGTCTTTGTTGGCTCCTCCAGTCGTAATCTTCCTCTGAGAAGTACTCTTAACATTGTGGCTGACGATAAATGATAAGCCCAGAGAGTCGAGATGTACATAGGGCTTGAAGTTGGGATTATGAAATTAGACAAAGATATTCAAGTTTAGATCCATGAATTAGCCAACAGGCCACAAGTTGACGAAGAATAGACAGTATGGCAACAAAGTAATACTGCCACAACTTGATTAAGCAGCAAGACTCTTCCCAGCCCTCCACAAAAGATAGAGACAGCTTGCATTTCCCCACCACCAAACTAAACCGCGTAATTGACTCCAGGTGGGATGATCGATGAGAATATAGACAGCACCATAGCAAAGCCTCGCAAGTGTGTAAGACAATCCCGCAACATTAATAGTGCGGGCAGGAACACCCGCATGCGATGCAAATAGAATGCTCGCAACAAGAAGAGTAAAGTTCTCAACCGAGTTGGCATGCGCCGCGTCATTGCGCTTGAGCATGTCAAGTTGTTTGCGTGTCAATTTTCCATCTCGAACAGCTGCTTCGCCATACTTGGCGAGATCCTCGCGTGGTGATGCTTGATGGTCGACACCGTACCATTGCTTGAGGGTGCGTGAAGAGAGAATGCCGTAAGCGTAGATGAAGTGGAACCCAACGAATGCGGGGCCATAATTGGGTATAGATGTGTTGAGGGTATCGGTGGCACGGAGGCCGACGGCCGTGAGTATTGAAGCCATAATTCACCAAAAAAAAAAAAACGATTGAGCTTGCTTATGAAGTGTTGATATGATGAAGATTTTTCAAGGAATGAAAGCTGGAAGGTCCCGGATATGCCGGCTTTAAAGGATGCATGGCGTCTGGGGGCTAAAATCTCACGTCTTTGAAATGGTGGTGGGTGGTGGTTGAAGGGAGTGCGGAGAAGAAAGAAAGTGCAGACTCCGCCGATTTGTCTTCTCCACTTAACAACAGCTCGACCTCATCCCACCACTTTCCAGCAATATGGTCAAGCCCCTCACCTTCAAGGGCGATAAACCCAAAAAGCGCAAGCAGCGCGACCCCGATTCCGAAAAGTCCACCAAGACCCGCAAGACTGACGCCCCCGAGGCGGAGAATGAGGACAACCCCGAGGACCAGAGCTGGGTTTCCGCTGAGGCAGCGAGCGACATTGCAGGTCCTATAGTGCTTGTGCTTCCCTCCGATGAGCCGGCCTGTGTTGCAAGTGATGCCAATGGAACAATCTTTGCGAGTAAACTGGAGAATTTGGTCGAGGGAGACCCCGCGACTGCGGAGCCTCACGATGTGCGACAAGTCTGGGTTGCGACGCGCGTGGCTGGTACCGAGTCATTCAGCTTCAAGGGACACCATGGAAAGTAAGTATTGTCTCGTCTCGTCTCTGTCCGAATCTATGTCTCTCGTTGGTCTAGGCATTCCAAGCTAATGCTGCGTTCTAGATACCTAAGTTGCGACAGCCACGGCCTCTTCAGCGCGACCGCCTCTGCCGTCTCCCACTACGAATCCTTCCTCGCCATTCCTTCTGTCGATATCCCCGGGACATTCGCTTTACAGGTTAGAGGTGGGGACTCGGAGAGTTTCATGGGCATCAAGGAGAGCGCGAAAGCTACAGGCGGCGTGGAAATCCGCGGCGATGCCACCACGGTCTCCTTTGAGACGACTGTGCGCATTCGCATGCAGGCACGATTCAAGCCGCGCCTCCGCGCGAATAAGGAGTCAAAGGCCTACGAGAAGATCAGCCAGAAGGAATTGGAGTCTCTTGTGGGGCGGAAGTTGGAGGATGATGACGTGAAGCGATTGAGGAGGGCGAGACGCGAGGGCAACTTCCACGAGGTCATGCTGGATGTTAAAGTCAAGGGCAAGCATGATAAGTTTGCTTGAGGCCTGCATTTTCTTGACTCACTTTATTCCAAGCAGAGTTGATTCTCTGATCAGGTCGTAGACTTCCGGGAGTCCGGTATATCACGCTGGGACGTGGTAGCAAGGCCGTATCACGTTTTGGGCGGGAAAAAAACACCCCTCGTTTGATTCTAAAGCCCTGTGAAATCCTGGGCACGGATCTTGTCAAGTCCTTCTTTATATCCACAAGCTGGCCTGGGCGTGAAGGCTCGATTTCTTCTCTTCGGGCTCGAATACTCCTTGACGAGAGCCACAGGCCCTTCTTTAAGGCCATCCCTATATAGGGTGTGTCTCCCGCAGCGTGTGACTCCGCGGTTCATAAATACCGTCACGATCTAGACTACTTCTAATTGTGCCCTAGTTTTATGATGATCGGCACGCAGTACCGTCATCCTGCTATTTGGCACCGTTGAATACAACTCTAAGCTCATTTTATCCATCTCTCAATCAACTCGGCGGCCGCAAATAAAGTATCATCAAGTATTGCCGCAAACCGCAAGCTCATGTATTTTGGGGGATCGCAGATACAACTCGGCAGAAGTCCATCTGTGCTTGGTAAACATCGAAAATTCCCCAAATCTAAAAACAACCAGCCTAAATTCTACGAGGTTCAAGTTCAAGTTGTCCCCTCCCCGGATGTATATCGGGCCTTCCCCCGCACTACCAAAAACCTTGGAAGAGGGCTACTATGCCGTTCCTCCAATCAAACAAGGATACAGCTTGGCTAAAAAACGGCACAAAGCCCACTAGTCCGTTCAGGTCCAATTTCTGCATACTTCGGTACTACCAGGGAATGTCACTATAGGTTAGACATACCCCTGTTTGTGGCGTTTTCCTCCTTGCCAAGAAGGCGTCTGCTCACATTTCATGCTCATGCTCATGTGAGGAACGCACGAAAGGGAAAAGTCCCGGTATTCGAGCTGTGGTCCAGAATTGGAGAAGGCTACAATGAGAGGAGGGATAGTTCTCGGATAAATTGAAAATGATTAGGCCCGCTTTCCTTTTCGCCCTTGGGCTGTGGGCTGCAGGTTGGACGCGGGTTACTTATAGAGGGATGGGTTAGCCTGCTTGTCTTCCTTTCCTGACATACTTGGGAGTGTTGCTTTTCATTAGCACCCTGGGCCTTTGGACTTTGCGCTCAAATGCATACCCCTCTTCTTTTCTTGTCACTATTATCAATTGGTGCTGGTGCAGTCCCAACCTATGGACTCGGCACGACCTCAGGCTGGGATTCGGCATACACAAAAGCCCAGACAGCACTTGCAAAGTTGAGTCAAGATGAAAAAGCCGGCATCGTGACCGGGATGACATGGGAGGGTGGTCCTTGTGTGGGAAATACCTACGCCGCCAACTCGATCGGTTACCCATCACTATGTCTTCAAGACTCGCCGCTGGGCATCCGATTTGCAAATCCAGTTACAGCATTTCCCGCGGGTATTAATGCCGGCGCGACTTGGGATCGAAGTTTGTTGTATGCGCGTGGTGCGGCGATGGGGGCTGAGGCTAAGGGTCTTGGTGTTCATGTTCAGTTGGGGCCTGTGGCTGGACCGCTGGGCAAGAATCCTGATGGTGGGCGCAATTGGGAGGGTTTCTCGGTTGACCCTTATCTTAGTGGTGTTGGGATGGAAGAGACGATTCGTGGAATGCAGAATTCGGGGGTGCAGGCATGCGCCAAAGTATGTTTTTTTTTTCCCGCTTCCCATTTGGGAAATTGTGAGGTCTTTTCTTTTGGCTGACTGCGTGAATAGCATTGGCTTGGTAATGAGCAAGAGGTTTATCGTGATACGATTAGTTCGAACATGGCTGATCGTGAGACTCACGAATTATACGTGTGGCCATTCATGAATGCGGTTAGGGCGGATGTTGCATCTGTGATGTGCTCTTACAATAAAGTCAATGGGACTTGGGCCTGTGAGAGTGACGAGCTCCTGAACGAGCTTATGAAGAATGAGCTCGGATTTCGAGGATACATTATGAGCGACTGGAATGCGCAGCACACTGGGGTGAACAGTGCTCTGGCCGGACTGGACATGACGATGCCGGGAAGTGACTTCAACACGCCACGAGGAAGCATCTTCTGGGGCTCAAACTTGGTCGAAGCCGTGTCCAATGGCTCAGTACCGCAATCTCGCCTTGATAATATGGTCACTCGTATCTTGGCTGCTTGGTACCTTGTCGATCAAGACCAAGGCTATCCGGAGGTTGCTTTTAGCTCTTGGAATGGTGGTAAAGCCAAAGTTAATGTGACTGCTGGTCATGCCTCTGTTGCTCGCGCCGTGGCCCGAGACTCCATCATTCTATTGAAAAACGAAGGCAAAATATTGCCGCTTGGACGACCAGGAAGCCTGGCTATCATTGGACAAGATGCTATCGTCAATCCTGGCGGACCTAACGCATGCAGTGATCGCGGTTGTGATAATGGAACGCTGGCAATGGGATGGGGCAGTGGAACTGCCGATTTTCCCGTAAGTTCCCCAGCCAAGGATATGAAGAGACTGAAACTAACAAAATATAAAGTATCTCGTCGGTCCCCTCGAGGCAATTCAAAAACAAGCAGACCAGCATGGAACAAAGATAGTCACCAGCACCACAGATGACTTCACAGCAGGAGCACAGGCCGCTGCCGCTGCCGAGACAGCAATTGTCTTCATCAACGCAGACTCAGGGGAAGGGTAAGCACTAACCGAAGAGCATTCACTATCCGATCAACCTTGATAATATCTCCAAACCCACTGACGCAACATGCTAACAATCACCCAGATACATCACGGTAGAAGGCAACGCAGGAGACCGCAACAATCTAGACCCCTGGCACAACGGCAACACCCTCGTACAATCCGTCGCAGCCGCGAACAAGAACGTGATAGTGGTTGTACACAGCGTAGGACCAGTGATACTAGAAACGATCCTCGCACAACCATCCGTGAAAGGCATAATCTGGGCCGGACTCCCCGGTCAAGAAAGCGGGAATGCCCTAACAGACATCCTATTCGGAACGACCTCACCGAGCGGTAAATTGCCCTACACAATTGCTAGACAGCGCGCGGATTATGGCGCGGGATGGATTAATGCGCAGAGCGATCCCTTTTCTGAGGGCATCTTTGTTGATTATCGCCATTTCGATGAGCAGGGTATTGAGCCGAGGTATGAATTTGGTTATGGGCTTTCGTATACGCGGTTCAATCATACTGGGCTTTCGGTTAGTGTGTTCACGACTTCGGGGCCTGCGGTTGGATCTGTTGTTTCTGGGGGACCTGTGGAGCTTTTTGAACCTGTTGGTTCGATTACGGTTCAACTTGTGAATAGTGGTTCGGTTGAAGGTGCGGAAGTAGCGCAGCTTTATATCGGGTTGCCGGATTCTGCGCCGCCAAGCCCACCGAAGCAATTGCGTGGGTTTCAGAAGGTTAAGTTACAGCCTGGACAAGCTGGTACGGCTACGTTCGAATTGACACGACGGGATATAAGTTACTGGGATACACCGACGCAGAAATGGGTTGTTCCTGGTGGGACATTCAAGGTCTATGTGGGGGCGTCTAGTCGAGATATTCGCCAGCAAGGGTCATTTGTTGTTGGAAAGTACTAGCTGAGGTTATTGAGAAATGAGAATACCATTCAGCTTTTACTATATTGTTCGAGTCAAGAGTCTTACTAGTACTATTTGTTCTTCCTTCTTCCGAGGCCCTTCTTTCATTTTCTTTCTTCCATCTTCCATCTTCCGATATAGCAACGCAAAGAATTTCCAGAAAAGAGCATCAGTATCAGGGCACATAAAGGAACGCGTCAAACTTCCAAGTGCCAATTTCTTGAAGATCACAGAATGTGACATAAAATGAGTCATCGAGAGAGAGCTTTTGCGCATAGGAGACTGACGAACAGACAGCGTAAGTGATGAGGAACTTGATAGCATACTATTGCAGAGGAACAAACAGCGCACAAGCACGCAAAAAATACTAGTGATGATAATAATAATAATAATGAAAATGGAATAAAAGAGAATGGAAGAACGGAGAAACATCGAATAAAAAAGAGTCTTGAAATTATAAACACTAGAACGGAGCCAGATCGTTTCGAGTCTATTCAATAAAAAGGATGGTGTAGCTGTAAAGAATGTGGGGGCTCACGAAGTATAAGCCTGGGTATGGAGTCTAGCTAGCAGGAGTAGTACACGGGAAATCGGAAATAAAAAGCAGAGAAGAAGAGGGGAAAAACGCACACCAGAAAGACAAGGAAGAGAAAAAAGATCATAATGATAAAAAGCAGGGAAATTCGAGGTAGGATTGTAGAAGAAAAGAAAAAGCATTCTTTCGCGGAAATTAAGCACAACGGACTGGGACTGTGAAGTCTCCCAGGGTGAGAAATGGCCACTGGCCCGGTGGTCTAGAGAAATCTTCTTTGTTTAAGGTGGAGGAAATCTGGAAGATCGGGAGGAGAGAAATTTGTCGGGGGCGGATTGTACAAGTAGTTCGTAAAGAGTGTGGGGAGGTTGAGTTGTTTGAGGAGAAAGACGAGAGAATACCATCACGAATTGAGTGAGAGACCCTGGAATCGACTTGTCCACTCAGTTTGTGCTGGGTGCATGCGAGCCGCAGCGTTGCCGGCACCGCCAGAAGGGTAGTCGGCGAAGCCTGGGTCCATAGGACCGAAACTGGTGGGGGAGTAGGGGCGCGAACGGGTCGCCTTGTGCGGTGTCAATCTGACGAGTGGGTTGAGCGAAGGGCTGGTAAGAGTCGGTGAATGCTGTTCGAAGCGCACCCACTGGATTGGGCATGTTTTCACGACCGGCGTCGATCGGATCTCGCCCACCATAGGCACTACCCTCGTGTTGATGGCGACGATCTGGGTGCTGTTGATCTTGGCTGTACAGTGGGTTGCTCATGCTACCAGGTCCTGGAAGACCAGCAGACGGAGGTGTCACAAAAGAGGCCGGATTGATCGCAGACATCCAGATTCGCGTCTTGTAGATCTTGAACAAGTCGGTGACCAGCGAGTTGAAGTTGATGTAGGAGTCGGCGAAGTAGTAGAAAGTAAGCTTCTTCCAGTCCCTATGTTGAGAGTTAGTTTGGTTATTTCAAAGGGAAAATAGAAAAGAGACTCTGGAAAACATACATCTGGAACTCGGCATCGAGAATTTCCATATTTAGGCGATGCTCAACGACCTTTTGTTGGCAGACCCGCTTGGCCTTGGCTTCGTTCCCTTCTTTGTCGCGCAGGGTAAGAATCTCGTGGTTTTGCGCAAGACGCTTGATAAGTTTCGGCTTGATGTCTGTAGCCGGTTCTTGGACACCGGGGGCATGAGGGCCCATTCCGCCTGTCGCACCGCGTGTGTTCAAACCCGGATTACCAACATTGGAGCCCTCAACTTGACCCTGTCGGGAAAACATCATGAGCCATTTATAGTGCTCTTCGGCGTACTGCTGCTTGAGCTCTCTCGCTTTCTGGAGCGACACATTGGCATGTTGGACAGTGCCTAGATCGGTGCCTCGGTCGGCCTCAACAATAACAAGATCGCCTGATTTCACCTGGAGCCCGGTATCTTCCTGAATGTAGAAGACATCAGCGCGATGGCACTTGAAAGTGACAATATAGAGAAGCTGATTCTGGTGGGCATGCGACAGTGCAGGTGGTTGCCGGCCATAGGCTCCAGACATGGCGTATTGGTTGAGGGCAGCTGGAATGCCAGAGGTGCCGTCTCCACGTAGAGTTTGCTCGCGGGGATAATATGATTCTGGCAAATGAGTTGGATTTAGAGCCGGCTCAGTGGGATATTGATGGAGAGCCGAATACTCACGAGGCTGCATGGACGGGTTGGGATAGTCACCCGCATTTCCGTATCCGTCATCTCGTTCTCCCAAGGCAGCTCGAGGAGTGGCTGTCGCATGGGAGTCAACCGAGCTGACGGAGGCATGGCGCATTGGTATATCAGCGAATGAGTGACGGCGACTTTGCGGAATATCGGCCATACTTCCAAACCCTAGAGAAGTCTGCCAGTGGCCCTTGCGTACGTTTTCGAGGGCGCGATTCTCCAGAGGCGAGGAAGCAAATGATGAAAACTGCTGCTCCAGGTTCGCCGAATGCTCCGAGTAGCGTCGCCCGGTATTGCCGCGCATGATGCCGTATCCATGGATATCGCGCAACTCCCCTGGATCCTCGGGGGCGATATCTTCCTCCGGAACACCTCCGTGGATGCGATGTGCTGCGTGTAGACCACTGGCAGTTGATGCAGAGGAAGATGCACGGTCACGGTAGCGATTATCCCTTTGACCTGCAGCTGCAGCCTGGCGCAAGAGCGCATTCTCGCGTGCAAGTTGTTCAATCGTTCTGGCTTGGCTGGCAGAATAGGCGACATCACCGTCAGAGCCCAGGCTTGATTCTCCGTCGTCGTCTTCACGGACACGTCCGAGCATTGCAGAATCGTGTCCCAACTCGCCGAGTACGCTTGGTCGTGAGGCCCGAGGTTGGCCAGAAGACATTTGACCAGGGCCGCGAGAACGACCACTAGGATTTGGATACGCACCGCCGGTGCTAGGCTTGTTTGCTGCAAGTCCCAGGAACTCAGGGTCCATTTGGCCAACAGAGTAAGATTGCGAACGGTAGGTCTTTGGGGTTGGATGTAGGGGAATTGAGAAGGGAATGGCCGATTCTCCCGAGATGGTGCGGGTGATGGGACTGAGCATCTCGTCGCCGAGCGAGGCGTTTACAGCTGGCGGGTTGGTCATAGTTGGGGAGGGTACAATCTCAGACAGACGAGGCGGGGGTTCCTTGCGAGATTCTGTGTTCCAGATACCAGTTCCCCACGGGTACTGACTGCCTCCAGATTGATTCCAATTGAAGGAGCTGCTGAGGCCAGGACTGGTAGATGAAGCCCACGGTGGCTGATCACCGGATGGGCTAGCGGGATTGGAAGGAGCAGATGCGAGAGGTCCACCGGGGAGTGAATGCTTCCTTTGAATGGAAATGGGCACCTCATTTAGCCAAGATGTCCGACGTACAGGCTTCGTTGCTGGTGCAGTGATAGTCTGAGACAAAGGGTTGTGTTCGCCGTCGTCATCAGAAGAAGCCAGCGCTTCGGAATCAGGAGTTGAGCGGCGCACTCCAGGATGACCTTTCTCGAGCCTGGTAGCATTCGTTGCCGGCAGCGGAGGAGTGCCCGACATCTGTTTGTGGGGTGGCGCAGACATGATTTCAGAAAATGAATCCTGCTCCGGGGTCAGCGGTTTATTCGCAGACTGATATCCAGAATGACCCGAGCTTAGCGGTCTTCGCATCACCGGGATGTTATTTGCGGGGGAAGATGGTGTGTGGGGGGAGGATGGAGTGCGGAGGGCAAGGTGGATCGGAGGGTTGCTGACCTGTGTCACCGTTGGGTAACGAGTGATGGAACTGTACTGTATAAGCGGAAGGTAGGCTTTTGAGCACACGCGACAAAGCACCTGTCTTTGATCCGCGCGCTTGAGATGTTGGAGAAGGAGAGATCAGTCTCGATCTTTAGATGTTGGAATGGATGCGGTACGTGCAACACTGGCAAGAGGAATAATGGTTAGCTTGCCGAAGGAGTGAAAGTGAAATGAAGAGAGAGAGAAAGCAAAAAATGGATCTCTTTTGATTAAAAAAGAGAAGCATGAAAGAATTCTCAAACATGTTTCGAGGGGCAATTTCAAGCAAAGAAAGACGGAGTTAAGCAGGGGGGGCACGTGTGTGTGGCATGACTTGAGGCTCGCGACAAAGCGGGGAGGCGGATGAAGAGCTCCAACGCGCCGCCACAGCTTAGTACAGCACAAAGCCCAATCGCACCGGCGCCGGGCTGAGACAGACTCGCGACCGGGCCGTTCGATCGGGAGGGAAGTGGAAGAGGTTGGGAATTGGATCGCATCGCATCGCATCGCAAGGCAGCGTGTGCAGGGCGCGGGCTCCCGGGCGATGCGGTAGCGCGCCAGATGCGGAGATAAGGCGACAAATGATAGTAGGAACGATTGGAAGCTCGCATGCGACGAAAGACTCACCAGGTAGAATAGGAATCTAGGATCAGTCTACGCCCAGGGTAGGCCCGCCAGACGCCTTTGAAAGGTAAGAACAAGCCGTAGAGTATCAACGAAGGAAGCAGTAATCGTAATCGTGGCTGGAGGCGGAATGGAATAATGAGCGACCGCGCGATAGAGAGGAGGAGAGAGAGAGAAGAGGAAAAGAGGAGAAGAGGGAATAGAGAAGGAAAGAGAGGATAGAAACCGACCACTCTAAAAACGAAGAAATCAATCTATTGAAGAACGCGCCGGTCTCGTGGGTCTCGTCAGAATTTCGACTGCTTCACAAAAAGGCGCGGTCACGGGGTTGCGACCGGGGCAAGTCGAAACGCGGAGTCGTGGAGATGTGGGAGAGGGTAAGAGAGGGATCGGCGATGGCTGCTTTCTGCTTTCTGCTTCTAGACTCTGCGATCTTGCTCTTCCGTCGATCGAATCTTGAAACGTGAATTTTCCAGGCGAAGTCTTTTATGGGAAAGACCGCCACCGTGGGAGGTGAGGCAACCAATGCGTTTGCGGAAAGTTGGGAGAGAAATAGGGAGAGAGCTGGTGGTAGCGTGACCACGAATGACGATATGGAGCACCAAGTCCCTTCAAGGGAGGCGCATGGCGAAAGATAGAAGGGAGTGGAAAATATTAGAGAGAAAGGAGGAGAGAGGAGAGAGGAAAGTAAAGAAGAAGAAGAAGAGAGAGAGAGAGAGAGAGAGAGAGAGAGAGAGAAGGAAAAGAGAAGAATAAAGAGGGGGACGGATCTGGCAAGGTCGCCCCGAATTGATGTTCAGGGGACACGGACCATTAGCCTATACGGAGTACTACATTGCATGGACTAGTATACCAGAGTATTACTCTAGTATCCATAGTATACTCTGGTATACTCTGGCGAGTATAATTTGGAAACTATGGATACTCTAGACACTCTCGACACTCCTACTCGCTACTTCTGACTGGATTCCAAGCGAGGGCCCAGATTAAAGCCGCTATGCAGCCTCTGTCAGCCCACAGCATCTTTGGCCCCCCCTCCTCGCACGGCCCACACATCGGGTCACACACTTGCGGGGTTGTGGGAGTGTAGTGTGCACACTTGTACGGCATCGGTCCTGGTTATCTGGGGAGCAGAGCAGGGAATCCGGGGGGCAAGATGAAGGTCATGGGCATGGGACAGGAGTATCCACGTCATGGTCACTGGCCATCAGTTATAACCAGAGTCAATATGTTCATGGCCCAACCTTGACCAGTCCTATGGAATCACCGACTCTACCCCGGACACAAACTCGAATGACACAAATGTGGGGGAATGGCCCAATGGGATCATCCTGGCCGATCCATCTTTTGCGGGGAGAGCTTGGACACTAACGTGCAGGAGGCTTTGCTGGGCCCCTCCATTCCACTCCTTTCCGGGTGACTTTTCCTGGTCCTTCAAGTTTTGATTATTTGCATTCGATGTCAATGATATCTACTGGGAAAAGATTGGTCGGGACTCGGAGTGCATTGAGATGGATGTTCTGGACCTCATCTTCATCCTAGTTCCCATCAACCACCATCGTCACCACTCCAGGATCACACCACCATCGTAGGACAAGTAAGATATTCAACTTGTTTCCCCTCCTCCCGCACCAACCTAATTTGCCTTGTCTAAGAAGACCTGGACAAGGCCAAACCACGGTTGCAAATCGAATCATCCGCCCTCTCCGAGTTTCCGAAGCTATACTATTACCTCTGCTTGGCTTAAGGTCAGAGGTCATCCAAAAGCACCAACAGTGGGTTTAAAGTGAGTGGACGGGGAAAGGCGCCGGGGCTTGTGGATTTGTGTGGACTTGTGGACTTGTGGACTTGGTGGACCTCGGCGACAAGAGGCGAAAGCAAACAGTGCCCCGCCTTGATCTTCGGTCCGCCGCACAAAGTACGCGGAGTAGTAGCACTTGAAGCTGTACTTCGAGCAGTACTTGGTTACTTGAAGTATCTACAGTATTCTCGCCACCACATAACTATAGCTCTATTCCATTTGGGTTTGTAGAGCATGTCCCTGTTAGATTTATTTTATTTTATTTTATTTTTTAAAGTTATTTTAGTATAATACCTAGTACTAGGTACTTCAAAGTATACATCTTCATCTTCATCTTCATCTCATTTTCCCTTTCCACTTCCCCTTCTTTTTCACATGGCCGACGATCGCCCTACTGCAACACCCCTCTTGTGTGCATCCCCCGCAACGCAGAAGGGTTCAGCTTCCCCTCTCGCTTAAGTCCACTCTGGAATCTGGGCGAGCCCCGTTCAAGTTCTAACTAGCGTTGCATCCAATACGGAGTCTCTAATTTTAATCTAGGAGGAATTGTCACCAGACACGCCTATTCACTCATGTACTGTACCAGTGTGCAACAGACTAGACTCAACTTCTAAAGCAAATATAATAATAGATTCGCTAGACTGAATAATTTACATACAATTCCTATTTTGTTAAACCCTGCCGTGCTGGGTAGATTTGTTAAACCTTGTCGTGCTGGGGATAGACCATTGCCATCCCAGTCAAGACATCCCACACTCTATCTATCGTATTGCGGATGCATCAACAACGAATGAGAATTTAAGGCGCACTGTCCAGCGGGCTGCTGGCCGTTGCGGCCTCGCCCTTCTGCTGTCGCAGCTTCTCCTCGAAGCGAGCGAATTCATGCATCGAGATCGCCTCCTCTTGATCCATGACCTGCTCTACGCCCTGGACCTCTTCGATCTGCAGAAAATTCGAGTCAGTAATTGGACCAACATAAATCACCTCACCCTAGCCCTACTCCCAGCCGCCGAGCGCTCCACGGAAAGCAATGGGAGGGGTATTGGGGGAATGAGGATTTGGGGGGGGGGGGTCGGGGTAAAACTCACATAGTGCATGAGCATTGACTCAATACCATTCTTCAAGGTAACAGTGCTAGAATCACAAGTACGACAAGCACCACGAAGCTTAAGCATAACAATTCCATTCTCGAACCCACGCAGCTCGATATCACCACCATCCTCCTGGATAGCGGGGCGAATGCGAGTTTCCAGAAGTTCCTTGATCATGCCAATGACCTCGTCATCCTCCTCATTGAAAGCAAGGGAGTCGTTCTCGAATTCCTGCGCTTCCTCTGATCCGTCATGTTCCACTGTCGACACAATCGTCTCACCGGATGTCACGGCTTGCGTGATGAGGCTGAAGACTTCCGGCTTGATGTGTGCCCAGTTTACGTCGCTGGACTTGGTGACGGTGATGAATTCGGGACCGTAGAAGACGGAGGTTACGCCTTCGACGTCTAGGAGCTTTGCCGCGAGTGGGGACGGGTGCGGTGGTGCGAGGGTTGAGCGGGGTGTGAGGTATTCGAGGAAGGACGAGGGGAAATCTTCGGGAATGACGCGGTGGTTGGGAATGAATTTGAGAGCCTGTTGAGGAATTAGTAGTTGTTTTGTGAGGGAAGCAACGCTTGATGATGGGTCATCGGGAAACTCTTACATCGGGGTTGGGTGTGTTTTCCGTCTGGATGAAGATGGTGCGCTTGCTGGTCGGGGACAAGCCGTTGACTCCGCTGGATGCAACAGGTTGCTGATGCGGTCGGACTGTCGGCCGGCGACGAGTCTCTGAAGCTGTGAGTGTTGGCAGACGGGCAGCGCTGGATACGCTCCTAGATGGGGCGAATGCTGCAGGCCTGATGGTTCGGCTGCATGACTCGGAGACGGAGGAGCCCAGACGGGCACCGAGCAATGCGCGACGGAACATGGTGGTAGATGTTGATCTCATGGACATATTATGGAGGGGCCTTGGGGTATCTTATGTTGCAGAAGGAAAGTGAGAGTATATTTGTATCGGAGCAAAAAGTTGAAGAAGCGCCGCATTTCGGCTCTGACGCAATTGGCCGGTCAGGTGACTGGCTTTAGGGAGGGATGACAAATGGGACAAACCCACGACACACGATTGGTTAATCCCGGTCAAGTTTGACCAGGTGGACCCACACCCAATAGATACTAATCTATAGGGGCATTTTTTGAAGTGAAGTCGAGCAAAGGAAATTGATTTTCCCAGGGTTACCTCGCATTTTGCATATAAAAGCCCATCGACCTACATATCATCTTTCAAAACGATCCGGAGTGGATGACCTTTGCTTTCTCGTGGCCGCTTCGTACTTGGGCTACCTGGTACTATTCGAACCATATCATCGGTGTACCCTATGCTGTCAGTAAGAGCAAACTACTATAGGAAATTAGACTATGTGGATAACGTTTACGCATTTTTGATAATAACTTAGCCGTTGGAAATTGCACCAAATCATAATTGAGATTGGTGATGCTCCCACTAGTTGAGAGCACAGCTTATTCATCACCTCAAGAGTAAACACTCGAATAGATCAATCAAAGTAATAGAAACGAGGGTGGTGATGATGATCCAGAAACAAATAAAGTGACCGGGATTCCAATTATCAGTCCATTTACACTGCCGCATGGCACATGCTGCGTCCTTCTTTCAGCAACTTAGCTTGCCACATTTGGCACAAGAATTCTGGACCCCGTAATCGCAAGCCTTTCCGGTTCCTCCCTGGCACTCGTAGACATGGCTATTGATGCAGGCCGAGTTGATTAGTTGATTACCGCAAAACTGTCCCTGGACTTTGTTGCAAATGCATTTAGTAGCTTTGCAAGCCCGTTTCTCGAACTAGTATCTATTGTTAGATACCAACGTATCTATTTCAGTTATTGAATATTTTGACTTGCAATGTTATCGAGGTCTCTCTTCATCGGTTCCGGAGCGGCAGCGCGAGCCTCCAGTGGCTCAGGAGCAGCAGCAGCAAGGGCAGTAGAGGCCAGGGCAAGAAAGGTGAAGAGACCAGTGTACTGAAGTGCGGCTGTCAGTGGTCAAAGCCTTACGAGATGTTTGGATTTTCCATTACCTTCATCTTGAGGGCCGTGAAAAGCTTGTTCAAAAGTTGGAAGACTTGGAACTTAGTATACTAAGGCGTGTTTTCCTGGAAACTCTCCCAAGTGAGTTGAAATAGACCTCATTTTATAGACCTCAGTCCCGGGAATGAGGCATTATCCATGATGATAATACGAGTTTTTCCATGGAGAGAATACGAACTGTGCGCTGATACTAGTTTAGCTAGTTTTTACCAGACCATTCAGAATCTCCCCTCTTATGCGTAGGCAGGTCGATGGTTGCTAGTCTTCGTGTTCCCAATTCCGATGTAACCTAAGAACGCAAGCGGCTCGTGTTGATCAGGGGTGGACTGTGACTACCAAACCTTTACATATCCCATTGGAGAGTGAAGAAAAGCCCCGATGCGTACTAGTAAGATGTGGAGAGGTGTATTTCCAGAATATACTACTATCCATCCCCGCGGAAACCGGACCCCGCGTTGTGAAGAATCTCCATGTTTTACTGGCATGCCCGCAAACCAAATTCCACTCCAGATTTGTCGACATTAGTTGGATCGATAATTGGCATCTCTGACTTGATAAAGACAACTTCAGATTCTTTTCGACTGATCCTACATAATATTTATGGTTGGTCAAGGATCTCGGCCTGGAAGCACCCGAGGGGAATTGTGATCGATTGAAGCCCTGCATAGGCCCCAATTCATAGTTCAGCCCTCTTGGTAGCCTGCATTTGCTGCCACTGCCCACTTTCACTTTAGCTGTAAGCATGACAATGCCAAAACCTAGATATTATATTAATTATCAATCAAATCGCGCTATTACGTCGATGTGACCTAGTTGCAATGATGCACTGAAACAGTGCCGCGGGGGATATGGCGGCAGCAAGTAGCATATAAAATCTGCTACTTCGGCCAAACTATATCCTTTAGGAAGGGGGCAATGCCAAATCCCAGCTTAGGCAGGTGCATGAAAACCGCCTGGGACCAGCGATGTTTCTCGGTGGCACCAATTGTGCGATAGAACTGCGTCGCTTGGCTGAATGGGGCAAGGAGAGTCTGGACACCCGTGCCCTTGGCTTTTGGCTGCACCAGGAATTTTGCCGAACGAAATATCAGGTCTGCGTAATGCTCGGTGACGCTCGTAAGAACCTCCGGTAGATTAGCGGACCATGTCGCATAGAAATTGGTAAGATTGAATAAAGGAATGTCCCAGAGAATGAAAGATTTGTGGCCGCGAGGGTGACCGAGAAAAACAAGAAGCTGGTCAATCAAAGGATAGAGCAGAATGAAGATATTCCAGTACAATAGGTGTGACTCTGTGCATGATAGAGAAGGGTATTCGATCGCGTCGGAGAAAAGTTTGAGAAATTGAATCGTCGAGATTACCCCAAAATGAGAATCGAGCTGGAGATGACCAAGGGACCCCGAGCTTCCCCTGCATGTTGCTGAGGCTGAGGTCAAGTTCACCCCTGAGAGAGAGGCACTTGTCAAGTAGCTTTTCTCCAAAGTCTTGATCTGATTGCCGATTTGAGTCCCCACTTTGAATCAGATGGTCGGTCTGCTCTATAAGCTCTGAGCATTTCATTAGGGAGTTGGTATCTTCATTTCGTCAAGAGAACAAACTGTTGTGAATTTTAATTGTCGGAAGTAAAGATGCTCAAACACAGTCGGCGAACCATTGCCATCATATTGGGCCAGTATGGCATTACTTCCTTGAACGTGGGCTAGCCATGCCTTGAAGCCAAGCAGAGAGGAGTTAATCAACTAAGCGGAGAAGCATTGTCAACTGGAGATCGGAATGGACATAGCAGGAAGGGCAGACCAGACCTCGTATAATTGGAAAATAACGGTAGCAAATAGCTCATCCAGACCACATCTAGAGGCATTTGCAATTCGACTGTGCACTGTCTTCAAAGCTTCTCCATATAATCTAGTACTGTAAGACAGCAATTGGAAATCTTTCCTGCGTTTTGCTAGAAGAGCACAACTCATAGCCGTCACCGCTTTGTCGAGGATTGGGCTACTCCCGACGAAGGCAGGGAAGGTATCTTGGAGGCGCACGGCCTTTCCAGTCTTTCCATCAAGAACTGGGCATGAGGGTGCAAAGTGGCTGATAAAACTCGCCACAAATTGGGTCCGAACCGAGGGATTGTCATCAAACCTAGGCAGATAAAGCTCTGTAGAGGGTGGTCGAGATGGTCTATCTTTTGTAATCTCCAGTGTAGGCGTGCGAGGTCGCCGAACGAGAGTCTCTGTGGCTTTGGCCACATTAGATCTAGAACAAGACATGGTTTTTTTGATAGCCCTCGCATATATAGCCGTTCTTCAAGCAGCGCACGCATTTTGGCTTGGCTTCGTTACACTATATGAGGAGTCAAAAAAGCAATTTTAATCGAAATGTAGAGTCTCTTGTTCATTTCAGGGGGATGACCTTGACTTTTCGCCGCCTGCACGTATTGCATCCTTTCGATTTGTATGGAGGCCCACCCCAGGCTGCTGGAGTCCCATCAAACCGGAGTGTTGCCCCCCGGCCAAGCCTCAGGAATACCAGCCTGAAGATACCTAGACTCGGACGTCCAGATATTCGGATCTTCAATATTTGAATCGCAACCCAGGGAAGGAAATCTAGGCAATATCTCCGTCAAGTACGGGGTTAGACTGGATCACGTGCAAATGTGGCTGCGATTGGCGGTAACCTTTTGGCCTCAGGCACCAACTACCTCTTTGGTTGATTTTATTTTTTGCTCAGCGTCCCCGCTAGCTCCGAGCTCTGCGAGAAAGTCACCTCCCATAACCTTTCCGAAAACGACTCAAGCGACATTCTAAGTCACTGGGTGAATATGACGGACTGTTATCGAGTTATAGCGCCCTGATTTGTTGAGCAAAAAATGCCCGGTTCTTGCGAAGTGTGTTCTTCGGAACCATCCAAATACCGCTGTCCGGTCTGCGCGTTGATGAGGTATCAAAACCTGCACCTTAAACCTGCACCTTAAAGATTTGAAGGTAGTTGACTGACATAGCTTGTGCTCCTTGAAGCTGCTCTCTCGCATGTACTCAAACTCATAAGATTTACTGCGCGCCCAAGCAACAAGCCCCGAACGAATCATCTACACCAATCGATACCGAACAACCCGTGCAAAACGGCGTCACAAACCACGAAGCAACAGATGGCGCCGTGTCCGGGGTGACCAATCTAAGCCCGCATCTATTGCGGCCTCTCCAGAGCTGACGGAACTCTTTCGCCGGCATCCAAACCTCCGAGACCAGCTGCACGAGATATACCAGTCAACACTCGAAGACGAATGGGTAGAATGGTACACGCCTCCTTCAAGAGGTCGCTTTAATGGTCGAGGTGGGAGAGGTGGCAGAGCACCCACCCGTCGCAGTCGTGGCCCATGGACTTCTGAGAAAGGTTTCAACCGCGGTGTGGGGAGGGTGCGAAAGTTCCGACAGGACTGCGAAGAAGGAAGCGAGACGGGAGCTGGCGCCGAGGCCTTCATGCGATTCTGGGCCTTGGTTAATAATAGCCAAGACTGCCAACCGGAGCAGTCAAGGAGCTCAAGTTAGCGGGTTAAGCATTTCATAAGGCGTTTAATTGGATTGATTCTTTTATCGGGCTCTGGACGGTCATTGCGGGACAATGAAATTGAGTGTACGAATACATGGAGATAATGGGTGATATTCAGAATTGAAACCCCTTAGTTTGATCTTGATAAGCTCGTACTCGTATTTTATTGAGGAAGCGACTGGGCCAAGATAGTGCTGCCTAGGCGGATCTGTGGCTATGATCTGCCGTTGATTTTAGCACATGGCTGGGTTTGAGATAGAGAGATGAGTAAACAAGATCAGACGTTTGACGATGAAACGGGGGGAGATCAAACCTGCCGAAACATGATCCAAATATTGTTTCATTTATGCATTGAGAATTTACCTCTGCTACGTACACGAGCCCCGCCAAACGTCTTAGAATAGATTATTCGATGTGTAAGTTTACGTGGAGACTACGACATCTATGCCCCAGTGTTCGGATAGGCTCCACTAATTCAAGCAAAATGACTCAGATTGAATGATTCAAGTAAGTCTCTGAGACTACTTGTACTATTTTGGTCTATCAATAAATGGCGTCTCAAGCGAGGCACTTCCTGCTACGGTCTCTGACTTGTTTCATTACCTTTTCCCAGGAGAGATGCAGTGCGCGAAAACAGGGCTATCTCACAGAGAGGCTGAGACGTCGCATATGATACACGATTTTTTTGATTTTTTTTTTGAAAAAGAAACTTGCGTCATCTCCGCCTGGCATTATATTGGGATGGCATGTTGCTTACATGGATAATGGATAAGTGGAGCCTCTTAAGCGACAGGTATCATCCAGTCTTTAGCGACGGTGGCTCGAATTGGTTCATTGCGCTCGATTATTGTGATTCCACCAGAAGCCCAAGCCCAAGCCTAAGCCCAAGCCCGGTAAAAGGAGCCGCGGGGTTGACGCATGGTGGGATGGGATTCGTCGGTTGACAGCTGCTAGGCTAGAGCTGCAGGAGGTACTTTCGCCTGTGAAGGACCCCTCACTGAGCACAGCACGAGTGAAGGCAACACAGGACTCCGAGCGAGTTGGCCCCATATAGCATCTGATTCTGAGAATAACAAGAACGTAGAGGGGTTCACCATGTACGGAGTGTCGTAGTGGCCGTGTGGTTCATAGGAGGAGAGATACACGAATCGGACTGGTCGAGTTTCCAGGCCGTACGAGGCTAAACCAAATGTCCCATTTTTTTTCTTCTTCTCGGGCCCCGCGAAGGACCTGTCTGGGCCCCTGGCTCTTTGCTATGTAAAGTATTGTGCATCCACCACGACCCGAGGCCTCGGTTGCGTGGTGCGCTTGGCTCTGGCTTTCACGCTTCCCCGGGACCAAAGTACCCTAGCTGGTCCTACTCAGGTCACATCGTGGCCAGCCTGGTATACAATGGTCGCTTTCGTACTCGGGACTCATTCGAACAACGCATGGGCATCCATCGGCTGAACCGAAGCGGAGCGGGTGGCGTGGAGGAGGGATCCATCGTGAAGGCTGAAGTCGTGGCGTCTGGATACCAAGTGGCAACTGTAAACAGCAAAAGTGCCAGGTGTCCGGAGAAGTATGGAGTATAGAGTGAATTAGGGTGAAAAACAGGAGTTCCCGACTCAGCTCATGTTGTTCGGCCAGGAGAGCTTGACTAGCGAATGAACGACGGGGAACCGGTGGAATGGCGATGAGTGGACTCGTGAGATCTGGAGAACGGGGCCACCGCTCAATCCAATGAGAATCCAGAGTTCAGCTCCCAACCAGAATTGGGATTTTTGAGATTTGAGATTCCAGAAAAATGATGGGAAAAATGAATAATACATAATGCAAAAAAGATAAAAAAATACCAAATCCCCAGAACCGGGACTAGAGTCAAGGGTCCCGCGGTGATCTATCGATCTGGTATCTTTTTATTTCTCCCTATTTTATTTTATTATTTTATTATTTGAATATTTTATTGTCTGTTCTTTTATTTTTCACTGTTCACCCTGTTCAATGTTCACGGTTAAATGATCCCAAGTCTTCCCCTTTGACAGCGGGTTCCCACTTCCCACCGTTCCACGGGTCTCTCTTGTCTTTGCCTCATCTTCATATCTCCGAGCACCACTCCTTCTCTCCAATTCTCCAGATTCCACCCCTTCTCTTTCCCCCCCACGCCTACGCCTCCCCACCTTCAGGACTCTTGTTTAGGGTCCGAATTGGTTTGCTGCCGACAAGAAGGATCACATTCACTGCGACCGACGGGGAAACGATGGATATGCAGCAGCAGCAGTTCGCACCAATGCAATAGCCGGATACGCTGACGCCTCACCCTCCTCGCAACCACACTCTCCCTCCACATTTTCACCTTCGAGTCGTCACCATCCATTGGGGCCCTCCATGTCTTCACAAGCTCGACGAGAGCGAGCCATGAGTGACCGAGCACAAGCGATACCTGCAGCCCCTCCGCAGCGACCCGGGATAGGGAGTCGGACTTCATCGGCCCCATCAGGTGGATTACACAAGTTGGATCCAGGCCGCAGGTCGGGTCCGAATGTTGGACACACCCTCATGGAAGAAGAGGAAGGACCTTCGAATGGGAGCCGCATTGCGCCGAAGCGATCCCGCTCTCGGCAGCCCGGCGACGAGGTGCGTAGCATATGTACTCACGTACTGCCAGTGGTCATCCATTCCCCAGTCGATGCAGCAGCGGCGTACAATGAGATCGTCTGATTACTAAAGACAGTATTCATCCCTGCAGGAACCCTCCAAACCCGGTTTACCGGAAGTGACCATCGCCGTTGTCGGTCAGAATAATGCGGGCAAATCGAGCTTCATCAAGTGTGCCTTGGATATGAAGAATACCCCGTCATCTTTCTCAACAAAGAAAAAGATGTCTCTGGACGGTTCGGTATACATGGTTCGTTTGTTGGAGATTGATCTACAGAAAGTCACTTTGAGCCAAGACCAAAGTATAGTCTGGCCACGACTGGAAACGGATACTGCGCCTCCTGTTGTCGATGGGGTTTTGTTGCTTCACGATGCTACCCAAGCGGATAATTTCGACGAGGCCAAAGAACTCATAGGTATGTTGGGAATGTTCTATATCGCATACCATCCGCCTATCCCCGTTTTCCCCTCCCGAGGTTCCTTGTGGTCGAGTTAGACATACATCTGTTTGCATTTGATCTTTCTTTTCTTTTTTTTGTTCCAGGAAAATCTCAACTTTCAGCTGGCTGACCTCGTTTGAACTCAGATGCACTTGACGCACCCCCTTCCCCTTCCCCGTTGTTGCTAGTTGCCTGCAAATGTGATTTGCGACCAGAAGACAGCGAATTGGCTGTGGTTCACGAGCGGCACGAGATCTACCGAACCTCGCCCGACTCGCCCCGATCGCAGCAGATGTGTATCGCTTTGGTCCTGCGAGCTGTTATATCGCATCGAGCAGGTGAGTGAATCTCATGATCCATCCCCCCTCCCCCTCCCCTCTTCCTTCTGCGTTGTGGAGAAGAGAGAAAGGGATTGTGAGCCATGACCCCTGCCACTCCAAGTGGGTCACGGCACTAGCATTTCGCTACCCTTTCCCTTCTGTCAGAGCCCACCGATCGACAGAGGAGCCCCAAGAGCGAAAGGAATCCTCCAAATTCGTGGCGTTCCACTGTTTCTGACCACCGCTAACCGGATCTTATTCGCCCAGACCTCGCCGCTTCGTCTGACCGTAATCCTAATTCTCCTCCTTCCCCCGCCCCGCCGCGGACGACCACAAAGTCCTTTCAACCCACTCCTCCCCACGACTGGCAGCATCACTCCCGATCCAATTCATCAACCCCCCACCGCCATCTTCACAGGAGCCGCTGGCGGCTCAACAATCTCCTCGGATCGAGTCGAAGGGAACAGCGGTCACCGTCTGCACAGCGAACCGGCCATCCCTCCTAGTCTGGCGCAACAGCATGCTTCTAGTTCATCGCGAAATGCCAGGAGTAATTCTCAGCCGGTGCGACCGCTCACCCCGCCATCTGGCGCGCGACTGAACAATCCTCGACCGTCCGCACAGCTAGACAACTCCCCGATCCTGGAAAACCGCCACCAACGTACCCCGTCCGCCTGGCGGCAGAGTGGAGCCTCCGACGCCTTTAATAGCTTTTTGAACATGGAGGACGAGATGGATAACGGGCAAGCCATGCCCTCGGACAATGTCCTGCGCCCGAAGCCCAGCATCGAGAGCAATTCCAGCGCAGAGTCAGGATTCAGCTTTGACGAACTCGTTGACCGTCTTGTCGCACAACCAATGTCCAAACAAGACTCGAAATTCGTCTCTATCTTCTTGTGTCTATACCGAAAATTCGCCGCCCCCGGGGCACTCCTCAATGCCCTGATCACCAGGTTCGAGAAGAACGAAACTAGCAACAGTGACCAACTCGCCCGAATGGCAGACCAGCTGCGGTTGCTCAATGTGATTGCACTGTGGGCCTCAGATTATCCCGGCGACTTTGCCCACAACAAAACTCGCAAACGAATCAACGACTTCGTGGCTACTCTCGAGAAGAGCCACTTTTATATGTTTGCAGCCAAAGAGATTGGGTCTTTTCTAGACTCTAATTCCGAAGATGACGATGCGGGCTGGGCCTTCAGCGATGGAGATGCTGATGATGCCAGCCCCACAGAAACCTTCTTCGACAACTCCGGACGGAGTTCGCCGGCCCCGTTCCTGACGGGCACATATGACGATGGCGACGACAACGACGACGATGAGGAAGAAGATCCCATTTACAGCATGAGCAATCTGGACCTCAGTGATGGTCCACATGACTCAACGTCACGCCTATCGGGAACATTATCCATTTCATCAAACACCGACAAGCCCTCTAGTACAATGAACCAATCATTTTCGCTCTTGACCGTGGAGGCTTCACAAAAGGAAGCCCTGCGCCTAGAGCTGCATTCCCGAACCATGCTCACGAAAATCCAATGGCGCTACTTCATGGAAACGCCCGATGAAGATTTTGCGCGAGAGTTGACTCGAATCGATTGGATAATGTATAACTCATTCCGACCGCGAGATCTCGTGCGGCATGTGAGTTTATCGGGCGTGGAGAAGGATAAAATCAAGAGCTTGCAGAACGTGAACAGGATGATCCGACAATTCAATCACCTTGCCTTCTTTGTGGCAAGCATGGTTCTTCTTCGTGACAAACCAAAGCACCGAGCGAGGTGCCTGGAGAAGTTCATGTCGATCGCCGTCAAACTGCGCCGTCAAAACAATTACAACTCCTTGGGCGCACTTATTGCTGCTATCAATGGTACCCCTGTCCACCGTCTGACACAGACGCGAGAACTGATTCCCGTCCAAAACCAGAAGGATTTCATGCGCCTTGTCATCCTTATGAGCACCCAGCGAAGTCACTTCGCTTATCGCCTCGCGTGGGAGAACTCTTTCTCCGAGCGCATTCCTTTCCTCCCACTCCATCGCCGTGACCTGGTTTCCGCAGAAGAGGGGAACAAAACGTTCGTCGGCGAGAACAAGTCTCGTATCAATTGGAAGAAATTTGAGGTCATGGGCGAGGTAGTCCTTGGTATCCAACGAAGTCAACAATCACCTCACCCTCAGGCCCAAAAGTTTGACGATATCGAACGAATGATCCTTGACTCGAAGTTGTCAGGCGACGAAGAGGTAAGCAGCACCCCCTATTTTGTACCAAAATCAATGTTCTAACCCGTGATTCCCACAGGACTTATATGCCCGCAGCCTTCAAGTTGAGCCAGCCACTGGCAGCGAGGCCGGCCGGAAAAAGTTCGGCTGGTTACGTGCATAGGCCAACGCCCACCTCATTTCCTAGAAGGAAACACCACCTATTCTACTATCCATGTTCCTAAATCATCTCTACCTACTCCTTGATCTTTTTTCCGCCATACCCCTTTATCATGTCGAAACGCTTGCTATGATTGATAAATACCGTCTGATTTTGCTTCGCCATGCTTTAAAAGGCCAGCTCCACAGCGTGGATGATGTGACGCTTGGAATGACAACGTTTCAAAGGCTCCCTTACCGATTTTGTACATAGGAGTGCGTTAACGGGTAGTGATGAGTCGTCGGTCACGACACAGAATAATCATACCCAATATATATGACGAGCTAAACTTTGAATCTCTATTCCTTGTAAATCAAGATTAAAATAATACATGCTTCCTACTAGTAACTCTCTATCGAATATTTCACCCCGACCTTACAGACAGGGATCGTAGAGTCGATGAATATCGGTGGGTCACGTGCGTATCAATCACCCTTCCGGGCTTTATCACCAAATAACCAATTTACTCTCCGAACAAACAGCCAAAACCAAACCACATCCAAAATGACACAACCCCTCACAAACCAAGCGCGAAGCACCTACCGCGCCCTCCTCCGCGAGATCCCCAAGGTATCAAAAACCACCCCATCGCCAATCCACGCCCGCCTCAGAACCCTCTTCCGCTCCGAGCCGCAAACCGCCTCCACAACCAAGACACCCTCAACCTCCCCTACATCCTCAATAGCAGGAACCAGCGGCACAGACGCAATTCCCTTCTCGGTCCCGACTACGAGCGAAGAACGCGCTCTGCGCCTGCAGGAGGCGGAGCAGTTGGCGCAGTATGCTCGCGCGCAGCGTACCTATGCTGCCCTGTTGGAGCGGTATAACCCCGGCATGAACATGGATGAGGAGGAGAAGATTCGTCTTACGGCCCGACGGGTTGGTATGGATTTGCCTGATTTGTATGAATCTGAGAAGAAGACTGAGTGAGGTTTTCCTTCTTTCGTCGGGATGTATCGATTTGGGTAGGAATGGCGTCATGTGGTTCAATACATGGACAGTAATCGAGCATGAGGCTTTACATGCTTGGAGGCTATTGGTACAAAGTGGAGGAGGTGTGGACGATGATTATATGAATACCCTGTGAGATTGTGTACTATATTTCATGGCTATTTTTGTACAAAATCCACTGGTCGTGGATTTCATGATATCTCATCTGATGTAGCTGTTTTTGTAGCTGGGTCTTTGAGGTTGGCGGTGCTTGTAGTTGTCTCGAAAAGACTAGGTCAATTGTTTGCCAGTTGTGAGTCATGTTTATGCCATATCTAGGCGATGCCAAGTGCCTATAATCTCCAAGGGAGTCCTTGGCAAATATGACTGCCCCTGCAGCGCTGCTGTCAAGCCATGTCAGACTGTGCTTGAGCAGCATGGGAATCTGGGCGACTGAGGCTGCCATGGAGATAATGTAGTAGCCCGCGACGCATTTTCAAAATGGGCTGCGAGCAAGTGAGGTGAAATGGGGCATTCTTTAGGAGATGAATCAAACTTGGTAGACATCTCAGCTGTTGGTCAACTGAGTGCGCTCCATCTGACGCATCAGTGTTGAGCTACCTTCCTCATCTTCCATCCCAACCTCAATCGCAGTCTTGGGTCTGTTGCGGTTGAGACCTTCCAGGAGAGTGCATGCCTTGCACACCCGTTGACTGGAGATGTAGCCGCAACGCTCACAGTGACCCAAAGTCTGGCTTTTGACAGCCTTGGAGCTTTTGACAGTGTTCTTTGTGTTCTTTGCGCCTTTTCGAGGAAGTTGGATCTCCGTCTCGTGTGCCTCGGCAGTCTCATTCTCAGTCAACTGCTTTTCCATGGCTGCCATCTCGCCACCACTCGTCCGTCCGTTTTGGCTGCCGCAACTGCCGGTGTTTTCTTCCTCTGCTGCTGCGGTTGTTTTGCAAGATTTGCCATCTTGGCTCGTGTCTCGTGGGACCAGAGCGGCCATATCCTCGCCGCTCTTGACAATGTCCAAGATGGAGCTGGGGCGGATCTTCTCGAGGTCTTTGACTAATGTACGGGCACTGCCGCGGAATGCCTCGGGGAATAGATGCATTCGGTTGTGAAGTAATCGAGTTGGCGGTGGTGGGCGTAGAGAACAATCTCTTTCTCGTAGGCGTACTTCAGCGGCTTGCTTCGCTTGATATCCGAGCCACCGGAGGCAGTCACAATACTGGTTCCGCGAGAAAGACGAGGCAGATCACCGCGAAGCAAGTTCATCATGACGGTTTCAGCAACGTCGTCCGCATTGTGACCCGTGACGACATGTTGGATATCCAAACGCGCCGCACCCCGATCAAGCGCCTGTCGCCGAAACACGCCACAGTATGTGCAGTTTCCCTTTTTTGCCAATTTGCTCCACAACCTGATCCATAGTCCATCCGTATAATTCGCCATATCCCACGATCGTCAGCGGCATGTCGTACTGCTTAGCATTGCGCTTGACTGTCTCCAGACTATCATCGCGGTAGCCGCGAATGCCCTCATCGATGGAGAGTAGGCAGAGATCTAGTCCGTAGTTATATCGTTCGTTCAGAGTTTTCAAAACTGCTGCCAGGACTGTGCTGTCTTTTCCGCCGCTGGCTCCGATCGCGATTCGTTCGCCGGGGAAGAAGAGGTTTGTGCCGGTGATCGTTTCGTGCACCTCGGTCTCGAAAACTTCGATGAAGCAGGCCCGGCACAGCTTGTGTCTGTTTTTGGGCCTGATAATAACAGCGCGCGCCTCCTTACAGTTGAAACACGTCGTTGGGGCCATGATTGCGTGGTGGTTGTAGAGGGTTCATTGGAGGGGCAAAAAAGAATTTCGTTTCCCCGCAGTGGGCCCGTGCCTTCCGCCAACTGGCGTACGTACGGGTACGAGTATACTTCCAGCGTATCAGGGCTTTCCTTTTAGATATCTCAAAGAGAAAATGATGGGGAATAAATATACAAATGGGTTCGAAGAAGTGGAAATTGATTTATTCAGTACCTATTTAACTATCAACATGAGAAGTAAACATATTTGCAAGTACTAGTAACTCGGAGTCACATAGTAAAAGCGCTATATCCGAAATGAGTCGTAAGTCAACACCAAACTTTTCTCATTTCTCACTCAGGCTCTAAGTGTGTGGCTTTCCTTTTCGCAGTAGAATACTGGCCGAGCACGCCGGTAATCTGCTTTTCTTCGCCATCTGACGAGCAAGGTGGTGAATATGGTGCCGCCGATGGACAAGGGAATATGGCTTCGACCGATCTGCATAAAGCTTTAGATCACTATTGAGCTTCTCAGAAAGAATGTCCGTCTTTTCTTCAGAGAAAGCGAAGGAAGTTCCGATTATTTTCAAGCTTTTGGCAACATGATGTAGATCGGATGAATGCCAGTCCTTCGATACCCAGACTGGCTTCACATTCCAGGGCCATCGGCGTTCTTTCTTGAATGCCTCCCACCAGTCCTCAATACGCAATCGCCCTTTCTCTCCACTGACTGCATGAACACATCCACTTGAGCCGAGCGCCACGTGTACCAGAAGCCGTTCTGCGACAACATCCACAGGAACTTCATCGATGGTTGCTTCTTTATCAGGGTTCTCGCACCGAGTGGCAAGATTGATCTTCCGTCCTGGGTGCAGCGCATAAGCTGCCGCACAGGCTGTTGATGGGGAAGAGTATGAAGTGGTGAAGCCGTGGTATGGAAGTTGGTCGGCCGGCCCAACAACTGAAGGCCGGATGATAAGAATCTTGTCTGAGGCATTCTTTAGCGCGGCCTTGTTTAATACAAGTCTCTCCGCCAAATGTTTTGCATAAGCATATGGCCACGGGAAATCATGAGTCTCATATTCTTCTGTCGTACCCGTTTTCTGCAGTTCTCGATACACGTGGGGTGCTGTTTCCACTGGATTTTCGTCGTTGGATCCCAGGGGATACACTCGTTCCTCCACAGCAACATCGGATGACTTGCTTTTCGTCCAAAGATGAGCATTGACATAAGCGGTGGAGAGAAAGACGAATTTTTCCAATTTAGCAAACTTCAGGGCGTATTGTACTAGACACACGGTGGGTGCAATCACTGTGTAGTCTAGTTCGCGGAGTGAATTGTTCAGTGCTATAGAAGATGCAGCATGAATGATAATATGCACTTTTTGCTTAATCATTTGAAGGTCATCGTCTGGAAGGTTCATTGTCGCGGTATCTCCAAGCTCGCCGTCCAAAATTGTCATGCGATTGCTCTGGGTGAGAATTTCGGCCGCCGGGGCTGATAGCATCTCGGTCCATTTTGTTTTTGCTCTCCTAGTGAGAAGTAATTAGTATGCTCAATTGGCTATATTATACCAGGACTCGAATGGGTAAAAGCTAACTCGTAACCACCTCGACACAATACATAAATATGTTCTGGAGCCGCTTGACTCAAGAGCCTATAGAGTAGCGTTGTGCCAATAATTCCCGTTCCGCCAGTGACAAACAAAATTTTGCCATCGTAGTAGTCCCATACCATCTTTGATGATGAATGGAGGTTCTAGGCCTGATTTGCAAGAAACTCAGAATGACGACTTGAAGCGAGGGACAAACCTTCAAGGAATATGCATAAACGGGAGCCCATTTTTAACAAGCAATAGTGCTAGTAGCGGTGGAGCTCTCGGCGGAATATATAGTCGGCGAGCTTACATTTTTGGCCTAGATAATGGAAACGATTTTCCTGAAGATACTGGATCTCATCTGGCTCATGGAATAGCTCGAGATCGGGCCGAATGCAGCTTTCTGCAGCTAAGGTGAGGGGGGTGCATGTTTGTGTAACCACCACAGCAGGGTCCACCCTGTAACGCGAACCATCCACAGCCAATACATCGGTCAAGAAGCTCCTTCTCTAGCAGCAAACGGGCAATTGATTGCCACTAGGAAGTGGTAGTGAATGAGAGCGTGCGAAATCTAGTCATATAATTGCTGGAACTACGCTCAGAGCCCGAGTTTACGGTCGTGTTCGGTTGTGCAAGGTGCTAGGACCGCCGGCAGTCATTACGAACAGGAGTGCATCCAAAATCTGCCTCGCGATATAATCACTAGAAGGATCCTGTACATGTCGAGTGTTCACCGCTTCATGTGAGACCTTAATGAACATAAGCAAGCCCCTGCGTTTTTGGCACGCATAGGTTGAAAACTGAACCAACACGTCGGCGCGTAATACTGCGAGCTTCCCATGGTAATGAAGTAGGGAGCAACAAAATCGCTATTATTCACATGTCTCTGGAACCCAAAGCAAATAGAGCGAGCGGAACAACTTCCGATTTGAGCCTGAAGTGCACCAAGTAAATTCTATCTGAACTAAATGTATGTTTGACGATTGAGACATGCAGATGTCTTAACGGCCCAGCATTGGGTATCTCATGCTCCACCGGTTACTTCGTCATGAAAACAAGTCTTTGAGTCCCCCAAGAGTTGGCCATGTAAATAACCTAGGTGATGCCAGTTTATCACGAATGTGATAAATTCTATTTGGCTGTAAGAACCACTAGATTTCGGCCCCCAGGCACATTTCGACTTGAACTATCTCATGATGTGACGTATTGTCCTCTAGAAATCCGGTTACCGGGGAATCCACGCCCTCTATTCGATCTACATGATCATCTTTCAAACTCCGATAAAGCTTTTTATTCTTCAAAATGAATCATTGAATAGCTGTTATACATGTTGGTGCATTCATTTTCCAGGTGCCCCTGAAGCCGCGTATTGACCAAGTTCGAACCAGTGGAAACGATACCCCTGATCTCGAGCCTTCCAGACTGAAGTCAAGGTCTTCTCAAATCGGACGCGTGACTGCCTGGAAAAGGTGACAATGTCCTTCATCTTTCCGAGGGCGGCATTCCTGGAGTCTGATTCTACAATCTCAAAACACGCAGCGAGATATGGAAGCGCGGTACATGGAACTGAGCGTTGGGTAATTTGGAGAACCATATCAAACTCGTCAATAATTGCACGACCTAACATAGAGGCCTCTCTGTCTTGTTCGCCATAAGGATATTGTAGGCGGTGAATTATCAACAAGGCTGCGAAGCGAAATATCTTCGCTTGAGAAAGCATACTGACCACTTCGGCTTGTGTGTATTGATCAAGGAAGTCGGAGGGAGGGGTTGTATGCCACTGGTCCACTGCAACTTTGATAGAAGCCAAGTTCTCCACAACCCTTGCAGCTGTCGCCATGGAAGCATTTTTGAGAGAATTTCCAGCCTCGCAGATATCATAGAACTGTGCGAATATCGACGAGCTTAAGCCGAGATAACGATCAACCTCGTGAGTCCGCTTGCAAGGATCGACTCTCATACTTGGGACCTCAGACTTTAACAAACACTCCGAGGTCTCAGTGCACACCAAACACATCCAGTAGTCGATCATTGCGGAGTTCAATGTGTAGATATTCTGAGCCAGTGGCTTAATGAGACTTAAGGTGTAATGGGAGATCAAAGATGCTTGACCGTCAGAGACATGCATGGCAAATGTAACCATTGCAACACCAAGGATAAGCAACGTGGCGATATCTTGCTCGTTTGATATTTGGAATGACCGCAGTGATGAAATTGCGAGGGCAGCACGCCTGTGACCGATTTCAAGGCTGGTTTTGGCGTACTCGTCATTTTCATCTCCGAAGAGAGCTGCCGCACAGGCGACTGCGGCGTGTTTAAGTGCCGGGGTAGGCATAACGAGGCTTTGAATGAAGGATACATGATGTGATTCGTGAAAGGTCGGACCGACAAGAAACTTGTCCAGTGGAGAAGGGGCCACTATGTCTTTCATTAAGTTCAGAAAGTGCCGCTCCCATCCGTCAAGTGCAGAAAAGATCACTGGATTAGCCGCCAACCCCCCCGTCATGGGGACTCGACCCGCAGAGTAAATCCTGGGGCGATGTGATATAGCCGTCACCAAATGCTGAACTTGTCGAATTTGGTAGTGTGTAAAGTAATCTTTGTTGACAACGTGGCTTCCGGCCCGTCTTTGCTGCGTGTCTCGTCGTCTGGCATAGTTGATTTAATCGAGAGCATCGTTCACAAGGGGTGTCCGCGTCAGGTCGTCTGCATTTCTCCTTGAGATTATGACACGGGTCACAGGCTCGTCTCACACAACTGGCAGCGGCCATCTTGAATATGCATCTGTGTTCCGTTTGAATTGCTTTCTGGGGGGCATGTTATCTTATGCCCCGCCTTAGTCTTGACGCACAGGCATCAGTATTCCATGGTTTGTAAACTAAAAGCCGGAACGCATACTTTGCGTTTGAATCAGAGGGTAGCAAGCCGTTGTCAAATAACCAAGACGACTCCTGGGCTTGGTACCCTGAGTATGTGGCTTGCAAAATTGGTCCCAATGATGGGATCGTTCTTGGTAGAAACAAGATCAGTCACAGCTGGTCTACGGGCTTTTAGGCTGGAAATGCGGAGAAATGACCTGATAAGCTCGGCTGTACCTTACTGTTCCGCACAAGCGGCTGGACCATACTGAATGAGGTTAAAGTGAGAGATAAGACATTTTGCGGGGAAAGCAAAGCCGACCCAGTTAATCAATTGGTGTGCGCCTGTGGGAAAAAGCTTTCACTAGATACATTACTGAATTAAGAGCTAGACTGTAGATTATACCGAACACTTGCTAGACCATCCTGTGGCTCACATGAGTAGCAGCCAACTTCCTGTAGCTTGCCGCTGTCGCGACCCGCGCTTTCTTACCCCAAATAAGTAAGGGGACAGGGATCATGTAGACTAAAAAGGCGACAACTGCGCAAAGTACATGGAGATTTTGTAAACCCATACCCTCCACCCAGGGCGTGAGAACAAAAAGAACAATAACCGAAATGATGTTACGCATGAAGATCACGCCGACCAGAGCATCTCCAATGACCTGTTATCCGTCTGCGTTAGCTCCTCGAAGGTCTTATTGGGGAGGGTATTTTTGGAATACATACGTCTTGATAACAGTCCATAAGGTACGAAAGCGATATGCCGCTTATAGCAGCCAATGTGAACCCAAAGACACCAAAACCAACAGCGAGAAGTGCCCAATGAACTCCCTGAGAGAAAGTCAGCTGATGAATGAGTGACCTTAAACAAACGATGAACATACGTAGGCAAGTCCCAGGCCGAACATCAAGATCGATGCTGGACCCAAGATAGCAACGGGAAGTGCAAGCCAAAGACGCATCTCGGGCTCGTAGATACCGCCATTCCTCTTAGATAACCAGAGGATGGACTTATCACTAAGATATCCACCACAGGGAAAGCCCAAGAGCGCGCCAACAAAAGGCGCGACGTTCATCAAGCCGATGCCAATCGCGTCAAAGTTATATGGTGGTAACAGCATGTACGATGCTTGAAGAGAGGTCATGGTTGCGAACCACGCCAGCGTAGATCCATAGGTGAGAGCGGCGTAAGTAACAGCCGGATAAGTGAACAGGGTCACGAGAGGGGTATAAAAGTGCGGCCAAAGAGGCTCATCTGTCTTGGTGACCCATGCCATTCTCTGCCAGTAAGTCTTGAGTTCGATCTCAGGGTTTATTACCGCTTGGCTCGTAGCAGGCTCAGAACCCGTCCTTTTGATGTCTGCTGTGACTTCATCTTTTCCTTCCGCAGCAGTAAGTGCCTGGCTATTCGGTAATGGCGCAGAGACGACATGCTGCCCATCAAGAACTGGGACATATTTCGACTCTTCAAAGAGAAAAATGACACAGAACAATGTGATCCCAAAGAAAATCACGCACCACCACCACATCCAACGCCATCCTTGAGAGTCGACGATATAGCCTGATGCGACAGGTCCGAGGAAAGCACCTGCGGATTGGAAAATAACGAACCAGCCGTTCATCGTCGCATGCTGGTGCACAAAGAACATGTCCGCAATTGTGATTTGGACCACAATCTCACTGATCGCTCCGCCTAGACCTGAGATCAGATTTGCACCAATGAAATTGCCGACAGTGTACGTTTGAGCCTGCCAAATACACGATGCGAATTGGAGAGCGGAGCTGAATATGTAGATCGGTCGTCGGCCATATTTGTGCACGAGTGGGATAAAGAAAAAACATCCGATCGCCAACCCCCCATAGTTAACTGCAGCGCCAGCATTGAGAATATCAACGGAGAAGCCAAGCTCAGACTCCATGGGGCCCCATGCCGTGAAGCCGATATCGAGCTGAACGAAAGTCCAAAGGACGAAGAAGCTGACTAGGGTGAAGTTGAGGGCTTTGCGAGAGGTCGACCAATTAAGGGGGGTCATTCGGGTCGGCACTGGGAGTAGGAAACAAGACAATCTGATCTCTCGTGCGATGAACTATACAGGTCAGTATGAGGGAACAGATTAGATATTCTCTCAATCCGACCGAGAGGGCAGTGCCTTACCATCCTCTAGCACGACTGTACCCGGGGCCCAGAACCCCTCATCATGATCGTGTTCATTCACATTCACCATGCCTGGTGTCAAGAAAGGTCTGGTCGGTAAGAAATGAATTGAAATGCAGTTGAAAAGTATTCCCAAGAGGTATGATACATATCAGACCAGAAATGAGACTGCCGATTATTTAAGAGCAACATGGCAGCGATGTAAGTCATCGTCTATCGTGCGGAGAAGCGTGTACCCAAAGCCCTGGACCGTGTTATCTTTGAGTTCACAACGCAAAAGTGTGGGGAAACAAGCAACACGATGGCTTCCATCGAATCAGCAGCTTCAAAAGAGGCCGGCTTGGCGAAATCTGGCAGGTGTCGCTAGTCTGAGCTCTCCACCCCCGCTTATCTCCCGGCAGTGAGTGCTTAGAGTTGAGCCGTTCAAGCCAGTAATCCGCTGCCAGCGGACTTTGTTCCGCTACGCCTATCGCGTGGCTCTTATAGTCGTGGTCACCCTCGGTAAGTTATCGCCTACATCATCACTTGCGATTGGCCTTGGTCATTTTGATCCAAACTCTGCTCATCATTCGAAAACAAATGAAGATAGATGTGGCGGGTGATTTCGGCAAATATCTCACTGTTGTAATTCCGACTGGTCGGATGATGAATTCAAAGCGACCATCTGGAAGGTGATTGGCTGGCTGCAGCCGATTTAAACTCAGTTGGGGAATCGGCATCATTCTCGCAAAGAAAGATCACGTCTATAATGACCAGAGGAAAAGGGGAGTTTGTTGAAGGCATTAGAACGAAGTGAGAGAAAGTTCGGATTGTTAGAGATCGCAGTAAAAGATGGACGGGTGGACGATGAAGGATTCATGATAGAGTGTTCACACTCGATGAAGAACTCCGAAGTCAATTTTTGGCTTTTATTCCGGATCAATCTCAAGAGCCATTTACAATATGCAGCCTATTTGAAGCTGATTATTTGGTAGCTTCGATGATTCCTTCCCCAGTTCCGGGCGGTTGATGAAATTTGACGTTTTGCAAACCAACAGAACCTAATAAGTCCCGCCACTGCTTTTCGCTACGCTCAAGTGCTGCGACCTGAACCATCATCATGACACTCATACATGCCGACGGAATATCACATCCAGAATCCCGGAGAATTTGCTCGTGAATGATAAGTCGCGAGTATCCAGGCTCCATCGCATCCACTATGTGAGTCAAAATAGAGCGACAATGCTCGTCGGACCAGTCGTGGAGGATCCAGTGCATAAAATATACTCGAGCACCTTGCAAACGCCGGTTAGGTTGGTATATTGAGGTGACTGGATGAATCTAATACCTTGAATGGATTGAGGAGTGAAGAAGTCATGGGACTCCAATTCGACATTTATCGGTGGATTCTCAATACCCGAAATAACATGCGGTAAGTCCTGCAGGATCAAACGGCCAGATGCCCCAGGGAACTTTTCTTGGAACTGTTTCACATGGCTGCCTTCCCCGCCTCCAACATCCACAAGAAGAACACTCGAAGATGACTGTGTTTCGGTGCCATCTATAATACAACCTTGAACATCAAACCAGTCGATCCAATTCGGGGAAGCACTTTGCTTCAGAGTCATCCATTGTTGGAAGTCTCTGGCCAAATCAGGATTTTGACCGAGCCATGCGAAGTAGGTCAAATCGGTGCCAAATCCAAGCTGAAAGGGAGTGTTTTTGACCGAATCGGGAAATTTGTTGTTGTTCTGGCGAAAGAACTCCGGAGCTTTCATTGTGCATACGTTTCCGATGTCAAAACTGCCTGGTGTTAGTTGTTCTTCTTCTCAGGCGAGGAGCTGCTTCGCGAGTCACCAAGCTCGAGTTGTTGCTTCAATTTTTGGATCCACCATGACCATCGTGAGAGCCGACGGCTTGAATTGTTCATCCTGTTGCTTGATGTATCCTGTAGCGGCCAAAAGTCGGAGAACTTGAGCTGTTATCATATATAAGTTAGATCAACCCCGTTCTCTCCAGTTTTTCACATCGGGCATGGGGTTTGGTCGGAGAACTGTTTTTTGGTTGGAGGTTGCAAGAAATAGGCGACTCCATCCAATTGATTTTGACTGACCAACAAGAATCGGACTTGCTTTGGAGCTTTCAGAAATGACATCGCAGCTGACTCCTTTTTCTGGGCTCTGGCTGATTTGCGAGAAGATGCCTAGTTGTACCCCCATGCGCAAAGCCATCAGGATAGGAGAATTCTGCTATCTTAACATAGCTCTTGAAAAAGAGTACAACGATCAGAAATTGACATACCAACACCACATCTTGAATAACCCTCTCCACCGGTGATTCGAGTGCTGCCACTAAGTCTCGGGCTGCATTTAGGGCCACCGCGCGAGTCTCGTCATCGAGCTGTTGGGATTTTGCATCCTCTGCCAATGAAGCTATTCTCTCTGAAATGAAGGTACTTTGCGTCATTGTCAAACGGTTAGGATTGTTTTATGGATTTACTCCGGGTTCCGCGACATTGGGCGAGGCGCCATCGTTAAATCTTTTGACCAAGTGGCCCGGGCCGGGCGCTTCCTAGTGTGACAAGGGCCCATCCCCGGGCGATTTCCGAGCACCGCTTGCCTTTCTGGCCCACTCTCAATTCCGATTCAATTTATTCTTTGATCTGCTCCCATGAGAACACCAGATCCAACGACATTCGTGATTTTTAGTTTTTTTTGAACGAAAAAAGTTCTGGGCAGGGGGAATCTCTCTTCTTCAAAACCAGAGGGGTCAACGACAAATGCAGTTACCGATTTTGACCCCCATTCACATCCCGGTCGAAGTCAAATGCCGGGCGCTAGAAACTCAGTGGCGCGACCGAAGTGATATATTTAGCCTGTTAAATCAAGCTTCAGTCTGTATTCAACAAGACTGGAAAACACATCAGCCAGGAAACTCGGCTTCATGTTGATTGCAAACTGACACTACGAACTCGGCCAAAGAAGGGAAAAGGACCTACTTATGGTCTTACTAGTATTACCATGCCAATTGCATCATAGGAACCCCAAATCTCAATTTCGCACTAACTTCAACATGTGTTAATTGGGAAACTCTCATTTATCAGTGGCGTTTTGGTGATTGTCTAGAAAGGCTCGGCGTTGTCGCGTACAGCACAGCCTGAGTACGGGGTAGATTTGTCTAGACCCACCTCATAAAAATGCAAACCTTGAAGCACACCCACATCAACGAAATCCATCATACATGTATGGAAATGAAACGATTACAGTCTGTGGAGCATTTTTGGAGAAGAAATTAGGTTTGAGTGATTTGGAAGATCTTAGGCCATCGACTTCGTATTACGCCCCTTCCTTGCCAGGATTGACCCACATAGTTGAATCCTTTTGGAGCGAAAAAGCCAAACTTCCCGTTCGGCCCCGGCGTTGCACCTGGCGGGATGAATTGGTTGAATGAAATTCGAGCATTTGAGGACCATTTCCTCTATTTTACAAAAATCGATCAGAGCATGACAGATATTTGTCCAACGCAGAGCTACCATGAGCGATTCAATTGCCTACTGCGGCCAGCAGTTGTTAGGCGTATCAATCGCAATCGCGATCGTCCAGATTTTAGTCGTTGGGGGACGGTTATACACAAGGCATATGCAAAAAGGTTGCCTACGGCATTGATGATTATCTCATGATTCCAGCATTGGTGAGAACCTCGGAATCAACCCGAAGTATTCTAGTTGTCCACACCAGTATGCTAAATGTTTTGCACAGATGGCTAGTTTGGGACAGTCAGCTGTTTATATTTATCGTATGTTGTGTCCGTGATTCCAGTAATGATTGCTAACTTGAAGATCTTTTCAGTGGTCAAACAAGGAGTGATAGGATATCACATTGAGTATGTCGCAAAGTCGCCTGAAAAATTGATCGTTTTGAACCAGGTAAGGCCCCTTCGAATCGAATAGCTGGCTCCATATAAACAATACCTCAACAGGGTCTCTACGCCAACGAGATACTCGACTTTCCCTTCAGCGTGACGCCTGCAAAAATCTCGATCCTCTTCTTCTACACAAGAATTTTCCAAGTTCGCACCTTTCGAATCATCGCATATATTGTGGGCACGATTGTTATCGGCCATGGTCTTGGCGTGCTTTTTGCTGCAATATTTCAATGCTCACCAATCGCTTTCACATGGAACAAAGCGATAACCGGAGGCTCTTGTTTTGACCAGCAGGCCTTTTACCAATATGTTTCGCCTCCAAATATCATTACGGATATTCTTATGTTGATTATGCCCTTGCCATACATATGGAAGCTACATACCCGCATAGGACATAAGCTCGCTCTGACGGGGGTCTTTCTGCTGGGAAGCCTGTAAGTTATCTTAGAGATCCCCAAACTAATTTACTAATAAAGACATAGAGGTATCGTCGCAAGTATCCTTCGCATGAGGACATTTTTTGAAGTGAGTGCCACTGGCATGGCCGACCCAACCTGTACGTTATTTATTACTACCCAACCAGCCATATGCGCCGTATTTATAGCTAGAGCGCATACTGACAAGGGATAGGGTTGTCTGCCAAGCTCGGCATTTGGACGGTTCTGGAAAGTGGCACCATTATCATCGCTGCTTGTTTGCCTCCCCTCTGGCCTTTGATTTCGAAAATTATTCCTCGGGCCTTACTCACAGATCGATCCACAACCCAACCACCACGACCTGGTTACAATCCAAGTACTCATCATGCAAAAAGAGAGTCTGGATTCTCGCGTCTTGGAGAAAGCTCGGATACAGTTGGATGGCCTTTGGCTCAGAACTCTTGGCAGGATCTACAAACAGACAAACATACCGATGAAGTACCACTTAATGATGTGCATCGGATACATGGGTCGTGAAGACGAATTCACGGAATAATTTCACTAGGATACCATCTCAATGAGCTGGGTAGAAGTCAATTGATATACTTATCTTGAAAATATTTATAAAAAAAAAAAGCCTGGCCATGAATGAAATGAAATGCTCGAATTTTAATATCTTATGAATGAATTTTACTGAATTGACAGTTTTGACACAAACACCGACCATTCATTATTTATGTTAAATTAAATCAAAATTTCTTTAAATGAAGAAGACTAGTACTACAAGCTAGATAGGAGGGCGCCATTGGTTTAAATCGTCTTATCAATGTAGATGGAAGGCGCACTTACATAATATATTTGGCTTTGCTGCGGGGGGGGTCGGTGCGGGGGTTATGGGTTTCCTCCGTTTTATTTTGAAAAAGTCATCGCAGACACAGGACTGTGGCAATTGGGATGGGAAATAAATACAACCGGCACTTTCTGTTCTGAAAATCAAGATGTCACATTTACCACGAAAGCAAAAGCGCGAAATTCTCGTGATTGGCGCGGGCGGGGTCGGCACGATGGCCTGCGTCGCTCTCGAACGATCTGGTATGGCAAGGGTGACTGCAGTACTCCGCTCAAACTACGAAAAGGTGGTGCGAGATGGGTTTGAGATAGACTCTGTTGATCATGGAAAGCTTTCCGGCTGGAGACCGAGTCATGGTAACTAAGCACCCACCTCTTCTCTGAGCGCTCACTAATTTTGGAAATAGTGGTCAACAAAATCCCCGACGCCAGCTTGCAACGTCCATTTGACTACGTTATCGTCACAATGAAGAATATTCCTGAGATTACAAATATTGCGGAAATAATCGCGCCTAGCGTGACACCCAACCACACTACCATTGTTCTACTACAAAATGGAATCTATACCGAGCCTCCGATAATTGACGCATTTCCAACAAATGCAGTTCTCTCCGGTCCAAGCTACATTGGTGCTCACGAAAGAAACGGTCATGTCATTCACGATGACCCTGATCGATATCATCTGGGCGTGTTTCATAATACACAGCTAGATCGCAAGTATGAGCAGAGCAGATTGGAAGACTTCGCATCGGTCTATAACGGCAATAATATTGAGCATGCTATGGTCGTGCAGGACATCGTTCACTACCGGTGGAGAAAGGCCCTATGGAACGGTATCTACAACACAATGTGTGCTATTACTCAGCTTGATAATGCTGCTATACGGCGGTCCGGTGGTGAACATAGCCTAATAAGACCAGGCATGGCTGAAATGGCCGCGATTGCTAAGGCCGACGGTTATGATCTCGGGGAGAATATTGTGGATGAAATGGTCGACGCAACGCCCATTGAATTATCCTTTCGTCCGAGTATGCTGGTTGACGTGGATAAAGGGAATCCGGTGGAAGTGGAGGTGATATTGGGGAACGCCTTGCGTGTAGCCCGGAGGGAAGGCGTTCAGACCCCCATTTTAGATAACACATATCGGTTCCTCAAGCTCATTCAGAACAGACTCCTCACTGCGCGTGGATATATTGATGAGCCAAAGGAAATTCCTACAGCAGACTTTATTTGATCGCAGGTTGAATGCATCTTTCAGATATTACTTTACGGATAATATACTACTGGTATGGGTGTCCCATGGGTGCCAAGATCATGCGGTGTAGAAATGCATTTACTATGTAGGAAACCCGTGTCAGATATGCAGGGGGCTCTGGAACAAGCCCCGCCATTTTAAAGACAAACGACCGGATTTGGTTCGTTTAGCGTGTGCTTCTAGTCTCACAAGCAATTATTGCGGGGACTATTCATGATCTCCCCGCTCTAATCATCGATCCCCGAGCTCCATCCCTTACTAGTCCAAAATTTCTCACCAAATTCCATAACGTTCACTAAGAGAGCATAGCAACATTTCAAAATGGAGAGAATTGATGTTCACGCACATTGCGTACCGCCGGCTTATCGGGAATATTGCCTCCAGAATGATTTCGCCGGGAGGGGCCACCCGGATGGCATGCCGGCTATTCCAGTAGGTCGCAGTTGAACGCGTCACCCAATTCATTTTCTGACACAACTTCCCAGGAATGGAGTGCAGAGTCACATATAGAGATGATGAATGAGTTGAGAATCGAACAAGCTATTCTGAGCATGTCGTCGCCTGGTACACATCTAACTCCAGGCAACGATACCGAAGCACGGAAATTGACGCGTCAAGTCAACGAGGAACTTTCTAAAATATGCGCTGAGAACAAAGAACGATTTATGTTCTTCGCCTCGCTCCCTCTGCCCGATATCGAAGGTTCGCTGGCCGAAATTGACTACGCGCTGGATAGTTTAGGCGCGATCGGATTTCAGATACTGACCAATTCTCATGGAATATACCCCGGAGATGAACGGCTGAAGCCTGTTTTTGAGAAATTGAATCAGCGGGCTACGATTGCATTTTTTCATCCTACCAGCTGCAATATTCAAAACATCAGCAATGGCTCAGTGGAGCATGTAACTCCGATGCATGGGGTGCCCAGTCCGGTCATGGAATTCATGTTTGACACAACCCGTGCTCTGGCTAGTCTCTTGACCTCTGGAACAGTGGCCAGCTGCCCCAAGATCAAATACATCGTCTGTCATTGCGGAGCAGCTTTTCCACCCCTTGTTTCACGTATCGCTGAATTTTCCGCATTCCTCTTGGGGAAATCGATTTCAGAGGACGAGATTAAACTGCTGCTGCAAAAGCATTTTTTCATAGATCTTGCTGGGGTTCCATTTCCCGACCAGATTCATGGTACACTGCGACTGGTAGATTCATCCAGGTTACTATATGGGAGTGATTACCCATATACTCCAGCACTCTTAGCTGCAAGCCTTGCTAAGAGGCTTGACGAAGGACTAGGGGCTATATTTGATTTGCAGACAAGTAGACGGATTGTATTCCAGAATGCCCAGGATCTGATTTCTTCGAAGGGGTCTACTTTTTGACCTTATTTATCTGGCAATGAAGGAGCTAAAAAGTCTACTTTATGAGGTCCAGAATCTCTGAAATCATTAGGAACTGTTCGAATATATCATCTCATGCAAAAGAATCCAATGAATTTTCTAACAAATAGGCCCTCAGTTGAAAGATTGCGCGATAGGTCCCGCATATCAAGCCGAGGGGCAAGAGACCGCTTCCCCGCACGACCCGGTGTGAAGAATGCGGGGAGATTATCTACTTGATATGGATTTGCTATATAATTGCGAGTCCAGGTATATAGTTGTTATATCTGAGCTTTGCAGGACTACGAAATATCATGTCCGAAACTCTGGTCGAGAATTTGGATATGGAACCAGCAGCCATCATGAGTATTCTCACCGAGTATACTGACCAGCTGAATGGCTTCAAAGGTTTAATCATTTTAACGTTGAGTATTCTCATATCTATGTCATATCTCACAGCAGCATTGAAGCCTGGACTGAGATCGATCCCGGGGCCTATCATGGCTCGCTTAACATATCTCTACCGCCCTTTCAGGATTGCCAAAGGAGATGCTCCAAACTTCTATATGAGCCTACATGAGAAATATGGACCTATAGTTCGAACAAGTCCTAACACAGTCGACATCTCTGACCCCGCGGCGCTTCCGATTATTTACGGAATCAGCAGCAAGTTTGTCAAGGTACGTACTTTGAGAAGCGATTCGATCATCTTTCTAAATTTAAATATAGTCAACATTCTACAATGCTTTCAGTCCTGTTTTTGAAGGAGAAACAATGCCTAGCATGTTCACTATAAGAGATCCAGTTGCCCACCAAGCATTGCGCCGACCTGTCGCGCAGAAATTTTCAATGTCGTCAATTAAGTCTTTGGAACCATTTGCAGATGAATGCACGAGTATATTTCTTGATGCAATGAAAGATTTTCAAGGTCAGAAGGTAGACCTGGGTGTGTGGCTACAATGGTATGCTTTTGATGTGATCGGAGCTATCACTTTCCAACGCCGATTCGGTTTTATGGAGAAGCGAGAAGATGTGATGGGTATGATCGGCGGTCTTGAGCTTGGATTAAAATATGCAGGAATAGTTGGACAAGTTCCGGCGCTACATCCATGGCTAATGGGGAACAGCTGGGTCGCAAAGCTTTTGACAGCCCAGCCGTTTGTTGAGATCGCCGATCCGCTTCGAACTATGGTGAATGTGAGTCACCCACCCTGCTTCTCTTTGATATATTCCGGCGTCATTCTCATGGAAATACAGATTACCCAAGAATGCATCGATGATTATGATAAAACCCGCGATAAATCTCATGGCCATCGGCCCGACTTTCTAGCATGGCTCCGGAGTGAAGAGTCGAAAGGGAAACAGTTATCCAATCGCGACATGATAAATCATTTGAGCAATAATCTGTAAGATTCAAAAGGCTCCAATGACTTGAGCAATGGGGCAGATGTATTAATTTTGGGTTATAGGCTTGCTGGAAGTGACACAACTGCCATTTCCTTGCGTGCTATTCTCTACTTTTTAGTCCGCAATAAGTCCGCGTACAAAAGGGCTCAGCAGGAAGTGGACATGGCAGATGGTCACGGGAAACTTTCTCCCATGATCACATATGGAGAATGTTTAGAACTACCTTACCTGTTAGTGAAGCACCACTCAAACCTCTGTTCGCCCCAGCATAAGTCTAACAAGATCCAGACAAGCGGTTATGAAAGAAGCGATGCGATGCCATCCTGGGGTTTCCTTCCCCCTTGAAAGAGTTGTCCCCGAAGAAGGTATAGATTTATGCGGGGTTCATCTGAAGGCAGGTACTATAGTCGGGATGAATGCAGCTGTCATCCATAGAGATAGGACAGTCTTTGGAGATGATGCCGATGAATTCCGACCCGAGAGATGGATCAATTGCTCTGAGGAGCAGGTTAAATTAATGAACCGTCATCTTATGACAGTGAGTCTTTTCGTGGCCCTACAGCTGGAAATATTCTAACGGTATAACAAGTTTGGTTATGGGTCTCGATCATGCATTGGCAAAAACATCTCGATTATGGAGATGGGTAAACTTATTCCTCAACTACTGCGCCACTTCGAGATTGAGTGGGCATCTGATGAGTCCGAGTGGCGGGTCGAGACCTTTTGGTTTGCTAAGCAGAATGGGCTGATATGCCGCTTCAGACCTCGAGGTGTCAGCCCATCATCAAGCTGATACACGGCTACTAGTAGCACTGGCAACCTCTAGTTATTCGTGGTGTAATGGAATAGAACCTTTACATAATTGGGTGACACCATGGATGGCTTGTGAAAAAAGTCGACTTTGCAATAAAATATGAAAATCAAATCTCTTCTTACTTCGATTATAGGTACAATGGTAGAGTTTGTAAGCATAAACGTTTATATTATAATTCGTCGGACATTTATCATCACCTTTCGGGCCCCGTGAAATGAACGCGGAAAAGAGGTTAGCCGGTACCACTATCTGGCCATCGATCGTCTATATTTATCAAACGCCATATCTAGTCCATCCATAAAGTGTTGGGAGAAGGAGAGAGAAGGTGAGAGACTAAAATTGGGTACTCATTGAAATGCCCACTTTTCTCCGCGTTTGCCATACACTCCGGGGCCAAAGGAGACAGTTCCGGGGAAGTGAGACCTTCCGACCGAAGAAACTGCCGAGGGGGGTGAATGATGACCAGGACGCCGAGTGAAAGTAGGGGGGAATAATAACAGGAAATCCGGGACTCGGTAGGTAGCGTGCGGGGGAAACTGGAGAAGGCGTTCGGTTCGGATATTCCCCGTCAGCATCGGCAAATTTCCGACAAGTAGCCTTGTTATCAAAAATAAATAGGACAACATCGATCAATTACATATCGATTGACCTTTTCGATACTGAACATACTCATTATTTCTTGTCTCTTCATCTCAGTCAAACCTCTGTTATCAAAATGGGCTCTATTGGAGAATCGCCTTTAACGGTTTCGAACCCCTTTCGAACCAGGATCTTAAACGGTCAAATCACCCCGCTCTTGTCAATAAAGCATGTTGCTACCAACGAAATCGCCATGATGGCAAAGATGGCCGGATTTCACGCGGTATTTATCGACATGGAGCATTCCACCTTCGACATGCGTACTGTTGGCCAACTCATCCTGGCCTGCAACTACGTCGGCGTTGCACCCGTGGTCCGATCTCCATCCAAGTCTCACTGGCATCTGAGCCGCATTCTCGACGCTGGAGCTGCAGCTGTTGTTATCCCTCACATTGAGACCATTGAAGAAGTTCGAGATCTCGTACACCACGCCAAGTATGCACCCCTTGGTGCACGCGGATGTACAAACAACCAGCCTCTCTTCAACTTTCAACATATCCCAACCCTCAAGCAAAATGAAGCTTTAAACGCCCAGACTCTGCTGATTCCTATGATTGAAACACCATCCGCTGTTGAGATAGCCGAGGAAATCTTTGCTTTGGATGGTGTTGACGGTGTCCTTGTCGGATCGAACGACTTGTGCACTGATCTAGGAATCCCAGGGAAGTACGATGATCCGCTATATCTGAACGCTGTCACCAAGGTCATCAATGCTGCCAACAAGTACGGGAAGACCGTCGGAATCGGCGGGATCGGAGGTCGACTGGATCTCCTTGAGAAATGGTTTTCTATGGGCGCAACTTGGTCGCTAAGTGCAGCCGATGGTGCTATCCTGCAAAATGGCATGAAGCAGGTTATCAAGAACTACGGGGAGATCAGCGAAAGGGTAGAGAAGCCAAGGAATTAAGGCTATTCAATTGTATTTATATCACAGAAACTTTGACACTAGAGAGTATATTGCAAGTCAAAAGGATTTTCCAAGTATAGATTAGCTGGCGGATCACCGCAAGCATATTCACTCAACCCTGCTTCCATGTTCCATAATGCATCATCTCCGAATATGTCAAATGATAGAATTGATCCCTCAGAGACCGGTGCATCTGTATGCATTTGCGCGTTGTTGTTATTGTTGGGGACGGACGCGACGTCTAGTTCGTTCTGCAAAACTTGGGAATCGTGGGTTGGGCGTATACTGTGAAAGGAAGAAGCTGGACCCCGGGCAGAGATCGGGGGTTGAGGATTCAACAGAGATCCATTTGCAAGTTCAGTGTACTGGTCATGTAGAATTGACTCTGTCGTTCGGAACAGGGGCTCGGTGTGTGGGTGGAAATTGATCGCAGTAGTGTACTTGCGTACAACATATGCTCTGAGTGCTTCAAACACGGCAACATAGCGCTTCGCATCTGGTAGCTCTTCCACCATTTGTTTCAATGCATTTTCACAGATTGTCACGCTCTGTGTTCCAGTGATCACGGTTTCCAGATCAAAGTCTCTAACCACCGAGAGACAATACATGACAGAAAGGCCAGCCGTAAAAAGCATTTGAAAGTAGCTTCTCGTAAAAGTAATCTTTTTATCTTGGAAAAGCCGACAGAATATAGTGATTGCGTCGACCGCGCTATTGAGGCACAATGATAAAAGATCCCTGGGTGGTGAGCTGTTTCTTTTAGGAACAAGGTCAATCGCCTTTCTGACTAGCAGCAGTCTTTCTCTCAGGTAAAGAAGATGATGCCATTCTTGCATCTCGTACAAACAGCGCGGATCTTCAAAAACTGGCGAAGAGCAACGCCATTGCTGAAGTTGATGGAGAAGGCGGTCCAACTTGGAATATATTGATCCCCGAGCCATCACGCTCTTTCCTGCATTGGAATAGACTGTTTTCTCTCCAAACTCAGAATGAATCCTGGAAGTTATTTGTCTGAGCCTGAGACAAGCTAGGAATATAGACATTTCTGTATTTCGGGCCCCTGGCGCAGATGCCAAAGCAGATACGGCGCAATATGAGTCTAAATCTGGGAAGGATCCAGATTTCTCCGCTGCTTCGATTTCTTCATCATCGGCATCGGCGGGAAATCCCACCTGAATTGATACGTCGGGTATAGCAACAGGGCGATCGAGAGTTATTGAACTGTATCGATCAATCATATAGCATTCCCAAAAGACGCGTCGTTGGAGTTGCTCATGTAAAAGACCCGTACGAGAGGTAGAAAGAGGCAGTCGATGTAAGTTCTGCTCGATGCACATTCTCATGCAGAGCCTTGTTAGTTCCCAGATCGAGGTTCCTTTAAATTATATAATGGTTAGTCTCATATATAGGACTTGAGGAACGGGGCAGAATTGATTTACCGATATGATAATAGATCGCGAATCTTCCTATAAAAAGGAGATCTTGAATAGATTCTAGCCCTCTCGCAAGAAAGCTATCATCCAAATTCTTCATAGCGGAGACAAAATATCCATATGGGTGGTGCATAGTCGCGCCATTCCGGTAAGAAAGAACGGATCCGATCGCGAGAATCATGAAGGTTTGGAAAAGATCATGAGCGTTCTTTGATTCTCCACCGTTCCTTGAGTCAGCTTCAATGTGTGAAAATACCCTAGCATAAAGCCTTTCAACATCACTTCGGAGGAAAAAGGGCCGCTGGATGTGTGATCCATTCACACTGGCAAAGTCAGTATTGGAGCTATCATAATCGAGAAGAACTGATATGTATCCACGGGCGAAGAATAGCCACTCACTATCTATCAAAAATGTCTCTTGCCTCTTGGGCCGATGGTAGGGGGTTTGGCGTTACTCCGGCACCGGCGGGACCAGGGCCTTGTGATAAATTTTGGAGTAGCGTAGGATCATGTTCTCGCCAGCCCGAATCTGCAAAAAGATGTCTCATAAAACTATTCAAGTCGTTAACAAAAAGTAAGATCTGAATGGCCGGCGATGGTTATTTACCTGATGCCACCACCCTCAACAAAGTTCGATGAATGTCTTTCTCTCCTCTCTGGAATCATTTCTCTGCGGGAAATTTGCGAATCTGTATCTCCGGATACTTGAATATTCACTGGAGTTGGTGTACTTGGGAGAGAATTTATTGTTTCGGATGCTGTGATTTGATCCTCCAAATTCTTGATTTCTTGTTCTAGGTCACCGATGTACCTGAAAATATTAATACATTCATCCAGCAGACCCAATAGGAAATAAAAAGAGGAAGAGGAAAACACATACTCTCTCGAGACCGGCTGGCCATCCTCTACTTCCATAGTCATACATTCCTCTCCGTGTTTGGCACATAATGAGCATTTGGGCCGGGTGTTGTCACACTAATCTTTAAATCAGGATGCATTCGTGAGGAGCGGGGATTGAGAATATTTATCACCCTAGCTTTTCTTGAGTGGCAAAAACGACAAGCTGGTAGTTTTGGTAATTGATTATGAGATGTTTCTTCAAGTTGAGATACATCGCTGATTGACGCAGCAGCAGCCATTCCGGAAGGTCACGAAGGGTTTCGGTGAAAATGTACTTTGAATTTGGCTGTGGGTCTTTTGAGTGACCGGTACCGAGTTGGGGACTTTCAAGCAGGTTTCCAGAGAATCAACATCTTGACACACTCTGACTGACGGATATTTGACGATGATAAGAGGGCGTTGGCAAGCGGCATTCACAAGAAGAGTGTCATGTGATACTGACATGATTACAAACAGGACAAACATATCCACATAACCCGAACAGGGAATACTGTCGTAGATCAATATCCAATACTCAGGGATCTTAATAGAATTCAATCGTACTTCTTTCCTTAATAAAAAAGTGGTACATCTAAATACTAGTCTCGCAGTTCCTAGACAACATATCTGAAGTTATTCTGGAGAGCGTTCCGAGTCTCATCATCCAGGCTAGACATGGAAACCGCGTCGGCCACATCTCCTTCGGCTATTATGGCCTCAAATTTCTTGTTTTTGCGACGGAGTAAGAATCGGATGGTCAAGATGCATGATAGACCCAAAGCCTGAAATGCTAATAAGCAGCCCCAAGACTGACGAAACATCGGCTCGTACTGATCCAACCAGAAATAATTGGCGAACAACGAGGCAATGTTCGCACATGTATTGGCCAACCCAATGGCCACAGCACGTTTAACGGGTGGCTGAGTAATGGTGGAGGAGAGCCATGCATATGTAGTTGAGTATACGCCAAACGTACCGCAACAAACAAGAAACGTGAAGCCATACCGAGCCCAAAGTGGACCTGACACTGCAATGAGCAGTACCGCGCCAACCATTGCAAGAGTTTGGGAAACCCCAGCTGGAATTGAGCGAATCTGGTGTCGGTCTGCAAACCAAGCCCAGGAAATAGACCAGAAAAAAGCAACAATGTACGGTGGAGAAGTAAGGAGCAGAACAGTGGTGTTGTTTTTGAAACCGAGCTGCTGAATCAAGGTGGGAAAGAAGTGCGAGTATGAGATTGATGCAGTTGTTGACATTTGTAAACACGCAAAAAGCCATGTTCGGACATCCTTGGCTGCCCATATTAAGCCACGTACTATAGGGACTTCTTCGGCATCAAGCAAGACGTCACTTCCAGCATCGACTGCTAAGCGCGCCTGACCAACAATCTTTTCCACATCGCTCAACCATTTGGTTGTACCTGGAAAGTCAGGAAGAACGAAAAGACCAATCACTCCAAGAATAAGAGTCGCGAGACCTTCAAGAATAAATAGCCATCGCCAAGACGCCAAATTCCCAACCCCTTCCATTCCGGACAGGATTCCGGCCGAGATCAGTCCGGCGAAGGCATTCGAGAGAAGGATACCACAGATCAAAAGCGCCATCCGAACACCAATTTCGCGCTTCGTGTACCAGCAACTGAGAAAGTAAACTGCACCTGGGAAGAAAGGGGCTTCCACAAACCCGAGGAAAAACCGGACCATCAGCAGACCAGGCGTATTGTGCACGGCAGACGTGCACCCGCTCACTATCGCCCAGAGAATGATACAACATGGCTGGGAATTTGAAAGGAAAAATTAGCACTGTGCTCAAGGCCTGAAGGGGGAATAAGGAAAAGGAAAGTGCGCGCTTGCTTACGAGGAAGATGGATGGTCGTAGTTTTGTCATGAGAATTGTGGCAGGAAGCTGCATCAGAATATAGCCAGCGGAGAAGATGGATATTGCGGTTTGATATTCTGCGCCCTCAAGACCGGTTTCTTTCTCTAGTCCATAAAGGCGAGCTTGAGTGATCGAGTTTCGATCAAGGTAATTGAATAGGTAGATAAGCATAATCAGTGGAAGAATTCGAGTGTCGATTTTGCGGAGGAGTTGCTTTTCGACCTGTCGGCGATATTCAGGCTCATATGAGAGAAAAACGGCCATCGCATCCGTTGGCCGCTCATCTTGGGAATTCTCGACCCAGATGTCATTTTTTGACACTGACTTTGCATCCCGATCATCTGAGGCAAGTGGTGGAGACGAATTTGCGCTCGTCATTGTAGGCTGGGCGCTGGATAGCAAGAGTGTGACTTAAAGAAAAGAGAGTCAACAGATTTTGACGGAAAAGCTGGCACCACACATTGACTCATCATCATATATGCTTCATCTCTTATATGCCATGAAAGGAAAGTCTCTTCTTCCCCGGACTGATTCCCCTCTTCTCCAGAATCATGGGCCCATCGGAAAATTGCCGACAGCCAATCATCGTATTCCCGACGACCTGAGCCGTCAAGTGACAGCGAAGGGTTCGCTGATCTTCTATGTATTTTGTAGGGGTCGCTTAAGCTCTGTTTTACTGGTAAATTTCGAGATCAATAGTTTCAGCGCACTTTAATCGTCACTTTCTTGTCTTTATTCGATTTTTACTTTGGTTGATTTCACTCTACTCAACAAAAAGATAAAATATGCACGAAACTCGCCGTGAAATCGTCTCGCCTGCATCATGGACCAAACACACGCTTGGCATTATCGACAAGCATTGCCGAGATTTGCTCAGCTGAAAGCCATCCTGTAATGGCGAGAAGTTCCTTCTTGGCATCCACAGCTTCCGATACCGATGGTGGGCTGTCACCCTGATATAAACTGTCCACATGGGGCCAATCACTACCCCAGAGCAGAGCAGATGGTACATCGGCAGCTAGCCTTTGAATTATGAGTCGCATGTTTGAAATTGATTTGTCTCGTCGGTAGAGAGAAGAAATTTTGATATTTACCCCGTCGCGTTGCAGTAATATGATAAAGTCATCTAAGCCAGGGCCCTCTATATCTGCGGGCGATAAACAGCCAACGTGGTCGATGATGATTGGGATATGGAGGACGTCTGGGTCATCGCATAAAAAGGGCCTCAGGGAAAGCCAAGTTGTGAAGGGGAGCTGAGCAGAGATCCCCCAGCCCAAGGTTCGGGCAGCGTAGGAACGAGCAAAGAGCTTGATCTGATTCTGTAGACTTGCGGTGTCTGTAGAACTACCACCGAAGTACCCATGAATGCGACAAAATCGGATCCCAAGAGAATGAAGGGTGTCCAGCTTCTCTTTTGATAATGTGTATATCTCCTCGTCCAAAGATATGATCCCGCGTGCAAGCACATTTGGATATTCAGAGCGAATACGGCCGAGATGACTCGCCAGAGCAGAATGACCATCTTCAACTGAGGCTTGGACTAGCACAATATTTCTGGCGATTGTATCCTTGGCCAGCAACTCTAGAGGGGCTGGTGCTGGCGTGTATGATCTGGTTGGTTTGAAGGGATAACGCACGGGGTCCAGGCAATGAATGTGGGTATCCCACATATCACTATTGATGTTGTTCATTTTCACAAGAGACTATTCTGAAGTCTTCTGTGTTTCGCATAGCCTGAATCCAGCCACTATATCGGTATGTGACAAGGTTGAGTAGCCGAGAGGCAATTGAGAAAGTACCAGCGCCAAGACATTTCGATTGTCGGAAATTCCCCGCCGTCCGATCTCCGCCTTTTCTCCTCCACAACACAACTCCATGCTGCACCACGATGCGCAAGAACGGCATTGCAGGAGCTAATCAACCCCTCACGCCACGGCAACGCGGCAAGGCATGCGAAAGATGTTGGAAGCGCAAGCAAAAGGTCTGAAACCCCTTACGGGCCCCACTGATGTCTCGGGTCGGTGGCGGATCCTCCCTCACCTCGTGGTCGACGATTTAACGTTGCCGCAGTGCGATAAAAGCCTTCCTGCATGCTCGGCCTGCATCAACGTGGGACACGAATGCATCCCTCGGAAAATTGACGTCGAACCAATCACGAATACGGGTGGGAACTTGTCCCATAGTGCTCTCCCAAGGTAAGATCTACACCTCTCGAACTTTGTTCCTGCCTAAACTATCGTTACTGAGGACCATTGTAATGAAAATAGCTACGTGGAGACTTTGAAGCGAAAACGTGAAAGCCTACAGATTCAGCTCCGTCGACAACGGCCACGCTATGCGTCGAACGCAGAGAACACAGCGGAATCGGATATCCCGCAAGTTCAGCCCTCAAGAGATGGTGGTGACGAAGGGGAGCATGAAACTACGGAACACACCGTTGAAGCTGCCATGGGGGAAATCGGCTTTCTGTCGCGTAGCGCCATGGCAGAACCGCGTGATGGCCGTGGTGAAGCTCCCCAAGAACTCGCCATGGGACGAATGGTGCGCGCGGCACTCGCTATCACTGGGGCTAATCCATCCGAGTCAAGGATAGATGCTCTACAACAAGCAGTGGGAGGCATGACAGATCAACCCTTTTCGCTTAAAAAGCATCTGGCATCACCATTTGTCTCTCGCTTTCTCCAGGCTGCGGGCGCACGGTTCCTCCACATCGATTCCGCAAATATTTGGGCAGACTTCGAAACGTTTTTCGCAGAGCCTGGGCTATCAAATAACCAAGCAGATTTATCGAATCCAGCTCGGTCATTCAATGTTTACCTATCTATAGCCACGGGAATGTTAATTTCCCCACAATCATCCAACTTTCAAGGACTCTCTAGCAGCATCCATGCCGCTGCAGTGAAACTTCTGGGCACGATCATACAATCTGAAAGTACCGAGAAAATTCTCAGCTGCATGATATTGATGATACTGTATTCTGTTTACGGCTCCCTTGGGGGCTCGACTTGGCATCTTATTGGATTGGCGATGAAAAGAGCAATTGCGTCTAGATTCCATCGGGACCCGGATCGAGGCACTGTTGATTCTTCCGAGGCATTAACCAAAAGGCGAAATATATTCTGGAGCTTGTATACTCTTGATAGGTACGTCATGAAAGCATTCCTGGTCAGCTATTTACATTTGCATTGATACCCGAGTCCATGACTTACAACGGAATAGAGATATAAGCGCCATAATGGACCGTCCGTTCAGCATCGAGGATGAAGATATCACGGTCATGGTGAGATGTGAATGATTGATGGACATATAAGAGCAAGCTAACTCGTTCGAAGCCACCAGATGAGTACCTAGCGAACACATCCGATGAACAAAGTCTGGCGTTTCACACTGTGACGCATGCTAGGCTTATATCCTGTATACGCAATAGTCCTTCGGAAACTTTGATTTTCCATTACAGCAACCTCGCCCATTGGAAAGATCTTGCACGAGATCAAGATACAAGTCCACCTGTGATACATATAATGCAATTACAGTGTAGAGCCATAGTGGAAATTTTGAAAGCGAGGGGCTCGGTCTCTGTCAGCCCAAGCCTAGTTTGCAGCTCTGTGGCAATGGAGAATGACTTTGTAAGAAGCTGTGCCGAATACATACAAGAAGCATACCGACAATCCGACCTTGATAATTTTGTTGGAGGCACCGTGGATGCCTACGACATATTCGCGGCCGGCATTGTCATATTCTGTCTGCGGGATAAGTGCACGGAGATTTACCAAGACCAGCGAATTGTCAATCAATGCACCACGCTCCTCACTTTGCTGGGCGAGCGCTTTTCTGGACTGAAGGGCTTTCGGCGTACACTATGGGATCTGTCCAATGCGGTGGTCCCAGGCAATTCAACACATGAATCCCTGATCGCTGATCTCCCTCCGATCATTCCTGATGGGATTCGAGCCCTGATATTTAGTGTCTTGTGATGAAATGTCATGCATCGGTTCCGCATGAACGTGTCGGACTTTTTCCGACGGCCCACGCCCGATGCATCTCGGGATGTTACAGCTTTCTGCCCGCTTTATCATTCCGCAGTATTAAATTAAAACCAATCCACTGCTCTTCTCGATGGAATAACTTCTCTTTTTCCGTGCTCAAATCTACCTGAAGCTCAAAAATGCCGCCCGCAAGTGTTCACGATGATGAGGTCTCCACACCACGCAGCACTCAGTCGAAGCCAACTGTTTACATCCTCGATGTTTGGAATCCACAAGCCCTAGCCCATGCGAAAACACTTTTCAACGTCATAACTCCTGGCGATGCGGGGTTTTCCGATTGGCGGCAGAATGCAACTGCCCTCCTCATCAGAGGTTCATATTTTACCGCGGAAGATGTTGCCAGCTGCCCAAATCTTGTCGCGATTGGCAAGCACGGAGTCGGAATCGACAAAATCGACCAACATGCATGCGCCAAGCGCGGTATCAAAATCTGCAATACGCCTGGTGCCAACGCGCGAGATGTGGCCGAGTTGGTGCTCGCATTGACGATGGCCGTAGCTCGCGACATTCGATCCATCACAACTCGCCAGATGTCGAAGCCCGTTCCAAAAGAAACTTGCAACGGCCTGACACTCCATAGGAAGACCCTTGGTATTATTGGCATGGGCAACATCGGACGTACAGTGGCCGAGATATTCCGAGGTGCCTTCGATGCCGATGTGGTTGCCTATGATGTTTTTATTCCCAAAGACGCGTGGTCTCATATTGCACACGACAGGGTGACTGATGTTGATGAAGTCTACAGGAGAGCAGATGTCCTCTCCATCCATGTGCCGCTTACAAACGGGACTCGGGACATGATCTCATACAAGCAACTGCGTATGATGAAGTCAGATGCAATTGTTATCAACGCTGCAAGGGGTGGAATCATCAATGAGGGTGACCTCACAAAGGCGCTGTCCGAGGGTCATCTTTGGGGTGCTGGATTGGACTGCCATGAGCAAGAGCCCCCCTAGCAAGGAGAGATATGAAGCACTCTGGGAAAACTTGAACGTCATCTCCACGCCTCATATTGGTGCCGCCACCACAAGAGCCCAAACTGCGAGTGCAATGGCTGCAGTGGATAATTTGTATGAATATTTAATGAAGATCTGAATGCAAAGCAATCTATGCATAACAGCACCGGGCTAGTCTGGTAGGTTTGAGAATATCACCGACTCCCGGCCCCAGGCTCATCCTTTCTTTATGGGTTTCGAATTTTGGGCAGGCAGGGTCGCAGGGTGACTAGTAATTACTAGTATCTACGAGCAGAAATAGGTCAAATCTACAAAAACACATTAAAGTATCATAGATCTTATAAGACAATACAGTAAATTTTACCATCAAGTTTTATAAGTACCCCTGTGAGGCCTTTGAGTCCTAGCTACTAGTAATTTCCTGCGAGTCTGCGCACGTTTCGTTCAAGCTACTAAAATTATCTCAACCTACGTCAAGGACCCGCCCGTCAACTTCCATCTCCATAATCAATCAAACTCGAAGTCTGGAAGTTAACCCCTGGGGCCATTCCATGGGGCCGGGAGAGTAGTAAAAGATTTGATTAGGGGGGGAAAGGAAGCACTTTCATGCATGTGACTGGGGCGATTGTCGAGGTTCAGTGACTATTTATGGTCTATCAGGCACGAAGCGTAAGAAATAACCTATTATGTACTAGACTCCGAGATACAAGCGGGAGGTCATGTATTTAATTCAAATATACCTTGAGGTGTCCTATTCCATGTTCAGTTGTGAATTTCTTCCAGCGAAACTCCCGTAAAGATTGATATTCAGTTGTAACTAGGCGTAATTTGATGCGTTGATCAACTTGGCGGCCCCAAAGAATAACCTGACAAAGGAAAAAGCTTTCAGCTTCCTTCCCCTTTATTCATTACTCTCGAGATAAGAGCCAACGAAGGGGCCAGCCCCATATCCATAAAAAATCTCTGGGAATCCTTCGCTAGAAGGGGCCGACCCCGACCCCGGCCCCGCCCCGGCCCCAAGCCCACCAAGCTCACCAAGCTCACTGGGCCCACTTGAGTGCGTTCCTGCATGGCCACGCCGCGAAGTCAGATCTATAAAAGCAAAAAGCTTAGCTTTTTTTTCCATTTTTCCCAAGCCCCGACAATATTATTTTTGAAAAAAGGCTCAGCGTTCAAGATGGTGCTATTCAAATCTGCATCCCTGTTACTTTTTCCTCTTCTGTCCCAGGCCAGTGCGGATGCTCGGGTGAAACACGAATGGTGGACTTCTCTTCAGCCTCAGGTCACTGCTGTTCAAGCTGAAGTTCTTGTTCCAGATGGCTCAGCTGCCTCTATTGGTATCGGTTCTGCCACGAAGAAATCGTCTCCTACATTTTCGCCAACTTCGTCGATTTGCCATTCTACTTCGTGTCCGCCCATCACCTTGACCCCGAGCAGTATCCCGGCGGGCGTAGCTACCCATGTCGAGTCTCTTGAGACGACATTCACCGTGCCCGTCGGGTCGTCTTGGAGTATTCGATTTGCAGCACGTCACACTAGCGAGGCTGTAAATGGCGGCTCGACGACAAAGCCTAACAGTGACGCCCCTGCGCTTCCCCTGTCTACACATAAACCTTCTCACACCCCTAAGAAGAGCGGTACCCCAGGGGCTGCGGGTTCAAACAATAATAGCTCTCCTAAAGCCTCACCTTCCTCGAGCTCTTCATCTGTGCATGATAATCTTGCTTCCGGTAATATCGCTATCAATTCTCCGACCACGACCAACACTTTGAACAAAACTGGTGCAAAGAGCACAAACCCAACCAGCTCGTCCCGCACTCCACATACTTCAACTACACCTAAGAGGCCGAGCACGACCAACACCTCTGAAGCTGGCACCTCTGCCTCCGGCGATTCACCGCTTAGCACCTCTTCTTCGAGTAGCGTGCCTTTGATCCATACTTCCTCACCTCCATCAAATTCGCCTGCCAGAAGCCAAACATCGGGAGCTTCTTCAGTGTCAACTAAACCAAAGACAGACCAAACCACTGATGATCACTCTACTCCCACCTCTTCGAATACACCCGGTGAGCCTGATGGGAAGAATGGCCCTTCATCTAGTGGGTCCCGGGTAATTGGAACCAGCACCCCTGGAGGGAAAAAGCCTGCGACAGCCGTTTCGGATAATGGAGATAAATCCAATACGGGATCAGGACAGTCCTCTACGGGGAAATCAGGTCAAAGCGATACTCCTTTGAGTACAACGACACCTAATGGTCAATCTGCCACTTCCGGCCTATTTGCCAGTGCAAGTCTGAATGTCGCATCAGCTCCCGACCTCGATTCCCCATCAGCATCCGAGGCTCTATCATCCTTCTCTGGATCTTCTTCGGTCTATATGGAGGCTATGATGACATATGAGCCCACCGCAACAGTCACTGCAATTGAGACGAGTGTGTTGTCTAACTTGGAAGCTGCAACAACTATCACTGGAGCTGCGGCTGCAACCGATGGAGCTGCTCTGGCAGGAGTTGCGGCGGGGCTATCATTTGATCTTAGCAATCCGAAGAAGGTGAGGTCGGATCTTGATAATACCAAGAAAAAGATCACAGAGTATCAACGCAAATCAAGTGAGTCGAAGGGGGGATCCTCTGGTGGATCTTCCGGGGGTTTTTCTCCCTGTAGCGGAGGAGGTCTCGGGGGAATTTTCAATGTTGTTGGCTGCTTGGTGAAAAGTGTCCCAGATGTTTTGACAGGGCCACCTGCGGATGTGAAAAGCTTCGCTGAGACTGGCTGGGACGCCGAAAACGCTTTGATTGACGAAGCCAAAAATATTGTTCCTGATGATAGCTCAGAGATTAAAGATGATGTCAAAGATAAGTTCAAGACCTGGAAGTCTTATTGGGAAAAAGCCTCAAGTGTCGTTGATGAAGTTGAGCAGAAGAATAAGGAAAATGAGGAAGAGGAGGAAAAGAAATCGTCCTCATCTACCTCATCTACTTCATCTACCTCATCGACTACTTGCACAAGCAGCACCACAACCATGTCGACGACTCTGATCGACATCGTGAGCACAAAAACCATCACTTCAGATCATACAACATCCACATCTCTGACTACCTCTACGTCGACTGTCACAACGCTTGTGACAGTGTGTCCAGACAAAACTTTATCCACAGCGATCAGTACTACCACCGAGGGGAAAGCCTGCAAAAAGAGATCTAAGATTACAACATCGAATATCCTTCCAAGTGATGACCCTACATCTACAGCGCAAAGTACATCTGCGCCCTCGACGACAGCATCCTCAAGTGAAAGCACAAGCACCTCATCAAGCACAAGCACCTCATCGAGCACAAGCACCTCATCGAGCACAAGCACCTCATCAAGCACAAGAACCTCAACAAGCAAAAGCACTCCGTCAAGCACAAGCGCCCAGTCAACTACAGCCACCACTGAGCCACCCTGTAATCAGGAGACCTATTCCAGGGTCGGGGTTCTTTGTGATTGCACCACCACCATCGGCACCAGATCTGTATATGAAACAATCACCACAAGATCAAACGGAAAATGTGATTATTCCACATATCCTGGTAGTGGGTTCATGAAATTACCTTCGGCAACTATCACCGCACCGATATGCAATAACACTCCAGATGTCAATGGTGTCCCAGGCTGCCAATGCTCGACAACCATTTCGGGCCAAGATGTGCACACCAATATGGAGCTTCCGTACTCGACTGGAACATTTACCGTAATCGATGAATGCGCCCAGATTACCAGTTACCCATCAACGGATTATACTGCAACCCCAACGACACTGCCGGCAAATCCATACGCTACCGATTACACCTACACCAGTGACGATGGAGCTGTCGTCGTCTATCCCACCGCGACAGAGTATGAGTTCGTTGAGCCGGGAGGCCAGGGCTGGACGAACTGGGAAACGGTGCCCGTTGGTACGCCCACAGAGACCGTTGCAACAGCCACACCAACGGCGAACTGCGCCTATTGGAATAACGAGAGATTGAGTAACACATATGTCATCTACGGTATCGAAAACTGGACCGATAAAACAGCAAAGTACGGAGTCTGGCAAAACCTTCGCTATGAGATTGGGAGAATTGATAAGGATACTGGCCTTCAGATCGCTGATCATTGGAAGACCGGCTGTGGTGCCGTAACCAATTGGCGCCATCAGGATGATACCGACTATGGTTACATTGTCAAATTCGAACCCGGACCTTGGGAACGACAACACTTGCATAGAACATGCGATTCGTACCGCCGGTGGTCCTCTGATGGTGGGTGATGATGCGCATGGCTGTATTAAAATCGACCAAATGCATAGTCATTACTCAGATACGCCTGCGGAGAATCTGGACACGCTCTACAAGAACCATCCCGACAAGGTGGCATATCCTTATCCAACGAAGTGACCGGTCGACGCTTCGTAGTCGATTATTCTCGCGCAGACATTCATAGATCGATTGTTTTACTATATGCACAATTTCATTAACCACCGATTGTTTGTCCCATCGTCTCACATTTACACTTCAGCTTCTTAAGCAATGTGAATTTGTAGCACCGATGGCTTGGGTATCGTAAAGTGATCAAGAAGCTTTATTACGCTTATCCACAAGAGATCAAATGAATCCTTGGGGTTTGGTTCACAGGAGCACCAGTCATGGTTAATTGTAGTAATATAACACCAACTCTAGGTACGAGCACCCCTGCAGTGCCATGGCACACACTGAATATTGCCCTTGATACTATCAGTGATGAAGATAGTTTTTCCATCTTCACCTCCGAATGTGCAATTTGTCAAGTTCTTTCCTCCCTCAGGGGCCGTCACGATCCTCGCTTTGGGAACACCATCCGAGTCGACCACGAAAACAGACCCAAGACTAGGGTGACATATGAACAAACTGCCTTCCTCATCAACTGCCAACCCATCAGGACCAGCGCAGCCGAACGATTGGAAAAATAATCCAGCTTTTGTCGTACTCCCATCGGCGTTGAGGGGGAGCCTCCAGACCGCATTTGAGCGAGTCATAGCCACGTACAGGAACCGTTCGTCCGGGGATAAGACAATTCCATTTGGGGAGATACCATTGTCGAGAAGGCAGTCCAATCTGCCATCCTTGGTGAGACGATAAACACGACCGGTTTGGTCGGTCATACCAGTTTGACCCTGGTCTGTGAAATAGATCTCGCCTTTGGATGATATGACCAAGTCATTGAGGCCTTTGAAACGTTCGAGATTTCGGCGCGTCAGGAAAGAAGACATTTGATCATTTTGGGGGTCGAATAAAAGAAGACCCTACGAAAACGGTTAGCTACGGCATCTTTGATATGGGAGCTATTGCGTACCTGCTTGTAGTCGGCAACGAGCATACATCCATCATCCCGCAAAGCAAGACCATTGGGCTCTCCATCATATCGCACACACTCCGTGACTTGTTTCAGTGGGTCAATCTTCAAAATCCGTCCATAAGGAATGTCGGTCACATAGAGATCACCGCTGCTCCTCCACGTCGGACCTTCTAGGAAAATGTCCGAAGCTGGAGTCGCAGATCCACCAAGCCACTCGGTCGGTTGTCCGCTGCACCGCAAAGAAGCGGGGATTTGGACGTACACCTCGGCCTGTATCACTGGTGGTGTGGGGTAGAAATTCATACTGACGGTGTAGTTTTTGAAAGTTTGTGATCAAACTAGCTACGGGTCAGCCGGCATGGTTGGCGATGGGGCCACCTTTAACACTTTGTCGGTGTTGACGGACATTTTCCGACAGCTTGCGGAGCCCCGAATTCCCCACATATTACCTTCCCCATGGGGGAGGAGCTAGCCATAGCTTTTGGATGATAGGAGACAAAGATACCGTACGCTAGTTTTTTCATATTTATTTGAGTTACACCTTCGTCTGTGTTCGTGAGAGCAGTATTTGCCGGCTAAAATGGGTCTTATTTCAGATACGAAACAAGCAATCCAAGATTCTCCAAAGGGAATCTTCAATTGGTATGTGCTTGCATGTACGTGCATTTTCGCTTTCCCGGGAGTTGCGAAGGGCTTCGATGAAGGTATGTATGGTCTGCCTGCGCATAAAATGGTCACTATCTGAACTTTATAGGAAACATCGCCTCGATCGTTGTCCAGTCGCACTTCATGAAAGTCTTCGAACTCAATCAGCAATCCGAAGCAGAATATGCGAACACAAAGGGATGGATCGTTTCAATTGCCACGGCAGGGGCAGTTTTTGGATGCTTTGGAGTAGGTCAATCACACCTCGAAAGGAAAGCCTACTGCTAACCCAGACAGTGTCTTCCAATTACTGATCGGTTCGGACGACGATGGGCTTTATCCTTGGCAACGATTATCTATATCGCAGGAGTGCTAGGTCAGGGGCTCAATGGAGGCAGTCTCTCAGGGCTCTATGCTTCGAGATTTGTTTCCGGTATTGGAATCGGTGCAACTACTGTCATTCCTCCGATGTACATTGCAGAGGTAAGTTGATTTAGCGATTTGTTACTCATCTCTCGATGGAGGCTTATCAAAATTCTCTATTCAGATTGCACCAAAGGCTATCAGGGGTCTTTTGACTCTCCAATATGCAGCCTGTCAACAGTTAGGTGTTGTGTTCGGCTTCTTTATCAATTATGGCGTCACGAAAACCTACTCCGGATCAGACAAACAGTGGATGCTACCTACTCTATTGCAATTACTCCCGGCGGTGATTTGGGGTGCCGGTATCTTCCTTTGTCCAGAATCACCGCGCTGGCTTTTGTATACCGGTCAGCGTGATCAGGCGATAGATACGCTCTCAAAGCTACGCCATCTCCCTGTCGACCATGCAGCTCTACAGGCCGAGATATCTATGATGGATGCCAGGATACTTCACGAAACAGAGTCGGTCGGCAGTTCAAGTCAGTGGGATCTCCTCAAAGAAACACTTATCCCGGTCGAGAATAGACGTCGCTTTTGTCTGATATTCATGGCCACGCTATTCTCACAATGGTCTGGAGCCAACGCGATCACGCAGTATTCGCCAACTATCTTTGGTTATCTTGGCATCGATGGGGATGAGTCAAAGTTTCTCGCCACAGGAATTTATGCGGTAGTAAAGTTCGTCAGCACGCTTGCTTTTGCTTTATTCGTTGTAGACTTCATCGGCCGGCGTCGATCTTTGCTCACTGGCATCATCTTGCAAATCGTTACCTTGGCATATGTGGGTGGTTACCTAGGAGCTACGAAGAGCTTCAGTGTGGACCGTATCAGCAGCGATCCAAACATTTCCAGGGCATCAACGGGCGCTATCGTGGCTATCTATTTACATGCCGTGGCGTGGAGTATTGGCTGGTTCAGCATTCCCTACTTGATTGGGTCGGAGATCTTCCCGACAAGAATAAGGTCGTTCAATATGTCCATCGCTATGGGCTTCCATTGGGCTTTCTATTTCGGCTGTTCTCGGGCTATGCCCAGCCTCCTTGCCGCAAGCCAGAAATGGGGTGCTTTTGCGTTTTTCGTTTGTATATGCCTGATGTCGCTGGTCTATGTCTACTTCGCCATGCCGGTAAAGTTGCCGCCCCACATGATCAACACTACCTAACCAAAGTTTCACGAACACTGACAAGATGTTTAGGACACCACCGGACGATCGTTGGACGCCCTGGACAGCCTATTCCAGAGGCCATGGTATACTGTCCACAAAGTCGCGTACGCCAAGCAAGACGAAATCCAGATTGAGCAAGTGGGCAAGCTGCAGGTTGAGCACCTGGAGTCGGCTTGATCATGCCGTGTGCCCCGTCATGCGGGCGGACCAACCAGGGTAAAGATCTACAAGTACCAATATGTTTTGGATTTGCAAGGTTTCAAGCAAAGGGATGCGGAATTCACGTGTATGTAATAGAATTATGAGTCCGTCAAACGCCGGTACCATGTGTAAAAAGGGATAAGTACATGCGTAAGATACATCAGAAAACGTCTAGACATCCGGTCCCAACCAAACCCATGATCCCGAGCACAAAGAGAGAAGACGACCAGCAGACAAAAGACGAAAGATGATGTGGATCACGCGAAAAGAACGCCGGTGCCGGGACCAAAATGCAGTAGTAAAGAGTGTAAGAAAGAGGTAATAGTATGTTGAAAAGGATTCAAGTCATTCGCAAGACAGAAACATCCATAAAATCAAATCTCGGCGGCGTAAACGAAGGGTATTATCGGAAAGGATACATATCGATGTAAATGCTTTTTGCCAAGAAGCAACATAAGGCGTGGGGGGAATCAGAAAAGTGAAGACAGAAAGAAAACGACGAGTAACGAGATGGAACGAGGCCAGCTCGCTTAGGAGTGTGGGCGACCGATGCGGCCTCCCATGTAGGATCCAGTGGAAGCAATAAACCTGGCAACGAAGCCGCTGCCGTGGTGGTGGCCACCAATTTTGATCTTCTTGCTGGGTTGGCGGATGGGCTCAAACTGCTGCTTGGATTCAAAGCCAACGTTGACATAGCTTTGGGTCAAAGAGGCGGAGGGGCTTGTGTTGGAGTCGCTGACCATGACATCGTCGTTTCCGTGAGAAGAGCATGTGCTCATGCTAGCCGGGGTTCCGCGGGAGCTGGGAGCGACACTGGATGATCGAGAGCACAGGGAGTTGAAAGTCTCAGCATGAGAGAGGCCGGGGACATCACGGATAGAGGGAGGTGAGATGGACCGCCCAGGTCGATGGGGTGAGGTGCGATGCCGGTTATAAGGAGTGAAGCGATCATTCTCAGCGACGAACTGGGGTGAGTTGTTTTGTTTCTGGATATTTGGACATGAAACATGGCTCGGAAGTCGACGCAGAGATGTATCGACAACACGACGACTTTCACCTCGAGCTTCAAGCTTCTGACGACGAAGGCGGCTGGCCAGCAGGTCCGCCGATACATGCAGACGTCGCCTGGAGGAAAAGTTAGCTGATTATTTTCATTGCTAAGGGAAGAATGTATCCATACCATTCACGGTGCTGTTGCTGCTTTCGCTGTTGTTCTTCCTGTGCCATTTTCTCGCGGTGTTGGAGCTGCATGCGCTGACGAATGGGAGCTAGGAATGGTTCAAGGTGGATGAAAAGATCCTCCTCAGTCACGCGGGTTTCCCAGTCTAAGAGGAAGAGCAGCTGACGTTCCATCAAGTTGACCTCGGGCAGAGAAAAGCCAAATCCTTCATACCCCTTCACTGCAGTGTAACGTGCCCAGTGCTTGTTCTTAGGGCTGGAGTCGTTAAGGTTCTTAGCTGCGAGGATCAGAGAGGCCAAGAATATCCGGTGGACGGTGCATCGCATGCCCTTGGCGACAGGGGGCAGACGGGCCTGAAGACGACCGAGGTACACGAGGGAACTCATAAGGGTAGGCACTTGGACCTGCGATCGGGCAACGAGGGATGCGATGAATGATTCGATGGTAGGAAGTGGCGGTAGGGAGTCGGAATCCTCCATTGGAGGAGTCGAGGGAGGCGTGGGCTGGCCATTTTGGTTGACGGTGTTGGTCACATGGGCTTCACAGCGAATGACCCGGGCAGCCTGACGAGCCAAGTGCGTTACCATCTCGCGAGAGACTCTTTGGGTGACGAACTCATCGAGAGCCGCCCGATTGAAGGTAGAGGATTGCATCGTGGTTTGGTCCATGATGAATGTTGGATATTGGTGTTGGAATGGCTTATAGAAACCAGTTGGTGAAGTCGGGAAATGAGAGGGGTATCAGATGTAAGCTGGTGAATTAAATGCAACCAGTTGTCTGGATCGTCACAAAGCCCGTTGTGTTTGAGCCGAGACAAGAGGACAATACTAGACAATAAGCTTGTCGTCGTCGGAGTGTATCGCTGATGAACAAAGACAAAGCGGAAGACAAAGCACGTCAACGAGGCACAATGTGAAAGAAATAGTAGGGAATTCCTGAACCAGCAGGATATAGCAGTGTAGTTAAAAAAGAATGTTGCTGTAAGGATAGCAGAGGTTGTCGTGTCAACCCTCTTATCGATAGCCCTAACTGTAGGATTCTCCAGAAAGGCTGAGACCTGCCGAAGCGGAGAATTTGAGCCGAGAGACAGCCCACCGTACTATGGCAATAGATTGAGATCGAGCAGACGCTGTCTTGAATGATTATTGAATCGAGTAGGTTTATGGGATGAGAAGACTGAGGGAGCGACCGAGCGATAAAAGACAATATTAAAAGGGTAAGGAAAGTGTGGTGACGACGTTGAGCATGTGGATGATTCCCGTGAAGAATCCAACGAGTGGGAAGAGTTCACTACATATAGCTCCGGTATGCGCCAGAGGGCGGCTGGCTAGGAAGCTGCAAGGCTGGCTGGGCCAGTCAGAGTCCCTGAAGGAGGGCAGGATGGGGCAGGGGGTCGCGGAGGAGCTGGAGCAAGCCTGCATAGTTGGATCTGAGATGCTCAAACCTTTGTCGCGCGCGCCGGGAGTCTGGGAGGGGCGATGGGCCTTGATTTGTCGGGGAATGTAGTGGAGATGGCGATTTACACGGACCTGAATACCTAGGACCTGGGGCCCTGCAAAAAGAAAGTCAAACGATTGATGGCCTCGTCGGGTATGCATACTATTGCTGTCTATCAGACCTTGTCTGTGCCCTCCCCCCTATCCCTAGATTCATCACGTCTTCTTAGTACATTGGTATTTGCCTCCCACATATTGCGCGGTCCTATCTCTTCTACCTCGCGTCGAATATGGCCCATCTTTCCAGCCATCTGTTTAGAGAGGCTTCAATTTCTTCCGCTTCCAACAACCCTAATAATAGCATACCTGGTCGCCACCAAAAAGTACCCAGCGCTTCTATGACCGCAAGTAGACGACCGCAAACCTAGCTACTCGCTGACAAGACTCCACCGAGTCTGCGAGGAGATCAACGCTAGGCCCACTGAATGCCCGCAGTGGAGTCCAGCCTTCCCACTCAATTCCAATCAATTGGTCTTCTTCCCCTGGTGTCGGGGACATCCTTTGGTGTGCCAGGGAACCGATGCCCATTGCCCAGCCCTCCTATGGATTCTACCTACTCCGTACTACTACTCCGTACTTTAGATCATCTATGAAACTCGCGACCGTCTCATATCTCCTTCGGGAGACGCGGGGGGAAATACCAGGTCAGATTCCACCACGTCCCACCCGGAACAGGAGATGGTTCGAGACACGATAAACCACATAGCTTGGAACCTTCTTCTGCGTGGATACATAGTTACATAGTGAGTTCTCCAGCTGTTCTATCTATGTCCCTCCCCAAACGACCCAAACTAGGCACACGTATCACCCTCTCAAGAAACAGGGTAAAAAGGGCAGCCCGAGAGAAAAAACACCCTCAACCTGGCTGGTCGAAAAGGGGCCACCAATTTCAGCTGGGAGTCTTTCTGCCAGGCTCATAGGTGGATTAGGCTCAGGTCGTACGGTCCGAAACTAGAGGGAAGAACCAACCTAAAGCCTCATAGAACAATGTGGCAATCCGAGTTTCAATTTGACGCCGCAGTGCGAGCGAAATACCCAATCACTACGGAAAAACTGACAGGTTCCGACCGTAGAAGATCATGTCCGTGCGAGTCCCCCACCCTCTCGCACTTTGGGGATCCCTGCTCCATGCCAAATGACCCCTGTCACACGGCCCGCCACGAGTAGTGGGTCGCGCAGCGTGTTCGAGGGGAAGAACCTTGGAAACTGGACATACCAGATGACAACGCGATCAGATGCATCAGAAGGGGTGCATCATCCCCTCTCCCTCTAGTCTGGGAGGAGGGTTTAATGATTCCTGACCGTGGGACGCGATGGAATAGTCTGCCACCTCGCATGAGGGCAATCAATTTTCTGCCTTGGTTTGGCTTTTGGGGGGGGGGGGGGGGGGGCAGGTAACTAGTCGATCTATCGACTTTATCCCCCGCCACTCAGTCTGTTGTGATATTCCCACGCTATCGATGCATCTAGCAATGCATCTGGCAATGCATGCAATGTTCCGACCGTCATCTCCTCCGCATCCTAGTATCTGTTGGCTAAAAAAAGCAACCGTTGTCCTATTTTCGGATAGGATCCCTGGTACTTCTATATAAGCGCCCTTCTCCTCCGCCAGCGCCTACAGCACTTTCTCTCTTCACGAAGCGCTTCGCGGCCCTTTCCGTCTGGATAACTCGTCTGCCGCTACTAATAATACCATTAACGTAGCTGTCAAGCTAAATCTATGATTAGCACAGCGTTTGTTATTCTTAGCAACGAATACGCGCCCTCTCAATCCTGCCCCTCAGGCCAGTGATCCACTGAACACACGCCTCCGTTCTGCGGAAAGAAATGATTCACCTTGGGCGCTACATCTGAAGCTGACAATTTATCATTTGCCATCATTATGGTAAGAGACAAATTCTCTGTGACGCAACGGATGTTTCGTTCAAATGTAGGGTGACGCCAGAACAATTTGTTGGACCGGGTCTCCACGGTGTTCATGGAGGGCCCGCCGTGGCTTGGGTGCTGACGAACGACATGCGTCCTGAAACAAAGAACTGTCTCACGATGAGGTGGTCATTCGTTTCAGGGGAGAAGCCGTTGGGTCTCAGCGGCTAGTCCGAACGGGGCGCAAGCTGAAACGGCATCCATCCTGATCCTGCATCTTCTACACTAACTTAAACCGACCGCTCTTGATCATAATATACATGTATTCCCACCAGCAGGCGTTATGATACATGCATAAACCAGACCCACTATCATATACTGTGATCCGAGCCCTCATTGTAAGATTCAAAATCCAGACCGTGTAATATCCTAGACATTTCCTGGCGAAGCCCATGAATCTGCGCCAGAATTGACTCGTTTTGGGTTGGCTTACGAGCTTCTTCTTCGCCATCGGAATCCTGAAACCAACAACTCCCAAAAAAGGGAAATTTCTGAGCTAGGACAAGATCGAATTCCCTAACCATTCTATCCCAGTCACCATTTACCTCCCTAGACCGCCAACCTGTGGATCTCCCATGATGCACATGCTTGACATCAGTAGTCAAGCTTCCCCCAATATAGATCGAGATTTCGCACTCCGACTGAAGTAGTAAGTTGGCAATCCAATAAAATAGTGTTTCCAATCGAAGACCGTTCACTTGTTCTGGAGATTTTGACTGGGTCCATCTTGTACCGAATCGTCCGCTCCCTCCATCGAACTTGCCCACCGTGTATAAAGGTGGTTGGTGCGTCAGCATGCGGCGCCAGCTTGCTTCAGGGCGCATATACTGCTCTTGCTTCGTTGCAGATTTTAACAAATCCAAATTTCTCAGGCTGATATCGCTCCACTCGCACTCCCTCGATCCCTCAAAGGCATACTTGTGCTCGTCGTTAAGATCCACCAGTGAATTTAGGAACTGGAATTTCTCGGCAAGCAATGAGTTGCGATATCGGAGCGCTTTATTGTCTTCATGGATAGTAGGTAAGAAGTAGAGGTCTTGTTGGAGGGTCTTTGACTCGCGGATCAAGTCCGCCCACATATGACAGACTCGTTGAGAGGTAAGCAGGGTGCCCATGTCCATTTGGCGTAGAATCAACGTCACGATCTCGGGCATTTCCAACGCCCTCTGCTGGTGAGAACCATTCGCTTGCATTCTTTTTCCGGGTGAGATGATAGTAGTAGTGAGAGGTAGTGAGACAATTTGGCTGTTCGTATGATGAACTTTTTCCGAGGGGATTGGGTTCTCTCTGAGTCATGTTGTTGCTTTGTGAGGGGCATCTTGGCATTTCATGGGAGCCATTGCTAAGCGAGGTCAGCTGAGCAACTTGAAAATATACGAGGAGTAGGTAGTTCAACTTAGTTGGTACTAGGAGGCGATGGATGAAAGGGTTAAAGGCTGTGATGGTATGAAGAGAGAAGCGCGACGATCTCAGACTAGAGACGCGTGAACGGCCTGGATGCCTGAGGCCGAGGTGCCGCACACGCCTCAACAGTACTCAGTAGTACTACAGTATGATGTCCACATAGCCAGTCCCAAAGACTTGGTGACAAGCCCTTACTGTATCCGGAGCCCCATGTAAGCACTGCTGTTCACGACATGGTCAAAATGCGATATCCTAGGGTAGGATCCCAGCTGCAGGGCTTAGGGTCGGGCAGAGGAACGTTAGGAACCCTTGGGAAGCCCCAGATTTCGCGATGAGATAAGGGGTATCCATGTATCGTATAGTTCTTTTAAAGACTTTACGATAAACTTGAATATGACGATTGTAACGTCAGTATCGTTCCATGCCCTGGAGGTTGTTTTGATCGATAATGCCAGCTTAGTCATAGCTCCTTAGTCATGGAAATTGACCAATGAGAGACCTCTATTTGCGGCACGACACACCTGACACACCTCTGTGATCAAGATATATATCTGGTGGTGCAAGCCAGTGTATCCTTGCAGTATACTATTTTTCTCACGTCTAGTACCACACAACTTCAAGTTGAAATTTGAACTTGAACCTTGGAAGTTATATGGTACGCACCCGGGTAGGAGAAACTCATACCATAAGCTTGAAGAGCATTCGATAGCAATCTTAAAAATTATAGCGTATATGTGGCAATTGATTACAGTACAAAATTGCTGGTCTGGTGGCAGCTGAAGCTATTCATGAACTTGTAAATATTACGAACCGCCATATAATAGCCGCAAGAAGGCCCTCAAAACAGAAGTATGTTAATGATATACACCTGGGCAGCATCCCAGTATTCCTGGATAGGAGATATAGGCTGTTATATTTTTTCTGCGTTTTTGAGCGGTTTAGCGTGTCGTGGTGATGTTTAGCTATTGTAGTCCGGCCACATTTTTTCTTTGGTATATGTAGTAGCCTTGGTAGTATGAAGTTCGAACAGGCTAAATTTGAAAGAAATTACAAAGCCCCTAAATAATCTTCTCCGAGTCAGAATATCTAACTTTCTCATCTCTGTGTTCGAAATAAGGCGATTAAATCGTTCAAGCAAGTTGCGGCCGCGTACCAAAAAGGAAATGCGAATCTTGCATGTTCATAATAATCATCATAGGCATTTGATATTTCTAGCCCTCAAAATAAGGGGTAGTATTACATTGCCTCGAAAGATATGCAGATGTGACTGCAGGTCGGCTTTAATCTCAACCCCGAATTCAGTCCGAGTCATCATCCCCACGCGTGATTGACCCACACCCGTGGATCGGAGCTTATGGACTCGTACATTTTCCATGTCAGCAGCCACCTCAACCTTGGAACCTTGAACCTCCTAATACTAACAACAACCCAGGATGTCTGATCCTCATAGCTTAATTGCTACCTCCCGCTTTCACCAGCGCGTCACTCTCGACTCGATATGCGGAGAGTTAACCGTCTCTTTCGCCGACATTGGGAGTCCCACAGGCCCCGCCCTGTTGTTTCTGCCAGGCATGTTTGCATCGCGGTATCTGGGCATCCCTCTGCACCCGCTCGCTGAACACGCCGGTGTGCGTCTGCTCGTCGTCGATAGACCAGGAATGGGCGCATCGACAGATGTTCCACCTGCGCAAAGAATCGCCGCATGGACCGACCTGGTGCCGCGGTTGCTAGCACATCTCGGCATTCCGCGCGTCAGCCTGGTCGCCCACAGTGCTGGCACAATGTATTTGCTTAATACCTGGGCGAAATGTCCAGAGTTGGTGAATCCAGTCATTACATTTCTAGGTACCTACACCCATCCATCTGATCCCAGCCATATTGATTACGAAAATCTAAACTTGAACCCTTTCCCGTTTCATAGCTCCTTGGGTTGATCTCGAGCACTCACGCGTTACGACGATGCAAATGGCACGGTATGTGCCGACCAAAGCATTCACACTATGGCACCATATTCCGCGCTTCTTCGTCACGCAAGCTTCTCCCGTTTTAGCAACAAGCGGTGCTCTGTTCAATCAACTGTCGTCAAGAAGTAGTAATTCCACAGACGGTAGCGACCACTCACATCCCAATGCCGAAGACCAGGCCATTGAACGCGATGCCGGAATTTCGCAGAAAGATCTGGCCGAGCTCTTCCGCCTCGCCGTACCCTTAATGTTCAATGAGAACACGACGGGAGCGAATAGCGAGGCTCTCCAATGTCTTCGAAAGAGTGATGGCCAGTACTGGGGTGCTTGTTCGGACTATGCAGAATGCGTTCAAACGATAGCGGCCCGTGAAGCTTCGGCGGAGACTCGAGTTAGTGTTCGCGCCTATTTTGCTGCCTCGGATGCTATGGTCGGTGAGCGAGGTAAGCTATACTTTCAGCAGTGTTGGCAGGCACCCGGGTTAGATGCGGTGGACTTTGTATCGGAAACTATTGAAAAAACGGATCATGATACGGTAATGCAGCTGGTGAAAGTATGGGCAGAGATATTTGCGTCGGTGAGTGGAGTCGGCGGCAATAATGTATAACAACGCCAGTAATAGACTGGAAGGTTTCCAGCTACGTACCATGCCGACTATCATTATAACTAGATGATAAGTATTACTCTAGAACAATACATTTGAACTCAAGGCGATAGAAAAAATGCTGAATTGATTCCAGATCGATCCCTAATGCGATTTACTAACATGATATACTAAGGTTCTCCCACTCACATCTACTTCAATTTATGCGACAGTGGCGGAGTAAGAGGACACCTTAAGGTCAGCAGTGCCAGTGAAAGGCTCAGTACCAGCCTGGACATCAATAAGGTACAGGCTCTTGCTCAGGCCCTGGTTGTTGATGAGGTAGGTGAAGAACTCCATCAGGTCACCAGAGAAGCTGGTGGTAGTAGACTCAGCGACGAAGCTGTAGACGGTCATGCTGCCGTTAGGGCCCTTGTAGAGCTTCCAGCTGACACCGTTGATGGTGGTAGTCGCGATGGCCGAGCCAGTGGAGGAGATGGGACCGGCACCACCGAGAGCCGCGAGCCAGATCATGATCTCGTACTCCTCAGAGCCGTTGGCACTGGAGCTGAGGAAAAGATCGTAGGCGACATCGGCGACGATGTTGGTGTTGGAGTAGCTGTTCACAGTGTGATTAGCGCTTGTCATCACGAAGAATCCCCGACTGCCTTCGACTTACCTCCAGTTGAAGACAGACTTGATGCTGCTAACAGCGCTCAGCTGCTTAGCAGTGAACTGCAGAGCAATGTTGGCAAAGCTCTTGACCTGGTTGGAAGTACCGGCCCAGGACCAGTTGGTGTGCCAGGCAATGGTGGAGCCGCTCAGCGAGTCCACGCCGGTACACTGGGTGCCAGAGGTGTCGTAGCTCTGACCCCAGAGGTTGTTGTAAACAATGTAGCTGCCGGTCTCGACGGATCCCCACTGGTCGCAGAAGTCGGATCGCTTGGCGAGGGTCTTGGTGGGAAGGGAGGCTGCGCTACTCAGACCAGCGAGAGCGAGCGAAAAGACGGAAAGAGGAGCAAGGAATGACTTCATGATGGAAGAATTGAAAGAAAGGAATGAACTGGCTTGCAGATTCGAGAATTAGGCTGAGTAGAGTATTTTGTTTATTGAAACCGAACGACATCCCGGTGCCAGGGAGTTGGCCCTTTTATAAGGGAGTCGATTCCATATGGAAGTTTCTCCGGCCAGGGAGTTGTGGATGCTTGTTCCGTGTAGAGCACGGAGCAACTTTGTCTCAAGTCAAAGATTGTGACTCCACAGCCCGGTTAATCGTACCATGACACTAGCCTAGAAGCCCAGCTAACGCGATCAGCAACATGGCCATCGTGCCGATCACCCCCTCTCAAGAAAACGGCACCGCGTCCGCCTTCCGACTTGGAAGAACCGTTCTCGGTTCGAAGTGCTACAAAAACAAGTACTAGTACCGGATAAATTTAGTCTGGGGAGTATTGGACGCGGGGTGCATGACGGTGAAGAGTTGCGGATATACACAAGTCACTGTGGCTTGAGCTTCGTCACCAGTTTCCGCCAATCCCCTATACAAATTGCGACCGTGTGACTCCTCTTCTACTTAGCCTGAAGAAAGCATGACATAGGAGGCGAGCCCCTGTCAAATTTCAAGGTTGTCTGACCCCAGTACTCGTAACTTGAACTAAAAGACATTTTGGTGGAGTCTTCCCACCCTCTGGCGATGGAACCACCGTTGACAATTGACAACAAGTTCGATAAAGAACGACAAAGGCAAATATATTGCTGTTCCTGAATACTGGGAACAGTGATTTTGACCTCGGAAAAACTTCGGATTGAAATGGACAAGCGGTCGTTTGGGCATGTCTCGATCCAGACAGTTCCGGACCCCACCGACCGACGCCGTCGTCTCACATTCATCACGTTGGCCGGAAACTATCCATATATGGCATCAAGGTACAACTTAAATCTCCGCCAAGGCTGCAACTCCATCGGTGGAAAATTCCACCAGGATGTCTCACAGAAACAGGTCCAGACCAAGAATAAATGAAGGATCTCGGCCTAAATGAAAATCTACTTGTCTCAATTATTCCATCTTTCTGCAGAACCCCTAGAGCTAAATACCTTGACTTCTCTGTTTGGACGAAATTTTTTTATTAAAACCTTATATGCGCTAGGGGTTAGCTCAGTGTTCTTCGTCTTGCCCTAAAGAATCGCTATGGTTGCAGTGTCTATCCCACGAAAATGCCGACGTCAACCTTGCCGGCGACTTACTCCCAATACCAAGATTGACCAATGAATCACCTTCCAAAAAAATATTGCATCAGCCTGACATTTATAGATGACTCTAAAGAGGATAGGCTCATAAGAAAATGTACTGACTCTGAAAATTGAACTGTGGCCACCCATACTTGCTTAGTCCGTGACGGGGATCTTTGGCAAATGCAACCCATGCTTCTATATTCTCAATTAGTTAAAGAAGGATGCGCTTCATTAAAGGGAAGAACTTTATCTCGACTACCTTGCATATATCTGCTAGTTTCAATTTCGGCTTTTGATGCAGGTTGAGAGTATGGTGTTGACACATTGTACGTCCCGAAGATGAGAGGTATCTCGGCTGGAGAAAATTAGTAGTTTTTCTTTCTTAGAAAAAGGTTCCCATCACGTACAAGAGTGATAAGCACCAAGCCACGGCTTTGGACTTAGATTCGGAAAGCTTCCTTGATATAAATATCTCCAAGTTGGTATATTATTGTCAAGTCGCAACCTGTACAGCTTAGTGTTGGGTTCGCAAAGTAATTCATCAAGTTATACTTGCTGCAAATCTTCGAGAAGGGGGCAGTTGAAAGACGCCTGAGAATCTTCGCGCACTTTCGACTCATTGGTAGAATTTGCGAGCAAAGGATAGATGAACGCCAGTTCTTTATCATTGAAGCCCGCTAGCGTTGACTAATCCGGAGACAATTCATGAATATATTAGCAAGGAGATTCGGAATTTGCGAGAGAATCATTCACCAAGATTGCTATTTTTCCTTCTTTGGCTCTAGCCGGGAAACCAGTGAAAAATGTCATCCCATCGTCGGTCGGAAGAAAAGTATAGTTCCCATTGGCCATGGTGTCAACAATCTTGCTCATTGGGATTCGCATCATGCAGCTCATTGAATCCAGGCCAGAACCACAACCGACAGCATGCGAGAGACGGTTCCAATTATTCTCATTTCTAAATATGGGCCCTGTAGTGTAAGTTCCTGACTGCATAATGATCCCTGCGATCAATGGATTATCTGGATACTATATCAAATTAATTAGGCAAGCCACGTTTATGACATTGAACGGAATACAAAAAGAAATCCCCTTACTGCATAGGAGTATATGTCTGCAGAAGCTGCCCCGACAGACTGTCCGAAGAGTATGATGCGTTCCGAATCCCCTCCGAATTGAGCAATGTTATCATAGATCCACTCGATTGCCAGCCTCTGAAAATCTGGTATAAGCACATAATAGTCTGGGCCTATTCGTATCACCTACTTGATCTTGCAGTCCGAGATTCCGCCTTGAAGGCTCTAATCCAGGGGCATTCGGAAAGCCAAAGACATTGAGTCGATAGCTGCGAGGTTAATAATCATCCATTGATGCAAAGCGACGAGGCACCATACTTGATAGTGACTACGATGATATCCTTATTATCGCGCACGAGATTGGAGCCATCGTAGTAGGCGACTGATGTGCCACCAAATCCAAAGTCACCACCATGGATAAATACCATCACGGCCACCTTGCTGTCTGACTTGCGGTGCTTCGCGGCAGGAGTCCACACATTGAGGTATAGACAATCTTCCGAAATTGCCGCCGAATTCCATATGTTGTACGGAAGGACATCCAGGATCGACTTGTTCGACCAACTCCATGTCTGCGGGCAAGGACTGCTGAATGACGAGGCGTCAATTGGGAAAGAGGAGGGTAACTTTCCCCGCGGTGGCGCAAATCGTAGTTCATTCATGGGGGGGCTCCGCATATGGAATTCCGAGGAAGCCTCTCACGGTAGTCGCGGTGTCATTGTAGATACCATGAACCATCCCACTGGAGGTTTGGATACGGAGTTCAGATGGTCGTTGGCCCAGGGCATGAGTAAATCTAACGGCAGTAATCAAATAATGCAGTATGAGCGCATATCTCATCGTGTCTATGGGGATAAGGAAACTCCCAATGTGAAACAATTGGACTGTGATATCTTCGTCTGAAGAAATAAGGAGGTATAGATCAATGCCTTCTCACACACAGCGTAGATAATGGAAATATGCGGATTTACTAGTATTTGCTGATCATGTACCTTTCACATCATGGGAACTGGAAAAATCCTCTGCTGAATTATTTAAAAGGCCCAGCAATACCCAAGGGGCCCTCTGACTAAAATGTCTCCCGAGGTCACACCGCGATAATTGCGATAATTGCGATGACTAGAGTTGGCAAGATCGGGATTTTTTAACTTTTGTGTCACCCTTACCAGGCTAAGTATTTTAATGCTGACAATAACACAATACTACATAGTAGATCTCCGGGTCTGTCGTATTCACATTGAATGCTCTGTGTATAGAGCTGTGGTTCAGGCCAATCAGCGGGTCGGAGATTCGGATTGCGGCGATCCGACATGGCGTGTGGGTTTACGCAGAGAGATGAGTACCATAGAGTACTTCCACCACTGTAGGATGACGCATTTTGAATGGAATGGGAATTCGACAGGCATAAAGACTGTTGGTACGTCATGTGAATTAATTGATTCCCGGCAAATCAATTGTAGTATGATCTACCAATAATTTGTAGTTGTTTTGTTTTGGTGTAAGGAACGGGGCCAGTTAGTTGCCAGGGGGTCTCCGATCCCGCGGGTCCCGTTCCGCATTTCCATCGCGGATCACCATTTCACTTAAATTTCATTCTCCTTACAACTTCACCACTTCACCTCCCCCCCCCCCCCCCCTCTCCCTCTCCTATACCCACCGCCGCCATGCCTTCCAAATCATCTAGCAATGCTGGCAAGAAGTCTTCCGGCTGCTGCAGCTGCTTCTCCTTCCGCACTCTCAGCATCATCGCCGTCTTCCTGGCCCTCTTCTCTGCCGTCTACAGCTTCCTCGACGCGCGCCTGAACCAATTCTACATCTTCGACCATGAGCATCTGCACGATCTCTCCCAGCGCGCCATCAAGGCCCACGGCGAGGACACCCGCTCCATCGTCAACTACATCGTTACCGAGCTCGAGGAGAAGGTTGGAGCCACCCACCTAAACCAGCATGAGGAGTGGGTGTTCAACAACGCCGGCGGTGCCATGGGTGCTATGTACATTATCCACGCCAGTATGTCCATCTCACCCTTTCAAGTCGCATTATCCCCCTTCCTTCCATGCCAATGGCAGAGGAGGGACGAATTACCATTTCCCCGGACCTATAATCTACCCCGGAACACAGCTAATGCCTTTTTTTCTCTGCTTTTTTAGGTATCACCGAGTACCTGATCATCTTCGGAACCGCCATCGGAACCGAGGGCCACACCGGCCGTCACACCGCCGACGATTACTTCAACATCCTGTCCGGTACCCAGCTGGCCTACGTGCCCGGCGAGTACGAGCCCGAGGTCTACCCGGCCGGCTCCGTGCACCACCTGCGCCGTGGCGAGGTCAAGCAGTACAAGATGGACGCGTCCTGCTTCGCTCTCGAGTATGCCCGTGGCTGGATCCCCCCTATGCTCTTCTTCGGCTACGCCGATACCTTCTCCAGCACCCTGGACTTCCCGACCCTGTGGGCGACTACCCGCATCACCGGTCGCGAGATGATCGGCAACCTGCTGAAGATGAAGCTGTAAGCAACAGCTATACCGCAATCGGATGTACATTACAGAGAAGGGATACTGTGAAGGATGTGTACGCTAATAAGGGTGTCTTGGACACCGGAAATCTGGCTTTGTTGGATGGATCCGTTTATGACTTCAGAAGTATAAAGAGACGAAGTCGTTTCGTTTCAGTAATCATTAATTGATGACACATGACTTTTTTATTCACTTCTGCATCCGTGATAACACTAAGCCATTTCGCGATGATCAGCTATGTTAACTCGATTATTTCAAGACGACTCGGTACCTCCCCCCCTACTTCCCCTGGAAAAAAGCACCCATCATCCTGGCCGGCTCAGTAATCCCACCATCCGTAGCCACAAACGACTCCTCAAACGCAGTCACACCAGCCTGAATACCCTGGTCCAGAGAAACATTCTCCCAAGTCCTCATGAGCGCCTTCTGTCTGCGTACCGCGAGAGGCCCATTCTTCTCCAACTGCACCAACCACCCTTCAACAGCCTCATCTAGAGCATCCTGCTCAACAACCTTCTCAACAAGACCCCAACGGAACGCCTCATCTGCATCAATATTCTCCCCGAGTAGGAGGAGTTGCCTCGTCCGACCCCATCCAATCAAATTAGGAAGAAGCGCAGCTTCAACTACACTGGGAATACCGACTCGAACCTAGTTACACAGAGATAACATGGGACTATGTTAGCGAAGCACAGCAATTAAACTTGAAGAGAAAGTACTTAAAGTAGAGGAATACGACAAGTACCAGTAACACGGTAATATAATATATCAAACACCTTCAAGTTACGGCAACAACTTGAAACTAGTACATACCTCCGGCATCCCAAAAACCGCATTCCTCCCCGCAACCCTCAAATCACAAGCAGCAGCAAGTTCACACCCGGCACCAAGCGCAAACCCATTAATCCTCCCAATAACCGGAACCGGGGCATCGCGCACACTCGCACAAGCCCTGTGCACCTTCGTAATAAATTGCCGTGCCGCGAGTGGTGAGTCGAGCCGAGCCATTTCGGCGATATCGGCGCCGCCGACGAAGGATTTGGGTCCGGCGCCGGTTAGGATTATGGCTAGGAGGTCGGTTGTCTCTTTGGTAACTTTTTTGATGGTTGTTGGGAGGAACTCGAGGAGGGGACTGTTTAGGGCGTTTAGTTTGTTGGGTCGGGAGATTGTTATTTGGGCTATTGTTCCTGCTTTGCGGCGGGTTAGGGTTGTTAGGATTGATGGGGTCGGGATGGTCATTTTGGTGGTGCTACTAGTAGTGGTGATTGGAGTTTTATGCTGGTTGGATTTATTGGGGTCGGGGTATACATGGGACCGTGTAGTATTGATCTTTATGTCTTTTGATATTTGACGATATGGCCGAGAATCACCAAGTCTGATGCGGGGAAGACCCCGCAAGCACAAGTAGACAAAAGGGAGTCCGAAACTTTTGCAGCACTAGTACTACTGTAGAGATAGATTGAGTGTATCGAAATTTGTATAGAGATTACATACTAATCTGGATTCAGAAGGGCCCTCAAATATTTAGAATTATTCCTATTCGGGGAACCATACATTGATTATCGGGAATGGCAATTGAATGAGCCTTTTACTAGTAGATACACTACTGGTAGGCACCATTGAAGCCAGGAACCCTGCCTAGAGTATATCATGATACTAAACCCGAACAACCTTAGGAATACTCAAAGAACGCTGTGTCAACCTGGAACCTGGAAAGGCAGGAGCGAGTCAATAATCCTAATATAACCCCAAATCATGGGGATGCACTTTCATTTTGTCCATTGTCCACTGGCAGTGAATGGCGATGTTGTCAGGGTCACATCTGAGGAAAGTACTGTACTTGCAGTGCACCTTCCTCTTATTCACTCAGAGTAGGAAGAAAACACCCGTAAACACGCAATGGAAATTTGGAAAATACAACTCCCCCATCTTTGCAAGTACCACTACTACAAAGCACATCGAGTGATGAAGATCGGGTCATACTCCGTGGAGACAGTACAAGTAAGTCATCACATCAGCGCCCCCCCTGAAAGGACCACTGGGCTAACATAGATAGAACATCAATTATATTAGATTCTGGTCCGTACAAATGGTGGGAAAAACAACCCGAGTACACCATCATGCTGCATACATACAATTCCAAAATCAGAAACAACCCTCAGTCACAACTGCGGAAGGTTCACCACCAGAGCAGTCTTGAATCAAGATACTGTGCCATGCTTCATCGGACCAACGACCCCAGCTAAACTTCCGAAATAAGTAGCGACCAGCAGATTCCTTTTCAAAAGCAGCTTTCCCCTACCCCAATCATCTCCAGTTGGTCCGCTGGTGGTGCTGGTCAACACACAAACCATGGAGGAATGCCACCAATATAGTAAGTAATAGCCCCAAACCTATTAACTTCAAGGAAAAGCAATTACTAACCTATTGATTCGGTAGAATACAATGGATGTTGAGGCAGGTGTGTCAAGCGCGTCGGGGGCGGATCGGCTGTCACAGACTTTGTATACGTTTCTACCTCTATTTCAAGGTGAGAATTCCGCAAAGGAAATTTCGGAAGAAATGGCCGCGGGAATCGCACTGGGATGAATTAGGCAACTAACATGTCTCTCATAAAAACCAGAAAATTCACAGACGATCGTTGATCTGATTGGGGATATTCAAGACAACACTTGATCCCTTCCAAAAACATCCCCAGGCTTGCCGAGCAATATTTCAAATCTGGCTGGCCTCCTGCCCCTAAATTATGAAGCGTTACATACTTCATCGATCTTTGCTGAAGGGGCCAGCAGTGCACACCCTTGGCAAGGTGTTAGCCGAAGGATGGACTGCCCGCAATTTCGATAATGAAGCAATCAAATCTATTACATGCCACAAGCAGAACAGATAGCTCGACAATCCAGTCAGCATGTCAGTTCTTGATCCGGCACCAGGATACTATTGTATAATATCGAAATCCACAGTTCATCCCTCACTTCGGGGAGGAATTGACACAAATTCTGAGTGTTAATCGGAAACCGTCGAGAGCACACCATGCCCAGACTGATGAACAGAACGAGCCTGTCAGCAGGCAGATAACACAACAACTCAGAGTCTATGTTGACTTTCATCGAGATAACTGGTCCGAATATCATCCTGTCGTCATTCACACCGCGGCTACACGTCCTCGGAACAGTACGGGCCAATCTCCCTCCTTCACACGGAGAGGATTCAAGCTCCGTACGTCCTTTGACTGGACACCCGACGCATCGGCAGTCCTCTCTGGTGATGCACAACAGACTAGGGACATGGCGAACGGTAGAAGAACGGCTGGGATGGGGCCCGTGAGGTGATGGGAGCTGCCCGGACGAAATAGAAGCGATACGTGTCGTGTCGTCGTTGAAGATCAGGCTATGGCTGGAGAAAAGAGACAAGAAGACTCATGGCCAGCGGATGTGGCAACGGCTAGTTGATCACCACAAGCAACCTAGAAGTTTTGTGCCATATCATGGGAGATGATACTCTGGTGAGGAAAGAAATGTATGTGTATGCCCGGTCGCGGTGGAGGCAAACGGTGGCTTAATGGCCCGGAGGGCTTGGAACCGGTGGATTTGATCGCAAGGGCTTGAATTGAGTCAAATTTGAATTTATTTCTATGGTCTCTGCAGTTGATCAATTAGTTGCAGCCATTATTTACTATCCACAAGCAAAACAAATGGAAGATGGAAACCCTCCGTATCCATTTACCAGTACTAGCACCACGGGACTTGGAGATGAGCTGTACAGCGCGAGCACGTCGACTCGGTCATTTGCTTCCTATTCTTCCAGATAATGCACATTCAAGTAGAAATAACAAGAGGGTATGTTACAATGCAAGCAAGATGAAAAGACTAAAAGTCTTCCACCGTCGTCCCCAACTTCCTCTCTCGCGCCAGACGAACCAGGTCACCACCCGTCACTAGATCCATCAGGCCCAGCCCAACGCTCTTGTAAATGACATTACCGCGCTCCACCCACTCGCGTAGACTCTTCTGTTCATCCGCTGCCTCCTGTGTAGCATGTCGCACCATGAGAAGCTCGCCGAGCTCGACCATTTGGTTCGGTTTGATTCCCGCCTGCACGATCTCGCCTGCTTCTTTGATGGCTGCGTCGAGACTGTCAACTACTACCACTCCACTGCGACGGGTATGTTTGTGGAAATGACGATGAGGCGGTGACACGTTTACCTCATCGCGTAGGATATCGGGATGTACTTCGGCCATGTGTGCCTTGTACGAACCAACTGCACTAATCAGACGGCCCTTTTGCCGACCTTCGCGGGATGTGAGGAATTCAGCAGGGAATAGGGGCTCGACAGAAGGGGTGCAGCAGAAGATGGCGTCCGCCTTGCGAACATGCTCTTTGATAATTCGGTTGTATTCGCCAAAGTCGGTGCTCATGGCGGAGAATTTGGTATCGCCGCGCCACTTTGTGTTTTCGGGAGGGTAGATGTCGCGAAGGAGTTTGGCCGCTCGCTCGAAGGAGCGGTTGACGATGTACACGCGGCGGATTTCGTCGCCGCGTAGACTCAACGCCAGTCGAATGTGCCAGTATGCTTGGGTTCCGGCGCCGAATACCAGGATGGTACGGACCTTCTTGCGCCTGTTGAAGATCATCAAGGAGGCGAGGGCGGTGCGGAAGGCTGTGAGTTCGTGTGCGTTTATCAGGGCGAAGGGTAGACTCTCGCTGTCTAGAAGTGTCACACTGCCCTTTGGGAGGTATCACGGGTGCCTGCTCCAGGCCAAGCGCCCAGAGTGTTTGAAACATTGCTGTCGACTACCGGTTGTTGGTTCACACAGCCAGAGAGAAGTGTCGAGCTATCGGCGCTGTCACCCCCGCTTCCGGAGGTTGTGGTTGTCACTGTCGGGCTGATGGAGCTGCTATCTTCTTGGGAGGAATCGACGGAGAGATCACTCAAGTCGGAGGAAAGTGAGGCGACTGAGTTACGCACGGAACCAGTCCGCGAGCGGGAAGATGTCGAATCACCATCAGCAATGTCCAAGCCAGGACGTTCCACAGCACAACCGGCCGCGGAGCCGTCCTGCAGTGAGATCATCTTGATTCCGATGGTCTGGCCCGTGCTAGCAGGCATGAACAAGGTGGTACAGCCATTCTGTCGAGTAATGGCCGTTCGCTGAGGCTGATAGGTCGCCGAGCAACCTTTATCTTGGGCACCGGTCGAGTATTCGCGTAAGGCCTCGGAGAGATTTAGTTGCAGCGCGGTGATCTCTTCGCGAGTGAGAGAGTGTAGCACCTCTCGGAGCTGCGACCGAGAGAGAATGGTGAGGGGCATGGGGAGGTCGGGAGTGGGTAGAATGAGCGAAATGCCTTAGAAGGGCCGAAGGGAGGAGGGAGAAGGTTTAGGAGGAACGAAATGGGTGAGAAAGAGAGAATCGGAGTTAAGAGGCGAGGATGGAGGGGCAGTTTTCTATTTTTCTAAAAAAACAGACTGTTATCAGCGATCAGTCTCTCAACGCCCCGCGAGAGTTCTGGGCCGCCACCGGCCGCGCAGTCGCCAAGGTGGAAGTGGAACTCACCAGATGATAGGTCGGCGTGTTTGAGGGTGTGATCGCGTTGCCCGTGCCAAGTGAGTCGGGGCAAAAGGGACGTGGAGCAGCTCCAGATGGAGCAGAGTAGTGAGTGCGTCTGTAGGGCCAGAAGTTGGCTGGTGATGACGACAGGCCGTGCAGAGCGGGGACCGCGGGGCGATCGACAATGATTTAGTCAAGGTGGTGGACCAGGTGACGGTGCTTGGACGTAGTACTCGAAGAGTAGATAAGATGTAGAGGTAGAGGTAGAGTGATTGAGTTAGTGAGTGAGATGAGTGAGTGTGTATGATGGATGCGGTTGAGTGGTCTGGAGTGTTTACTTTCTTTGACAGCTGCAGCCCAATGCGGCATTCCCAATGCGGGAGGTCAACTACATACTCCATACACTACTAACTAGTATACACTATACACTACGCTCTCTTTGATTTACAACTTGGGGAAACAGCAATAACTAATGTAAATTAATTCAACAAATACTCCAGATGGCCTAATCTAATCCACCCTCCAGCCCTTTTCACCCTTCATCTCCGCATACCACTTCTGTACATACTCCAACCCAGAATGAGGGCCGTATAACTCCGTCTCCCACTGTGGTACTGGAGCTTCTAACCCGGTCTCCTCTAAACATGACTGGCGCAGTGTCTCAATGTCACCACCACGATCGTAGATCGATGATACTGGTACTAGCTTGGTCTGCTCCATCTTCATCTGCGCGCGCAGTGCCGTTGTCTCCTCCTGAGCCACTGTGAAGTCGTCCCTCACAATCACTCCATATCCCCGGCGAGCCCCTTCGATTGTGACAAGCTTTCGATGGACCTCTAGAGCGACCCTGTCAACAGGACGGGTCAATGGATCCCCAAGTCCGCCACCTCCCCAAGTGATCCATTCAAGGAGGTCTCCCGGATCGACCCGAATATGGTCACATTTGGATGGCAGAATTTCCGTCGGAGGATCCATCTCAGACCGAGAGTATCGGTATAGTACCTTACTAGATCGTCGACCGGGTTTGCCCCCTTTCAAGCCCCAGGGCTTTGTAAACCATCGATCGTCATGTAGACTGAACTCGCCTCGCGCGAGGAATCGATAGAGCGTACGCTGGGCATTGCCACCTCGGAAATATCCAGGACCACCGCTATCCGCAACGCTTTCGTTGGCTTCGATGCGTAATGGGTAATTTAATTCAATGCTCTCCGTGGGAATAGATTTGATAGCAGGGAAGAGACAGTGACAGTCGGGCCCATCGCCAGCTTGGCGGGCGGGAACTCCTCCAAAGCCGATTTGATAGAGCTGGTACCATTCGCCGTTTGGCTTGAATCCGGAATAAAAGAAGTGAGGCGAGTCACTGAAACCAGCGGCAGCTTGGTAAGCGTCGTTCTTTTGACCGATCAGAGCTTGAACAATGTCGAGTGTACGGCCCATCAAATGTGTTCGGCATGATATGGGTGCTGGGCGAACCGGCTTGAGTACCGTTCCTTCGGGGATTTTCACATCAATCAGTTCATGGAAGCCATCGTTGATGACCGTCCCGGGTGCAGCGGCTGCAATCAGATAATACCCAATAAACATCTTGAACATGGTTTCTGAGAGATAGAAGTTGATGCTGTGCTGGCTTTGGGGAGAAGTGCCACTCCAATCAAATACTAGTCGGTTACCATCGACCTTCTTCATCGAACAAGTAAGCGCCCACGGCCCAACACCGTGACCATCATCGTCCACGAAGTCGGTAAATGTGCTTTCCTTGTCGTTGAACTGTCGCTCCACGATTTTAGCCAATCCACTGCGGTTTCTATATAGGAGCTCGTCACATGAAGCTAGGTATACCTCCTGACCAAATCTTGTCACAAGTTCACGCACTCGTGTTGCAGCCATCGAACATGCTGCAATGATAGCAGTCAGATCGGAGCGGTACCATGCTGGCTGTCTAGAATTCCGACATAGAAGTTGAACAATGTCTGCATTCATCACGCCCTTGGAATAGAGCTTGATGCAAGGAATCTGCACACCATCGTCGAACACGGAGGTTGCGTTGATCGACATGCTGCCCGGAACAATACCGCCCACGTCAGTCAGGTGGCCAAATTGCGATGCATATCCGATTAGACGGTGCTCATGGAAAATGGGCAAAAACACAATGATATCGTTCAGATGGCTGATGGCACCTTGTACCTGATACGTATCGTTTGTGATAAAAATATCCCCCTCCTCGATTGTGCCGTGCCACACTTTCAGGAACTCGGTGATGAAACTGCCGAATTGACCGACAAGCATTTTTCCCTTCGCGTCAGTGATCACATTGAATTCGTCTTGTTGTTCTCTGATTGCAGGGACATGCTGCATCGCAGCATCATCTGATCCATCTCGCTCCGAATAGAGGCCAGCGTGGATGATATTAAGGTCGGAATTAAAGGAGTGTTCTTGACAAGTTCATTCGCCGATTCCGCTGTATGCTGAGTAGCGTCGACTGACTTTTTGTCTTGGGGATTGATCAAGATATTTCCAATGCGGTCAATCTCACCAAAATACCCTGGGAGAATAAGTGTGTTGCTGTCCATCTCAGAGACGATGCATGGTCCTGTAACTCTGATTCCCTGTTTGGAGATCTTCTGGCGATCCCAAAGTGTGGCAAGTTGTTCCTTGCCCTGCACCGTGATTGTTTGTTCACCAATTTTGGCATTGGCTGGAGGCTCTGGGGCTGCCGCTTTTTCGACTTCTGGGATGTCAATACTAGGCGAAGCGTCTTCAAGAATGACTCCGAGTCGCATGAGCTCGAGCTCGAAGTCTGGCAGTGTATAGGTGAATAGCTGCTGGTGCTGTTGGTCAAATCTTTCCCGGAGGACCGCATACCATCCTTGGGTATCCATGGCCAATTCCTCGGAAGTCAGATCAACGGTGATAGTCAACGCTTGTCCTTTGTATCGAAGGTCTGCTTGATATGCGGATTTCCAAGTTACCGGCCAATGTTCACCTGATGACTTTTGCAGGGTCTCACGGCATTCCTTCTCTAGGCCCTCATACTGCTTGAAGATTTCTGATGCAGTGGTATCAGATAATAAGCGGATAAATGTTGTCGACTGCTCATGTCTGAGCTTCGTCGTCACATCACCCTGTGCACAAAGTATACCCGGGGAAGGGGGGATGATAACTGGCCACGCCCCCAGAAGTTCACCTACTGCATTAGCATGCAGCGGACCGGCACCTCCAAAAGCGACCAATGCGAAATCGCGAGGATCGTAGCCCTGTTCCACGGACACAAGACGCAGAGCTCCATACATGGTCTCATTGATGATTGTGATGATATCTTCGGCTGTCTGAGTAACCGGAAGCTTCATTTGAGACGCAATTTCAGCGACTGCAGCCACCGATGCATCCACATTTAAAGCAAAATCACCACCGAGGAGGTTCTTTGGCAGATATCCCAGAACCAGGTTTGCATCTGTCACGGTCGCCTGTTTCCCACCCTTTTCATAACACGCGGGGCCTGGTACAGCGCCAGCACTTTCAGGTCCGACGCGTAAAGTCTCAGTCAATTCCATGTAGGTGGTGATTGAGCCTCCGCCAGCGCCGACAGTCTTGATGTCCACGGCCGGTGATCGCACAGACAGGTTCTCGACCACAGTTTCTCTGCGAAGCTGAGGCTGACCATTATAAATCAAGGCACAGTCCGTTGAAGTTCCTCCCATGTCAAGGGTAATCAAATTTTTGTAAGGCGTACTCCGAGCCACGACATCTGCGACCCCCTTAACACCTCCTGCAGGACCAGACATCAGAATGTTCACTGGAAGCTCAGAAGCAAGCGCGAGGCTGGTGAGACCGCCATCGCTTTTCAGAACCCGAATAGTCTCACTCTCTTTGGCGAGAGCCAGGGACAAATTCTGAAGGTATGTTTGAACAACCGGCTTAACAAGGGTATTCGTGCAGGTCGTGACTGTGCGCTCATACTCGCCAACCTCGCGCAGGACATCAGCTGAGCATATAACCGCGAAATCGGAGCCAAATTCTTCACGGACAATTTCTTTAACTTCGCGTTCATGTTTGTCATTGCTGTGGGAGTTTAAAAGTGAAATGGCCAATGCCTCCGGCTTTTGCTTAGCCAACTCCCGCAATCCAACGCGTAAATCCTCCACATCCACTGCAGATACCGGCTCACCCTGCACCGACATGCGCTCCTTGCACTGAACAACGCGTTCGAGTGGCACGATGGGGTCTGGCGGGCTCCAATGCAGCCATGCGCCTAACCCGCCGGGGATTTGAGACCGACGCAGTGCTAGAATATCCTTGTGGCCGGCAGTCGTCACTAACGCGGTGCGGGCACCTTTTCCTTCGAGAACAGCATTGGTGGCTGTTGTGGTTCCGTGATGAATGAACTGGAATGTCCCCGACCACCCGAACTGCTCTTTGAGAATCAAACGCGCTTTCGCGATACCGTTCTTAATACCGATACTTTGGTCGGGGATCGTAGTCGGGACCTTTGCGCGAACTGTCTGGGCGTGCGGTGTGAAGACGTATACATCTGTGAATGTCCCGCCGACATCAACTCCAAGTTGATAGCCCTGGCCGGGTTGGATGTCTCCCATGGTGAAGCGATCGGGATCAGTAGAGAAGACGTTGAAACCCCGCGGTCGGTCATTGCGGGAAGAGAGGGGTTTTTAAGCTTCATTGTGAGAAGACCGCAGTTATCTCTCGCACCGACGAGGCTCGATAGATGGGTCCTCAGATCCACTTAGGGAGCGCGGCCCTTTGTGTCACCCGTACATCTCGAGGTTTTGTGTGGATGGGTGGTTTCCCAGCTTGCATGATCGAAACGACCAAGTCGCTTGATGGATCGTCGCTGCCAATAGAATTCGGCGCGGAGGGACGATCTCTGCAACTAACTACGAGTGGTGGGTGGAGGTTGTCAAAAGGAGGGGTTGAAGTAGACAAGTGCGATCGAATCAGGCCGTTTGAAGGGTGCGTGTCGAAAGTCAAAAGTGAATCCACCGAGAATGGGAAGCTATCCCCGTTCAGCCGCAGTGGGTCTATAGTTGTACCGTGGGATTCAAGTTGACGAGTATTCTGTGCTTCAATCCAAGGTGTATAATTGTTTAGTCTTTATTCTCGCTGCGTCATAATGTTGGTCATTTTTATCCCCGGTTCATGAAAACGTGGGCGATGCAGCATAGCGTCTATCTGACCGTGTCTTTCTCTACAACATCTAGATCCACTCCTCGGGGATTGGCATACAACATCTTCCAAGTACTTGCTCTATTTCGATCTGGCATCTGGTATTTGGCATTGTGCTGTAACTGCTTATGACATATGAGCCATGAATGGTTGAGGCTCACAAGGAGCGCCAACTCCTCCGAGGAGCCAGGCTGTCCTCTATAGTAGTTAACACAACACCCATATTCTGGCAAGTGACTCATTTGCGCCATATGAACAACTTAAAAAGTCTACTGTTGGTCATTTCACAGGATTTTCGGGGCAACATTATTTTTTTTTTCCATAATTCATTATCACCATGACAGACATCAGCAAGCGTCCGAGTCGCCGTGCCAAGAATATTGCGACAAGACGTTCGCACTCAACACAATTTACACCTTTGTTGATAGGCATCTTCATCATTGCCTGTTTATTTGTCCCATTTGTACTTTTTCCCGATGGAGTGTTACCATGGGAGAAGAACCCTTCAGCTCGTTCACAAGCCAACAAAGTGAACTTATCCCCAGCGAACGTATCGCTATCTCCGAGAACCGACTTGCAAGCAACAAAGCATAACTGTTCCATGCCAACTTCTCGATACAGCTTGAGTACCGGCATAACTTCCTGCTACCCATCTTCGGGGGGTATATGGACAGCCAAGCTGGGCCCCGTGGAGCTACAACATCTACAAATAGATCGCTTTGAATCTTCCGAGCGACATCAGGACCAGGCCCGCGAGGATAATTTCTGTTATCAACTTCGTCTTTTCGGTGGTTCCTGGTACGACCTAGATGAAGATGACTTTTGGGACAACGGGAAATGCGTCGAGCTGTATAGTGGGCAATTCATCCCAGCAGTCGTGATAAAACGCGAGGTTGGAATACAAGATGATGGAATCATCGCGATTCTCGATCTTAATGATCACAATTTAGCCCCGGAAAATAGAAGAGCGCTGGAAAATGCTCTCTGTATGGACCACCGAGCCATGGTGTTAGGTTGGAGTGGAGCGAAAGCTTGCGTCAACGCGAGCAGTTGCCCTCTGTTGCAGGACTTGTCTGAAAGGCCTGACATGTTGCAAGGAATTTCAAAGCAGCATCCACCTGAATTTTTCTGCGGGACCTTTTTGTTTGATTCAGTCGCGTAAGGAATAGTATAATCCAAGGGTCGGCTAGGATAGCTTTTTTTTGACTCTAGCTACTGTATCAGCTCAACACTTTTTCTTTTCGATTCTCAACGTGATGATCATATCGGAAATTCAAGTATTGTTGAATAATCATTTATTCCAGAGTGCAGTACCAACCGCGGCCCTTGCGTCTCCCCCGCCAGGGAAATGACTTTTTGTTTAGTAATCGTATATTCGCAGTATGTCATGGCTACCGAACCGCCAGCCATTTGGTAGAAAGAAATATGAAAGCGGTCAAAATGCCCAATGATGGCCATTTCCACAAATCGATTTAGTAAGTGCAACTGTAGATGATTTATCAGCTCGGCGTAGAGCTGAACGCGAGAGTTGCGAGCGCCAGGGTGATAAAAACGGTTCCTCGCCATATTTCACGCGAACAAGTTACGAAAAGCCTTATTAAAACGGAGACATCTGGCTTCTGTTACACATAAAGCCAAGGATAGATGCAAGTTGAAATTTTAAAAGTATTCTAACTATGGCGGTCACACTCGAAAGTTCACAATCGCCGGATCGGCAGAGTGAGACGGGAATACGTCCCCAAGCACCGGGACGCCTGATGTTGAGACTGGGGACGACGAGAAAATTCATTCAGAAGACCAAAAGGAAGATTGGGAGGATGATCCGCGAAATCCATACAACTGGCCGACGAAATCAAAAGTTCTCCAGGTTTTGATGATGGCATCTGCTGCGTTCACAACGTAAGAAAGTCCTTGCGATGTCACAGCTCGATAAAGTCAGCTAATTTAGCTCATAGCTCTGTCGGAGTTTCAATTTTATCGCCAGCTCATACCCAGTTTATGCAAGAGTTTGGAGTGGGTAGTACAGCGGCCATATTACCTCTGTCCCTCTATGTTTTTGCATTGGGACTCGGCCCTGTTGTTGGTGGACCTCTATCCGAAACGGTCGGGAGATATCCTGTATATATAGGAACTGTCGTTCTTGGAAGCCTTTTCACTTTGGGAGCTGGTTTCAGCCATACATTTGCAGGAGTTTGCGTTCTCCGTTTTCTGGCGGGTTTTTGCTTCGCGCCGTCGCTGGCTATCGCTGGTGGGACGATCAACGAAACATTTAAGCCGGTGAAACGCGCACTTCCATCTACAATTTTCATTTTGACTCCATTTTTAGGTCCCGGTCTTGGGTGAGTTCAGTTCTTTTACTCATCATTTAATTCCTTGCTTACCATTTTTGTAGACCGGTTATCGGTAGCTTTATTGTGAATCGCAAGGGCTGGAGGTGGACGCAATGGACAATGATTTTCTTCGGAATTTTCACGATTTTCACAAGTATCTTTGCAAAAGAAACTTTCCATCCGGCTATCAAGCGTCGAATCGCTAAAGAACATGGTCAAGCCTTGCCCGCATCGCCGCCCTTGGCATCTAAACTCCGATTGTTCGTGACAATTGCCCTTCTTCGTCCGATTCAAATGTTACTCAGTGAGCCTATCGTCGCGTTCGTATGTCTATATGTTGCTTGCGAATTTGCTACACTCTTCTCATTCTTCGCCGCCTTCCCGCTTGTTTTCCAAGGGGTATATGGCTTCGGGATCGAGGACTCTGGTCTTGTGTTTCTTTCTATAGTAGTCGGCTGTCTGCTTGGGGCACTCACCGTACTACTCTCCGACATATTTCTGTACCGCCCCCAAGCGTCCAAATTTCCTGGTCGCAACATCCCTCCAGAGCATCGCCTCTATCCTGCCATGATTGGGAGTATTGGCCTCCCAATCGGGTTATTCTGGTTCGGGTGGACATCTAGGACAGATATATCCTGGGCCAGCCCAGTCGTTGCCGTTATGGTATTTGCATGGGGAAACCTGTGTGTGTTCGTGAGCACCACGCAGTATATTGTCGACACCTACCATGGCTTAACTGTTGCCAGTGCCATGAGCGCGAACAGTTTAGCTCGCTATGGTCTTGCGGCCGCATTTCCCCTTTTTACAATTCAGAGTAAGTACTTGAGAGCCCGCCCAGGAGTGAATTCTTAGCTGACTTATTCATGAAAGTGTATACCAAGCTGGGTATCGGATGGGCTTCGAGCCTTCTTGGTTTTATTTCCGTTGCTCTATTGCCCGTTCCGTGGCTGTTCTTTTTCGAAGGGGAAAATGCTGAGGGGGTTGAGTAAATTTGAGACAGCAGATACATAGATCAGAAATCGCTTATAGATACTGTTATATACTATTGAGGAATTTTTTGATTCTAACTTCCAAGTCTCCCGTCAGTGCCAATCCATTTTAATACATTCACCGGGGCTCTTGAACTTGTACAGTGCCCAGCTAGGCTGTAGTAGTTACTACTAGTATTAGTGGTATTGGAGTTTGACTCGATACTTTGATAGTGCGACATTCGAAACTTCAGATTCATCAATATTAAACTCACTCACTAAGTATACAAACTCAGCAATGCTTAACCAAGATACGCACTTTATCCATAATTGGTTGGGAATTTCCATGAGCGGTTGCCCTTGCTCAACAAAGTCGACGGATCCCGCCAAGACTTTCCAGGTGTTCTCACTTCTACCGGGTACAACGCGTTGGGGTAACGAACACTGTGACTCAAAGAAATCTGTATGAATAATCTAAAAATCGCAATGAAATATAAAATGACACCGGCTTGTATTTTCTACGAAATTTTCAAGAACAAGTTTGATCAATTCAAATAATTGCCAACATGACTGCTCCCAAAATCACACTGTACTTTGACATCGGAAGCCCATTCAGCTACATCGCTTTCCACGTCCTCAAGGTGAGATTTCAAAAAGGGCCACTGCTCATAATAAAAAGAGAACAATTTTATTAATTTACTCATGTGTTAGAACTCACCTGTTTTTTCAAACTGCCAAATTGCCTACGTGCCCGTTCTTCTCCGAGATTTATTCCAGAAGTGCCAGAATCCACCTCCGATTGCCGTGAAAAGTATGCCCAACCTTGAAAGTGAATGGAATTTGAATAAAATCAAGAAATAACACGAAATATATCTACAGACAAACTCCAATGGATAAACAAAGAACGCCTTTATTGGTCGCATCGATTCGGAGTGCCGATGAGCGTGCCAATCCCCGAAGGCTTTCCTGCTTCAACAGGGAACCTCCAAGCAGCACTTGCAGGCGTTGCGGCGCATGCTCCTGAAAATATTGTTGCTATTACGGAAAAGCTCTTCACGATCTTTTGGGAGGAAGGAAAAACCAAGATTATTGACCAGGAGGAATTTCAACTTGTTTTCCAAAGTGAAATGGAGGAGAATCGATTGTCTGATGTGGTGAGTTAAAGTTTCGCACCATCTTGGTTAATAATCTTCACAATGCTTAGATGAGAATGCTGATCTTTGTGATATTCTAATAGTTCAATGACCAGACGAAAGCAATCTTGAACAGAAACACAGAATCTGCTTTCAACGCCGGGGCGTTCGGTCTTCCTTGGTTCGAGTGTACTAATCCCGAGGGGGAGGTGGAGGGATTCTGGGGTATCGATCATCTTGGACGAGTGGCAGACTTTTTGCGGCTGGACAAAAGCTTGGACAATTCCTTCAATGTTTTGCTCTAGAAGACTGAACTTCATGCATGTAATTTACTTGGATGCTAGAAATTCTGCTGTAAATAGAAAGAGGCACCTAAATGCAATACAAAACTCAATTTTGAACGCCAATGGTGATTTTGGGTTAGTAGGAGGGCCATCAGACCGTCCCATTAAGGGTGAAAATAACTTATTCTCGCTACTTTACGACGTGGGTCTATCACTCAGCTCCACGATGAGTTATCAAGTAGGACCATCATAATATTATCCGAGCGATTCGGACTAACAAGGAACATGGTTCTAGAAAGTGACAGGGTCGAGGACTACAAGTACGGAGCATAGTTACAAGGCTGGGGTATTTTTATTGACAGCAAGAAGGTCACACTAATACTAAATCAGAAAGTGGCTGCGGGATAAATGAGGGTCTTCTCCTAAGATCGGCATTAGATCGGCAGACAGAGTAAGCACAGCCGAGAAGAGAGATTCATTTGCTCAGCCCCCCCCGTGTACCGAGATCATGATCCTTAACTATTCACCCTGACCGACTGAGGGAACCCAGAATTTAGTCATAGTCAAGACCTACTTCGTTATATCTTTATTTGCTAGTAGTAAGTGTGTATTCAGGTTCTTGTTGATGTCTGTTTCAGAGAGCGATTTTTTCGGCAGTGAACGTGGTACGAGGACAAGTAACATCATTTACCGGACAAAGTTATTACGGAATAAAAATTGTTTCCTGAATAAATATTCTGGTTGATCAATAAGACGTTATTTAGAAATAACCAAGGGTTCAATGTAGTTGGCGTCTAGGTCAGGAGAAGGGGAATGTCCTCCAAGCAGCTGCAGCGACCATTGGCCGAAGGCATTTCTCGGTCAAACTCGTGTACTCGTACTCCATGCTCCGTACTGAGGATAGGGTATTATAATTGGAAACACGAGATAATTGGCGACTTGACCACTCAGATCTGACGTCTGGATCCTGGCCCCACGAGGCTGTATGCTGGAGCCGCAGCGCCACGTTAAGGGGACCCACAGACACAAAGACTAACTCACAATTCATCCAATCAGCTTTTTTAGCTTAACTGTGACCCCGATTAAAATTGGATCCAGCGCAGCATCGCGCTGAGTTGGATCGGCACGATAGCTAGGACAAGGCTTTGGATAACTAGGACAAGGCTGAGCTTCCCCTGTAAAATTGCACAGGGACTTCTGCGCAAATTTTGCTGAACCATATAGTAAGCAAATAAATTAGTGTATAGCTGAAAAAAATAAATAAATAGACGTAGAATTCCCCCAAGTCATCCATCATTCTATCTCCATCTCACATACCTGCAAAGAAAATATGAGATTGACATCGGAAGCCGTCTTGGCTACATGTGCGGGTCTTTTCATGACCTCGCAAGCCGCCAGTGTTATCCCTCGCCAATCAGTAGGCACAGACGCTTGCACTGATATTCATAACCGTGTTCTTAAAAGTTCCGACCATGGCTGTGAGTCAAAAAGAGGTATATGGTGATCTAGATGAGTATATTTTGCTAACAGAATCACAGCAAATGAGGTCAAAGTATCGGGTGAACTAGCACTTGAATGTCTCAAGTCAATGCCATTCGAATCCAAACGTGCTGTCGCTTTTGTCCGGGAGATTCGCAAATGGATTCAATTCCAGTCAACGATCGAAATCTTGCAGAAGCCACCAGCCGATTACCCGATGCCCTCGACCGACTTACTTGGAAGACTTGATGATATCCAGGAACATGCTGCCGCTTCTAAATATACCAGCCACTACGAATTCGAAGACGCTATACAGAAGACGTTTGCGTCAGCACATGATGGACACTTAGGTATCAAACTATGTACCAGAAGCGCTTTCAAGGGTGGATTTGTCTACGGTCCACCATTGGTTTCAGTGTCCTCGAATGGCACTGAAATCCCTGAAATCTATGTGCAAAGTGAGTGCATTAAGCGTTTAAATTTTGAAATTCTAGAGTGATTCTTTTGCAAGTGCTAATAATTTACTTAGGCGATGCTAAGCTTAAAACTTCTATCGACGATGCACTTGTCTCTCACGTAGTGTCCATCAATGGCGCCGACGTCGATCAGTATTTGACCAAAATCACAGAAGGTGCCGGCCTTCAGGACTGGGATTCATTGTCAGTCAATTCAATCTAGTCGAGATGAACCAATACTTACAGTTTGGATGTTTAGATATAACTTAGCCTTCACTTCGGAGGCCATCAGTATAGGTGTTGAGGGTGTTGATGGCTATGTTGCAGGGCAGTTTAGCAACTCCCCAGAGTGGAATGGCGCGTACCATGCCGTGCATTTTGCCAATGGTACTACGAACGTTTATGATGCCTACGTCAAAGTCGCGGAATTTCCTTACAAGAATGGGCGCGATTTCTATGAAAAGCTTTGCATCCCAGCTCCACCGAGCTCGTCTGCGACACCCTCTGCGACCCCTTCTGTCACCCCGCCTGCAACCTCGTCTGCTGTCAGCTCATCAGCTGTGTCCCCAACAGCTCTGTCGGCGCCTTCCTTCTTACCCGGCCCCATTCAACAAACACAAGTTGAACAAGATCTTGGGATTTTTCCCGGAGACTGGAGAGCTTAAAGATACTGCTGTGTTGGCAATTACAACCTTTCAGGTCCTTGAAGATGACGTGGTTGAATTTTCCAATACTGCCAGGGACTTGTTGAATAATGCCACAGAGAAAGGCAAAAAGAACCTGATAATTGATCTCTCTGGAAACGGAGGCGGCTTGGTTGCTGCTGGTCAAAATTTGTTCAAGATGATCTTTCCCGATAAAGAGATATACTCCGCAAACCGCTTCCGTGTTAGCGAGGCTACTGAAGTCATAGCCGAAATATTCAACAAGCAATCAGCTGAAAACGTGACAGGACAAGACTGGGACTGGCGATCCAGAGTGAAGCCAGACCAGACAGGCTTCAAGTCCTTCGACGAGTTCTATGGCCCTTACAAGACACTAGGTGTGAACTCTTCTGCCTTAACATCTGTGAATTTCACAGCGGTTTCTGAACAAGTCCCCATGAACGGCTACGGCGAGCAAAAGCCTAACCCCGCCAAGGCTCCCTTTGCCCCCGAGGATATCATTTTGCTCACAGATGGCTACTGTGGCTCTACCTGCACTGTATTTGCTGAGCTCATGAAGCAACAGGGTGTCCGGAGAATTGCGTTTGGCGGTCGCCCTAAAAATGGCCCAATGCAGGCTATCGGCGGCGTTAGGGGCTCTCAAGTCCTTGAAGCGAGTGCGCAAACGCAAACTCTCGCCCAACTTGCTGTTTGGCTAAAAAATGGAAAATTTGACCCGGAGGTGCTTGAAGACTACAGACAAGTCATTCCTCCATCTTTGAGTGAAATGTCCTACAAAATTTCGGAGCTCGCTGTGAATGAGTACAATCAGTTTGGCCCCAAGAATGATCGTCTACCGCTCCAATTCAAGTACGAAGCTGCGGAGTGTCGCCGCTTCTACCAGTACGAGAACTATATCCACCAGAAAACCACCTGGGCCTCTGCTTTTGACGCAATGTTCAATGGTGGGAGTGTGTTCCAGGTTCCACCAACGCCACTGGCAGCCTGTATGCGAAGAAAGCTTCAACCAAGCAATCTCTTTTGGCGGCGTTGTTAGAATATTCTTCCTCATAAACTGAACTTGGATATTCGACTTTCAATAGACAGCCTAGCGACGTCATATTTAAGCTCATGCATGTCAATTTCCCTTGAACCTTCTTGCATAGAAAACTATTGATTCTATCTTCATCCACGTCCACGAATGAAATTTCACCAAATGCCTTGTACAGATTGTCTTTCTATAAATTATCCTTTGGGGCTCGAGTTTAGTGCCATAGCTCAAGGTCAGGTTTACATACTATAGACGATCCGAGCATGACAATCGTTCTCGTGTCCGTCTTGTAATCACGGACTAGTATCTACCTAAGATGGGATAAACTAGCTACACTATTTCATCTTAGGTAGCTACTAGTTTCCCATCAGAAGTAGGTTCCAAACTTTAGCAAGGCCACTGTAGTTGAGTGGGGCGGGAGTGAAATCGGAGTCGGCGAGAATGCCGAGGCTGTTATTCTCAATGTCTCCGTGGGCGAGTTTAATTTTGAATTGGAAGATTATGGTAAGGGTTCTAAAACCGAAATGGAAGTTAAATGAGTGTCAGAAATACCAGCATATCTCTTTTCTCTCTGAAATTGGGCATACTATGAGTCAAATTTGACTTATCTCCGTTCGGCTTGATACGCCGAACATCTCGGAGACCCCATCCGACAATTATAAGCACCGGACTTCTCCAATTCAGCGTCATTCTCCAAATTCCAATATCTCAAATCCAACTTCAATTAGACTCTTCTTCCCCTATCAATCTTCAAAAATGAGTTCACCAGAGCAGACAGCAGCATTCATTGGATGCGGTAAGTAAACCCAACCCCGCATTGCGTTCAATTTGACTCACAATGCGAGATAGGTAACATGGGAGGCGCCATTCTCCATGGAGTTCTCAAAGCCGCATTCTCTCAATCCGACTCGAGCACCGAGTCATCGAATGACCTCCCCGTGTCTCGCTTCATCGCCTGCACAAAGACGGCTTCGTCCGCGGAGCGCTTGAAGGCATCTTTGCCAGCAGAGCAACAGGCCCACGTTGAAGTCACATCGTCGCAAGCAGTGCCGATAGAGATCATGAAACGAGCAGATGTCATTGTCCTAGGATTCAAGCCCTTCATGGCCGAAGACGTCCTCGGCTCGAAGGGTGTCCGTGAAGCGCTGGCCGGGAAATTGGTGATCAGCCTGTTGGCGGGGCAGACACCTCAAGACCTCACCCGAATGATTCGCGAAGGCACATCCGGATCCTTCGCCGATCCGGTCGTCGTCAAGGTTATTCCTAATATGGGCGCACAATTTGGCGAGTCCATGACTATTATCGAGACCCCTGAGGAGCCTATCCCCGCACAGATGACCGAGATCGTGGATTGGATGTTCACCAAGGTCGGTGCGATCAAGTATTTGCCTCCGAGTCAAATGGATCTCGGATCTGTTTTGGTTGGGGCAGCTTTGGCGACTCTGACTATTCCCATTGAGGGGATCCTGGATGGATGTGTAGCGGAGGGACTTAAGCGACCGGATGCTATGGAGCTTGTATTGAAGGGAATCAGAGGTCTCTCGGCGGCACTCGAGTCTGGGATTCACCCTGCTGCTCTGAGGGAAAGTATCTCATCTCCTCGAGGATGCACCATTCGGGCGCTTTTGGCTCTTGAAAGGGCTGGAAGCCGGGCGGACTACGCCGATGCTATCATCCAGGGCACCGAGCACTTGAAGACGATGAATAAATAGACAAGTATCTTGGGGGATTAATCCTGGATAAGGAACATAAGAGTATAGAAATAGAACTTGAAGGATAGGAACTTCTTTAGGTCGAACAAAATCATGAATGAATTTGAAGGAATGACAGCCAAAGAGTCGAGGTATTCTAGCAAATCTCCAAGCTCTTAAGCCTTGCACGCCAAAATTTGATTGATATTTATCGCCGCCAGGGCGTTTACAAATTAGATACCCCCTACCACACTTGCGCCAAAGACCAGGCACCGATGAGAAAAACCAAATTGAGTACATTAGAAGTGCGCTTCACCACATGTCAGTATCGTCCTTGACCAAGTCGTCTTCATGCAAGGCTCGAAGTCCATTTTCTTTCTCCTCGCGTTTCCGCTGTCGCTTATTAACAGTCCGGCCTGGTGTGAATGGGGTGACAGGGGTGAAAGGCATGTAGGCACTGTATGGAGTCGGAACGCCTGTGATTGGCCCAGTGCGGTTCTTGGTAGGGCGCTCCAGGATTGTCGTCTTGGTAGCTGGGGCACTCTGCAGGGGATAAGCTTCACGGAAAGGAAGCGAATTTTGAGAAGACTGTGCATGGGGGGATGCAGTAGTGAGGTTCAGTGGAGCTGGTGGCCGGGCACGACCTGAAGGAGGCATGCCATGTCCAATGGCCGAGGCAGGAGGTGCTCGGGGAGCCATTGGCGGTGGTCCAGGATTATAAAACCGTGGGGACAAAGGCGGTGCCTCGTGAGTATAAGTTTGAGGGGTTCGTGGGTCAGGAGAGGAGAGCGGTGATGATATTCCCAACTTCCGAAGAGGAAACTTTGGGGATTTCAGTTTGCCACCATCGGGGTTCGCTCGAGTATTTGAGCTAAATAGTTTGGACAAGCGAGAGCCGTTCGAAAATCTTGGAGACTTGGGAGACTTCAGAGGCGGCATGGGCGGCTGCTCCGTGGCATACGAGGCGTGTCGATCGGTGAAAGGATTGGTATATTGACTGTCCGGGGATTGGCTCTGGGAGTCTCGATCTCGAACAGATACATCGAGTCCAGAGGCCTTTTGGGCATCGTGCTCCATAACTGCAGCATATAACATCTCCATCTGGTCCTGGGCCCTTTGTCGGTCCGAAGCGACCACGGATTCATCGATGGTTACCATACTGCCGTTCACAGATGTTTGCGAGGGTCTGTTTCCACGCTGAATAATTCCCCACGAGGAAGTGGGCTGGTGGGCGAATGTGGGACTGGGTAGGTTGTGCGAGATGGGAGAGATCGGACTAGGGTCTAGGCTGACAGGTTGCTTTACTGGCTTCAGCATCTGCATCTGCAGAGAATAGTTTGAGGACTGAACAGTCCGTCGTAGTCGACGCCCGACCAGGAGTAGTAGACCAAGGAGAACAGCAACGAAGATCACGTAGGCAGCACAAATGCTGCCGACCTGGATTCCTAAGAGTGCCCTGTCTAGTGGTGGTCGGTCATCGATACTGCCCGAGCGTTTTGTCTGAAAGTCACTGTGTCCAGAGACCGGAAGAATATAGACGAAGGAAAGAAGAAACGCAGAGGAGCAAGAGGCAATCAGGGGAGGCATTTCAGGGATCCTGGATGTGACTCGATTTTAAAAAAGCACGGCGGGGAACGAGGGATCAATTTTAAAGGCAGATGCAGTCACTTTGGGTCACTTTGGGTTGATCGGCATGGCGAAGCACGAATCTTGGGGGGAGGGAAAGGGCGCATTGTGCTTCAGAGGTGACGAGGCGGCAGGAAAGGGAGGGGCCTGGTATAAGACGTGAGCCATCGAGTGTGACGAGGTGAAGGCAATGTTGGGGGTGCAGGTGAAAAGGCAATGGTTTGAGCCTGTCGTTGGCTGTAAATACGCGCCCACCTGCACGATCGTCACCCGCGGGGAACCAGTCAGCGGTCGTAGATCGGCCGTCACAATCGCAGGGCTTGGCAGAGTGGCACGGTCCACTTGCAGTAGTGTGACGAGTTTAATGGCAGACCAGTAGTATAGACCTGGGCCTTGAAAGTGAGTGCATCGTCGGTAGTTGAAGTTAAGTTGAAGTTGAGTATGAAGTGTGTACTTACTACTAGTAGTAGATCAGAAGTCAGGTGATGGGGGTGCATCGTGGCTGCCGGGAATAGCCTCACTCCTTCCCGAAGTGGCAGTCTGTTTACTTCTTGACTTCCCTCCTCTTCCTCTTCTTCCTCTTTTCATCCATCTTCATCTTCACTTCACTACACACGGCATTTACCAAGATCCTATCTTATTTCATGGGACACAACGTCTCGTCCGTGCACGGCGTTAAATCTTCCGACTTCTACTCTCCCGGAAACGCTGTCAACGAAATCTGGGTCGATAACGTCGAACTCATCTCTCGCCTGCCCTTTGGTGACTCTGATTTGGGACAAGCCGGCTGGCCTCCTGGTGACTGGCCGAAGATACCTTGGCATCAATTCCTCATTCCATTGAAACGAGACCTCGGAGCTTTTCGAAACCCTATCACTGCCATGGAGACCAAGGTGGTACTAACCTGCACCGCTAACATGATGACCAACGACGTATTAAACTGCACCACTACCGTGGGCACCAGAGAGATATCACGCTGCGTCACACCTTTGATCTTTGGGGTTGATAGTGCATGGGCCTCTGTGCTCTTCATGTTCAGCGCTTTGTTGATTGAGTTCGGTTTTCTCCTGCTCTTTCTAATTGCTGCTATGGTCGTGGATGGACTTCGATCACTCAGAATGTGGGCCCTCTGTCCTCTTCGGATCATTCCCCAACCTTATCAACCGCAAAACGTGATGAGATGGGCACGGTACTCTTTCAAACTGCCCTTCTATTATTCCCTACTTGCCATCCTTTTTATGGGCTTCGGGTTTCCGATGGCCGCCTCGGCAGTACCCTGCCTCGATCCGATCGAAGTTTTTCGCAAAATCATGGAGATGCAGGGGTCTTTGGCAATACCAATCATCACAATTGCCTTGGTTTGCCTCGCTTACTGTCTATGGGAGGCTGTTACACGAAGAGATGGAGACGAGCAAGATCAGGCCGCCGAAACCTGGCTCGCCGAATGTCCCGTCAACCAACCAAACATTCCTGCACCGCCCACCGATCAATCAATAAATGCTTCAGTGGACGTTGAAAAGGCTATGGAATCGAATTCCCTCGAATCACAACCTCCTAATGGTCCACTGTTTTCCGTTTATATTCCCAGCCCGGCCATTTGAAAACGTTGGTTTGCCCAATGTATACTCTTTTTGTTCTTGTTCTACTTGTGCGAAGAGGAAGCATTCCCCGGCGTGGGTCTTTGGTATTGGTTTCGAGCTTTTTTGTTTGCTTTTTGTTATTATTTTGACGATCAGCCTATACCAACGGCGATGCAGTATGTATAGCCTCCAGGGTTTCAAAATGAAATAGCTTTATCCCATTGTGGATCCTTCTCATTCTTCTAGAAATGAAAACCCGCTAACAATCAAATTGCATCACGCGTCGCATAAGTTGAATGGCAAAATACAAGGCCTGTGAGTCATTACTCGTCCTTCTCTAGTTCCAATTTGCATCGTGTCATACTAGTTATAGTCCTATGTCGGTTCATGTAGGTACAAGTAGTATATACAGAAATTGACAGATATATGAGATGTACACGCTGATATTAGTGACACAAATGTAGCATTCATGAGTCCTATTTTTTCTCCTTCGAGAATAAATCTCGCCACATTTCCTTCATTCCATACGCCTTTCCTCCATCTTCCTCATAAATCTGAGCTGTTTGTCCAGTTCCAAGTGATCCAACCATACTCGAAGAGGATCCACCCATGGTTATAGGACTGCGTGCTCGCTCTGTAGCCCGACGACGGATCTCTTCGGCTAGTTGCGGTGCAACTTCATTGAAGCAGGCAATTAACTCGCGATTTAAATTGATGTATCCTTTTTGAGCCGACCGCGGCGCTTGGAGATTATAGGAGCGGGTGATGGCGTTTATTTGTTTCACGGCAAGTTCGTGATAAGAGCGTTCATTATTAAAATATGTCGGATCTCGCAAAGGCGGAAGATGGGGGATACTCTTTGTCGTATTATCGCCGGCGGAGTCAGATTCGGCAGCGATTTCAGGTGATTCGGTCTTTGACACAATACGACCATCGGAATCGATCTCTGAGACCACATCCTCCTCACTGTTATTCCTCAGCGATGCCTCCAGCTTCGCCTGCTCCTTTAAACGAACTTCTGCTGCTGCATGTCCTCTCGCACGATTCATCTGCGCCTCCAAGGACCCGCCCTCGCTTGCGATCAACCTTGCGGCATGCCGCCTCCAATCAGCACGAAGACGTTGTCGGAACCGACTGAGTTCCATCGCAAGTTCCTGTTGCTTTTCAATCCAAGGAGGAACAATCTCCTGCTTTTGGATAATCTTGTTCATGAAGTACTCCGTGGTATCGATGAAAGCCGAGTTGGCATTATGATCCGTCTCTGTATTCACCCCCTTCCCGCGCTTAATTTTCTGGAATTGACCACGTGCAATTGCATCTTCGATTCGTTCATTCGCAAGTGAGGATAGGCCCTGGATGGAGATAGGCATGGAGTGCGCACCGGGTGTCAACTTCTCCCTCATCTCTCGACGCATTTCCTCGCGCTGTTCGTCCGAGAATCCAGGTGCCTGGCTTAGTGCGTAGGTAGATGTACGATCTTTTGCTTGAGCAAGCCGTTCGCCGGGGGTATGCTTCGGTTTGGGAGCGGGTTTCAGATCGACGGGTTGGGGGATCTTGTATGGTGTCCGAATTGGTTTGCTAGCATCGTCAAGCATGCGTAGGGCGGAGTCATGAAGGGTTTCGGTTCCTGTCCATGCTTGAGCCGCAGCTGTCTCTCGGGTTCCTTGGCCTGCACTCGCCTGTAGGATTAAGTATACAAATCAGTTACTGGTGAAGAGTATCCCCAAACAGTAGTCCACTGCTTACCGGCATATCCAGGATAGAATGGGCAGCAGCATGCTCGCTCTTGAAAGACGAAGCCAGCACTCTTTCCTCCAGCTGTTTCTTCAGATCCTCTGAGAATCCTGCGTTCTCTATATTGCGGCGCGCGGACCGGCCGCCCTCTAACATTGCATCTTCGGTCATCTGGGACAGCCGACGAGACATAGCACTTTGTTCTTTCTCCTCCTCTTGGTTGCCATCACCTTGACCCTTCTCATTTTCGCATTTGCCCGAAGAGGAGTCTGCACCCTGCCTCCATTGGCACCCCGCGGTGAAACGTCTCGCTGCGGGAGTTGAGCTCCTCCAAGCGCAAGCAGGTGCCCGACGTAACGGCGAGCTCCAGAGTTGTGTTCCGTTCATTTCGAAAGCCGCCGAATAGCCCCTTATACCATTCAAAGAAATAGAAAAAGAAAAGTCAAGGTTGATCACCTTGGCTGCTGAGAGAGTTGAGCTCGACAGTGGCAAGTCGCCCGGAAAGCTGCTGAGTCATCCACCTCCGCGGAGCCAAAACTTCCAGGGATTTCGTCGTCGCAGCTCCTCCGCAGGCGTCCACTTCTCCATCGTTGTCCACGGAGCCCGTCGCGGCATTTCAGTATCTCTTTTACCCGGCAATTCGTCACTCACTCGATCCAGATCGACACTTTCCCTCCGCTATGGCTCCCAAGGGCAACATCTCGACCCGGTTGAACCCGCTTCGCCTGAACACCATCAACCACCTTCGCGTCCGCCGACCCAACCAGAATGAGCAGAACCCCTGCGTGACTGTCATGTCGACCATGCTTAGTACGTCTGCCTGGCTTCCTCATTTCCAAGAGATCAATTGCTGACAATCCCGCGTTGCAGACTGCTGGGCTTCCCAAGGATACAACGCCGAAGGCTGCGCTGCCCTCGAGGCGCAATTGCGCAAGTGCATGGATGCCCCTGTATGATTATCGATCTGCTCTTCTTTCCCTTATTCCCGCTCACGGAATACTGACGATTTATTTTCCTGCAGAAACCCCAAGAGAAGAAGAAGAACACCGTCAACTACCACCTGATGAGAATGTACCCCAAGGTTGTGGGCCCGCGAAGAAGGACGGTGTCCTGGGCTAAATTGCATTTTTATTTTGCATGGACAACGGCTGGGACCACAAGAGAGATGGATATGCACGTCTATATGAGCTGCACGCCCGCTGCAGTTGTTCATTTCGGAGTTTGGGGGATTCTTTGCGGCACATTTGTACAGTATATTACCTATGTCGACTACGGCAGCGGCATTGTCTTTAAAAGAATTGATTGTATCAATATTCCCAACTTTGAACTTCTGTAACAGTTTGTCCTCTACAGTGGATGGAATTTCAGGATCAACTTCTCGGCTCGCGGGCCGACCGTGTATGCATCGATGGCTTCAATACCATCATCGTCCACAATTGTTGTCCGGAAGTTGGAGTATATCGCTGCGACGACGAGCTTGGTTTCTAACCAAACTAATGTTAAAGAAAAAGACCAAAGTGAAATGATTTTACATGTACTTACCTTGTAACGCGAGATTACTTCCGACACACATACGTCCTCCACTTCCAAACGCCCAAAACCAGCGCTTCTGTTCTTCGAGATCGACAATCGAGTTTTCCTCCTTGAGCCACCTACTCGGTCTCCATGTCTCGGGCTCTGGAAAGACCTCTGGATTGCGGTGTAGCGAGTAAGCCTGCGCATTAACACGGGTGTTGGCTGGGATATTCTCATAACCCCCCCAGAGAACAAGATGGCGCCGGTGTGACTCGCGGTTGGATCCCGGGGATTGGAGCATGGAGTCTCAATGTCTCGGTGACGATAGCTTCCAGTAATGGCAGCATATCAACCGCCTTCGCCGGAGGAAGATCAGCACACCTAGGGAACCTGATGGGAGGGTCCAAGGTCATCAGCTCTTCATGGAGCTTGCTCTGAAGCTCCGGGTTCTTGGAGAATTCCCATAGCAGATAGGTTAAGCCGACAGCACTGGTTTCAAATCCTGCTGTCAGTTGGTCGTACATTTCGCATGCGATATCATTCTGTTGCTTTGCAGGGTCAGGTTTTGGACCACCTTCTTTTGCCGCCTGTTTATCTAAGCTCTGCTTCAGCTGCTTGTATACAATAGGCTCGATAGAGGGGTCCGTTGAGCTTAGTGATTGAGCTGCCTTGCCGCAGAGGTCTAATGCCCATGCATCAAGCATGTCATTGGCGGTATCGCAATACTTTGGGATGAGCCGCAAACGCATACATTTCATCCAGCCGATCAACTGAGGGGTCTCCTGGTGGTAGAACTCAAATGGCTTGCGACAGAGATACATGTGGAGCCAGTGCTTGCGGAATGCATGATCCTGCAAGTGATTCGTGCCATTCTGTAAGCCGAAAAGATAGCATGAGACGAAATCCATTGTCAATCCTTGATTGAGATCGTGTACATCGATCGATTGCTCTGAACTCGCCCCGTCTTGCAATATTGGAAGCAGGCGATCATAGATAACTGCATTCGAGACAACGCGTAGATGGGGCGAAGTCTGCAAGGTTGATTTGGAGTAGATGTTGGACAGCATTCTTTTGCGTGCGGAATGGGGCTTAGTACCGATCATAGTGAACATGCTTACGGTTCTATTGACAGCGTGAGCTTCATTCTCTGGATGAATTAGATGGGTGCGAGAAACCTACCCAAGTGATCCGAATACCCGTGGGTACCACTCATGCTTCTCAAAGCCCCCGGTATAAACAGATTTGATCCCTCCATCGACGCAATTCACTGATATCTCCGACGGTCCAAGTCTCACAATAGGGCCAAGCCTCTCATGCGCCGCCTGGATAGTACGGTTATTCTGCATGCGAAATCTTCTCCATAGCATCCAGCCTGGAGATATGGGGACACTCCAGTGTGCATTGGGAATCTTTGCGAGTGGCGAGATGAAGTATGGATATATGACGACCTTATAAAAGGCCAAGCCTGCGATGGCCAGCGCGACTAGCGAAGTGATAGGAACACCCATGGCGCGGCTCCACCTCGAATCCTGAGCAAGTTCGGAGTACACAATTCAACCCCGCCAATACGTTTAGTGGTGCACTTGGTGAAGTTCGATTCGGCGGAGGTCACGGACACTTATATCGTTCCGCACTTGGGTTGCCGAGGAGTTCGTTTAGGTAATTGATTCCCCAACCCCCGCTTAAAGAGGGCTTCTTTGTCGGCCAACTTTCAGATGGCCGATGAATGGGGGAAGATTGTAGTTGGGGAGTAAGAAATTGGAGATTTGTCCAACCACATCATCGCGATTACTCGCACTACGTTACCCTCAATGTGGGGATTCCAACTGGGCTTCCCCGCGAGAAGATAACACGATAAGCGGGGTACCATGACATAATGAAGGGTACTGGTTAGGTTACTAGTATTCAGCTTGAAGGATCTTGATTATGAACATTTTGGATACTTTAGCATAAACTGTCTTTATTCTAGACCCAGTGATGCCACTCGATTCCGTCTCGATAGGTCAAGGCCGTTTGTGGCCCCTCGGCATCGAGAATGTACCCAAATTCGCACCGGCTGAAGGAGACCTTGGACTGGACATTATAAAACTCATCATACTTCGCGTCCAATGCATCCACAATAGTCTCAACCTTTCCTTCCGGATGCAGCACGTCCCAGGGCCGAATGCAAGTTTGTCCCTGACAGGATTTCAAGACAAGAAGTAGCGCGTCGAGACGGTGAATAACTTTCGCCAGAGAAACACCAAGGATTTCCCGGCCCTCATTAAGGTTCCCTGGGGAGTCTGATGTCACATAAAGGTTATTCAGCTCGTATGGATCCGTCTATGTGTAAATGGTCAATTTCTTCCAGAGTTTTTCAGACCGGCGAGCTTGATGTGTGTAGACTAGATACCTTGAGATCATAGAGTTGGTGTTCGTTTGAGCACCAGACTGAGTAATAAAGATCGTATTCACTACTCAGAATGCGTATCGACTTATAGGTATTGTTTGTGATTATCTCCGGGTTGTCGGGACCTAGCAGTGCTTGTCAGTTTCCTTAAATATGAAAGTCAAAGATATGCCGTCATGAATAACTTACCCAGTGTGTTGTATTTCCCTTCGGGGATAGCTAGCCCCCAATATTCAACAGTAACGTGTTCATGACGTACGGGGTCGCTCGAGTTGAGCTCCTTCTTGAACGGGATAGGCGTACCATCAAAGTCCGAGCGCAGAGGCAGGCCGGTGATATCAAAAAGTGTCGGGGCTATATCAATATGTGTAGTTATTGCCAGCTCCTCGTAGTTCGGCAGGACACCCGGGCCCCGGACAATAAAAGGAACCCGGATATCTTCTTCAAATCCGCACTCCTTGCCCGCTTGTAGGCGATGTTGCCCGATATGATACCCATTGTCGGAAGTGTAGATGATGTAGGTATTGTCCAAGATATGATTCTCGTCCAAGATATCAACAACTTCAGATATCAGCTCGTCCACGGGCTGCAGAGCTCGCAGTCTTGAGCGATAGAAATGATCGTTATAGTCGATATTACTTTCGTTTTGCTTGGGCAGGCGTGCGATCCAATTTACGCCACTCGGCTTTGTTCGCGCGTTAGAAATCATAATCTATTCATGATCCAGAGCGCTAACGTACCTCGTCAGGGTTAAAATTTGGCGTCCGCGGGATCTTCACATCCTTGAAAAGATGTTTATGTCTTTCTGCGGAGATTGGTGCGGTGATTTTCAGATCCACTCCAGGGATTATAGGGCCATTCGAGTGAACATTTGAATGGGGTGCCACCGGAGCAATAGTGAGAAAAAATGGGTCTGTTTGACTTATTGCAGATTCCAAGAGATCCAAAGCCTTTCCTTTCAGAATATCCGTGGTATATTGACCCTCGTAGCTGACGGGTGGGTCGGAATCGCGCTGGAAGGTTGCATTTAGATATGAATAGGTGTATGGATCCAACAAGAAATCAGACGAGTTAAAGCCATTAGCGAAAGGACTATTGTAGTTGTCGACTGTGTGTGCATTGAATAGCTTCCCCGTGTAAAGAGTGTTGTAGCCTGCATTTTGAAGCCAGACTGGAAGATAGTTTTCATTGAAACCGCGTTCAACGAATTTCGGATACCCACCTAGGAGGGGTTAGACGTAAATGAATATTTAAGGATTCTTGACATTTTCAATTTAGCTACCTACCATACGGAGGATTCACGTCAGTGACGTTTGTATTGTGAGCTAGTCGTCCGGTAAGAAGGCTGACTCTCGATGGGCAACAAAGTGCCGTTGTGACGAAATGATTTCGGTAGAAGGTGCCTTCTTGCGCTAAATGTTTATTCAAATTTGGCATATAGTTGATCGAGTCTAGCAATAGATCTTGATCGTCAACAAGGATGAAAATGATGTTTGGTCGGTTATCTTTGATGTTCGCCGCCGGAGCAAGGATTTGTTGCTGCTGGTCATTATATCCTAGTGCGCATGTCGTTTGTACAACACCGAGTATGATTGCGAGGCTATTCAGGAGTGAAATTCCCTTCATTTCTTTTCTCTTGGGGACAGAATTCACTGCCGCATAAAAGATGGCTAATTGAGTTTTTCAGGTATGTGCAGAAATCAAGTTCTAGCAACACTTTATGCATAGCACCACTCGGGTTTTGTAATGGGGGCATGATAGCCAAGATCAATTGTGAGATTTTAGAATGGATGAGGTGATAGATATTAGTGGAGAAACAGGATTTCCAAGGCGTGGGGTCTGGGCCTTGATCTCATAAACAACTATAAAATAAGCGAGCCTTTCTTTACTGTACCATGAAGTCAAGTTGGATTGAATATGGATACTTCTGTATACAGTATTTCAGTAGCTGCACATATCCGTCCCAAATCCTCCGGTGTTATCTACTATCACGCCCAGGTCAGGCCTTCAACAACCCCAAAGCAAGAATCTGAAAGGGTCCAATCCAAATTTGGGGTTCAGTATTCCCTTCATAGTGCACAGACCACCAATAATCGGCAGATTTCCGGGCCGTTGATGCCAATCGGGTGGCAGCCAATAGAAACTATGATAAGCCCATGAGAACACCCGCTCTAAAATGGCATCATCTGCGTACCTTTACAAGCGAAATGACACTAACACATGTTACTAGTATTACTTTGTACAAATCCTTATGAGTCAACTATGCCAGAGTGGGCCTACTAAAAAGACCATGCGGCGGAAGTAGTTGGTGGTCTCGGAAAGGGTCCTTAGCCGATGACTCTGGGTTTGCCTGTAGGGCTGTTTTGATTTTTCATGAGCCCCAGCTCGAGATATTTATTTCGTCTTTATTTCCCTATTATCCGGGCCATTTGAAAGAGAAAAAACTTAATTTCGATACTGCCGGTGTCCCCACGTGTTGACGGCCCGTCGTGATAGTTATCATGCCTACGACTAGTAGTATCGACGATGACACCACTCCACTCATCTCGGATCGAAGAGACAATGAAAACATAGGCCAGCCTTACTCGACGTTTCTTAGCAAAAGTCCTCTACTATCGGAAACAGAGCAAAGTCCCTTATCCGGTGACGAAAGCTCAGTCGATGATGCAAGCACAAAGTCCGCTGGCGGAGGGTGCATGGGCAGTGTAACCAGTATTATTGTGATTCTTTTACTTGGTATTCATATCCTTCATTCCTTCCCTTCCCTTCCAACCTTTAAGATCCGTTTCCTAACACCTCACTAGGTGAATTCATATCCAATGCCGATTCTACGATCGTCATGGCGACGGCCGGTCCCATCTCATCTGAATTCAACAAATTGCAGGATGCAAGCTGGCTGGCAACGGCCTTTGCATTGGGCGTCGGCTCTGTACAATTAATTGTATGTGGAGATCTCGTAGTCAGCATGAGCATGCGGCCTAAACTGACATCTGCTACCAGTATGGCAAACTCAGCATCATATATGGCCGCAAACCAATTCTGTTAGTTGCGTATTTTCTCCTCGCACTAGGATGCGTTATCTGGTAAGCTTTTACTTCTGCATCATTTTTTTTGCTTCCGGTTCCGGTGACTAACACAGGATATTTCAGTGGTATCTCACCCTCTATGTCTACTGTCATTCTCGGACGGGTTGTCAGTGGAATGGGCGGAGCGGGTATCATGGCGATGGGATCAATTATCATACTAGGTACGACACCGAACAATTCTGAATGCGAAACATGACTGCTAACTTGATAAGACGTCGTACCAAAGCGAGACCTAGCTGCTTGGAGAGCAATTGTCAATATCTCAATGACTCTGGGTCGAAGCATCGGCGGCCCAATCGGAGGATGGCTCACTGATACCATTGGATGGCGCTGGTACCGTCTTACTCTTTTGACATTAACTCCCTTATTGAGACCACTCACTCACTTCCATCATTTAGGGTCTTCCTAACCCAAGCTCCCCTCCTCGGCGTCGCCGCAATTCTCGTGACAATCTTCCTCCGCTTCACACCAAAGTCAAAAAGCAGCACAAACAAAGATTCAACCCCTTCAATCCGCCGCGTCGATATCCCCGGCTGTCTCCTCCTAGCCACGAGCGTCGTCTCATTCACCCTCCTAATCGACCGAGGCGGAAAAGCATTTTCCTGGACCTCCCACTATGCCCTCCTCCTCGCAGCCTCAGGACTCACCTTCCTGACAACATTCATCTACTACGAACACTCCGTGGCCCCAGAGCCAATTTTCAGTCTGGCCATTCTCCGTCTCCCAAACGTTTCAACATGCTACCTAATCGGCATGCTACAAATTGCCGCCCAATCAAGCATGATGTACACTGTTCCCCTATACTTCCAAGTGACCGCAAACGTTCCCGCCGCCGTAGCAGGCACTCATCTCGTTCCGTCCGTCGTGGGAAATGCAATCGGCGGCCTGATTGCGGGGTGGTTTATTCGACGCACAGGACATTATAAACCTGTTCTGTTCATTGCTGGCCTCGTGGCATCTATCTCGTACTTGTTGCTTTATCTGCGCTGGAATGGGAATACTTCTGTTTGGGAATCGTTGTATATTGTCCCTGGTGGTATTGGGACTGCGTTTGCATCCGCTGCTTCGTTTGTGGCTTTGACGGCTTTTTGTGATCCGGATGAGGTTATTATGGCTACTGGTGGTTATATGCTTGTTTTCTCGATTGCCATGACGGCGGGTGTTACGACGACGAATTCCATTTTGACGTCGATGTTTAAGTGGAATATGCTTCGTGATCTCACGGTGCCGAATGCAGATAAGGTGAGGAAGGAATCTTGGAAGGCATAGCGATGTCATGGTGTTTTTGGACTCTTTCTGGGCACTGGCTAACTTGAACTGCGTCAGATCATTCGTCACTCTTTGGAAAATTCGCACTATATCTCCGGACTTACTGGGGAAGTTCGAGAAATTGTGGTCAAGAGTTACGTGGGTGGATTGCGTTCAACATACCGTAAGTCTTTCAATTTTTCTCTCATGGGACCCGTCTAATTTGGACTCAGTGATGTCGCTAGCCCTCTCGCTTGCTGGGTCTGCGCTTGGATTGACGATTCGCAACCATAAACTCTGAGGTCGTCACTGCAAGCATGAAGAAAAAGGCTAGTGAAACCTTGGAACACATATCTAAAAGCCCAAATGCAGTATGAACTTGGAAGGGTATCCAAGAAGAGGTTTTTAATTTCATTCACTTCACAGATAAAGATATAAACACAAAAATGTACCATAGGCTAAGAAAAAAAAAGGAGACAGTATGTCCAAGGGCTCTTGAAGACACAATAAAACAGACCAGCTTGCTATTGCGACAAAAAAAATGAGATATACCACCCAACTGGGCCAGCAGACAGCTCGGACGAGCTGGAAAGTAGCGTGATCGCCCAACTCTTACAATATGTAGTACTAATTACTTACGTAGTGTAGACATATCTACCCCCATTTTAATTGGCGAGGTTATGCATGATGCCGACTCCGTCACCGACGTCATCGGGGTAGACGTAGAATGCAAGGGCGAGAATGAGATACCTGAAATCGGGGTCAGTAAGGGATATACAAAGAGGATTGGAGTAAGAGAGATCGGGTGGAGGGGAGAGTAACATACATGCCAAGACACATGCCGCCTTCCAGGTAATTCGACTTGCCATCCTGGATAAGCAAGGTAACAACCAGACCAGAAATGAAGAAAGCAACAGTCTCAAAGGTCTGGAAATGCAGAGTCATCTCAATACCCATGATCCAGCCCAAGATGACCAAGAAGGGAGTGACGAAAAGGGCGATCTGCAGACTACTTCCAATAGCAACACCAATGGCCAGATCCATCTTATCCTTATAGGCGACCACAACGGCCGTGACGTGCTCTGCCGCATTACCAACGATGGGAATTAGGACCAGACCGATGAAGGTCTTGCTCATGCCGGTTGTTTGGACAAGATCATCGATGCTGCCGACGAGGTAATCGGCGCAAATGGCGACCATGATAGTTACGATGATCAATGCGACAGTTGCTGCCCAGGGGTTGAGTAGGCGCTCCTCTTCCTCTTCTTCCTCGGTGGCTCCGGCTGTGCCCTCGGTGTCACTTGCGTTGGTCTCCTCGAATAACTCGGCGTGGCTTCGGAGCTGGAAATAGAGGTACATGACGTAGATGATGAGTAGGATGATGGAAGTTCCGTGCGACAGGGTGAGGATATTATCCTGGGCTTCCTTGTCGCCATTGTGGGGGGGAGCCGGAGATTGCGGCATAGAGAGTGGCGGGAATGATCAGCGAGGCAGAGGCGACAGCCATGAGGGACGACATGGTGGAGGCGACGGTGCTGTTGAAGCTCTGCTCGGAGTATTTCAGACCGCCGACAAAGAAGCAGCAACCCAGGACGAGGAGAATGTTGGAGAGAATGGAGCCCAGCATACTAGCCTGAACGACACGGATCTGGTTATCCTTAAGAGCGATGATGCTGACCTAGATGTCAATCGGGTCAGCAACTGTGAGGAAGGGAGAACTGAAGAACCGAAGAGGGAAAATGCGTACAATCAATTCCACTGCGTTACCAAAAGTAGCATTCATCAGACCACCCAGTGCCTGACCCATCGTACCAGCCAATTCCTCCGTCGCAAAGCTCAACAGCGAAGCGAGCGGGATAATAGCAAAGAAGTTCAAGACGAAGATGGCAGTGGAATTCCAATGAAGGGCACCAGCCACCATACCCAACGGCACAAAGACAAGAAGCAAGTTCACGTAATCGCGGACCAGGGTGTACCAAGTCAGACGCACGACATGCTGTGGCCAGCGAACCCAGGCACGAGAGTCATTGGGGTGATGATGGTGATGGCCATGATCCTGCGCGTGATGCGGCGAGTAACCGGGGAGGAGGGTGAGTGGCCGAGTAGTGAAGTGTGCTCGCCAGGATTTAATGAGCCATTGCTAGTGCCAGTGCCAGTGCCAGTGCCAATGCCGGACATCTTTCTGGATGGACCGAAAGTGTGACTTCGAAGTTGAGTCCGAAAGGGAACGGAAGCTGCGGGACGAGGGGAGCAAAGGAGTCAGTCGAGGAGGTCTGGAGATCAGAAAGATCAGATCAGATCAGAGGAAAGGAGAAAAGACATACACATTCTTTGGGTAGCCAAGCTCTTTGGTAACGTTTGGAACGTTTGGACTTTGGAACCTTGAATGAAACTTGAGCAGCGGGGGGATGTTCCAGCCACAAACGAAAACCGTGGATTGGGGACGACGTAATGGAGGAAGATCCGTGCAAAAGTGTGCAAAAGCGTACACAAGAAGGGGGAAACCCAGCACAGCCTCGATCAAAGTGGGTCAAGCTTTGACAGCTTAGGAAACATTTGCAGAGGTGAGGGAGCTTTTGCATGACGATCTGCCCACCTTTCATTAATTGTACCTTGGTATTCCCTTGTGGTTGGCTAAAATCAAGGGTCGCACTGTGCCAAGGAAGCCAAGTGGTGCACTGCCACAGTACGAGTAGTATCTGTACTCCGTACTCGTACAAGGTTCATCCTGTTCATACTCGTATGCTTGTCCATATTGAAAGAAATCGGAGTTCCATTGGTATCTATCTCGTAAAACACCGCACAAAATCCCAGTCCATAAATCACAGATCAATACAAAATGTATAGGGTAGGTAGTAGTAGTAGTAGTAGTAGTAGTAGTAGTAGTAAGTCACATCAAAGAAGAGAAGGAGAAAGAGGAACAGGTAAATAGGGGAATAAAAGAAAGGGAATATGAAAGGAATGAAGGGTTCACAACAGGGAGCTCTCCTCTACTCCTCCGGCAGCGTACCGTTAGCTTTGAAATCCATCCGGCTACTCTTCCGCCCAACACCCTTGAGCAGACTGAATCGCCGAAACACAGAATCCCGCATCCCATTGTTTGCATTGCTATTGCCATGGCCATGGCCATTGGCACTAGCATGAACGTTGGCATTGGCGTTGGCACCGTTGACATGGTTAGCGGGGGCATTGGTTGTGGCTGAGGCTGTGTGGCCGCCCCCGTTAATCCCCGCATGAGCACTCGCACTCGCACTAGCACTATCGCGTGTCACCGGACGGGAATAATCGCGCGTCGAAGGAAGAGTTGACCAGCCACCACTAGATACGGGCGCCGGTCGCTCTGAGTTGGCAGTCGTGTTGGCAGTCGGGCCGCGATGCTGAGACCCTGCCCGACTACGACCATCTTGAGACTGTGCGCCCGTATCGCGGGAAGCACTGCGTGAGGTTCGCCGTTTGATCGTCTCCTCGCCAACAGCTGCTACCGAGGGAGAGGACCCGTGCTTGATCTTATCACCGCCAAACCAACTGCGACGCTTATCACTCTTTCCTCCACGGGAGTGGCTCGTGGCGCGGCTGTGGATGGTGGCCGCGTCGTCGTCTCCACCATCTTCTTGGTCAAGTTGGCCCTTGCTATCCGATTGCTGGATCGTGAAGATGGAATTGGATGCTCCGTGCCGTTTGAACGGGTTGATGATGCTGATCCGCTGGCTGACCGATTGCCGTTCGGAGCGCTTACGAGTGTGCATATTACCGCGGGACGCCCGAATCAGCTCCTGTTCGGGGCTGACAGATCGTTGGATGCCCTGAGTTCGGCGGTATTCTGACGACGAGGGCGATCGACGGGCAGGTTGAGTAGGGGTGGGTGAGGAATATTCCGGCGGAGAGGTCGAGAGTGATGCCAGCTCAGGCTCGAACACTTCCTCGAAGCGTCGATGAAGCTCGGCCAGGGTAGCTTGTTGGGCGGGTCGCTGATAGAGGGACAAGGCATGTTTGATCGCTAGAGCGTGGTCGATGAGGGCGACGGCCAAGGCATTTTCCATAGGATCTAAAGCCTCCGGCTCCTCCTCCTCCTCCTCCTCCTCATCTGGTTCTTCGTCATCCTCTTCCGCGATATCACTTTGCTTCTCCTTGGTACCCTGAGCACCGCCCAGGAACACTCGATACATCGCAACACAGTTCGACGATGACCCGCGCGATTCCAGCAATTGATCCAGGGCTTCAGTCAGGTTCGACAAACCACTGTCCTCACCCGATGCAGCCCGGCGTTCAAGCAGTTGCAGCTCCTGCGTCTTGCGGCATGTTCGTTCGAGTGCTGTCTGAAGAGGCGACAGGGCAATTTCTTGAGCCGAGACGATCTCGCTGCGGCGCAGAATATTCGGGAATGACTCGGCGGCAGTGAAAATTAGCTTCTCGACATACTGTTCACGCACGTCGGAGCTGCTGGTGTGTCGCCTTGACGTGGAAGAGAATCGAGCCGGGTCGGAAATCAGCAAGTGCTCACGAACAGAATGAGGGACCTTAGACCGCTGATAAACTGGGTGAGCAACGTCGCGGTGGGCGCTAACGCTGGTAATCTGCAGGAACTGGCCCTCGTAGTCGGGGATCTCGCCAGAAGACATAATCTGTGCTGTAGGATGCTCTCTTTGCATGCGGTCAACAAAAGAAGCCATGCGTTCACTAGCTGATCCTTCAAAGATGAACTCCTTGTCACGCAGGCTGGCGGGGAATCCAAGACCCTTGTAGACAACTCGGAAATAGCGCGGGAATTGCTTTCCGCCCTTGGCGATGAAGTCGTAGATACGTGCCATTGAGCTCTGGGCCCGAGACAGCTTGGCAAAGTCCATCGTGGTGCTTTCGTAGTGCGCAGCAAGCTCCTTATAACACGCGAGAGCAGGTGCCCAGGCCATAGCGTTCTCAAAGTGCTGGATGACAGAGAAGTATAATGCCTCCTTGCGCTCGAATGCGGTCTGCTCGGGGAAGGTTGGGGTAAGAGTCTCAGGGAGAGCTTTGTTGAGGTCCCATTCGTAGAGATCGGCGTGGAATTGAAGAGCAAGGCCAGCTTCAGTAAAGTTACCAGCAGCCGCTTGAGCATCAGCAAGTTCATGGACGTAACGAATGAAGATATCTTCGCGACCCATATCCTTCATGTACTCCATGAGCTTAAGGGCATGCAGACTTTGGGTGGATGCGCTACTCTGAGAAGCAACCAGGAGATCGAGCAGCTCGTCGACAGTAGAGATGAGACCCTTGACAGCATTGAAAAGACCCTCGTCGGAATCTGCGTCGCCCTCGAACACATCCAACAGCTCAGTAATGAAGATCTTCTGGCTCACGCTTTCGCTCATTTGCTTGGATTTGAACAGAGAGTCCAGGCTGGAGATGATTTCTGTTTCGACGATCGAAATATCCTCGTTCAGATCCCACTCGCTCAATATCATAGTGCGCAGAATGTGCACCGCAACATGACGCAGTCCTTCGTGGACACTCAAGCAAAGTCCGATGATGGGAGGGATCAAGTTAGGAACATATTGGACTTGGTAGCCGCCCAGCTTCTTCAAATCGAACCTTTCCCTTTCCTCGTCAGATGTGTCCCAGCCGATCGCTTCCCAGGTAGAATGCAAGAGGTCTGCACCCTGCTCGCGAACGTCGCCAGCGATCTTCCAGACTGCCCGTCGCTTTTGCTCGGGGAACGTCTCAGGGCAAGAGCGTCGCTGGAAATGACCTTCAGCAACGTGGTAAAGAAAGATTCCCAAAGTTTGGTGTCAAACTCGTCCGCGTCGTCGGGGTTCGGAAGAAGTTTATCAATCAAAAGCAACGCCAGGTGCTCGAGACTCTTGATTGCGGCACGGTGGTTATAAACATGAATACTGAACCAGGTCTCGGGGTAAGCTTCACAATCCAGGATGGAGTTGTGGGCCTCAAATGCTTGGGCAATGAAGGTTGCAAGCTCCAGGTCCTTCATGTTAGGCGTCTTGGGAGACACGATCTTGGCCAAAGCTGCCATGAGGGCAGACAATTCGACAAGAGACTCGTCGAATGGCTGCGGAGTCTTCGATGTCTTGACTTGGAAGGGGAATGCCTTGCTGAAAAGGAGAGATAGGTATTCGGTCTCGTCAACACCCTCCGTAGAGATAGCACAGTATGAGGCAACCACGCTCGGCATAAAGTCATATAGTTGAGCGTCTGGCTGTGTGAGCAATTGAGCCACAATCGCACTGCTGAGGCGGACCTGGTCCCGATACTGGTCAGAAACACCGGCCGTAGACCCCCAGTAGGGAGCAAGCCAGCCAACGCAACTAGAGATCAAGGTTTGTCGCTCCTCGCCTGATGAGAAGATCTCGAACTGTGTGTAGCTTTGGATGAGCACCAGCTTATAAAGCACAAGCATTCCAGTCACATCCTTGCACGAATCCATGAAACTCAGAGCAATCATAATCATCTCGTCCCGACCTAGAACCTTGGATAGCTCGGGCAGCCAAGAGTGGAAGTGCTGGACAATTAGAGTCTTGCTTCCCACCAGTGCCGGGGAGGAGTTCTTCATCAAATTCTCCATGGACTTGAAAATTGTATGTAAGTCTCGGTTGAAGGTTGATTGAACAGTTGTGATTCCAATGCCCTCTTCCTTCGCCTTTTGCTGTTCGCGAGCGTTGATGATAAACTTGAGCAAGTGCCGTCCCACCTTGAAGGCGGCACGAAGATTCCGCGACTGGTGCATATCAGTGGCAGCACTGAGAAGACGCAAAAAGCTTCGAATAAGACACGGGGTGACAAATGGGAAGTTGAACTGCTCATCGGCATAGTGATCGACCAAAGGACCGAGATTGAATCGTCGATCATGAACAATGCCAAGCACGGTTACCAGGTTGTTGAAGATAATATCTTCATATTCCTCATTGCCAGCATTCTCAACCAAAATGCCAAAAAGCGCATCAAAGACCCCGCGGAGCTGCTTCACGATCTCCATCTCTGGCACAAAGGGCAGCCGCTTCAGGGTATCAAGCACTTCGTCGACAGGGCGTTCTTTCCAGTTGAGTATGCTCAGAATGATCTGATCCTGGGAGTACTCTGTACTGCACAGGTGAGTCTCGAGGCGCAAGGTTGCCAGGGGACCAGTGATCGCTTCATCCTTGGCGGCTTCATTTTTACCCAGCGAGCTCCACGGAAGATTCAAATAGGCTCCCTTTCCATTCTCCATGCTTGAGGTCTGCTTATCGTATGCGTGAAGCAAAAGCGAATGGCTTCCATCCCGAATAAATGCTTGCTGGTCCCAGAGGGGCATCCAAGCTAAAGCGAATGGGAACTCTGGCGCATCCGCAACACTCATGATTATATGCGATCCTGGAATTCGCTCGGTCGGGATCTTGAGACGAATGGTCTGGTTCCAAGCGGAACCGCGCTCGGCAATTGTAGTCCGCCAGGCTGTATGTGAAATAGGAGCTGAAGAAGGGAAGACGCAGCGGTCTACCCGTGCACCAGCAGCATCCCGTACCTCCAGGGTAAGTTGAAGATTATGAAGTCCAGTAAGGAAAGACAAAGGGATCTGGCCGGCAGTGGGATGGGAGAGTAAAGCATCCGGGGGCAAAACCGTTTGTGATAAAGTGACATAGATATCAGATCGAGGTTTTGTTGGGGCTTTGGAAAACCCGATGCGTCGGGTCTGAATAACATCGTGAAGGATCGTGGGGCTTTGGCGAACAAGGTCTTCGGGGTCGGTGCTTGCGAAGGGGTACAGGTGAACATGTAAACGCGCGGCTGGTCCAGTACGCACATAGCGTCCAGTGGGACTGGGAAGCAGATGACGGAGAAGCTTATCAAAGCCATCGGGATGCCCTTCGCCCTCCTCACCATCTCGGGGCGCAGACCAGATATTGATCACCTGCTCAGTATCGCGCTCTTGCCGAAGGACCGGGGATACTTCCAGAATTCCGACACCGACTGTACGAATGGCATTGGAGTCTTTAGCGGTGGTGGGCTGTGGATTCGCCACCTCCTTCGCACTCGAGGAGCTGCTAGATGATCGTGGGACTCCTTGGGCAGCGGGCTTGCTGGGCTGATCGAAACTGTTTCCAGTCCGTGTCTTGGGAGCCCACATCATGCTCCGACGTGTCCGCAGGCTTCCCTTGACCGAAGGTTGAACACCCCCCCCGCTGCACCTGCCTTGGGAGATCCTGGGCCATCTCTGGAAATCGAGGATCGTGATGCCGGTGTGCTATCAGCTGAGGTGCGCATCTCGGGGGCCCGCACTGAGGCAACGAGGTATAGCTGGCGTCCATTGGCGGATCCATCTCCAACGTCGGTTGCGGCGAGCTCAGTGAATAGTGTCTTCAACTTGTTGCTCTGGGTCAGGCTAACAAATTTGTCTGGAGATGGTATGTCCAAGTTGTACGTTTCGGATAATGGGCTGAATGACCCTGCGTCGGACCGCGAATAAAGCTGCATTCCAAGAGAAACCGGACCCGTAGTATTTCCAGACAAAGCGTTTATTTCCAAGAGAAGATGGTGCAACGCGGTCGAATCGGAGCTGACGGTAGGACGGCTCTCAAGCATGCTCATTTCAGACTGGAGTTTGGCCAATTGAATTGCAGAGTCGTCGCCGGTCAGCAGTCGGCCTCTTTGATCCGGGTCGCGAACGATGACATCTCCGCTCAGCATTTTGTTGGCCTTGACGAGTTTCCACACAGTCTCGTCCCGGAGTGTTTCCTTTTCCTTATTCGTCAGCACGTTGTGCAGTAATTGTCGTCTGGCGAAATCCAATTCCTGCACGATTGTCGACATCTCTTCCAGTACGTCATATTGCTGAGCCAGAAGCAATTCGTGCAAGTTCGTGGAATGCCATTCGCGGAGACATGAAGCGATCTCATCTACCAGTGGCTCGGTGAGAGATGTCGGGGTCTCGTCGCCAATCTTCAGCATGGGCACGGGTGCGGCTGGCTTCGGCGCATTAGGGTCGCGGGGTGCAAAAGTCACCGGTGTATGGGGAATTGATCCTGTCGGGTATGTTTGAAAAGAGCGCGGGCTTGCGTGATCTGGATCGTCTGTTTTATGTATCGTAATTTGTGCGGGTTTGCCTTTCTTCGCGACCACGACGTCCGACACTTCACCGCCAGCCTGAGAGTCGGCCATAGAATAGGCCATGCTGTTCCGAGCCAATTGGTCGGCCTCGAAGCCAGACAGGGTCAGTCCATCTATACTCTTTTGATCGCCATTCAGGAGGGCCTTGTAGCCATCGCCATCGCCAAGCACTTCCCGGATCTCGACACAGTTCCGCGGGAAAATTCCGGAGAAAACACGGGCTTCGAGGGTCTGGCCCTTGGTACTCGATAAGCCTGCGAGCAGTGATGGTGGCGCAACAAGATATCCTCGACACCACTCGCCATCAGAGCCACCTTGTTCAATGATGTACAATTCGTCGCCGAGTTCCAGGGGGGAGGTCCGCCGGGGAGGAGGGGTGGAACGGGTATATAGCCACCGCAAAGGCAATGCGAGGCAGCGGCCGCCAGGGCATAGCTGCGGTGTGCGGTATTGACGAGGCGTGATCTCAGGTTGAGACAACAGTCTCTAGAGGTGCCAATCCCCGCGGAATGTGGGTTTGGGGTGGACGTTCCGAACCGTTTCAAAGCAAAGGAGGCAGGGATTCACGATGAAGAATGTTGGATCGGTCAATGGCACGCGACATGCAGTGGGGAAATTTAGGTTATCGGAGCGATCGAGGAGAGAAATGAGAGGAAAAGAATGTAGGCGAAAGCGAATTGAAGGTATGCGACAGCTGGAAAAGATCTAAAGGCTCATGATTAGAGAGTGCTGGGGGGGTCGGATGGGGCTGATGGCTCGCAGGCTGGGGAGGGGGGCCGAAAAGCGTAAGGGTTGGGGAGTGGAAAAAAGCAAAAGCAAAAGGATGCAGATGCGACTTGGGGAGAAACGAGGAGGTTTCTTGCCAATTGCCAGCCACGCGCGGGCAGTAGCGAAAGTCGTAACTCGTAACTCGTCAGGGTCCGAAGCATTGGGGTAACCGTGCCCCCTTTGCGAAACCTTTCGCGTAGTGGAGCCACGACGAACGCCGGCGAAAACAGTCAAGTAACAGTGGGGAAAGAAACAAAAGGGGAAGGAGGACTCACTGAAAGAATTAAGAAAAAGGGGATAGAGATAGGAGAGGAGAAAAGATCAAAAGCAAAGGACCAAAAGAAGGAATAGGAAAGATTTGGGAGGAGAAGAGGGGAGGAAAGAAGATGAGAACGATCAAAGAACGAAAATCGCCCGATCTTCACTTTCCACTTTCCCCCCACACACCCACACTACACTACACTACACTACACTACACACTACACGAGAATTGGACACGCCACGTCTACTCGTACTGACTACTGACTACTGACAGTTACCGGTGCGCCTAATTGCAGATCTGGGCTCGAGTGAAAGGCAGCACTTCATGGAATGGTTAGCTCCCCTGCCTGAGTGGCTGCCCAGCTGCAGCAGAGGAAAGTTAACCCCAGCAAGGTTGCTACTAGAATAATAGTACAGAGTATAGTAAATAGCTACCCAGATGGTGCCTTTTCAAGGCAATGCCAGCTGGTCATTTTAAAATTACTCGACTAAACAGAGTACGAGGACCCTAGCTAAACCTATTGGAGATAACGAACTAGTTGCTATAGTCCGTGGGATGGAGAAAGAGTAAGATTACACGGCCACAGCTACTAGTACTAGGGTTCCCTGCTAGGAGTATCCAGAGGTGGATCTCTGTACAGCCTCGTCATATAGAATACATGAATATATGAATATCTCAAGTATTCCTGCTATCAAATTGCTCTACTCCAGGGCTAATATCATCACGCACAGACCAGGGTGTGCCCCTGAGCGGAGGCGTAAAATGAGGCCTCGAACCAGTGGGCCCCAGTGAACCAATCATTGCATCGCGCCGATCATATCTTAAATTCCAATCCACGAGTATGGATGCTGGAGCCTCGATATACATACATGTACATGAACATGCTGTCAAAACCAATACGCCCAGCCAATGACCCAATGCTGACTTCCAACAAAATAAGAGGGAGAGAAGAAGAAGAAGAGAGAAAAAAAGAAAAGGTACAAGAGATTAGCATGAGCACATAAGATCAATCAATTCCCTTATTTCCGGAACATCGCCGCCGAGTCCTCCTTACGCCACTCCAGCTCCAACTGCCCTTCATACACCGTGTCGATAATGCGACGCGTGCGGTCCCAAGCATCCTCGTACCGCCCCTCGCATTCGCGCAGAACCTTAATCACCAGGCTGCGGCTCAATCCAGGGTCATCCGCATCGCCAAAATGCTTCTCCACCCGCTTCTTGAGCATTTCAATGCCGCGCTTGATTTCCTTGGAATCGTACGAGGAGAGAACCTTCTTAGCCACGGCCCGAGAATGACTGGTACGGGAGGCGACGTCGGCAGTACTTCCATTGGCCTGGATCGTTTCAATCGACGAGATGAAATCGATCAGTTTGCCGAGCGGTCGGTGGATCACGGCGTCGAGGTAGAGTTTCATATGCTCGGCGAAATCTTGGTGGGCCTTGTCCACCCAACGTTGGAGAACGGGCAGGTTATGCACATCAACCTCCTCCGCGTAGTGATTCATGTTCTCGATGAGAAGAATGTGGTGGTTCAGAATCTCTTTGTCTTCAGGGTCTCCGGCGCTGGCAGAGACACCTGGTGGCTGCCCGGGAGCTTCCTTGGCGATGAACTTGAGCGACTCCCACATGGCTCGGTTGATACGCTCATAAGCGTCATTAACGCTGACTCGAATGTCACAGAAGTCGCCCGATGGCTGTGACAACATGTTCTCAACCGCAGTCGAGAAGTGGGGGAAAACGCGCATGAAGGAGATCACGCCCTTTCGCTTGTTGATTTTGACTTTGGTGTCCTCCACGCCACGAATCTGATCATCGACAAATCGGTTGAACAGTCCCATCAGGCGAGAGTGCATTTTTTGAAGACTGTGGATGATGAACTCTTGATTGGTATCGTCGAGGTCGGCCATGGCCGTCTCGATGGCAAATAATATTCCGATTCCTTGCCTGGGGATTTGTTAGAACCAGAAACCTCAAGGGGGAAAACACGGGGAATGGTAACAGGGAAGTGGAAACTTACATAGGGTCAGCCTGAAGAGCCCAATCCACCATGCTTTGGATATCATTTGGCCAAAAGGAATAGAGTTCGTCCATCACTCCCTCAACCCGCTTTGCCATTGCACGATCCGGGTCGTGGGATTGCTTTGCAGAGAAATCTGGGCAGAGTCGCTGTTCCGGAGGGTGTGAAGCAATAAGATCAGAGTATTCGGTGGTAGCAAGGGAGTCCAGATGGAAGAATTGAACAACAAAGTTCTGCTCCTCGGTGATCATGTTCAAGGTCTCACGCAACGATCCGGCAAACGCCTCACACGGCTCAATTTTACCCTTGGCAACAGTCTTTTCGCCAGAGCCCTGCCGGTGTCCTGCGGCAGCTCGAACCGTTTTGCCTCGTCGAACGGTAAGTTTTCGAGCGGCCATAGTGATGCCTTCGCCTTCCTTTTCCTTCTCTTGGTGCGTGAAGAGAAGCTCTTGCTCATCTCCTGTAGGCTTGCGAGCCTGCCTCTTCCAGGCCAGATTATTATCACGGAACTCATTTTGATATGATGACTTGGACTGCTGCTCGTATTGGTGAAGCAGACTATGCCAGTCCGATGTGCTCACTTCTCGAGCGAACAGCATGAGAGGGTTGAACATCCAAATCTCGCCACGGCCTGCCTGTCGCGCCGCGTTGTCCAGTTTCTGAGGATCCTTTGAGACCGAAGACATAGACTCTGTGCGTTTCTGCTCTGCCAGCTTAAATGCAAGTGACATGAATTGCTTGAGGCGTTGCAAGAATGCCAGTGCGGTGGAACGGTACTCCTCCTTCTTTTGTTTAATTGCCCGCATCTGGCCAATCTCCGTATTAGCGTAAACACCAACACTGGCGTCTGCTTGCCGCTGCTTGTTTTGCCCAATATCGGCATCGATCATGAGCATAGCCTTGTAGAGGGTCGACAACGCATTTTCAGTGCTCTTCAAGCCGTCCATGTTGCTTAGAGTGGCCTCTTTGAGTGGGCGCATCTCAGTGGAGGAGATGGAAAGCGTCTTGAGGAGATTCTGCAATTCGCTCTGCAAGAGCTTCTGGTTTGCAGTCTGCACCTGCAAACCTTGCGACTGAGCTTCGATATACGATACGTCTTCATTAAGGGTCTGTCGAATGTTAGTGTATAAATTCATGAGCAGGGCGTGAGTGCCACTTACGTTGAGTTCGTGTGAGTAAAGCGTTAGTAGTCCGTCTAGCTCCTCACACTCTTCGATCGTTTTGTCGATAAGAACTGCCAGTTGTTCCACTTTCCCTTCTTGCTGCTCCAGATTGCCCAGCCAACTTGTTGCTTCGACACGTCCAATCTCACGACGCACATCTGCCTCCAAATCCTCAATCTTTTGCTCGTCACTCAACCGTCCGTTCCAGCCGAGATCGGTAAGGATTTCGTCAAAGTCAATACCACGACCATCTAGCACAGTCGCGTCAATCCCAAGGATTTGACAGTATTTGAGGGTGTGGTCTTCACGGCGTCGGCGTCGACGGCCTTGAGCTGCCGGAGATGGAGTTCGTGAACGAGTTTCCACCCGACCAACTTCCGTCAATGAGTCTTTAGATCCTTCACTGGGAAGCGGGAGAGCTGCTGCCTCCTCTGTTGCGTGGTCTGTAACCTCAACAGTGGGTGTCTCCACCTTTCGAGGTTGCTCTACAGCCGCTGGCGTTGGAGGGAGTGGTGCTGGTGGTGTTGATGCCGGTAATCCCTTCTCCGTCGTATCACCCACGGGACTCTTGGGTGTATCGCTATCAGTGCGCGAGAGGAAAGGGGCCGGGACGACGCCGGTGATACCATCTGGCTCAGGACCCTGTGCTTGCCCTTGTTGCTTTTTGGCCGCCGCAAGAAGCCGCTCACCAGCTCCACCAGGTCGTGGCTTGAAAGCGCCATGCAGATTTGCAGCCTTACGGAAGGCACCTGCGATATCTTTGGCCGACTTCTTCTTAATCATAGGGCCTAGCCCTGGACGGTGAGACTCCTCACCTTCCTGTGTCTTGTCAGATGGGGTCGCCGAGGCCGGTTCTTTCGGGGTCTCCACGGCCGACTCTGTAGCCGGTGCAGAAGTGTCGTATGCTGCCATCGCTTCTGCTGCCACTGCCGGGTCTACAAGCGGTGGAGCAGGTGCTGCCTCTGTTTCAGGGAGAGGTGGTTCCTTCGGTTCGTCAGCGAGTACCATCGGAGAAACATCTTGAGGCGCATTCTGTTCCAGTGGTGGTTGCGGCGGTTTCTCCATCGCGGGTGTCTTGTCTACAGGTTCACGATATGGTTTATACTGCACAGGGCTTGGACCTGCACCCTGGGAATCACCTGCAAGTGAAACCGGAGTAGTGGGCCGCAGAGCATCAGCACTAGGTTGTGAATCCAGATGTTTAGCCTCGACAGGTTGTGCTGCAAGCGTTGAGGGTTGACCACTGCGTGATGAGGATGGCCGAGCCTCATCTTGCATGCTAGGACGGCTTTCGTCTGTGTCGAAAAAGGTCTTTGGTTCTGCGCGCTGGGGTGGGGGGATGCTAGGTGGCGGATTTTGAGGTCCAAATGGAGAGGGAGCAGGAGGTCTGGAACCCGTAGATGGGCGTGACATCTGTTCTCGGCTTTTCTGGGATCGAAGAGTCGGCTCCTCGGACGGTTTTCGCCTAATTTCACGCGATCCATCGCGGCTAGGATCACGGCTTCCATAAGAAGACGGCGGTTGGGCGGGAGGTGCAACATCTGGGGGTGGAGCAGGACCACTCCGTGATGGCGGCGGTACTGGAGATCCTGATGATGCTGTTCCGACTAGCGCTTGCCGTTCCCTCTCATCGAATCCGATCAGATTGGGAACTTTTCCACCGGTATATTTCTTGTAGATCTTGACTAGGCTGCCGATAAAGAACTCTTTTTCCTTGGCACTCCGAGCATGCCAGTAATACGGTTTTCCCACAGTCACCAGGAATCCAAGGGTTCCGGCCCATTCCTTATGTTGTTGCTCGACGGGTGTCCTTGGGACGAATGCGGTATATGATTGGATTGAGGACAGGTCATCAAGCATCCACGTCTTGCCAATTGAGAATGATCCATCATTATTTTCACGCGCTTTATGCATTCGAACCCTCCCAGACTTCCGGACCGAAACAATGATCACTCGGGGCTTTTTATTTTCAGGCGCCACGTTTGGCGGGGCAGGGGTAGAAGGGTGCGTGCCATCCTCCGTGATGCGAACGTGCGTAATATAGGACTCGTTCACTAGAACACAGTATTGGTCAGCTATGATCATCTGGGTAATGGGGCAATGTCTCCATATGAGAAGCAGTTCGCGACAGCAGGAAAGCTATGGGTATCCGGGGACCCCGTAACATCACCGGCATCATACATCGCCATCCCTTAGGGGGGCAAAGGGAGTTTGCTCCCTTTGAAGGTAGCAAAAGCTCAAGGCAATCACTTACAAGTTCCATCGGTATCTTTCTTCGAGTAACAACTCTGAATAATGCGTTTCTTCTCGTCTTCGAACTTCTCGGCTCTCGACATGGAATCAGATGCGCCATTGCGAGGGTCGCCCCCGCGTCGTGGGTCTGCCGGGGGAGGCGGGCGGGGACGATTAGGACCGTTCATCACGGCGTCTTCTCCGAGGTAGGTGACACCAATATCAGTCGTGGAATCCAGAAGATCAAGGGGACATGATCATGTAGTCAAGATCGGCCAGCCGAGGAACTCCCGCGCGCACGGTGCCTACGCCCGGTTTGTGAATTAGTAGTTGATTAATAGCGACCTGTGCACACTTTTCTGACACAGCTAGCAAGAAGGCGCAAGAGGACAAAGTCGACACAGGGCTAGGTGGGAGGTAGACGGAGGGTTGTTCTGGGGTTAACTTGAACTCATCTGTTTGGGGTAGCGGGCAGGGCGGAGCTCCCAACGTGGAAGCGGGTTACCTAAGGCCCATGGGTCACCAAGTTAAATGATCCGCTTTCAACGGTCTTGCAACAATGTCTGATGCAGTTTTTGATGTGAATATAATTGTACAGAAGATTTTCACATTTTACATTTTACATCTTTTTTTTCTACCCGCAGACTATGCAATCCATTTTCTTTGTTTTTAGTTAATCGGAGGTATTTTGTGCTGCCTGAGGCATTGAACTTGTATAGTGCATGTAATTTGGCAGAATAAGCCAATAGTGTGCTCCTTCTCCTTCACCGCCCATTCGGTATGCTTTTTTTTCTTTGAGACCCGTTCCTGAAGATTTCCAGACAGCCAATTTTGGTCCACCTGCCTCTCTTTCACTTGATCCTCTCCAGTCCTCCTTTCGTTTGAAATACTGGAATCTTCACAATCAGCGACCATGGGCAAGAACTCGGCTTCCGTCAAGAAGACCTCGACTAAGAAGGTAAGCGCAAATTCAGAATCACCCGCATCATCTCTATGATCGACAACAAAGAATTTCACTAACAGCAATTACGATTGGCCAGGTCGAGTCTTCCAAGTCTACTATCTCCCCTCAACTTCTTTCGTCTATCGCGACCTTCCTGTCCGATAATGGCTTCTCCAATGCCAGTGCCGCCTTCGTCAAAGACCTGAAGAAGACAGGCCAGGCCGCTGATGCGCAGAACGCCCCGTCTCTGCTGGAGTTATTCCAATCCTGGGTTAACCAGGCCGAGAAGAAGGAGTCTTCTACTTCCAGCGACAGCGACAGCTCGAGCGATAGCGACTCCGACGTTGAGATGCAAGACGAAAAGCCATCCCGCGCCTCTCCTGCTCCTTCTTCCTCTTCTTCTTCTTCTTCTTCTTCTTCTTCTTCTTCCTCCTCCTCCTCCTCTTCTTCTTCCAGCTCTGACAGCGATGCCGACGATGAGGATGAAGATGAGAAGGCCCCCGCGCCCGTTGTGAAGAAGCCTACCGGTGTGAAGCGCAAGGCCGAGTCGAGCAGCGAGTCTTCCTCTGACTCGAGCTCTGAGAGCGATGCTCCCAAGGCCAAGAAGGCTAAGAAGGCCAAGTCCTCTTCCAGCTCTTCCTCCTCTAGCTCTTCTTCCGACTCCGACTCTTCTAGCTCCAGCAGTTCTAGCAGCTCTAGCTCCAACTCCAGCTCTAGTTCTAGCTCCAGCAGCGACTCTGACTCTGATTCCGAATCGTCTGAGTCCGAAAAGGAGACTACCAAGAAGGCCGATTCCAAGGCTCTGAAGAAGGCGACCAAGACTCCTCTCCCGGAGTCTTCGAGCTCTTCTGACGACAGCTCTGATGATAGCTCTGACGACCAGGCTGGAGGTGTCAAGGTTGCCAGCGCTACATCTTCGGATACCAGCGCCACTATCTCTGCTGATGAGCCGGCGAAGCAGGCTGTGGAGGAGCAGAGCTCTTCTTCTAATGCCAGCCCTGCTCCCGGCAATGGCTATGCGAAGAAGAAGCACACCGGTGCCAAGCCCACTCCCCTCGCTTTGCTGAGCCAGCAAGACTACAGCCATCTCCCTTCCAACACTTATGTCGCATATGATTACGCCGACCGCGCCTACGCCGATCTATCAGTCACTCGTGGAAAGGGCTTTACCAAGGAGAAGAACAAGAAGAAGCGCGGCTCTTACCGTGGTGGTCCCATTGATATGTCTGGTGGCAAGTCTTTCAAGTTTGATGATTAAACGATATTCTCGATACCCATCAACAAATAGGTCACTCACGATGACCTCAAATTAGAACAGAGAGAACCATTTGCTTTGAGCCTGTTGGATCCATCATTGCTCCAGTTATGCCCCAGTGGAGTTGCTCTTTAACTATCGTGGCTTCAACGAGATCCAATGGTTTGCTTTCTCGCTATCCTTTGGATTCTCTTGGCCCCCTTTTTACACAGCACGGCGCTTATGGAGCTATTTGAAAATTTGGTCGTGCGATTTGCATGTTGTATGTTGTTTTTAAGCTAAAAGTATACCACAAAAAGTTTGATAGATCAAGTTTCCGGTAGCATTCATCATAAGCACCGATCTGGTGGCAGTGTCCGAGTCTATATGCATGTCTGGCTGGTGGGACTTTCCTGTCTCGCTTCCGCCAACGTATTATGATGGCGCTTTGCTTTCTTTTTTTCTCTCAAGTTGGTTGAAAGGTGAGGGGTAGGCCACTTAAGAGGAGACTCCTACTGAATGAAGGGCAACAATGAGAGAAGGCAAGCTTCCTGTAGCGATAGAAAATATCCATTCACTTGCACTAAAAAATCATTCAGTAGCTCACGACTAATTCCATGGAAGAATCATTTCCAGGACAAAAGCCTTAGCAAATTTGCGGGCGTAGAGGAAATGTCATCACACGCATTATCTGGCAAAGGAATCCCCATCAGTCGAGATGTAGCCTCCTGCGCAGTACGAATTCCATAACTAAGATCCACGGAACTGTACCGCGGAATTTCAACAAACTGGCCAACGAAGCCAAAATTCAATGACTTTGCAGGTACAGTCTCAGGGCGGTCGGTCATCGAGCGGACAAGTAACATGGAAGTCATCCGTGGCATGAGACGAGGAATGGTCATGGTGTGGTGGACCAAGGATGGGTATCCAAGATGTCCAAGCACTTCCGCGAGGATTTCGGCACCAGAACATTGTTCCATCAATTTTTTAACATAGTTTCCCTTGCGTCGCGGGAGCAACATGAAGCCCCAAATCACGTAGGTATCGCTCGGCTGTTGGCTAAAAACGGGCTGAGTAGGTATGCAAAGGCGTAACCTCCAGTTGCTTTCTGGTAGCATTATCATGGCTCCAGCTTCTCCATCTTCCGCTATGGAAGCCAAAAATTCCCAAAGGGAAGGGTCTGCGGTGGTGATTGTGAAGGAAGCTAAGACCGATTCGTTCATGCGAGTGCAAAAGTTGTAGGGATTGCCAAATGTGAGCTGATTAGTCTCAAGCTCTAGCCACAGTGCCCAATTCTCATCAAGCTCGTCGGTTGGCTCAATGCGTTTGCAAACAGGATGGTGAGTATTTGTACCGGTTGATGAGCCTGAGACCGTGGAACCCAGCATAATAATAACTATATCTTGTGTGTTTATCTCCTTTGTGATTTGGAATCCATTTGCAAGAAGATTCAATCTGGATACCTTTTGCCGGCCGTCCCGGACAGTGGTAACAATGATATCCGTGACTTTGGTATCAAAGAGAAATTCCACTCCTAAGTTGTAAAGGTAGAGGTATATAGGTCGAAATATAGATTCGTTTTGGTAATATCCAGTGATATCCAAGCATTTCAGGATACTCAGGTAAGGATATTGCCTGAGATATTGACGAAGAGCTCGTCTGAATTCTATGGCACTGTGCCAAGGTTGGAAACCAAATCTAGTAGCGTGAGTTCAAGTTCAGCTCAAACAACAGAGCACTGGCTTACTGAGCGGCCCATGTAGTCCAAAATATGCTTTGGAAGAAAGTTTTGGACATGAAATCCTTGATTTGATTCCTACCCAGGCGTTTCTCGCTTCGGAGCATCAACAGGGCTAAATCGACCCGGTTTTTGACACTCAAGCCCAGCTTACTGGCTTGTAAGTTTTCTTTGCTTCTTCCTTTTTGAACGATGAATTTAGTTCGGTGATGCCCATTTGCAGGCATATGACTCGCTTCTGCCTTTCTGATCTCTTCCAGCACTGTAGGGTCCTGAGTCCTCCCCGAGGGAATGGACGCCAGAAGTTCGTTCAAAGGGGTTCCGATTGGAACAGGTAGGCATCCTGCAAACTGATCGTATCCCTGGCCGGAGTCACCCATATCGTGCAATGCTGCTCCCATAGATACGTGTGAATCCAAAATGTGCACATTTTGGGGTGGCAGCTTGCCGCGCTGTATCAGATAAACTGCCGATGCGAGAGATGCAGTCCCGCTACCAAGAATCCAGGCATGGGTTTCGTTTGGAGACCTTTTATTTTGAGTGTGTGTCCCGTCCATTAATACCTTATGTGATCGGGGAATAGCCGAAAACTAGTTAGAAGGCACTATCGTTGTCTTCACTCGTTCGAGCGGCTACTATATTATACGGTCGGTATAGTATGGCGGGTCATTAGAACTAGTAATATCATCCATGGATTAAGCTGTAATAGCTCACTGGGTGTGTAATAAAATTACGGCTGGCCAATAAATACTGAGAGTGGCTTCGAGTGGTAACGTCAGCGGAACGCCGGCCATCCGGCTAGACCAGCCGAAGAATACTACGCATTCAGCGAAAAAATAACCAGTTTATTCCTGCCATTCTTCATCAAGAAAAGCCCCCCCATGATCAGTTCTTGGGGTATATTTATCTGTTAATGCCTACATGTGCTGGAACCTTGGTTTTCTAGAAATTCTAATCATAGATCACCTGCTCCCAGTTCATATTCAACTTTTGGTATAATAGTAAGCCATGATGACATTGGGTTACAATACCAGTTCTCTTTCGCTCTGTACACTAATTATCATACGTATTACGACCAACTTTTCAATCCGAGTTAACTGAAATGGCTTCCCAAACACAGAATGGAAACTCGGAAGAAGTGACCCATGAAAAGACCACGGCTGTAGATTTCCTGATCAAGACGGGCACTATTATAAAAAACATCGAAAAAAAATCTGGAGCGAAACCGGCTCGACAGGAAGAAAATCCGCGAGCTCTTGAAGCAATATTACCTTCGCGCCGAATCGGATGGGAGACTAATGAACGCTGCAAGACAAGAGGACCAATGTGCCAGCCGAGGTTTATTTCTGGCATACACTCACATGGAGTTACTATGCTGGCTGGCGAAAAATAACTACAATATTCCATCGTCGTCAATAAGATGGTTCAGCTTGCGACAATTTTCCCCAAAGTACCGCATACCGCCCTTCTGGTCCTCGGCAAAACCGTCGGAATTGAAGAGTCTGTTGGATCATATCAGGCGGACAGCTGCTTTGGTTTATGCGGATCTTCAAGCCCACCATGTACGTCAAACAGAACACGAAATGCAATCCAGTGCTGCGCTGACTTAAAGCAAGATTTCCGTCCCTGAAACTGCCATCGAATATCCTAGCGTCCCGGTAGGACAGCCGGCAACTCAACCAACAGAATGTACATGGGCCCCTACCTACCCCCTTTATAAAAAAATTTTGAACTGACGATATTTGTGATAGCTTATAAAGAGCTCCTTGAGCGAGGTCTTAAGGCGCAGAGGTCTCTTGAGGGATTGGTTCCGACCTGAGAATTTGTAGGAATTTTCCGAATTCTGTTGGTTTCTTACTCTTTTTCGTTTTCTTTCTTGTCTGATGATAATATTCAATTTTTTTTTCCCATGGACTGCTTTCTCAATGTCATGGTTTAATTTGGTCGCGTGTCTGGCTACTTCGGTTTTATCCTCTTAAATGAAAACAACATAATGCGGTCTGAAAATGCTGATCATTGGCGAAAAAGAAAACAAACCGCTTATTTAGCCCGCGTAAATCCAGCAGCAAGACATCTTTGACTTTATCCGAGTCTTGAAACACATGAACGTCGTGTCTCCAGAATAATTTATTCATGGGTTCGACGCCTGGTCTAGACCATGGATTCAACACGGAAAGGCCAAGGTATTCTTGATTATGGGTTTCTTTTCGTTCATCTGAAGTATGCTATACCGGATTCCGATATGTATGTCTCAAACTCGCCCGTATATGCAGTCATTCAGTAGTGTAAAATCATAGATCTAAGAGTACCTCCGTGTTTTAATCCCGCCTTCTCCATGCACCAGGTTTCGCGAGCGGCTCCCATCGCCTATCCCAGCCAGTCACCACCTCATTCTCCAGGTCATTGGGCATCATATACCAGTATCCATGCTGCGTACGCAGCTTAGAAGTGGTAGTGTAATCATCCTGAGCCGGGCGTTCATAGCCCGCAATTTTAAACACTTGATCTTCGGCGGCCGCAACACCAGGCTGTCCTTTTTCCACGCCTAGACCGAGGTTATAGTCGTACCATTCCTTCACTGGGCCAGTCAAGTCGTCTGTAGAGGCAAAATCAAGGCGGATGATACCGTCCACAACGCCAGTATACACAGTTGGCGAGGATGGAGATGGAGTGGACATGCTGTAGATGGGGCCACGATAGGATTGACGGCCCCTCCTGTGAGGGCGAGGAATATGGCGTGTGAGATCTGGTGGGAGATTGGCGGATAGAAACATGGAAAAATCCATACTTGGTCGATCTTCTCTATTGCTTTTCTTTGATGCCTGTGGCTTTTGCGCTTCTTGATAATTGTAGCTTCTCCCCATGCGCAAGTCGAACATTTTCACCAAACCATCACCACTAGACCCAGCCAAAAAGCGATCATTTCCAATCGGATGCACGCAATACACAATATTTCCATCTGTTGTATCGCGATATGTTTTTTCGTAAGATCTCGGGGAACGAAGATCGTGAAGTCTAGGGTGATGTTAGTAACTAGCAGTTTTTGAATTTTCAGCCGGCTCTAGATATGGAGAGCAACAAACCGTATAGTACGATCACCCCATGCAGCAAGGAATATGTTACCCGGGGACTCGATGTGAGATTGTAGAGTATCGAGAGGCGCAATCGAAGTAACACTAGCATGGACGCGATTGATGCGCTCCTCTATGTCCAAAGAATGAACATCTACCACCCGATCAAGGGAGACCCCATCAGGAGAAATTGTTGAAATCGAAAGAGAACTTTCCATTTCTCCGGTCGCCACTGCGACTTTCGAAGGGGATAGCAGTTTTGAGTAACGACTACGCCCTAGGCTGCCCGTCTCATTGCGGATCCAGGCGAATGCTTCGACCTCCTCTTCATCACTGACGGTGTTGTAGAATGCAATCGATCCATCGTCAAAGTGAGCGGATAGTGTCGAGTGTGCGCCTTGACTGACATCTGTTCTGTCAAGTTCCAAGCCATATGTCTTGAACCTTTTCCGATACTCATGGTGTTCTTGAGTAGGAGAAATCGCAAGGTGGATAATGTCGCCCCTCCTGCGGCCAAATACCAAATTTTCTGTATCGCCCTCCTTGCTCGACTCTGCTCGCATGAGATGCACGCCACAGATATCCTCGTAGCTACTGACATCTTCCAGGTCATTGAAAAGAACCCAATTCTCTTGTGGGTTCTTGCCCGAATGCTTTACCCGCACAACGAGTTGATGTGCCGCACCCCACGCGAGCACTTCTTTCCGATCTGCCCAGGCCGCACCATTCCATATCTCGTAGGAATCAATTGCAGGCCTGTAACCCAAGGTAGGGATTGTCTCTGCGAGTCGTCTGTTGACAGCCGATGCGAGTGACAGTTTCAGGTAAGACGATAAAGCGGCCAATTACGCCAAGTCTGTCTAGGGCACGCGACCTCGACGTGAGAGCACACGCTGCATCCTTCCAGAACGCTGGTGCGGGGGTACAGGGAAATTTGCTTTGCACTAAGGCTCGGAAAAGTCGATACTCATCTGCGGAGATAATCTTGTACAGCCTGTGACAAGTTTGCGACAGGTTTGCCAATGCATTTGCGGTCGGTAAATAGATTGCAATGTGATAGATGATCTCCGATGGCAAATCGGAGAGCATGGCGAAGGATTGTCTCTTGATAGTTGGTTTTTTTTCTCTGTTGGAATTTCTTCACTGAGACTTGTTCATTGCTGGGGGTTTTACATGTATGCTTGCGTCCATTATTGTGATGGTGTTGGTGCTGTTGTGACTCAGGGCTCGTGTTGCGGTTGAAATGATCGTCAAAATCGAGCCGCAAGATTCAATGACTCTTCAATGACTCCTCAAAAATTAGGCAAGCAGCATACTTCAAATTTGAGACACAAACAAATTGCTTGCGAGGCTGCAGTCGATGTGCACAATGACGTTAATCCAGCGTTTGGCATAGTTCATCAACCTTGTTTCGCCCGCGGCTGAAGTCATTGAATTTCATGACTAAGCATCCGGAAAATTGCAGACCGCGCGCCATCGGCGTTGACCTTGACCTTCAACTCTCGAATTCAACCAACCCGCTCGTCGATTGAGGTCTATCCCACACAATGCCACCCAGACTCAATCTCTTTACAGCACAGAAGGCCGCGGCCGCTCTCCGCCAGCCCGCCTCGTTCGCATCTCGCAACGGCGCTTCACCTCTCCGATTCCGCGCCGAACAGTCCGCCTCGATTCAGACAAGATGGAACTCGTCCAAGGGTGGCAAGAAGGTCATTCCTCCTGAAGAGCAGAAGTTCCCGACTCAAGATCCTCTGCCCCACGTCAGCGAAGAGGCTGCCGAGGTCGATAGAATTATGAGCAAGGAGAAGAGCTGCGATGGACAACCCACCGCTCCCGAACTGGAGCAAGGAACCCCAGTCGAGGAGGTGAGCAGAACTTGAGAATAGCCACTCAAAGAATATTACTGACTCTGGATCCCATCTATAGATTCTTTCCCGTGACAAGGAAGGCATGAAGCACATGCCAAAGGTCATGCAAGACCAACTCAAGAAGGGCACCCGTTCGTTCTCGACCTCCGCTCGTAGCCGTCTGCCCGAGATCCAAAACTCCCAAGCTGAGGGGGATGCATCTGCCGCCATGCTTGCGAGCATGATCCAGGGAGTGGAAGAACAGGCAGCTGAGCGGATTCCAGGCTTGAAGTTCGCCGAGCCCGAGGCCCCGCGGGGGACATTGAACTTCCGGAAACGCTACGATACCATGCAGGACCAGTTCACCAAGATGCTGATGCAAGATGGCAAGCTGGCTCGCGCCCAAAAGGTCCGAGATATCTTTTCTATTGTGTTTCCGAACTCTGAACTGACCCTAAATCACTAGAACATGTCCATCATTCTGGATACTCTCCGTACCTCTTCCCCTCCCAATATCCAATCCCGCCGTCCTCTTCTCGGAGCTCCCCCCCGCTCCGCAACTGCCTCTTGATCCCGTCCTTTACCTCACCCTGATCGTCGACTCGGTGGCTCCCGTATTCCGCATTCGTCAACAGAAGGGTATTGCTGGTGGTGGTACTGCCGTGCAAGTTCCCCACCCTTGACCCTGCGCCAGCGCCGTCGCACTGCCATCAAGTGGATTATCGATGGCTCAGAGAAGCGTCGTGATGCGCAACTAGCGCAACGTGTCGCAAACGAGCTGATCGCGATCGCTGAGGGCCGTAGTGGCGTGTGGGACCGAAGGGACGGACAGCACAAGATTGGTATCTCTGGTCGTGCCAACTTGGGTCTGGCGCCCCGCCGTCGTTAATATAATCATTGAGTGCGTGCTTTTGTTTTTCTGGGTTGACGGTTTGAACATGGTCTTTCAGCAATCTTTCGACAATGTATATTATCTGTATTAGTTCAAGTTCGGTCATATGGAATCATGTATGCTTCACCGACTTGAAGCTACTACTAGTACCTTGAATTAGTACTACTAGTAAATCGATATATGTCTATGGTAGTATAGTAGTAACAGTACTACTAGTATCTTCATCCGTACTATTATTATCTCACTATTTACTATATTTTATGCATATTCCAGCCTATATTACATCCTAGTATACTATCAGCAGGGTCTTGCTTGATATAGCGTGCGGCTGATAGGCCACAGCCACGCTGACTCATCATCGAACTAATTTCAATACGGCAGGTAACGGTTCCTAAGGTCATCGCGAAAAAGGAGCTCTTGGCTTGCAAGCAGGGACCATGCTCATGTCCAGTCAGTGTCTCGGGGAATAATAGGAGAAGATATCTTGTCGAACGCGAATGCGATCAGCCGTGCTCACCACATTTCCAGCCTGACCATCAGTGCAACCCACAAAGCCGGCTCCAGCTGACCACCACACCCGCCCACTCAGTTTGCCTGGCCGCCCCCGCAACACCTCCTCATTTTCTCGATCGGACCCCCCTCCTCTAAAGAGCGCAATTGCTTTCTTGTGGTCAATTCCCCTCCGGGTCCTCAACAACGGTGGCTACCTCCCCAAGCCGCGGATCCATCGAACTCACCGATTTCAACTCTCTCACCCGTCCGTTAGCTTTACGAGCTCGCGGGTCTGCATCTGCGCGCACACAACGATCGACGAGAGCTCCACGGCCGTTTGAGCCAGCTGCCAGTTCACAATCGCTCTCGGGGCTTCGATCCGAAGAGGTCGAGGACTGGGAGAAGACTTCCTTATCGGAACGCCCGCGGGGCTACCGCTCCTCTCGTCTCAGACTCTGGCCTGAAGCTCTTCGACGTCGAGCTCACCGTGTTGGTCCTGGACAGGTTGATACCGATCCCCAAAAACTCGCCAACATGAAATTTTCACACAGCATTCAGTTCAATGCGGTGCCAGATTGGAGTTCAAATTATATTGCGTACAGCAACCTGAAGAAACTGTGAGTCTATTCTCTCTCCTTTGCCCTTTCGCTGTGGTTTGAATGAGCAGCTGCGATCCTCGGCGATATGTGGTCCTGGTCTCGGGTGTACATCTGAAGATGTATATCGGAACGGGTGTCACATCGCACAGGAAGGGATCGTTGCATGTGGTTCGCGCGCGGACTGGTCGTGTCGTTCATGTGGCTAACGGACCGATCTTTATCTTAGCATCTATACCCTCGAGAAGCAAGTTCATCGGCCTGATGAACAGTCCGCCCCGGACGTTGAGTCCGCCCCCCTGTTGTCCGGCGCACAAGTTCAGAACCCGGACGGTGTATTCAAGCGTGCCCTCGATGCGGAACTGGACAAGATTTGCACCTTTTTCCAGCAAAAGCAAGGGGAGATATTTGAACTCACAGATGAATTGATACATGAGGGCACGGAGTATCTTATGCAAACAGACGGTGTCAATATGGATCCTGTGAGCGAGAGTGTGGTCAAGGCGAGAACCCTGAGTACCAGCTCTCGTCCGGGAACTGGCTACAATCAACCTCATCGTCGCCCATCAGGTGGCGTGAGTGACGATGCGGATGATAGCGACGACGACGGTTATCCTCCTGTGCTCAACCCCCGCAATCGACTCATGCAGTCAACTGATGGAGAGTCTACAACGGAAGACCGCGCAGGCGACATGGCGGACTCGGCCTTCTTTGGCCTCGGAAGCAGTCGTGCGCCCCAGGATTCTGACCTCAGTGACCAGGCTTTCCTCGATCTGTACAATACGGGAGTCTCGCTGAAGAAGCGTCTCGTCGAAGCCTATGTCTCTCTGTGCGAACTACGTTCATTCATCGAGCTGAACAAGACTGGCTTCTCCAAGGCCTTGAAGAAGTACGACAAGACCTTGTTCCGCAATATGCGTCGGGATTACCTCGGTTCAGTCGTCAACCCAGCGCTGCCATTCACCGATTCCACCACGTCCGCTGTTGATGACCACATTACTAAGGTAGAGGGTATCTATGCTGAAATTGTCACCAAAGGTAGCCGGCCTTTGGCTAGCCGGGAACTGCGTCTACATTTACGTGAGCATGTGGTCTGGGAGCGAAATACCGTCTGGCGCGAAATGATTGAGATCGAACGCCGTGCGCAGGCCGCGAATGTCGGTATTCGTCGAACTCTGCTGGGTGGTGATGAAGATCCGGTCACGGCACGCCGCCAGGGTGACAAACAAGAAATTCGAACTACAGAGATTGGAACCCCCCTTGGCAGCATACACTTCCCCACATGGCTCTGCAGTCTCAGCTTCGGTACTCTGGTCTTCAGCTTTGCTGTCTTCGGAGCATTGCTGGCCACGCCCTTGATGGAGACACCCGAGCAACAGAACTGCCTTGCAATGCTGGTTCTTGTTAGTTTCCTCTGGGCTACCGAGGTAAGCATTCTGCCATTTGAACTTATATGGGAGATCCAAATTTCTGACATGATATCTATAGGCCATTCCGCTTTTCGTGACTTCGCTGCTGATTCCGTTCCTGGTTGTTGTGTTGGGTATCATGCGATCCGATGAAAAGCCACACAAGCGACTTGGTCCAAAGGAATCTGTTGGCATGGTATTTGCAGCTATGTGGACTCCAGTTATCATGCTTCTTCTGGGTGGTTTCACCATCGCTGCAGCTCTATCCAAATATGACATTGCCCGGCGCATGGCTATGTTTGTTCTGAGCAAGGCTGGCTCCAAGCCAAAGACCGTGCTATTAACCAATATGTTTGTGAGCATGTTCCTCAGCATGTGGATCAGTAACGTTGCGTCCCCTGTGCTCTGCTACTCGATTATCCAACCTCTTCTTCGCAACTTGTCCCCGGACTCGAACTTCGCCAAGGCGCTGGTTTTGGGTATTGCCCTGGCCGCCAATGTCGGTGGTGCAGCTTCGCCAATCGCTTCACCGCAGAATATCATTGCTCTACAGAACATGTATCCCAGCATCAGCTGGGGCACATGGTTCTTCATCGCGCTGCCTGTCTGCATTATTTCCATCTTCCTGATCTGGGCCCTGCTTCTGGCGACGTTCCACCCGGGACGCAACACGACCATTATCCCCATGCGCCCAGTTAAGGACCGCTTCACTGGTATTCAATACTTTATCAGCGCCGTGACTCTCGGAACTATCGTGCTCTGGTGCGTGAGCCACCAGCTCGAGCATGTCTTTGGCGACATGGGTGTCATAGCCATCATTCCCCTTGTGTTATTCTTCGGCACGGGTATCCTGAACAAAGAAGATTTTAACAATTTCCTCTGGACGATCATCATCCTCGCTGCTGGTGGGTTGTGTCTTGGCAAGGCCGTCACCTCCTCTGGTCTTCTGCACACCATCGCTGGGAGTATCACCGAGCGAGTCGAGCATCTGAGTCTGTATAGTGTTCTCCTCGTCTTCTGCGCATTGATTCTTGTCATCGCCACCTTCATTTCTCATACCGTTGCTGCTCTGATCATCCTACCTCTGGTCCGTCAGATCGGCGTCAACATGGAAAACCCTCACCCCAATCTGCTGGTCATGGCCAGCGCCTTGATGTGTTCCGTTGCGATGGCCCTGCCCACAAGCGGGTTCCCCAACATGAGTGCGTATCCCTTTGATCCCGTTCGTTGGATGTATATACTGACTTGTTATAACAGCTGCCATTATGACCGAAGTCCCGACAACAGGCCAGCGCTACCTTCAAGTCCGCCATTTTATCACTCGAGGTGTCCCATCAAGCTTGATGTGTTTCTTTGTGATCGTCACCCTCGGCTATGGACTGATGTATGTTGCGGGACTGTAAGAATGAAAAAAAGGCAATCCATCTATCCATTTGGGATATTGATGTAATGAATTCCACGGCCTAGAGAAAAGACTCGGTGAGACGTTGGTTTTTTTGGGGTTTCTCTTTTCCTTTCGTTTTCTTTTTCTGAGCGCTTGGCTTCTTTTCTGTGCTTGTTCATATTACTGGCAGCCACTAGGCATACTCGATTTTTGTTTTGCTTTGTTTGGGCAAATAGACTGACGGATGGCATCTCCGTCCGGCTGTGTATCTTACATTACCTGGAATCCAGCACACACCCCCATATTATCTCGACGTAGAATAAACACATACGTTTTCCTTCGCGATTGGGCATTGAGTTAGAGATGTCAGATGGTGAGTGTCCAACCTTGCTCGTCCCACCTGACATCCCCGTCTACCCCACTGGCTGGGCGCCGACAGTAACACATCCACGTCACCAATACTCCGATCCGACACGGCCGGCAAATTGGAATGAAGCGAATCGATATTTTACGGGTACTGGATTACAACAGTCTTGAATAAGTAATGTGTCATTGAGTAGACAAGTACGAGTCTTTGATTATCCCTTCGCCGAGGCAGCTATAGGGGAGAACAATTATACTGTACAATCATGACCAGACACCGAAACCCCGAATGGAGGCGCCACGTCAAATCTAGGGATTGAACAGGCCTAGACACACAATATAAGAAGAGAGGAAAGAAAAGCAAGTAAATAAACAAGGAAAATAAAAAATCAGGACATGCGCAGTCATAATCGAAACCGGCCAGCTATGCAATCCTGCATCTTGCATCACCGTACATGAGTCGTCGCTCGCAGAGGTATCAAACGTATAAGCATTGTGGACAGAAAGGGTATTCTGCTGTTCATCCACTATACTCGGGTTGGATTAATTCCTATAAGGTTAGTTAGTACAAATTAGGAAGAGCAGACGAATGTCTGGAAGGGGAAGGGAACCAAAGAAAAAAGTATAAAAGGAAGGGGAAATACTGACAATAAACCCAAAGTCAAATCACCATGAATCTTAGCCTTAAGCTGGATCTCAATATCAAGATTCAAATCCAGTCGCAAACGCAACTGTTCGTCCCGACCTCCATCATCCTTCTCCTCCTTTTCGCCTCCGCCCAGAATGCCGCCGACAGCTTTCCCGGCAGATCCAGTGACTCCGTTCAAGGCATTGCCGGCTGTGTTCTGGACTAGCTGACCGGCTTGATCGACGCCGCCGAGACCACCGAGTGGGCCACCTTCGCCGCCTTGCTGTTGCTGCTGCTGTGGCTGGCGGGTGCGGCGAGTGCGCTGGCGTTGCTGGGGTTGAGCGTCCATGTCGTTGCGGGGAACAGATTCGGTATCAGTGTCTTGTCTGCGAGGTGGGCGCGGACGACGACGACGACGAGGTTCTTCTTTTTGAGGTTGAGGTTCGGGCTCGGGCTCAGGTTCGCGCTCTTGCTTCTTTTCTGGCTGGGCGTTGCCGTTCTGGGTATTTTCCTTCTCGTTATCCGAGTCGGGTTCTTGTTGAAGGGATTCAGGTTCAGGTTCAGATTCAGGCTCTTGGTTTTCTTCCTTTTGCTCAGATTCTTGCTCCTGATCCTGATCTTTCTCCTCGGTCTTATCTTTATCTGCTTGGTCTTGATCTTGTTGACCTTGCTCGGAGGGAGGAGGGGTCTGCTCTTGCTTTGCTGGAGTCTTTTTTCCCAGTTTGGGAGGGGCACGTTTGGGCTTGTTGGGGGTGGAAGGGTTGGAGTCCGGGTTGGGATTTGAGGAATCTTGATCGGCCATGGTGGAAAGAGAAGAGAAGAAAAGCAATGAGAGGGGGAGAGGGGAAGCGGAGAATATGAAGTGGTCCGATGCAGATGAAATGGGTTATGAAGGACCAAGCGTCCTGTGTAATAAAAATGTATCGCAATGACGCGGTCTAGAAGAAGCCACTTTGGACAGACATAAAACCGGTGGAAGATGGAGATGAACGTGGGGGAGGGCCGCCTCCGACGTCAGACGAGACGTCAATTGAATTGTGTGTACTCCGTACTGTTTGGTGGTTCGAGAAAGATGCCAGGCAAGACGGGAAGGCTGGAATGACGTGGGAGGAAGCAGGGATATGGTGCATTAAGGTGGAAAGTATACTCGTAGTGTATACTCGTAGTGTATACTCGTAGTGTATAGTACGAGATATACTGGGATGTACTCTTTCCCTGAAGTGAATTAGGCGGATCGGATCCGCAGGAAAATGTCCGTTCTTATGTCAGCAGCCAATCAGATGACCCGCCAGTGCATTTTGGCAGGTGCGACCCACTTTTATAGATTAGAAAACGACGTAAGACGGTCGCCTTTGCCAATCGCCGTTGGGACTCGATATTAAAATGACGTCGAGCAGGGCACTTGGGGACTTTGGTTCAACTGAAAGTTGGCAGCTTCATGGTTGCCTCTGAAACTGCCTCTTGTTTCCACGGGTCAAACCAGGGGAAAACCGGCTCTTGCTGGCTGTTTTGCCTGGGAGGCTGGTTGACGCCGCGTCGCCTGCCCAAAATAGAACTGCCATGCTATCGCCACGCCCACGCCAGGTGGCACAAAATATGGCATGACGCCGGTGGTCCTCTCATCGAGCCATAATGGAATTCGTGACAGGTACATGTACCACGTGTGACAGGTATCGAACTCCACCTACCTATGTACAACTGTATATTACCACTGACCACTTTGCTGGTGCAGAGTCCCTCTCACCCGCCGCCAACGTCATGGCAGTCGGAGGTGACGATCTAGTCCTGTCCCTTCATATCATATCACCGCTTTCCTCATTCCCCTCTCTTTTCTCCAATCCTTAGCGTTCGATTCCTATTCTCCTTCAAGTTTGATTCCTTAATCCATTGATCCCGGAATACTCGTACCTCTCTCTTTCTCCTCATTCTATCTCCATCCTCGTCCCCGCCCCTCCAAAACACCATGGCTACCGTCGAGAAGCCCAAGGAGCAGCAAAAGCAGTTCCAAGTGCCCGAGTATTCCGATGATGAGGACTACGATAGCGCCGATGACTACGAATACTCAGACGAGGAGGAGGAACAGCCTAAGCCCGCTGCTAAGACCCAGCAACTTCAGCGCCGCAAGCAACAACAGCCTCAGCAGCAAGATGACGATGACTACGACTCAGAAGAGTATACCGATGAAGACGAATACTCCGATTACTACCCTGACAACGAGGACTACGATCAATTTGGAATGACCAAAATGACCGGCGATACTTCGATGCCACCTTGGCAGGGCAATTCCACCGACATGAACATTGCCGATGAGAAGAAGAAGAGCATCGACGATGAGGAGGGTATGAAACTGAAGCTGGAGCTGAATCTGGAAATTGAGATTGAACTCAAGGCTCGCATCCACGGTGATCTCACCATCGCGCTCATGTAAGTTGACTCCCATCTATCCCCTTCATTGTAGAATATCCACTCAAAGCAAACAGGAGTTGATCGCGTCGGCTACAGTGCATAAAACTAGTCGACATTCCCTATTTTATATCTCCTATATCCTTTTCCTTTCCGTTTTACTTCCGTCTCCGTCTCCGTCCCATTTAGTCAATGTCCTCGCTTTCCACGGTGTTCGCATTTGCAGTGGTCGCCTTTCATATGATGATAACGATCGATTCGAATTTTTTATCAACTACCCCTGCTCTGCATCGTTTCATAGAGCCCTTGCTTGATCATCGCCTAATTTTATCTTCTCTTATTTGGTCTGGATCGGTCAGACAGCCTCACCCACAGTACTGGAGGCGCCGCGCCGGAGTCGATACTTTGGACCCTGTACTACTATCTGTATATATCAATGAGAGTGGGTTCATACCTGCAGTCCAATTGAGATTAGGGTAATTACTACCTGTTGATCAAGCAGCACGTTGGTATAATTTTTATTTTTTCGTGTGCGTGACTACCTATATATTTCCACATTAGGTACTATTACCAGTATATCATCAATTGGTTATCGAACCACTGGGATGAACCAAGTATCACAGCGGACCACCTTATTTTAATAAAAGCCACATAGCACTGAGTTTACTACTAGTAGAACTGCATAGACGTGATAAAATCTGAATAATTGCCCAATTTATTGCATATTGGCTGCCGAAATCACACCCAACCCATGCAGCCGCACATGAGGCCTAGGCCGAGGTTCGGGCTTGGCGTGGATCCATGAGATCTTCAGACCGCACCTGGAGACTTCCCACCCTTCTCCCCTGCCACAGAGGCCGGTGCCTTTTCTGCCTATCGCAACCCTCACAACATACTCTTGAATCTCACCAGGAATTGTCCCTGCCTCATTCCCATCGAATTAACACCACACCTTACTACGTCTCTCCGATCTTCGGCCGACTACTCCACCATGTCCGGCAAGGACTTCATCATCAAACACATGAACGCCGACCATGGCGATTCACTACAGCTATACCTACAAGCCTTTTCCCGCATCACGGCCAGCGAAGCCAAAGGCGCAACCCTAGAGGACCTCACCCTCTCCGACCTCACCATCCGAGCCAACGGAACCCGCTACGGAATCCCAATCGACCCGCCCATGGCCAGCTACAACGAAGCCCGCGGTCGATTGGTCGGTCTGCACAAGGACAGTCTGCAGAAACTCGGCCGATCCGACGTGACGCTGACCGAATACCGTGCTCCACATGGCCACCAGATCGTGATCTTTGCCCTGTGCGCCTTCATGTACATCACCTGCTTCAGTCGCGAGAACCTCCTGCCTGGATCATTTGTCTACGAGAACTTGGGCTACAAGTTCGTTCCGGACTTTGCGCACTTTGTGTATAATATCCAGCCCTACCTGTTTCCCGTCACGGTGGGTATTCATATATTCGAGTCGGCTTTGTTGGCTGTGACTAAGTTGAAGCCTCATGGGGTGCCGTTCTTGTCGGGGCTGTGGTTTGCATGGGTGGGTTCGTGTTTGGTGGAGGGATTCGGGACGTTCCAGCGGATCAGCCAGATTGTGAAGGAGGAGCGGGAGAAGGGTGGAAAGAAGCAGTAGAGGGTAGATGGAGAGATGGTATGAAGTGGTAGTTTCAGTCAGACAGAGCAGAAATAACAGAGCACCTTTGCATTAAACAGCACGTACAACCCTGCCTGGCTGTGCCAAGCCTGATAGATGACTAAGTATAGATAACAAGTCACGGGACCGCACACGGTGGCGCTACCCCCAAAGCGGGTTAGTTCGCTTAGGGCAACCGCACAAGCGAGTAACACACTGGGCCTGGGAATATTCAATCCTCCGCCGCTCGACGACCGCATTCCCACGACAACCCAACGACAACTTTCCGTGTTTTTTTGGTGGCAGAGTTAGGGGTGAGTTATCCTCGAGAATCGCCCTCAGTTCCAGTTTCCTACTTTCTGCTTCGTCCCGACAATTGCTGCGTGAGGGGAAAAATTCCACCGTGGACATCAAAATTGAAATTGAAATTCGACATTCGACATTCGTTCCTTACCTCCCTTCGACATCCCACATACGATCAATCATTCGCCGCTTCTCGACAACACGACTTTTTCAATTTTTCAATCACCGATCTTGTTGCACGATTATCACGGACGAAACAGAAGTTGTGGAAACTGGAATATACAGGGTCAAACGCACCAACCCAATCGAGTTCTAACCTTGTCTTGTTAAACCAGACTCCATCCATCAACCGCAAACATGGGTATCTCTCGCGATTCTCGTCACAAGCGCAGCGCTACCGGTGCCAAGCGCGCCTACTACCGCAAGAAGAGGTACGGCACCATCCCACCCATGAATTTTTTTTTTCCGTTCCTGTCGTTTCGTGTGGTATAAGGAGGAGGCTTTTTGTTTGTCTACGGGAATTGTTACTGTGGTTATTATGTGGAAACGATTTTGAAGATGCAACCGAAGATTTTTCCCCTGTGAGCCATATTCTGACTTATCTTCTCGTTGAACAGAGCTTTCGAGAAGGGCCGCCAGCCCGCCAACACCCGTATTGGCACCAAGCGGATTCACCTTGTCCGTACTCGCGGTGGCAACCAGAAGTTCCGCGCCTTGCGTCTCGAGTCCGGTAACTTCTCCTGGGGCTCTGAGGGTGTTGCCCGCAAGACCCGTGTCATCGGTGTCTCTTTCCACCCCTCCAACAACGAGCTGGTCCGCACAAACACCTTGACCAAGTCCGCCGTCGTCCAGATCGACGCTGCCCCCTTCCGTCAATGGTACGAGGCCCACTACGGCCAGGGTATCGGTCGCCGTCGCCAGGCCAAGGCCGACGCCACCGAGGAGAAGAAGAGCAAGTCTGTCACCAAGAAGCAGGCTGAGCGTTACGCCGACCAGGGCAAGGTTGAGGGTGCCATCGAGCGTCAGTTCGAGTCCGGTCGCCTGTTCGCCGTTGTTTCCTCCCGACCTGGCCAGTCCGGCCGTGTCGACGGTTACATCCTGGAGGGTGAGGAGCTGGCTTTCTACCAGCGTGCGATCCGCAAGTAAACGAAAAACAAAAAGGGAAAGCCATTCGGTTAATATACCGCGTGGGTTGTCGATGCACGGGTGGTTATCGGAGTTTCAGCTATGTTTACCAGAAAACTTGTCATGATCTGGGCATCCGCGGATGCAATGTCTGTAGAGCTCTGAGCCGTCAATTCTATGGGAATCTATTTTCCTGTTTACGTTACTTGTGATTTCCTGCTTTCGCAGCACCTGGTATTGTAGGATGCCATGTCTTTCTAAGTCGTAGTTAACTATAGTAGAGTATCCAACGACCATCACCTTGTTGAACATTCTGCGGGGGGCTGATGTCGTCCAATAGTTAGCGATAAGGCCGACCACAGTAGGGAGGGCAGCCATTGGACTGAAGGCAAAATACTAGATTAAAGTCTGCCATAGCGAATGCACTGGTACAAATATCTTGTATATCGTAGCCTATGAGCCACTTAGGCTACCGCAACCTGTGGTTCGGGTCGGTTTCCATGTTTTGAGGCTGTGATTCATCGCTCCCCATCTTTCCCTCCCTCTCACCTCAACTCACCCCACTCACCTCTGCACTTCCTTTCCTCGTTCCAAAAAGACATGAAAAGGTTCATCCAAGCATTCTCCTCGCCAAGTTTATCTTCTCTCATCTCATTTCCTTCCAGAATGGCCTCAACTGCGGGTATCAAAACACGCATCTGCATGATCTCAGACACTCACACCACCAGTCCCTACTCGTCATCAGAAAAGGACCATGCCTACCGCAATCCCCTCCCAGAAGCCGACATTCTCCTCCATTCCGGCGATCTCACAAAAGTCGGCTACCGCACCGAACACGAAGAAACAATCTCAATGCTCAAAGCCGCGCCCGCCGAACTAAAGCTCGTTATAGCAGGAAATCACGACATCACCTTAGACGAAGAATACTTCCTCCGCACCGGCTACAAAAAGCACCGTAAAACAGCATACTTCGGCGCAAAAAACATCCCACTCCATGAAGACGAGAAAACCCGCCTCGAAGTCATCAAGGGGGAACGATTCCACCGCCCCCGCAACTACTATCTTATATAAGAGACATAAAAGACCTATACACGAACGAGTCTGCCCGCGCCGCAGGAATCAGATATCTAGATGAAGGAATCCACACATTCACGCTAAGCTCTGGAGCAAAATTCACCGTCTACGCCTCACCCTATCAACCCGAGTTCTGTAACTGGGCGTTTGCATACGATCGCAATGAAGACCGCTTCAATGTCCCCGCGCCGGGGTCTACGGCCCCAATTCCTGCAAATCCGGTCCCGGATTTCCCAAGTATCGATATTATGATCACTCATGGCCCGCCGGCCGGGGTTCTGGACCGGGTAGGTGATGATCGTAAACGATCGGAGCACGTTGGGTGCGAAAGCCTGATGCGCGCGGCTGAGCGCGCAAGACCCAGACTTTATCTTTTTGGTCATATTCATGAAGGATGGGGGGCAGTGCGGGGGACTTATGACGGAACGAAAGCCCCTGAGGAGGATAGCAAGGAAAGTGGCAGTGCTAGTTGTGTTGGTGTCAAGGTCAAGCAGGAAAAGATCCCCGTTGACGAGAAAGACATGCTCGAAAAACGAGGCGTTTATCTTGATGTTAGTTCTGAGGGTCAGCGACCGCTTGCTTTTGGGGATGAGACTCTTTTTGTCAATGCTAGTATTGTAGATGTTTATTATCGGCCGGTCAATGCGCCCTGGGTGGTTGATTTGGATTTGCCAAGGGGATGAACGTGAATTGTTGGCGGGTTGGCCCGATGATTGCTATGACTATATTTATTATTATTATTATGATGTGATGAAATAGAATATATTCTCTTGCTCGGTGATGAGCACCATTCTTACAGTACTATTTGGTGTCTGTAAAGTTTCTTTTGGGGTAGGATAAAATTGGTCCTCGGTAGGTGGGGGACTCCGATTCGGATCCATATATATCTTTGCCCTGATGAAGGTACCACTACCTAGTATTACTACCTACCTAGGTAGGTACTGAGTCACCCGTCTTTCAGAGCAATATTTGTGGATGATATTAAAGCGAGCGCATCTACCTAGATAGGTAGCAATGCATACAGCTAAAAACAAGAGTTCAAATGTTGGAATAGTCATTCGTTTTAAAATCTAAGGTTACTATGGTGGGATCGCTTCATCTCAGTGGCATACATCATCCTAATTAGGGCAAGCTATCTAGCCCAACGCAAACCAACCACCCGCAGTTCAGTCCTAGAGTCCCCCTTTCATAAATGCCATAACAAGCTACTATATATCCATCGCTACGAGAAATAACTACTTGAAAACCCGATGAGACACGACCGAAGACCCAAGCGCCGGAAACAAAGTAAGCAAGGTGAAGAAAAAAGAAAGAAGAGATTGCAAGAAATAGAGAGATAGAGAGCAAAAAAAAAGCAAGATAAGAGTCAAGAAAATAGACCAACGCCGCCGACGCCGCATTCAAGTGTTGTTCAACACAGCTCCAGAAACTTGAACCTACAGACCGCCAAGGGCAGCAGCATAGGCTAGGTACCATGTACGTGTGGCACCGCCGTCAATCCAGCTGTAGTCAAAGTGGTGCTGGGCGAAGAAGCTCCATGATGCCTTGGGGTTGACAAGGGCCAAATTAGCGAACAGGACGCCCTTCCAGCCTCCCTTGACCTTGTCGGCAGGGGTGGAGGCATTCGGCGCGAACATGGCTTCCCACTCCTCGGCCACGAATTGCGGGGTTCGTGTGTAGGCGGAGTTGGGGAGGAGAGGGAGCATGTGAATTCCTTGAATGAATTCTAAGCTGTTACCGAAGTATGTGGTGTGGTCGACCTTGTTTTCAAAGAGCTGTTGGGTGGAAATTAGTACTGGTCATCAAGAAGAGGTAAAGCAGGTAAGGGTGAGGTGTGTTATACTTACAATGCCGGTGACCTTGTTTCCGATAAATTTGGAGGGTTGGTTGATGTTGTTGTTGCGCATGAGAAAGTAGTTGTCCAGAGATCGGCGCATGATGCCCAGCATCAAGTTGCCGCGAGCCTCCATACTCGCATCGCCGATCGTACGACCCCACATCTTCACAGCATACGCAAACATGGTGTCTTCTGAAGTGGACTCCTCGTCCTTGCCATCGTAGGACTCGAAGAGGCCCTTGGCCCAAGAGTGACCGTTGAACCAGTCAAAGGCACGAGAGAAGGGGAAATGCGGGTCATTCTCCACTGAATTGCCGGCATCACGGACCAGCATGTTGACCCAGTCCTTGTTCTGGTCTAGCCAGCTGGAGTCAAGAGAGCCAATGATCGCCGCAGCCTGGATGAAGTAGCCGTAGTGGAAATGGTGATCGTTGTACGCGGTATTGCCGAAATCTTGGTTCAAATCGCCTTTGTATCCTGCTGTCGAGACAACACCCTTCCAGACCGAGTCATATGCGAGAGGGTACTCTTGTTGATTATTCACAAAGCGCGCAAAGCTGGTCTTGAGTTCCTTGAAGGCATCGCTGGCTGCATGCAAATCACCGCCAAGTTGGGAAACAGTCCAGACGAGAGTTGCGAACTTGCTTAGGGCTTTGCCGCTGTAATACATGCTGTTCAGGTTGCTCTGCTCGGAGATGTTCTGCTGCAGTTCGTAGGGAGCAACCTCGACAATTGCTTTCTTGGCTTGAGGGGATAAGGCATGGACATTGCCTGAGGTCGCTGACCAAGGAGCAAATCCCATGTCAACCGGGAGATCGGGCTCAACCATCGCCCAGCTATCGCCAATGACGGCAGTCGCATTTCCCTTGGTAGTACTCCGAAGGTGTATGCTGGTGACACGCGCGGCAGTGCCGTCGTCAAAGGATTCGACGTGATGCGGCAAGGCGAACATGATGAGGGGTGTTCTGTGGGCGTGTTTTCCGGCTTTGGTCCAAGCCAAGCTGTATGAGCCAGCATCGCCAGTCACAGAGCCAGTAATGTGTCCTGAAACGGGATACACACCAGCAGAGTTGTCGTAGAACTTCTCACCCGATTTGCCAGCAGGGTTCTTGGCAATCTGAATAGTACCAGAGAACCCATGAGTTCCACGGATGCTCGACTTGGAAACCAATTTCAGGTTGGGGTCATTTCCATCGTTGGGAGTTACATAGAGTACCCAGTGTGTGCCATCTTCCAGAGCGACCTGGTACTTGAAGATTCCCGACTTGGGCGATCCAGCGCGGACAACCTTGCGGAAGAAAACCCCGCTCTCGATCAGGGGTTGAAGACGGTTGTAGATACCGGTGATATATCCCATACCTTGAACAACAGGGAAGGTAATGCTTTGATCGGAACTAGCAGAGCGTTTCAAGACAGCGTGGGCGGAGAAAGCCCTGGGCTTCTCAACGCCGAGGACACTCTTCTTATCTAGCTCGGTGGCCGATAGAACAATATGCTGAAGGCCCACGGGATTGATGTAGTACTCAACAGGCCTACCTGGGAGTTTATCGTTTTTTGGACCAAATGCCAGTACCTTAGCTTCCAGATGCGAGACGCCAACACCATAGCTCTTGAGGGTACCTTGTCCTCTTGACCAACTGAGAGAATAGGGCTGTGTGAAGCTAGCATTTGTCTGAGTTCCAAGGAATAGTCCAGCGTAGAACTTATTGGTTTCAATTGGTTTAGAAGTATTGGCCTGGGCTTTATATTAGAAATAAACAATATCAGTTTCTGTCAATGGGTACTTACATGGAGATTCTTCACCGGGTGATCGTGACGAGCCTTGATATTCGCAGGAGGCGCATTAGTGGCCACTGGCTCGAAGACATCCTGGTCGTCCATATCAGATGGGGAATCAGGATCGTCTGGAGGTCCAGGCAGATCGGTGGATGCACCTTGGCTCGGTACGTCCGTTGGAGAAGCGACTGTCGCCGGAGCTGTGGCAGGAAGTACAGATGTAGCCGATAGACTAGAATTGGCAATTGAATCGTTGGAAGGTCCAGGCAGATTGGTGGATGCACCTTGGCTCGGTACGTTCGTAGGAGAAGCGACTGTCGCCGGAGCTGTGGCAGGAAGTACAGATGTAGCCGATAGACTAGAATTGGCAATTGAATCGTTGGAAGGTCCAGGCAGATTGGTGGATGCACCTTGGCTCGGTACGTCCGTTGGAGAAGCGACTGTCGCCGGAGCTGTGGCAGGAAGTACAGATGTAGCCGATAGACTAGAATTGGCAATTGAATCGTTGGAAGGTCCAGGCAGATTGGTGGATGCACCTTGGCTCGGTACGTCCGTTGGAGAAGCGACTGTCGCCGGAGCTGTGGCAGGAAGTACAGATGTAGCCGATAGACTAGAATTGGCACTCGAATTGTCGGGAGACAACAAGTCCGCGATGCCGTCTAGAACCCGGATGACATTTGTTGACGGAAAAGGAGGTTCGGCCGGATGACCCTCGGTATCGAGGGCAATCCGGTAGATCTATAGTGCCATGTCAACACCGGATAGAAAGCTCTTGACGGTTAATCATGAAACGTACCGGCGAGGCCTCTGGAATTAACACTCGCGCTTCAGAATTTGACGGTGGATACTGAGTCTTGAAAGCAGTACTAGGCTCTGTAGCCGTCTGCTCCAAGATGCTTTCCGCAACGCTGCCAATAGGCTGCGATTGCGGAAGGCCGTGTACTGATTCTGCAGCCAGAAGCCATGTTAGCAAGACTGTGGCCTTCCATGATGACCCCATTTTGCAATTGCAAGACCCAACTAAGCCAAACAACCAATCGCAGGGAAACAGGGATGCTGTAAGCGCAATAAAATGCTTCAATATGTCCCACGTATGAACGTGGACCAACAGGCACAGTGCAGCTTCACAGGTGTTGAAGTGGAGGAATGGGATCAAACAGCAGAAGGGAAAAAGAACCGAGGAAGAGGGATAGGGACTTACAAGTACGTTAGGTATGTGCAACGGATTCTCGTTGGCACAGTGAATGTGTCGAGCTCAGGGTCCTTCCAGTCTCGCAGCCTCCCGCGGGCTAGATTGTTGTGACGGGCCTACAGAAAGAATTCTAGCCCGCCGATCCTCATGCGAGATCAGTCGCACGGAGCTGCCAGATAGGGAAAATACGAGTGGATGGTTAAGCCGCGAGGAGGATGGCGTGTAGTTAGTTCAGCAATGAAGGGTGTCGAGGGCAACAATGAGGTTCCTGAGCGGGAGAGGTTGTCCCCACTACGAGGAATGTGAGTGGAGAGGAGTCAACAAATGTCCTTGTCCATGTCCCACAAGGGAGAACCTCTTGATTTCAATTAAAAGTGAATGTTATAGATGAACACATTGGCCAAGCGAAGAGTTGATTTCTTAAAATTGTATCCACGGGGGGGCGGGCAGTTACGTTGTCGTCTGAGTAGATGCCAGGGGTGTGGTGCAGCTTGAATCATACAGAATTAGAAGGATGAGTGATGACTTCAAGTCGGTGATTCACCATGCAAACCACGGGTGGGAGAAAGCATGCCCTGATCCGCAGGCTGGTTCACCCAGCACCCTGCACCAGCAACCAGCCCGGCGATGGTTGGCATTCCGATGTGCGGCCGAGACGGGCCTTTCCTTTCAAGCCCTATACTATACTATGTAGAACAGCTGTTGTCATTGGAAGGCCCGTCAAGTGTTGATCTGTCAAGCCATGCGAGAATGTCGGGGAAGGCAGCAAAAATAGAAAAGAGGCTGAACGATGTGGAAAAGAAAGGCTGAGTTCGGTCTACAAAGTCACTTGAAGCATCAAAAAAGCATGGTATTCTTTTTGGTTTGTCCAGACGCCGTTGGGGTTTACCCTGAATGGAAAATACAAGGAAGATATAATGTGGAAAGAATATACAGATTCCCGATTCGTAGCGGTTAGACCATGGGCTTCTCCATGGGTTTGATAATTCCTTGCTTGATCAGAAGACGAGGCTTGGTGCCATCTTGGTAAGATTCCTTGGTCGACCACTCCGGGCCGAGTGGCATGCGTAGCGATCGCTCGTACTGAGACTTGGTCTCGAACTGGTGAGGCAGTTGTGTGGCCATGTACTTGACGTTCTGTGTGGGAGAGAGATAAATTAGCCGTAGTTCTGTAGCCGTGGACAGGAAGAGAATTGCTATGGTGATTGCATACCTTCTTGACACGCTTCTCATTGATGATAACCCGAGACAGCTTGGCATCCTTGCGCTTGTCGGCCTTGACACCCTCAACAGTAGTCAAGAAGCGCTTCTGCTTCTTCTTCTGTTTGTTGCTGATGCCGTCACCTGTCCAGCTACCCCATCCATCCAGAGTGTTGTCGACAACCTTGTCACCTTCATCCTCGATGGTGTCCATCTTCTCTTGCTCAAAGTCTTGTACCACCTCGTCACCGGCAAAGGCCCGCTTCACGAGGTCGTGATTCTTGAGCAAGACTGGAACGTTATCCTCATCATCACTGTCATTCTGTTCTTGCGCGCGCCGCTTGGAGGGAACTGTCTTGGCGGACTTGCCCTTCTTGGAAGAGCTACTGGCCTGGACAGCCTGGGGCTGTTCGGCGCTGACGGAGATGTCAAGTGCTTCTTGCGTATCAGCACCTTCTCGTCGACGGTTATTGCGCCCAGTTTGAACGAGCCACGGGTTCTCTTCCTCAGCTGGCGCATCCTTCTGAGAAGTAGACGACTTCTTGGAAGACACAGCAGTGGCTTTGGAGCCAGAAACACCAGGCTTCTGTTTCGCAGGACGGTTGGTAACGATATCAATATCCTGATCTGAGTCGATCACTCGCTGCTCGTCATCGGAGTCGGCAGCTTCCTCAAATTCATTCTTTGGCAAAGCCTTGGTCTTTGGCTTGGTCTCGGTTTTGGCTGATTGACCAAACTTCCGACGGCCAACTTCAGACTCTGCCTCTGACTGTGACTCTTCACCATGCAGATCACGATTGAGCTGTCGGAGTTCCGCATCATTTGCTTCTTTCTGAGCAGCTTCGGCGTTCTGCATGAACTTCATAGCGAATAACTTGGAATGAGGACCCTTGTCTTCGCCTTCAGGCCCTTCATCCTCCAGTGCAGCAAGCTTTTGCTCAAGCTTATTTTTCCGAATTTCCTCAGCATCCTCGGCCCAGGGATCCTCATCATCGGATTCCGAGCTTGATGATTCCAAGTAGGCATCATCTCCACGAGAAACACTCTTTCCTTCAATTCGCTTCCGTAGCTCCTCCTCTCTCAGCGCGAGGTCAGCAGCACCGTTACGCGCATCCTCATCCCAGGCGGTGCGTCCGGTCTCTTTCAGGCTCTTGGCCCACTTGCTCTCGCGGTGCTTAGAACCCATACGAGCCTCGGCTCTCTTGCGCTCGTTCTGCTCTCGCTCGGCTTCATCCATATCGACACCGGATTCCAAGAGTGCTTGGCGTTCCTGCTGCTCAAGCTTCTCGCGTTCCTTTCGGTGCACACGACGATAAGCCTTGCTCTTGATTTTCTTGATTCGCTTAGAGCGAACTTCCTCACGGAACAGCAGATCGCGTCGCTTCCGTAGCTCAGCTTGTCGGGCGCGGATCTCTTCAATAGGCAATGAACGAGACTGGAGCTCTTCGAAGTTCTGAAACTGATCCTCCGCAGACTTGCCGTCGGCAAGGCCACTCTCCGCCAAGATGTTCTGAATCGTGCTCTCGAGGTCGGTAGTCGGCTTGGCGACATCCATGCGGTGAACTTGTTCGCCATCGGGGTTGGGCAGAGGGAATACGAGATGCTCGGCTCTGCGGTTGGCCTTGACAGTGTCCAGCCATCGGTCAAGGGTTTCTTTACTCTTTTCGTAGGCGGCGGCACGGTCGATTTTATCCTGTTGGCGCTTTGCCAATGGGGCGTCTAGCTTGCCCGGGATGCCCGATTTTGATGCTTGAGGTGTGGCGTCAACGTGCTTGAGCGAGCTTTTGAGACGAGAATCCGTAATTGAAGGAAGAAGGTCGGCAACAGTCAATTTCTGAGACGCTGTCAAGCCGTACTCAGTTGGGTTGCTCTGCTCCTGTGTTCTTTTGGTCCTTGTAGATTTGTTGGTTCCCATTGACTGGACGAAATCCTGTAGTTTGGCCAGACCGTCCTGTTGGGCGTCGTCGTCGTCGGATACGGACATATCGGAGTCGTCATCGCTGGCACTCTCGCTATCGCCTTCAGAACCCGAATCTTCATCGCTGTCAGCGCCAGCAGCGGCTTTCTTGGCCCTGGTAGCAGCTTGCTTAGCCTCTGACTCTTCTTCAGCCGTATTCATATCCCAAGCTGTAAGTAGATCCACGGCATCTTCTCCTAGGTCGTCCTCGTCGTCCTCGTCAGAGTTGTTATCCTCAGACTCGTCCATGTCTTCAGACAGAGTGATCTCGGGGCGCTTTTTCGGTGGGGCTTTCTTGGACTTGGACTTGTTTGAAGCACTTCCACGGAATGTGAAACCCTCAAACCGCTCCTCGTCGCTGGATCCCAGAGCCTCATCACTGTCTAGCTCTTCATCGTCGTCACTGTCGACTTGTCCCAACTTCCATTCGTGACCTTCGCTATCGCTGCCACCATCGGCACTGTCATATTCGGCTCCGGTTCTGCGGCGTTTGTGAATTGGTCCTTGCTCGTCGTTGTCGTCTTCATCGTCATCGTTATCGCGAGCGGAGTGTCTTTTGCGTTCATTTTTGTCGTCGGAGACACCGAGACGACTCCGACGGATACCCAATCTGGTTTTGGTATCTGCCTCAGCGATAGCTAGAGCATCTTGAGCACGGCTGGCCTGGCGTCTCTGCGCTGGTTTCTGCGCAGTGTGGTCTTGCGGCGCACGCTTCTGGGATTGCCTGCGCGGCATGGCGGCGGTATGGAAAAAAGAACGCAAGGATTCAATAAGAGGGAAGAAAAGAGGAATGACAGTCCCTTCCACAATCAACTCCAAGCGACCTTGTACCTTGTTGTTGCGGTGTGGAGGGGTTCGGAGCAGGTCAACTTTTTTGCTGGAAAAAAAAAGTTCTCGGCGCGGCGAAGAGCGGGTCCGACCGCCCGAACATTTCGCTCTCTTCCTTCCAGGCACGACCACCGTCGCTACGACTACGACTACGACTACGAGTATCTCCTACCTCCTCTCCCTGCCCTCTCCATCGCCAACATGTTTAAACCATCCAACCCTATGATGGCGCGCCTGCGTTTCACGACTAAGCAGGTCAATGGAGGATTCTACAAGGGTAACCGGACTGGCGCAATGGGTCACTTCGACAAGAAAGGCAACTACGTGATCGACTGGCAAAAAGTCCGCACTTATGCCGCCCCAGAAGACATGGGAGATTTCAAGGTGGGTGAGCTTGGTTTTCCTTTTCAACATATATCTGAGGGGAACGGATAAGAGAGCATCGGGATGCTAACATTGTTGTAGCTCACACCTTTTGTCACCAAGGTCGCCGAGCCCAAGCGCAGCAAGTACACCAAGGATGTCGAGAAACACGGGCGCACAGTCACCATGAACGATAGCCTTAAGGGCCAAGACTTCCTCAACATCTGGGGCGAGCGCAATGGCGAGGAAATTATGCAGCGCGAGGTTGAAGAGTACAAGAGCCAGCGGTAATGAATGGCTTCCGGGGAACCACCCAATATTTGGCTTGATGGCCTCAACTAGCCCATATCTGAATTGGATGTGAGTACCTGCGCTCCAATAGTTTTTTAATGCCCCCTTTTTTCGGTTTTCTGACCATGGGACCTCTCAGGCGTTCGGCAACGCGTATTGTCTCCCACCTTTCTACCGCTATTCGCCTTCTCGATATACCTTTCTACCGCTTCGCTGGCCGATCGCATCCTCTATGTATTATATGTACAGCATACTTGATTGAAAAAGGGCCCAGTCTATACCCACCGATATTGAAACTACCAATGGTCTCATGATGGAAGTGCAGAGAATCCAAACGTGCAAGCTGCGTGTGTTGATCTGGGCCCTGGGGAAGAAGAGTTGGAAATAAGACAGGGAAGAGAAGAGACCTTCTCTGTTAAAGTCTATAGAACGACTATTTTTTGCAATAATCAGCATAACATTTATCACCATTACTTCGTACAGCGTAAGACTCGACTCCGTAAGCGAGTGGCAATAGCGTGGTACTAGTTCGACTCTCACGTCAGAACCCGCAAGTTCCGACCAAAAGTGCGTGTGCCGTGCACCCAAGGCGGAGCCCGATAAGGTATTCATGCGCATATCGGGAGTCGGGAACATCGTCTGGATATGTCATAGTTCTTCAACGCTCACTTCCGCAGCACGGCGGTATGAGCTTGCTTCTCTTTCATTCTTTGCATCTGCAGCGATACCCTTGCGCATAGACCATTATCTCACTTGAAGTTCTAGTTTTCGCCCTCCCCCCCCAGGGCGGAGAGGAACCCCACACCATGTTCCAGTCCTTCACCGGCAGCTCTCGTCGCCCGCGGCAAGTGAACCTCAGTGGCCGCTCCAATAATCCTTTCGCTGCATTCCCCGGTGGCTCACCAGTACGACCGACCCCTCATGCATCGAATCCTCAAAGTGCCGTCGCCATTGCACAGCAAGAGCGTATGCAACGGCAACGGGAGAGGGAGAAACAGAATGCGTCTCGCGTGATCCAGAGAACTTGGCGGGGCTACCGCAGCAAGTCAGGCACACATCGGATATGGAGATCGGAGTGGGATAACAATGAGCGGCGAATGACGGATGCTATGGACTTGACGGTCGGTGTTGAAACTTCGGCCGACGATGCGGCATTCTCGTCCCGTCGCTCGACACCCTACGCTACGGGGGACCAATGTTTGTCCCAGCTCAGGCTGCTGGTGCAATTTGTGTCATCCCGGAAGCGTGATGACATATTACGCTTGGTATACTTCGTCGATGCCTTCGAGCAGACGTTCAGGACACTTCCTACGATCGCCGCAGAGGGGGAATGGACAAAACTGCTCAAACGCCTAGCAATGGCGGTTCTCAGAGTCCTGAGCTCAGCATCAAGATCCCACGTCCCAATGACTGCGATCGAACCTTTGATCCGTTCGGTGATGTTCCTGTCTGGCCTAATACCGAAACAAATGGCAAATATTGCAAGTTCTTATTACGAGGCGATGGCATACCTGACCAAGAACCTGTCTAAGTTGCACCTTGAACGACAACAAACAGACTCTGTTCCGAAGGACGGAGGTGTTAATCCTGAAATCCTCCAGGAGGCGGTCCTCGCTCTTTTACGTCCAATAACCTCGGAGACAATGTCTGTATATGAATCATTCGCGACGTCATACCTCACAATCCAAGACCTCGAGATTTATCTGGGGAAGCTGGATGGGCTGGCTAGTCAGATAAACTATAGGATGCTAGCCTTGGCTGTCTCAGCATGCCTTGCGGAAACCACACCAACACCTCGCGCCCTAAACGATACAAAGTCTCGCACCTGGTTGCTGTCCTATCTCATCTTTTTCCAACGACATGCCCTTGGCACGCACGCAAATACCCATACCCCAGAGCTGGAATTTGTGACCGTGGTATCGGAGTTGCTCACCTCAACAGCCACTTTCCTAATGCAAGGCCTGGAAGTCGAAGACCCAAGTGAAGTGGACTTACCTAAAGGTGTTCGCCCTTTGCATCCATTTATCAAAGAGCAAGTGAGCAGTCTTGTCAATCAAAGCAGCGTGACTGGGCTTCTATCCCGTATTCGCTCCCCTCGTCAGTCGCAAACAGGGTTGATTACCCCATCGGACGAGTCAAAGAAGGCACGAGTGCTTGCCACATATGCATTGAATTTGCTCCGAATATTCCCACGACGCGGTGATGATATTCGAATGTGGCTTTACCTGGGATCTGCCCCGTCCGGAGAGCAAGTGCCTGGCCAGTTGGATGCAAAGATTCCAGCCATCAAATTCTTCTGGCAGGCCTCTAAATCGAGCCGGATCTTCCAGGTGATCAGCAGTGACTCGAACAAAGTACTTCCTCTACTGCTGTTAAGAGAACAGGCAAAAGAATCCTTTGACATGCCCCAAGACCAAAGAGACCAAGAGTGGACAACTATCCTGCTTTTCCTTGAACTGTACACTTTTGTATTGAAAGTCATGGACGACGATGAATTTTTCTCTAGCACCTCCTCTTTCACCTCATCTGATAATACGAAGATTTCTTGGACGAGGGAAAGTGCCTTGCCACTGAAAGATGTCGGGGACATGACGATATTCCTGAAAAACCTCGCCTTCACGCTTTACTGGAATGCAGTGGACCTAAGCGAACCGGAGCTCCGACCAACGGCTGTCAACCTCAGTAGCTATTTCAACAGCGCTTCCCAACCACCCGGATCTTCTGCCCCTGTGCCGAATGCCGAGGATCTTGAATCTAAAGGACAGAATAACTATCTACCCGGAGTTACGGGAATCCCATTGGAGTATTTCAAGGGCCTTGTCACGGGATTGCTTCGGATGTTACATGAAAGAGAGTAGGTTGAAATTCCAAAATCAATAATAAGAAACAGGCCGATACTAAACAACGACTCAAATCTAGTTCACGACGGAATTTCCTCCCCCCAGACCACTGGCTTATGACTAGCCGATTCGATATGGAGGGCTTCATTCCTGCTGTTGTCGGTGAAGAGGAGAGACGACATGAGGTACAAGCTCGGATGGAGGACCCAGATGAAGCCGACGCAGTGGATGATGGGACGAACACACCATATGGTCTCGCCGGGGCCGGTCATGCCCAGCAAACCATCCGACTGGAATCCCTGCGGCGTCATCAGCAGCGAGTGGCTCGAGGCAGAGTCCTTGCGGCTATCGCACCAAGACTTGAAATCCTGCGTAACATGCCTTTTTTCATTCCGTTTGCCACCCGTGTTCAGATTTTCCGCCAATTCATCTATCATGACCAACATCGCCGCCGACACGGATTTGTCGAACCCGACTCGTGGCGTGCATCTATCGCGCAAGCCACTATGGGGCAAATGTCGTCTAATGGCCATCCAACGTTCCAGGAGATCTTGGCTCGCCATCAGGCAGAGATTCGGAGAGAGCATGTATTCGATGATGCGCTGTCCCAGTTCTACCAACTAGGCGACGGCCTCAAGGAGCCGATTCAAATCAGCTTCATTGATAAGTTCGGGGCCATGGAGGCGGGTATTGATGGCGGTGGAGTCACCAAAGAATTTCTAACAAGCATTACCGCAGAGGCATTTAAGACCGAGAGTGCGTTGGACATGTTTTCCGAAAATGACCAGCACTTGCTGTACCCGAATGCGACGGCCGTCGCACAATGTGTCGAGGAGTACAACGAGAAGTGCAGAAAGAGCGGGATGCCCGAATCGAGTTCCGAAAGCTCGGGACATGTTCGTGAATTGCTCCGTCGATATGAGTTCCTTGGCCGAGTAATTGGAAAGTGTCTATATGAAGGAATCCTCATCGATGTGAACTTTGCACCCTTTTTCTTGTTGAAGTGGGCTTTGACGGGGGGTACCGGGTCAGCCATGAGAGAGTCGTCATACCGGGCCAATTTGAATGATCTCAAGGACCTGGACCGAGGTTTGTACCAAGGACTGGTAAGTGCTGAGAATGGAGTAGTTTGTTCAAGAGTGGAATGAAGATGACTGACGAACCTCTACAGTTGCAATTAAAGAACTATACCGGAGACGTGGAGGACTTTACATTGGACTTTACCGTTACCGACACGATCCCAATGTCAGATTCTCCGAATCGAACTGTGACGAAGGATCTGCGGTACAATGGCTCGCAGATACCCGTGACAAACCAGAACCGTCTGGTATACATATCCTACATAGCTCGATACCGTCTCCAGGTGCAACCTTCGATGCAGACCAACGCCTTTTTACAAGGCCTAGGCCAAAT